TCACTCACTCACTCACTCACTCACTCACTCACTCACTCACTCACTCACTCACTCACTCACTCACTCACTCACTCACTCACTCACTAATACGCACAGGTTAGTTGACTATATATGTCTTTATTCTCCAACTTCTTCGTCAAATCAAACAAAAAACTTATGTGATTGGGTTTCTCTGAGCCGGACTCCGAAGTGGTTTTTAGTTTTTGTCGTTTTTCTCTATTTGCTTTCATTTTGAAACATCAGACGATGCGAGGGTTCGAGTCGGGGTCTGTCCATGAACTCGCTCCAGTTACTTCTTTGCAATTCGATTCCAGTCATACTGTTGAGATGGTTGAATCACAGGCGTTTAGAGTTCTGACGAGGCCATTCTAACACGCTTGACTCGGTCACTACTCCTATTGCTCTGAGCGAAGCATGTCTTCCCCCATGTTCGCATTGCATTTGCACTCTATGACCTTGCTTTGTACAGAATCTCTTCCTTCGAAAATCTCGATCATAGCTCTCACAGCAGTTATTTGCACCATGATTAGACCAATAAACAAGATGCGCTCAATGATGAGCCTTGGGTCACTGGCGCTTTTCTGCACCCTCGAAGCAGCATCTTTAGCAACCAAGACTTCCCTATTGACCTCTTCGCAAATAGTAAGCTCGATTATTAAGCCTGCTTCCACTATAACACGAGCAACCAGGACGGCCCGCACTCCAATTTTCAACGCTCCTTCCTCAGCACAGTCCTCGCTTCCTTCAGCGATTCCAACCCACGAGCCAGGTACACCCCCAACCCCTAAAATCGCAAACTTAACCGCCGCAGACGACGGCTGGAAACACGGCAACGTCCTCATCTATAACTGGTGCACCTACGACGTCTACTTCGTCTCCGTTGGCGCCCACTATCTAGGCGGGTACATCTTCCCTTCCCTCGCACAACCACCCCCGCTTACACCCACAGATACCGTAACGGCTCAACCACAGGGTGGGGCACCCCCGAAGACGCCATATACCACACCATCCCTTCAGGCACGCAGTACACCGAGCCCTTTCGCGCAAGCGCTGGCTGCCCCTACACCGGCGCCCCACCCTACTGTCCCCTCGAAGACAAACTCGCCGGGCAGGCCGTATCCATCAAGATCGCGCGCTCGAACGATCCCGCAGACCAGAACATCACGCAGCTCGAGTACGCGCTGTATCGGAACCCTAACACTCACGACACTTTCAAGCGCCTGTACTACGATGTCAGTCTGCTCGACTGCGGCGCCCCGGATATTGCCGTTACAGACTTCAACGCCACGGAGGTAATGCTTGCGCGTAAAGTGGAGCGGTGTCCGGGGTATGCGGGCGGCGTGGCGGTGACATTTAGTGCGGATGAGGGTGGAAAGGTGTGCCCGCCGGTGTACTGCGATGGAATCAGTAGGTGCTTTATGGTGTATACGTTTGATAGGACAAGGCGGCAGGAGTCGAGTTTTACGTGTGAAAAGGAGTATCGGGGGGAGTTGAGGCTCGATCTTTGTGTGAAGAAAGCGGACGAGGGGTAAACTGCTGTCTCTGTTGTTGAATGGGAGGAACGAGAGCTGATAAGTGTTCTAGGGTGCAAGGTATGGTGGAGAACTTTAGTATTTGGGCGCAGACTGCGACACATGAAGTGGTCATGCTGCAAATGAATAAGACGACACCGCCGTTGGTTAGGTCGACACCGCTCTCGGCCTTGCAGACTGTGGCATCTGTAGTTCTGCAGATGGTTACGCTCGGGACACGGACCAGCACTGTTGTTCTTGCTGCAAGACCTGCGAATGTAAGGATGGTTGCAAGCTCCTCTACTGCAGCATAAGAGAACCTGTTGGAGGCAGGCAGAATGGACTTGGTCAGAGTTTTTGGTCGGTTCTAGGTGACTCTGTTAGGTTTTTTTTCATTGTAATCGATGTCTTGCCTCGATGCTGCAAATCTGAGTCTTCTCCATGAGCGTATGTACATGCCAACAAGCAACACAGAGTAGGTATATCGCCTACCCAGCTTCAATCCGCACCACCCAGTTTTACATTTCATCCCTCAAACTCTTCAGCTCAGGACTGACGCTCTCCTTACTCCTCAACGTCAACCCCGCCGCCCTCTGCGACAGCCCAACACAATCTTGCACCCGCTTCTTCTTCGACAACCCAACCGCCAACGCCCCAACAAACGTGTCTCCACACCCGTTCACACTGACCACCTCTTCCTTCTCCAGCACTTTCGTAGGATACAACCTCACATACAGGCCCCCAACCTCTTGGTCGCCGTTGTTACACCGCGCAAGCACGTACTGCGCCTCGTCCGCTGAACTAAGCACCGGGTCGCCCGCCTTGAGCAACTGCGTCAGGAGCACGCCTTGTGGGCCGAGTTTCGTGAGGATAGTAGGAAAGAAAGGAAGAAGCTTGATCGCTTGTTGCGGGATCCCTGCGTCTACGAGGGCGGGAGTCGTGGTGTATGCGAGCGGGACGCGGAGACCGACAGACGGGATGCCGAGGGCGTCGATGATGGTAAACCACTCAGGTGACTCGAAGAGACCGAGGGTGTAGGCGTGGTTATGCAGGGCCTGGAGTTCGAGCTCGTTGGGTGTGATGATGTCGACGAGTGGGTAGGTAATGGGGTCCTGGCTAGATTTGGGAGGGAAGATACGGAGGGCTTTGGCCACGGAGACTGGCTCGAAGATGGTTGTTGTGTGTGGCGAGGTTCTGCCTAGGTTGAGCCACTTGTGGAGGGAAGTAGAGTCCCAGTTCGCGTCCGCGACAAAGACATCAGGGAGGGTGTGGTTGGATTCCATGTTGAGAAGGTCCATCAGTTGTGATTCGGGTATGTTTTCGAGTATTTTCATATCAGCCATGGCGAGTGTGAGGTCTTTATTCGCGTTGTTGATGGCAACGTACTGAGCAGTACGTGCTGGTTTTGGAAGCGTGCGAATGCCAGTAGTAGTCATGCCTTCATCTTCCAGCTGGCTGAGAGCTGCACGTCCGGTAAGATCATCGCCGACGGCACTACGCAGCTGGACTGCAGCACCAAGGAGATGTGCTGCTTTGGCGATATTGTGAGCTACCCCTCCTAATGTCTGATTGACCACAGCAGGGTTTGACGTATGCATCGCAGGTTCGATTGGGTCAGACGAGTTGGCGAAGGGCGCATAATCACAAGAAAAGTCCACTGCCAGAGCGCCCGCGACCACGACGTCCACTGCTGGGGTTTCTGTTGGTGCTTTGGCTGCAACAGGCGTTGAGTCAGGTAAGACTACACCGTTTGGGCGGGATTTTGTTGTAGTTGCAGGAGTAGACAAGACAGTATTGAAGACTGAAGATGATTTTCTACATACCTACATCAGCACCAAGGTCTATAACTGAGCGGCAAGTCGATTCGCTCACCCTTGGGCATCGTCCTGCTTCGACTCTAGTATCGCAAGCTCTCGGGCTACGATCGTGGCACGCCTCACGTTAGACTCTATAAGTGCCCTGTTTGCGGGGATGCTTGCGCCTTTGGTCAGCTCTTTGATCTTTGCGAGGATAAAAGGTGTGTTGTCTTTGCCGATGATGCCGGAAGCAGTGGCCTGTTTTATGGCTTCCTCAATCACGGCGTCCATGGTTTCCTTGGGGATGGCACTTTCAACGGGAATTGGGTTCGCCAAGAGCAGTCCGGACGAGATACCCAGTGAGTGTTGCGCATCTTGTTACAGTGAGCTTTGAGATGTTCCAATGTGCGGGCAATACGTACGGATGATTGCAGCAGCCTCGATCTCGTTCTCAATCGTCGTGGGACTCTTCACGCCACTGTCCCTGGACCAAAAAGCCGGAAAGTCTACGCTACCCTTGCGCCCGTCGGCGAAGGTGCCGACGAAGGCGCCTTCGGTCTCAAGATACTCCAATGTGCGGGGTATATCGAGGAAGCTCTTGCACCCGCTGGAAATGACGGTGACTGGTGTCCGGCCGAGCTCTGTCAAATCCGCAGATATGTCCATACTGGATTCAGCTCCGCGATGTACTCCACCGAGACCACCAGTACCAAACACCTTTATGCCGGCCAGGTGTGCCAGTAGCATGGTTGCCGAGATTGTAGTCCCTCCATTGAAGTTCTTGCCTACTAATCGCTGCCCGCAGACGTAGCTGAGGTCTCGTCGCGAGAGCTTCAGGGTGGTGTTGCGGCCAGCTGACTCTGTGAGTCTTATCAATTCCTCTGGGTCCATACCCACGTGTACGATGCCGTCCAGAATGCCTATGGTCGCAGGGACACCGCCATTTACGCGGACCACGCTCTCGAGTAGGGAAGCTAAAGCTACGTTCTCGGGGTAGGGGAACCCTGGGTATGGATCAGTACGAGGAGGCGCCAGCAAGCATGCTTCTGCAACGCACCGTGGGTATATATTGTCGTTTCCAGCGCAACGACAGGCTTGTTCGCGTGCAGGGCTTCTCGCACCTCCTCGGACACGCGGAAGAAGCCATTGTTGGTGAGATGGCGCCTCCCTTGGGTGGTGAATGCAGCTCTGCTGGCTGGCGCAAGGCGCGCCCGGTGGGCTGCTCTCAGGAGGGGTCCCATTGCGTGGCTGCGAAGTGAAGTGGCTTTCGCAACGGCCCCGAGCACAGGTCAGAATGCACGGGAAGCTTCAAAGGGCTACTGTGTACGTTCACCGTCCTGGTCGGCGTCCTGCCCTATCGGAGTGCCGGTGCGGGCCTCGGCGCACCGCGAAGCTCGAGGAGCTCCGCGGGTGGCATCGCGCATGGCGGGGCGGAGGCCTTGGCCACTCGGGGCAAGCGCGACCCGCGCGGAGCGGAAGGCACGTCCGGCGTAAGATGCCACGTTCCTGGAGGTGCAGCGCCGCGCAAGCTCCACGAAACCCCCAGTTCCCACGTCGCCTCACCTATGCTTGGGTAACTTGACTGCTACCCAACATGAGGTCCCTCCCTCTATTCTCGAGCTGCCTAGCAGCGCTTTCGGGCTTCGCCTGCGCCGAATTGAACCTCTCGCAGCCGCTGCTCTCGAGGCAGGTGCTCCCCAGCACCTTCAAGCCGCCGCCCGTCTTCAAGAACGTCAACCTGGTCCGCAACACGAACCTGGACAAGGCATACCCGCGAGAAACCATCAACGTCATCATAGAAAACATCGATTCCAAGCCGCAATCGAAATACTACCTGCCGTTCGAAACCAGCTTGATATCGAGAGTTGGCGGGCTCGAGGTCAAGGACAAGAAGGATGCAGACAAGGGCTTCTTCAAGGTCGAGGTCGTCGGGCTTGATGCTCAGAGGTACTGTCTGACGGGCAATTGAAGCTTGGCTTGTCTAACATGATGCATAGCTCGACCGAATTCTACCTGATCCACCTCCCCACTCCCCTCGCACCCAAGCAGCAGCAAACTCTCACCATCTCCTACTCTGTCCTCTCTGCGCTTGCGCCGGTCCCTGCCAAGATTGGGCAGTCTGAGAAGCAATACGTCCAGTACACGTTCAGCGCCTACACGCCCTCCGCCTATGTCACCGAGAAGCAAAAGACGAAACTCAAGTTCCCCAGCGGCGACGTCCCCGATTACACCACCCTCCCGGCCGACCTCAACGCCGAGAAGAAGGCCGACCCGCAAAAGCAGGGCTCAACCTTCACCTATGGCCCGTACAACGATGTTCCAGCTGGTGCTGAACAGGATGTCAGCGTGCGCTATGAGTTCACGAAGCCGCTCACCCACGCTACGCTCTTGGAGCGCGACATCGAGGTCTCGCATTGGGGTGGGAACCTAGCCACGGAGGAGCGCTACTGGCTCACCAACCAGGGTGCTGAGCTGAAGAACCACTTTTCCCGCGTCGAGTGGCAGAAGACGCAGTACCTGAACCCTCCTTCTTCCGCCTTGAAGGGACTGAACCTCCCCTTGCACCCTGGTGCTATGGACCCGTATTTCACCGACGATATCGGCAACGTTTCCACCTCGCGTTTCCGACCGGGCAAGAAGGAGAACCTCCTGGAACTAAAGCCTCGCTACCCCGTTTTCGGAGGCTGGAAGTACAGCTTCCGCGTCGGCTGGAATGCCGATCTGAGCACTTACCTCCGCAAGCTCAGCATGGGCGATACTTATGTATTGAAGGTTCCCTTCCTTGAGGGCCCTCGCCTTGCTGAAGGTATTCAGTACTCAAAGGTGCATCTTCGTGTCATTCTTCCTGAAGGTGCTACGAACGTCAAGTACTCCACCACAGTACCGCTGGTTGACAGCAAGACCACCGTCCACCATACCTTTATGGATACCTTGGGCAGGTCTGCTTTGGAATTGCATGCCATTAACATCATGGATGAGTTCAGAGAGCGCGATTTGATTGTAACGTATGACTACTCGTGGACCGCGGGTTACAGGAAGCCGATCGTCATTACTCTCGGCATGTTTGCTGTTTTCGCAGCGACCTGGGTACTGGGCAGCATTGACACGAGCATTGGAAAGTCCAAGAAGGCATGAAACAAGGTTTCGCGCCAGGAAACACGTTGAGACTTCAGACCGGCATCAATCGTGTCGCGGAAGCGGAAGGATGAGCCGGGCAGACGTGAATAGGGTTGGGAAAAGTCTATGTAGGAGTACCATCGGTTGAAATCTTATGAGAGTCCGCCCTGGACAATCTATGTAGAAAGCATTGAAGCGTTCGCACATGTTCCAAAACGTATCTTCGCGCGATACAAATCCTCACCTGACCCTGTAGTGACTCAATCTTTGATACGTGGCTAAGGTTATGAAGTACAAGTCTAACGTGTGTTCATATTAGGACCCGCTGCAAGGGCGACAATTCTGTTGTCTGCCACTTTAATTCCCGACCTGAAGATACTCTTCTCAGCCACTGCGCCCTGCCGGCTGTTCTATTTGTCGCCATATTCTACTCGATTTATCAAGCTTTGGATGTGCCAACCCCACTTATATGCTGTCCATATACATCAGAGGAAACACCTCAACAGACGCTCTTCGAGACATCCTTCCCAAGCGCACCCTTCTTCACCCTAGAATGCACCGTCACTTTTCACTAGCTGCTACGGCAGGCCTTCCCCTTACTTCTTCGGCATCTCGCTCCACGGCCGATGCGGCCTAATATTCGCGTTCTCCAATTTCTTGGCCACCGCCAACGGCCAGCTCACCTCCTCGCGCTTTCCCGTCCCCGTCTCAGTTCCGCTCCCACTCTGCACGCTCTCCCTCCTCCCCATCTCCGCGCCCGCTCCCACCAGCCCCTTCTCCTCATCCCTGCCCTGCGCTCCACTCCCCTCCATCGCAGGCACCTGGTACTCATGCCCCATCCCCAGCCCGCTCGCCGTCGGCTCAAAGCTGCACGCCTTGCTATCCCTGATCCGATGGATCGTCTGTATGAGGAACGAAATCGTGGTCGTGAGCGAGAGAAACATGCCTGTGCCTGCGCCGATGGCGTAGCCCCGGGTGAGGGGCAGGAGCATGGCGAAGGCGGCGAGGTCGGATGAGGAGTGCGAGTTTGATAGTGTGACGGGGAATTTCAGTGCCAGGGAGAGGGTGGCGGCGAATGCGGTGCCGAGGCTGAGGGAGGAGAGGAGCTCGATGGGGAGAAGAAAGGGGGTTGGGAGGCGGAGGCGGGGGAGTGTGGTGGAGAGGGTGATGAGGATGGTGGCGAGGCTTGAGAAGGCGCCCTGTTGGGTGTGTTAGTTTGGTTGGGGCGAGGGAGGTGACATAGGGATAGGCTGGGCGTACAGCAGCAATGGCGATCAAGATGCGGAGGTGGGCGTCGATTGCGGTGCGCATGAAGGCGCGCCATGCCGCATCTTCGTTTTGCGACTCGAGGTTCGCGACGTCCAGGATGGTGAAGCCGCGATTTTGGATGTCCTGGATAAGGAACCTCGCTGTTGTATCCGTCAGTCATGCTCTTCCTCTACCCGCTCTTCCAACAGAAACATACCCCAGACGCCCACGCCCACAACACCCAACGCAATTACCACAACCAACACCCGCAAGATCGTGAGTACAACGTTCGACCCCATATTACCCAGCTCTTTACTCAAGACCAAACACTAAGTATTAACAAGAACTTATCCAGACCAGCTGGCAGCAAGCTTCCAGAGCGCTAAAGAAGGTAAAAGAGCGACAATGGCGGCGAGGAATCTCGTAAAGTCCGCACACTCAGGCTGAAGTGGCAACCTATGTACGTCTTACCATGCGCCGCCATGCGCCGCGCATCGCCCCGCCAACCCACGGCCTCGCTGCTTCCGACGATCCTATGCAATCAGCTTGAGCCGCAAAATCTGCGTGTGCCAATCCGTCGCAGCTGCCATCGATCTTAGCACACTGGAGTAAGCCTCGACGCGGCGAAGTTACGTGGATGCCACTTGGAGTCAGTTCCCAGAGCATGATTGGACGGCGTACGCGTTCGGCCTGAGGCTTCCCGGTGGGAGTGTACCAGCTACGTGGTTGTCATGCCTTGGGGGGTGCGGATGTCGCAATGGGTGTACGCTTTGGGTGTGGTCGGGGTGCTGAGACGAACCTGAGGCGTGGAGGCGCGGGTTGCAAACCCCTGCAGATCTGGGCATGCGCCAGTATGAAGTATGCAAGCCGCGAACATTTCAAGGTCACACAGACCTTGTGGTACGCGGCAAATCCCTTCCGTATAGAAGGACCGACCGTACTGTTCGAGATGGCTTCACCTTCCAAGGTCGATCATTCATGTATCGCCGGCGGCGGCAGGCGCGTGACAGATACAGCTTCGAAGGTCCAATTCTAGAAGAACATACGTCTTTGTATCTCACAAGTTGCAGTATTCAACCATCAGTATTCAAGTCTACTGTACACGCGCGTATTAGCCCACTTTCCAATGAAGAGGGTTCAAGACCTTATAGCCCCTTTTATGCATAATTGAACAAGAAGCACATCGCAAACGGAACCCTATCCTTACATCCACAAACCCTCTCGCACTCCTGCTCATCCCTTGCATATACGTATTCATCCCTTCAAACCCCCATTCCACCCACCAACACCTAACCTGAACCCAAAGCTCACCGCCACCGCCGCGAAAAGACCCAAGCAAAGCAGCGTCGGACCGACCTTGTCGTGATATGTGACAGCTCGCCGCTTCTTGATCATGTTTACCCGCCATAGATATAGGCCAACTGAGTAGAGCAGAGCGCAGACCGCAATGATGGTGAACGCCCATGCAGCGGCAAGCGCAAGACTGTCGCCGAAGTTGAGCAGCGTGGCTGCGATAGAGCCGAGGAGGATGCTGAATTCAAGCCAAGAGAGGAAGGTTCGCTCGGTGGCGAGTTGGACCTTGGGTTCGACGCGGACGGGAACATGGATGCCTGTAAACGTTAATGTTGTTGATCAGTATGAACAGTTTGAGCAAACTCACGCTTTCCCTTGGGTGCTTTGAAGTGCTTGACCTCACCCGGCTGTTTCCAACTCGGTACCCCAAGTTGGAAGCCACCCTCGCCGACGTCGGTTGCTCGAGGTCGTGGCAGGACGGCTACCAGTCCATTCAATACTGTGCTGCTAAGTGCTTTCGCCTTATGCCTGGCGACCAGAAAGTGGTACTGCCAACCGCCCTTCTGCCGAGCTACTTCCAGCTCATCTTCGTCGTCGCTATCAGAGTCATATATTGGGTGGTCGCTATCATAGAGTCGCTGCGCAGAGATACGCTCTTCTACATCAAGCGCATTCGGCGCGTCGCCATTGTCAATCGTACCATAATCACGACGGCGGTCAAGCTCGTTTTGCTCCTGAATATCGCGCGCATCGCGAAGTCGCTTCAAGTCTTCGTCATCCTGGCTGCCATTACGTGCTGGTGGCAGGCCTGCGTCCTCATCGTCGCTATCATCATCCAGGTTACCGCTAGAACTGATGTCGTTACTTGCTCCAGGTCTTTCAATGCCAAACTTGTGGCTGACAGGCTTGCGAATATCAACATGCATCTGCGGCGTCCAGTATGGGAGTAGATTGATGCGTTTAGGCTGCAGGGTGGAGGTTCCATGGATGTACTTGGAGAATTTGGGTACGGCTTCAACGAGATGAGATGAAGTCAATTCACGGATCCACTGCGGTGGTTCCTGGCCGGCTTGGGTCTGAAGCTTGACCTCGAGCACAGCGTACGGGAAAAGTTCAACGTCCTCTTTAGGCAACTGCTTGAACGGCCAGTCGACACCAATGTCCATGCGGCGCCAGTTGTCTCCAGCACGTTGGCGGCCATCCAGGTTATCCTCGCGCGTCATGGCGAGTTCGGTATCCAGCGATATACGCACGCGGGCATCACCGGGAAGCTGGAAGGCAGTACGGTGATAGAAGGAGCGCGTGACGGGCCCGAGTTTGCGGGTGAGAACGCGGTATTGGATCTCCCGCGCCAGCTGTTCATCTGACGCAATGTCCTTCTCGGGCCTCTTTTGTTCCCTGCGCTCCTTCTCGAATATTTGTTCTGGGGTCAGCTCGCCGCGAAGATAGGCGTTCACGTTCTTCTCCTTGAGCTTGAAACGAGCCTTGACCGACTCTTCGCCTGTCCAGTCCTCGCGATGTGTCTTGCGCTCAATGAAAGCGGTCTCAGTGGACATGTCACCATACCAGCGAATGCGGATAGCCTCGGCTCCTTCGGTCTTTTTCAAACGACCCTCATATAGCTCCCACGTATCCGTATTGTCAAAGTAGATGGAAGAGATGGCAGTGTCGTCCTCGAGAAATGCCTTGCTGGCGTTGAAAACCAAGACTGGCAAGTGCTTTAGGATGATGAGCTTGAGCTCGAGCACATTGTCCGGGTGGACCCAGTACTTGGTCGTTTGGCGGACGAAGTTCTGCTGCTTGCCTCCGGCGGATGAATCGCCCTTGACTGGGTTGCCGCGCGTTCGGACGGTATCGTAGAGTTTCGAGAGCTTAACAACGTAAGCATCGTAGTTGTCCTGGTAGAAGGGCTTCTGCTTGAGGCGGGTCGCGAAAACAGGCTTGAGCGCGAGGCCAGTGACTTTCTGTGCATTGTTAGCCTTTGCTGAAGAAAAGACTATGCAAATTACATACATCGTGCTTCTTGATGATCTTCTGGAAGCCTGTGTAGTTCAGTTGGGTGAACTTGGCAAGATCGTGCACGTCGGCGATGATGTCGCTCAGGTCCTCCTCGAGCAGCTCAAAGTCCTCCTCGGACGGCGACTCCTCGCCCGGCGCAAGCGTATTGCTGTCGACCTTGCCCACGACATCGGTGACCTCCTTCTCGGACGCAGCAATCCGGCGGATGATCTCTTCAGCCTTGACTTTCTGGAAGGTGTAGACCTTGTCTAGCTCGCCCTCGAGCTGCTCGATGAAGCTCTGCTCGGTCTTGTGGTCCCAGGCGCGAGGAGCGCGCAGCGTCGCCTTCAATCCCTCATAGTCGATGTAGTTGAAAACCCAATCGCGGTTCAGCGACTGCTTGAGCTGCTGGCCGAATCTGCAAGGGAGCGTCAGCCTAGTTACATCATACGATCGCGAACATGCATGGACGGCCGGGGTGTGCGCACCTCATGCTTGTCAGCAGCGGCAATTGCGTGCCAGGGCGCCTTCACAAAGACTGATAAGATGGCAATAATAAAGGAAGAGCTCTACAGAAAATCAACAGGGCCAACAGATGTCTTGGAAGGGTGGAACCCCGCCCATGCATGTGTTTGGACACAGACTTTGGAAACAAAGGGCTGGGGCCCAAGCTCTAACGGGTCCCACGCGCAAGTGGGCTCGATGCAGGACGGGCCGCGGTAGCGACGAGTGAGAAGGGCCGACCAACCCACGTGCGGTCTCCAGCTCGTGCAATCGATCTACTTGAAGAGTGAAAGAGTGCTTTTTGTGCAGCACGATCCGCAACGTGCAGGAATCTGAGGTCGTTGTGGTGTCGTCACAATCGTTCTGCTCGTCGCACAGATCTGGGGTGAGCTTGGTAACCAATGAGGCACCGCGGCCGCATTGGGAATCTGGGCACGTGGGTATGTCTGCCAACAATGCTGAGTGCCGCGCTGCGTCCTTTATCTCGGACAATCAAGTACGCAAGATACACTACAAAGTTCGCATCGAGAAGCTGTGAGCTTCTGCTCAAGATTCGTGCGTCTGCCTGGATTCAAAAGCAGATCGAGCCTCCTGCGCAAATTCGCGGATAGTATCATAGTGACGCTGTTCGAGCCTTAGAAAGAAGGATGGGATGAAGTCTTTCCAGTGGACGAGTGAAAACGAGTCCATTTTCCTGTGTATCAGAAGAAGATCGCGAAGTTATATGAGGAGTTTGCCGATAGGCAGAATGTGGATGCTGAGTCTTGGTTGGAAAAGGTGCAGTGCAGAGACTTGTTCTGGTTGAGGAGCTGTAGAAGAAGGCTGGTGTACAGTATTGTCAGAGATTCTCCTCTATATGCTTTACCTCTTCTAGAAAAGCATATTATTTCCATGTGAACACTTGCGGTAGATTCTTGTGACATAGCATTGTAGGCGCATCATAGAGTGAATTACCACAGGATGCGATGCGCTCTGAACCCTCAAATATTGGGTTCAGCCGCGGACCACGATAAATATCTGATATGAACACTGGATGTGTCGAGAAAATACCAACTTATACGTGTAATGACACGATTCCAGTCCTATCTAGACTGGAAATAGTAAACGCCGCCCAATGCCAGTCGATTCAGCCCATGTGGTATGCAGTGCCATTAATGATAAAGCTGTTATTCGAAATGTTCATTCATATCTCGTAAACGTCGTCCATAGGCCCTCCCTCACCCCTTACGTCGCTTCGATTCGACCAGAATGTTGGGTCCTGCTCGGCGCTTGAGTGACGGAGCGGCCGGTTGAGGTTTCGGTACCGGCCTTGGGGCGGAGAATTGTTGGCCAGCAGGTAGTCGGGGCCGCTCAGCACGTTCCGGAGCCGCATCACTCACACGAGGCATAGGCTGTTGCCTGATAATGGGCCGTCGTGTAGTGGATGTACCAGTGGCAGCTGCTGGAGGAGCCTCGGGCTTGGGAACAAGCATGCGCCTTGGTCCTTGACTTAGTGCTTCGGCTTCGGCCATCCTGACCATCCTAGCAGGCACCTGCGTGACCATCCTTCTGTTTTCATTCAGGATGTGCGCGGGCGTCCTGGATGCCGCTGGCCGGGCTCGTTTCGCATCATATATGCCCCGCTTCAGCTTGTCAAAGGCTACCTTGCCCGTCTTCTTGGGCGCAGCTGGATCCCCCCATCCCGAACGTGCACCTCCGCCAAAGGACCAGCCCGAGCGCCGTGCAGAAGGAAGATTCAAGTTCGCGTTGATGATGGTAGTCTGGTGGCCGTTGCGGTCCTTTTGTAGCGCCTGCATCTTCTGTCTCAGCGCCTCCTGCTGAGCCTCCTCTTCAGCGGCCGCCTCTTTCTTGAGCTTTTTGTAGACTTTGCTCCAGTTCTTGGGGTCTCGCGGCTGATGTGGCTTCTTTTCCCAGCCGGGTATGTCTCTCTTGATCAGACGAAGCCATATCTCGCCCGTTTCGCCTTGTATCTGCGGACAGTTTGTTTCGAGCTGGACGAGCTGGTCTGGAATTTGGATCTGTCGGAGCACGGGGGCGAGGAAGGCGTAAGGTAGGTCGCCTATGTCTTCCAGCATGTGTATGTTCTGTACCAGCCGCGTTTTGGCGAGGTGGAAGAGGCTCGGGACAGGCATGGCGATGATATGCCTGCCGACGGCCGGGTTGTAAATCTTTGTTCTCTATAAAATATAGATGACGAGGTCTTCGAAATATGCTGTGGAGGATTGAAAACGGTGCGAGTGTATGGGCGTTGTGGTGTCCGTTTGTCTAGACTGGGTGGCTGAAGCGTATCGCTGACCAGGGAACGATTATGGCGCAGCGGGCGTTGTTGGAGATGGCTTCAGGCGGCTATGGCGGGGTGAAGCTGATATAAGGCTGGCCGGATCGGTTCTTATGGCGACGTGTTATGGCCAGATCGTCTATATTGGATGTTGAGAGAGGACGAGTACAGACAGTGCACCGGTTGCTTGACGATGAAGGCAGGCGCAATTGCAAGGGTCCGCTCGTAGCGGCGACCCAACGCGCGCCAACACGATCGAAAGATCTCTGGTCAACCCCAACCACTGCAGACCTTACGTTCGCCTGCGCCCGTTAAGCGCAATTCCACCAAATTAAAACATGGCACCCAAATTATGGCCTTTGCTGCCTCAATCAGAAGAAGGTGGGACCGTGACGCTCGCGCACTGATTGCTTGCTAAGTCTTTAGACGCTCTCCACAACGTCTCGCGTCTCTTCAATGTCGAATCACGGCCCTATGCCCGCGTCGCCCATCGTATAATCACCTCTAGGGAGCAGGGCAAGCCCACCGACTTCATCCTCTCCGATGCGCGACCTAGACAGCTGCCCACCCCGCCTCCTGACGCCTCGGCCGCAGATGAGGAAGCTGCAGGGCGCGATGCCCTTCGAAAGGAAGAATCGGACAAGATTGAAGCTTGGAGAAAGGAGCTCATCAACGAGTTGGAACTCCTCGACTTTGCAACGCTGCGCTTCGAGCTCACTACCGGCATCAACAACGAAGAACGGGAGCGGTACGCAAAGGAGAAGTTGGCCATTACAGACAAACAGGACCACGTTCGAAAAAACATCGAGAAGCTGCGCGTCGACTTGGAGCAGGCGAAGGAGACGTTGGCTGTCCGCAAGACTTACGACGAGCTGACCAAGAAAATCACCGACAACAAGATGCTGAAGCCGCGAGATGAGCAAGCGATTGCACATGAAAAGCTAGATCAGGAAATCGCCGAGTTGGAACAGGAGGTGCAAAATGCAAAGGCCACCTGGGGCGAACGCCGTACACAGTTCAACCGCATCGAAACCGAGGCCATGAACCTGATGCAGATGATCAAGGATGAAAAGGAGGAAGCAGAGCGCAAGGAAGGCATGCGTGACGACGAGGGCGACGACAAAGACGCCAGCACAAGGGCCGATGTGAGCCATGCGGGGACGCCCAGACCTGACGGCGGTCTCACGCCGGTACACCCCAGCCAGACTGCAGAGTCTTCCAACACGCTCAAAGTTCCGCCTCAAGATCGCCTCTCAGCTCTGTCCGTTGCTGCGTCACCTGCGCCCTCCGGTGCCGGAGAGGATACCGAGATGGGCGAGTCCGGCGACAATGCAGGGCGCAACCCGGCCGATGATTCCGAGATTGAAGAGGGGGAGGATGTCGAAGAAGGCGAACATGAAGGATCTGAGCGCGGAGAAGCCTCAGGGCGTGAAATGGATGAATCATGAAAGGTGGAGCAGTGCCAGTGACATCAGCTCTCGATTCTGTATGATACCCTACTTGTTTGCATAGCGCGGTGTCCAGGATGGTCTTCAATTTGCAGGTGGTTCGTATGTACTATATTGAAATGGGTATAACATCTACAAACACCACCACGCCACGTGCAATTTCATCATGCAGACTCGGCAAGAGTCGCCTTTGCCTCCTCAATCGCATCATTCGCCTTGGTGACCTCTCCAGCTGGTGCATCGCCTCCAGCCTCCTTCTGAATTTGGTCAATACCTGCACAGCAGAGTGCTTTCTTCTACTTACGAGCTGATCCTCCAGCTTCTCCAGAGCGTCACTGATTTTGGCACGCACGGTCGGTATGACAGTCTTGGTCTCCTCGAGACCTTGTTTCTAGGTGGTGTTAAGCTACGTCATGTTTTCAATTTGCACAGAACGAAGTACCTCTTGCCTGAGCATGTACTCTGCGTTTTGGTCGTCGCTGCCGGCCTCAAGCTTCTTGATGCGTGCTTGCTGCTGCTCCATCTCCTTGTGGTAGCTTGCTTCCTCCTTCACCAAGCGGACCAGCGAGGATGTCGCAACGGCGAGCTTCGATGGGGGAGGCATGTTGAGAGTAGTTGATTGATCGAGCTGTGGGTCGAATTGTTGAGCTGTCGGTCTCGAGTGCAAATTTGTGTTTGGTTGCTGCCTTGCACTCCGTCCGTGTTTATGGTCCGTGAAAATGCATCATCACCCCGCGAACCTATCGATATCGCTGCATGCGCGCTAGCCGGTTCTGGCACTAAGAGGGCACTGGGCGCGTCGCGAAACGACGCGAGAAGCACTTTACGCGTCGTCCCCTTTCTGCCATCCCACCTGTTCAGCTTCGCCCCTCGTCGCTGCGCTCTGCGACTGCGTTGACTGATACCATTTTGCTTCAATGTCTTCCCCGGCGCCGCATCGCTCGCAGCGCCCCTCTGCTACCCCGCGGAGGAGTACACGAAATTCCCAAATCCCCTCCAGCCCAGCGCCGGAAGGGCCCGATGCTCAGCTGCACTCTGAGGCATCGCAGGCCTCGCAGCGCGGCTTCAACGCAACCCCACGGGCGAACCGTCTCCAGGCGCCGTCAACACAGTCGCCGCTGTTCTATCGCTCCTCTCCGGGGACACAGTCGACCTCAGGGGCTGCAAACAATGCCCCAGAGAGTGACGGTGGTGCGACGCCCAAAGCGAGCGGAGTAACAATTGGAGGTAGGCTTGCTTGCATGTGTCTCTAGCGCAGACCGCTGATGCTGCCAGATTCTTCTCCCATCCGATACGCCTCCAGCTCCAGCCCAGGACGTGCCCGCCATGCCCATAACACGGATATCCGAAGCAGCAGTAGCGCGCTTTTCGTTCGCGACCCCGGCAGTACAGCAGCCCGGAACAGGCGCAGCGACATCCACTCTGACATTCTCGGCCCTAGTTCTACGGGCAGACGCCGCAGGCTGTTTGTTGACGAGAATGGCATGGCTGTGGAGAACTCTGATGCACCAACCTTCTCGAATCTGAACCCTGACACTTCGGATGCGGAAGTCCTAGGAGGAAACTCGTCGAGGTTCATTTGGGGCACCAACATCTCCATTGCGGATGCCCTGAGTGCCATGAAAGATTTTCTCTTCAACTTCCAGAGGAAATACCGCTTGATCCAGGACGGAGAGCTCGCAGAAGGTGCTAGCCTATCTGCTGACGACCCGGCAATGGCCAGAGAGTACATTGAGATGATGAAGGCCATGCTTGAGATGGGTGTGACACCTCTGAATTTAGATGCACGCAACTTGAAGGCCTATCCTCCCACCAGGAAGCTATGGCACCAACTCCAAGCTTTCCCAAGTGAGATCATCCCCATCATGGATACAGCAATCAAAGATGCCATGATCGAACTTGCTGAGAGACGCATGGCAGAGCTACGAGTGCAGCTGTCTCAGGCCCAGCGAGGACCCGAACGTGGTCATAATTCGAGTTCGCTCCCGCCTATGTTCAGTTCAGATGCTCCGACCCCTGGCGCGCCATCGCCTGGAGGTGCGGCGCTAGATATCCCAGACCTTGTAAGGGAGGTTGACCAGAAGACATACCGCGTTCGTCCCTTTGGCTTGGACAAATCTGTCAACCTGCGAGACCTGAACCCGGGAGATATGGACAAACTTGTGAGCGTGAAGGGTCTGGTCATTAGAGCCACACCAATTATCCCAGATATGAAGGACGGTGAGTTCGGATGGGGTTCCCAATCTCCAGGAGGCCACTAACATCCTTTAGCGTTCTTCAAATGCTCCGTCTGTAACCATACCGTGAGGGTGGATATTGACCGTGGCAAGATCACTGAGCCTACCCGTTGCCCTCGTCCAGTCTGCGAGTCCTCCAATTCGATGCAGATTGTTCACAACCGCTCAGGTTTTGCGGACAAACAGGTAATCAAGCTTCAGGAAACTCCGGACAGTGTGCCGGATGGTCAAACGCCACATTCAGTGTCTCTCTGTGTGTACGACGAGCTTGTCGATGTGTGCAAGGCTGGTGATCGCGTTGAAATCACCGGTGTATTCAAGAGCGATCAGGTCCGTATCAACCCCCGTCAACGGTCTGTGAAGAACATCTTCAAAACCTACGTCGATGTATTGCATATCCAGAAAGTCGACAAGAGGCGTATGGGAATCGACGTTTCCACGATCGAAGAGGAGCTCGCCGAACATGTCGCTGGTAGCGCTGAGGAAACCCGCAAGGTCTCTGAGGAAGAGGAAGCCAAGATCAAAGCAACCGCAGCGCGACCAGATATCTATGAGCTCCTCTCACGCTCGCTAGCGCCGAGCATTTACGAGATGGACGATGTCAAGAAGGGAATCTTGCTCCAACTTTTTGGTGGCACCAACAAGTCGTTCGATAAGGGAGGAAGCCCCAAGTACAGAGGTGACATCAACGTACTTCTGTGCGGTGATCCCTCGACAGCCAAGTCGCAGATCCTTCAGTATGTGCATCGCATTGCCCCTCGCGGTGTGTACACATCCGGTAAAGGTTCATCCGCTGTCGGTCTGACTGCATACATCACCCGCGACCCTGAGACACGACAGCTCGTACTGGAGTCTGGCGCGCTTGTTTTGTCCGACGGAGGTGTCTGCTGTATTGATGAGTTCGACAAGATGTCTGACTCTACGCGCTCTGTGTTGCACGAAGTTATGGAACAGCAGACAGTATCCATCGCCAAAGCCGGTATCATCACCACCCTCAACGCAAGAACCTCCATTCTCGCTTCCGCTAATCCCATCGGCTCCAAGTACAACGTCAATCTTCCGGTCCCGCAGAACATTGACCTCCCGCCTACGCTACTCTCACGTTTCGATTTGGTCTACCTGGTGCTTGACCGCATCGACGAAATGGCCGACCGAAGGCTAGCAAAGCATTTGGTAGGCATGTACCTGGAAGACACTCCAGAGCATGCCAATCGCAACGAGGTGCTCCCAATCGAGTTTCTCACATCATACATCTCCTACGCTCGCACAAACATCCACCCGAAGATCACCGATGGCGCTCAAAAAGCGCTTGTAGACGCTTACGTCGCAATGCGCGCCCTCGGTGCGGACGTACGCTCTCAAGAACGTCGTATCACCGCGACCACGCGTCAACTCGAATCAATGATCCGTCTCGCCGAGGCACATGCTAAGATGCGTCTCAGCGAGATCGTGACCGCAGACGATGTCCATGAAGCCGTTCGCCTCATCAAGTCTGCGCTCAAACAAGCCGCTACTGACGCCCGTACCGGTTTGATCGACATGTCTCTTCTCACTGAGGGCACTTCGACGAGCGACAGGAGAAGGAAGGAGGACCTCAAGCGCGCTGTGCTTGGCGCTATTGATGAACTCGGCAGCGCAGGCCAGAACGTGAGACTGAGTGATTTGGCGAAGAAGGTTAGGGATGGCGCGACAGAGCAGATCGAGAACCAGGAGTTTCTCGAGGTCCTGAAGGCGGCTGAGTTGGAGGGGAGCGTGCAGTTGTCTGGTGAGGGGCCGAGGAGGATGGTCAAGAGGGTTGTTGGGGCTTTCTAGGCGTTGGCATGATGAGATGACTGGGAATGGTGACGACTTTAGGCGTGCGGTTTAGCGCAGTGTAACAATGAAGAGAAGGAGCTTCACGATATACTATAGTTGCGATGGAAGCATATGTAGATATTAATCGACCTGACCCTCGATCTTGAAATATCGTGCGTAATTTAGATTTACAATGATCGATGGCTGATCAGTGGTAACAGGGAATGTCACAGTACACCTTCTGATGCATTTCTACACATCTATCTTCTACCACTCTCTCACCTCACCCCCCGGCCCAATAAACCCAGGCGAAACCCACGCCTTTGAATCCTTGCTTTCTCTCCGAACCCACTCCTCGTCAATCTCAATGCCCAGTCCTGGTCCCGCCATCAACTCAACATACCCCTCGTCCACCTTCCACACCTCTGGATTCGTGATATAGCTCGTCAAGTCTTGGCTCCCGGCATTATAATGGATACCCAGGCTCATCTCTTGTATCGCGAAATTGGCCACGCTGGCATCGACCTGGATGCATGCTGCAAGCGCAATAGGGCCTAGTGGACAGTGCGGTGCAAGCGCGACGTCGTAGGCCTCGCACATTGCTGCGATGCGCTTGAGCTCGGATATACCGCCCACGTGCGAGATATCAGGCTGGAGTATGTCAACGCAGTTTGCTTCCAGGAAAGGCCTTACATCCCAGCGCGAATGTAGACGTTCGCCGAGGGCAATCGGGATGCTGGTGTGATAAGCAAGCGCCTTTATCCCGCCGATGTGCTCGGAGAGCAAGGGCTCTTCGATGAAGAGCGGCTGGTGTGGTTCGAGGGCTGCGGCGAGCTGCTTGGCCATAGGTTTGTGAATACGCCCGTGGAAGTCCATGCCTGCGTCCATACCGAGTGCTTTTACCTAGCACACGGATACAAAGTCAGTGTGAGTCAAGATAGGGTGGTACATGTCTCAGCGAAGCGTAGAATCGAGTCAATCGTTCTGCAAGAAATACACGTCCACTTTGTACCCGGTGAATTACTCACGGTCTTAAGGCGCTCAACGCTAGAGATGAGGGTAGAGGGGGAGTCGAGCCAGCCAATGTCTTCGGTGGCGTTCATTTTCACAGCGAGGAAGCCTTGGGCTTTGCGGGCGAGGCTGAGGGTGGCAAATGGTTATTATGATTGATGGAGAAGTGTTGCAAAGGGGGTACTTACGCTTGAGTTTCGACATCTGAGGGCCTATCGCCGCCGATCCAAGCATAGACCTTCAGCTTGGAGCGTACTTTGCCGCCGAGGAGTTGGTAGATGGGTACGTTAAGCTTGCGGGCTTTGAGGTCCCAAAGGGCGATGTCGAGGCCTGCGAGTGCGCTCATGAAGACAGGCCCACCTCTGTAGAAGCTGGTTCGCCATGACATCTGCCAGATGTGCTCGATGTCGCTGGAGAAGTATCAGAGTTGTCTAGAGATAGCACGTGTCTATCGATGGCCGTACTCAGCTTCGAAGCCTATATATCGTTCTATCCACGCATCGAGGCAGCCTTCCACTGCTTGTGTGTGGCCCTCGAGGGAAGCTTCGCCCCAGCCAAAGTTACCCACCTCGTCGGTAATCTTGACGAACAGCCATCGCGGCGGCACACGGAAGTATTCTATTTTGTTAATTTTGCCCATTTCTGCCAACTCTTGTTCAAATGCTGCTTGATTTAAATCAAACAGATTCTTCAAAAAACTTCTTAGGATCTCAATTCAATCAAGCTGCTGATAGTAATGCTTCGCGTACGCCGCATCAGAGACCAAGTCGATTGCAAGAGTGTTCGTTTGACTCCGGTGCCCTACCTGCTATGGTTACTCTTGCTACGGAGACGGGATAGTCATTGATGAGTCGACATCGCCCCTTCCAGAAGAATGTGCCGGTTCGGGGGATACGTGCTTTCCCCAACACTGGACGGGTCATCCGAAGTCGGATGTTGCAGGATGGCGGGGTAGTCACGACCCCCACCCCCCACTAAAGATATTCCTTCGGTGGATTCGCCCCCGAACTATATAATCCAAAGGGCTCCAAGCCGATTTTTTTTCTTCTTTCTTTGCTTCGGTGATAGACATCAAATACGGAATGCATCTCGCGAACACCTAGTATCTGGCGAAGCTGCTGCATGGGGGCGAGGTCCGCTTCGATGTCCTCTGCAAAAGATTGGCTGGTGCCGTGCTTTCAAATCATTACACAGTAGACTTTACCTTAATTCTCAATCTTGAGGTTCATCGCTGGGTAGGGGACTTCAAGTGACGGGTGTGGTGTGCGTGTTGGTTCTCGCACAAGGTTGCCAAGATTTCACTAGGATAACGCAACAGCAACATACTCATTGAGTTCCATAGGTCATTGGTGTTAATGCCTAGCTGTGTCTGATCGAATCAAACTAACATGCAAATTTTTAGATATACTTCAACTCAGCAGTGGTGCCCTTCGGCGGACCTGTACCACACCCTCGCTAGCCTTGCAAACATCGCCGGTCGCACATCAAAACAAAATGTCTCCAGTCAAACACTGTGACGGGCGATAACACACCACGCGGGGCTTACCCTCCGAAAATTAGCTCGGTTGACAGCTTGCAAAAACTGAGTATTCTTTTTCTTGTACCAGGATCCGTGGTTTTCGTCTTGACCCGATCATTTCCACTACCGAAACTTGCCGTAACGTTTCAGACCACGATGAGGCGACTACGCCATCGAATCTTCCACCAATTCTCAAAAAATTCCCGCGATCAATGCAAGATCAGCCCCTTTAATTGCATCAGAGGGCTGACCGCCCATTGCACTATCGCCACTTTGCCATGCAGGGTCGCATTGATCTACACTCTTGGCGTGGTGTAGCACCCTTCCTTCAAGCCACACCCGCGCGTCTCGCCTCCACAAGACAAGGGTTCCACTCAAACGGTGAAGCGCTTCCGTAAATTCGGTAAAAATGCTGGACAAAACTGGGACACATCCCGGCGAACTCAGCTCGGAGACATTCCGATCTAGAGGTGGCATGTTTTACTGCACGGATCGGGACGGGGATGTTTGGAGAGTGAAGCTGAAGCAAACTTTGAGCAAGTGGATGTGTTTTTCTGTTTGCGGAACGTGGTCAGAGTTGGGCGACAGTGATAAATTCCTTACGTTCTTCGAGTGATGGTTGAGATCTAGCGATACTAAAGGATAGTGCTACCTGTATGCTTACTTACCCTCTCCTACTTTCGTTAATGTTCACCACTTTTCCATATATCTACTAAGTTGAAGACATTGTATGACCGGATCACTATGGACAAGCAGAGTGTCATCCCCGCTGAACAACGCCTCGATAGCTTCAATATCTACCGTACGCATTACAAAAAGATCCAAGACCACGAGATCGAGTTGGGCATCCTCATCCCAAAAGACCTCTCGCCAGGGTTGCATCCTGTCTTTGTTAGGTTCCACGGCGGGGGATGCGTACGTACAACTTCTCCATAGTGCTCAATAAGCGCCTATGCTGACGATACAGAAGGTGTCCGGGACATGGGCGTACCCAAACTGGTTTGCAAACTGGCTCATCCCACTCGTCCACAATAGCAACGCCATCGTTGTATCCCCAAATTATCGCCTTCTTCCGGAGCACAACGGAGACGACATTCAGGAAGATCTCGCCGACTTTTGGACATGGTATACTTTTCTGAATGATTCCTCACCTAGAGGGTCCTGCTGACGTACTTCCAGGTTCAAGGACGGTGGCGTGACGAAATATCTCTCCAGCAGAGCTGGTCCGTATGCAGCCATTCAGCTAGACTACACGCGCATCCTCGCGGGCGGCGATTCAGCAGGTGGCTACCTCGCCATCCAATCTGGGCTGACCCAGCCTAGAGGTACATTGTGCGCCATAATTGGGTGCTACCCCATGACGAACTACTTGCGACGGAAGCAAGAAGCCATATTCATGGAAGAGCCGTCGCCGCCCGAGTCTATCATCGATGTAAGCTCCTCTGTCTCTTGCTGTCCCGTTACGACATTTGAAGCTCTTCCCTGCGCTACCCGCCTACCCTGTCGCATTCTCCGATACCCACATTAACTAGTCTGCGAAGGAGCACTTGAAGACCGTAGAGACCGGCACCATCATCTCAGGCGCCCCGCCCCGTCCCCGTAATCGCCTATCCTACGCCCTCTCTGCCTACGGCCGCTATACCCACTTTTTCGGCACCGGGTCCCACCTGTGGCCCATTTCCTTACTCGACTCTGGCGCAGCCACATATATTCCGCCCACGATCATCATTCACGGTGACGAGGACAAAGCAGTCAGCATTGATGACTCGAGGCTCTTCGTGAAAAGGGCTGCAGAAGTTGTAAGGGAGGGAGAGGTGAGGTTGGTAGAGATAGAAGGAGTGGATCATGGGTTTGATATGGAAGCTAGTGAAAAACAGGAGTGGGTTAGGGGCGTGGTGAAGTGGGTTGAGGAGAGATGGGTGGGTCGAGGGGTGATTTGACGCGAGCTGGTGAAGGCGTTCGAGGCGCAAGGTTAGGGAAATAGGATTTTTTCGGAGTAAGATCGGGTAGAGCAACTGTGAAGTAACGGCCAGAGCACAATTACCGTTGGAGAGTGTCACAAGACTCGCGCACCACTCGCTGCAACATTGACTTGAGGTCAAAAGCGGCCATGGTCAAACTTAACACTCTTCGGGTCCATGGGATATACATTGCTGGGTACATGCTGGTCTAGGATCAATGTTTTCCTGCATGTAAATTATAATTTTGTGTGAGTGACAAGGACAGAGGTACAAAGTCGGCTAGCTATCCGATGTGTAACCTACATATCGCATTGTGCGACGACCATCCCAGTACAAAGTGGCAATAGATTGGCCTAGATCTCGAAGCTTGCGGCGCTGCGGGCTTCTCCGATACTCCCGGTGAAGACTGAATGACAGCATGCGCTAGCATGTGTTGTCGAGGTATTGGACCCAAGGTGGTGTGCGCTTCGCTTAAATGGAAAATTCTTCTGGTCACAAGTTATGCCGCATGAGACCCTGGTTCGCGATTAACTCCGTATATAGGGTGGTATTGCACTTTCAAAGGAGCGCGTGCTTCTTGTCAGTATTTTTGCTACAGATGATATATTAATTTTCACAGTCCATATTCATCAAAGCGCATTCGGGCTTGTGGTTTAGTGGTATAATTTTCCCTTAGCATTTGTGTGGTTTACTACAACATGAAGCGTGGGAAAGGTCCTGGGTTCGATTCCCAGCAAGTCCATTCCTTTTTACTCTTATCGAGGACAGCAAGACATTTACTTTTTGCCCCCTTGCGCTCTACAGACCGCAGCACTGTCCAGGACATGCATGCTCTTCTGTCTAAGCAAAGAACGTTACCAAGCTCCCAAGAACCGAGGTTCAGCATCAGAAATATAGGCATGACCTAACGGTCACTAGCCAACCTTGCGCTTTTGAGGCAAGTCAAGTATTTTGCCAGCAAAGATTGCTCGCCCGTGGGTTTCCACTCGTCAGCTTGCTCAAAGGACGAAGAATGGTAATATGCATTCTCTCGCTTCGACGTGAATACTGGCAATACAGTATCACGATCAGGGCCTAAGTGCATGTGTGCGTAGTCGCTCAAGTCACTCTAGGGTAATTCTTAAGAATCCTAGAAACTAGAAACCTCACATCGCGTCTTCACGATTCCACGAGAGACATTTAGAAGGAATTCTCAGAATGCATTTCTGAGTTAGAAGAGTGCGAAAATAGGGTTGGACAGGTTTGACAGTTCACACACAACACATGCATGTACTTGAACTTCCACTTAGAGCATCTTGATACTCCACAGTACGACTGCGCGAAAAAAGATCAGACCACTTAAAATTACATTTTCGGTGCTCTCCACAAAGCCACCGGCTTGGCAGACATCCGCAGTTCAAGCAAGGATGCAGCTTGACAAAGTCCACGTTTCGAACCTTGCATCTATGCGTGGACTGGCTTGGCAGTCTGAGGACAGCACGTGGTGTGTGTGGGCCACCCCTCAGGCACATGCGTAACGATGACATGACAGCACGACGAGGTGATACAAGTGACAAGTTGGTGACGGTGAGGCAGCAAGACGAACGAGGTATTGATGTGTTTCATAGAATGATCAATGCGGACGGTGCGCATGGTAGTAATGTTCATGTAACGAGCGTCAGGAGACCGGGGGTATTCTAAAAGCCGAAAGGACGCGAGCTATGCTACATGGAGGGCCAATAAGGAAGGTATGCTCTTTCAATCATCAGTGTGTAAAACAAGAGGAAACGAAGGTAGGAGAACGGTTGCGCTGCTCTAAATCTGTTGGGTATTGCGGACGGTGACCCGCGGAATGCTTCCTGCACCATCGTCTCCAGGCAACTCGAGAATTAGACATAAAACGCCAAAATAAACTCATTACATCCTTCATTGCAAGAACTCGTACTGCTCGCTATGGTTTTCGCTTGATACTGGGATTCCGAAGGGCAGTGCTGCCCGATTCATATGGGCCATCGTTGACGTTGATCCAGTTGGGCACAGTACTACTCCTTTTGCGGGAGTTCTGCCTTGTGACGCTTCCTCTCACCATGCGGCCGCCTACTTTACCGAAGCTGAGCACCTCGGGTCGGTCCAGATCGAATGGATCTGACTGCCGTACTCCTCTGCCGAACACGTTCGTCGCTGGTCTTGAAGGCCCAGGTTCGCCGAAAAAGAACGAGTCCTGGGACATGCGAGACACTGTGCTCGAAGTCGCATTGAATTGAGGAAGCGGTGCATAAGTGTTGGCCGGCTTTGACGGAGTGGGCGGCAGTGGGCGGGTCGGGGGAAGCGGTGGCGGGTCTGACGGGTCAAAGAAAGGATTCGACTGACGGTCGGTATAGATCGATGAGGCGTGGTACGTCACTGGGTTTGAGTGTAGCGCAGTTTGAGAGCTTGTCGTTCGTTTGTGCTGTTGGGCAGTCTCGCGAAGCCACTCCGGCGTACCGCTACCGTTTTGGGCGTCTATCTCATCAAGTATTGAGGCGAAAGGATCGCGTGGGTTCCTTTCCGATTTCGCAGCAGGCTTCGGTGCAAGAGGACCACTTTGTTGAGGTTGAGGGGAGGCAGGATCGGGGTTCAGCAGTTGGAGACTCTTGGGCGGATCTGGCGGGTCGGCAAAGGGGTTTACGCCAGCATTGCTGTTGCGAAGAACTGGATCATCCACAATGTTCGGGAAAGGAGAATTTTGGCCAACAACCAGGCTGTCTTGCTTCTTCTGGAGAAATGTTCGAGACCTCTTCAGAGTAGGCATCCGACCGAATCCTCCAAATCCACGAAGCTGTTGTCGGAACTTCGAGGGGGGCTCGCTGATTGATTGACTCCTTCGGGCTGTTCCGACTGAATAGACTGAGCTGGCATTCCGAGTGTGTTTGCGGTATGGATTTGATGCAGGTCCGGACTTGTCACCTTTCAATCTCGCAACGAACACTCGTAGCCCTGCTGGTATGCCTCTTATCTTCTCGGGAATCGCGCGTATTTTGGCAGATAACCCTCCCTCTTCTCTTTCCCGTTTCTCACTCAGACGTTGTTGCCATTTCTCAAAGGTACCATCGTTCCTTCTCCTCAAGCACAAGAACAGCAGCGCACTGACAAGAGCAAGACCTACGAAGCCGCCCACTACGCCACCTGCAATAGGAGCCACATTTGTTGAGCCATTCAACGGAAGCGTCAAGCTGCCGCCTCCATCAGTCGTTCCAGTGTCGGGCGCTATAACACCTGCGGATCCACCTGTTGGAATGCCTGTGTCGGTGGGCTGCGATAGTACGGGCTGGGTATCGGGCGACGGGTCTTCGGGCAGTACCGATTGTACAGGCGCAGAGGATGAAGCCACTGGTACTGGAAAGTCAGACAGTGTAGAAGACGCAGCAGGTACATCCACCAATATAGATCTTGTCGTTGATACAGCTGCAGGATTTGAGTCAGAGCTTGCTGGTGCTGGGGTGGCTGATGGTGTTGGTGTAGAGTTGACAGCGGTCTCAACCGACGGTGTCTCAACGACATCAGGTACAGGTGCCGGGACTGCAGCTGCGGGTGCCTGTGGCGAGATGTTCGCGAGAAGCGAAGATTGCGCTGCTACAGAGGAGACTGCGCTACTCGTACCTATCGCCGTAGAGACCGCTTCGGTTGATGTGGCCTGCCCTGTTGTGTCGGTGGAAGTAGACGACGCCGGAGGTGGAGGTGAAGGCGCTTCGGCTATCGAGCTGCTTTGTATCGATTGCACATTCTGAGTGCTCGTCGAAGTCGATTCAATGATAGAAGTAGTGGTCGAGGTAAGGGTCGATGTGGCTGTTCGGGCTCGCGAGCGCGTACATCGCCGCCCGCTTACCGTCGTTATAGTCTGTGATGGAGTGGCCATGCAGAAGATGCACTCATAGAAAAAGAAGCGCCGCTAAAGGCTCGAGAGAAGGGAAGGAAGGAAAAGATCAAAGCGCCGCTGGCGCTTCGAGCATGTTAAACGTGTAAACGGGGGAAATTGAGGTTTCTGCGGGTTGATGCTAGAGAACAGAGACACAGAGAGAGATGCCAGTAGTGGCCGGGAGAGCGGTCGGCATGGCTGGCAACCGTTGGCATGAGGTGGAGCGCTTGGGATACTCTGAAGCTGCTCCCGTTTCAGGTGCCGCTTTGGGTCGTGATTCTCACACATTTGAAGCGCAGGAGGCTTCGACAGTCAAGAGATAGCGGCACAACCGTCTCAGCCTGTCAGGCACGAGAGGGCGGGGGCATATGCTAGCAGGCATCGCGTGGTTCGCGCGACGCGGATGTGAGCAGGTCATAATAGGATTGAGGATGTGTGGAGGATCCGAGGCCGATGCTAAGGCACGTGATCTTGTCGTGTTTCACTGTGAACACTCTGCACCTTAGGCATGCAACTGCAGGCACTTCTGAATGAAGCCTATGGCGAGAAGTGGCTCTACAGTTGACTCTGAAAGAGGCCATACCGTGGGACCCTCATCAACAACCTATCGCGGCATCCTGGATATACAGTAAACGCGCGCAAACAAGGATGCCACGTACCCGCTGCTTCGCACAAATATAGGCTAAATCTGCGTCCGAATGGAATGTGCTATTCTGCGCAATGACGAGTGGTGGCTCCTATGAGGAAGCTGAAGCAAAGACTGTCTCCACAGCGGAGACGCTCGAGCGGCGGCCATGATTGATGGGGAACAGAAGCGAACGCCCATGGTGCCGATGTTCGTTTCCTACACTTCTGTTCCCACCGCCAGCCAATTGCCGGACAATTACTCTCTGCCCGCGAGCCCACCGCCATGTTTCAATTCAGTGGTACGTTGCTTCTCCCTGACTGCCCTCAGCGCTTGCTATGCGCCGCGGCATCCACGTCCCCACCACCTGCGGAAGCCACGACCTAGCATGGTTAGCCGCCAGCCTCTTATACCCATCTCCCCAAGCCCTCCACTGCGTCCCTCCAGCACGATATGGCCCCTTGCCAGTCCTCTGCTTCGCTTGGTCCGCGTGTTTCGTGCGATGGGTTGGCAAAACACGTTTCGCCTTGTGCGCTACGCGGGGCACGTGCAGTAGCATCGCTGATTGTGGTTCACCCCTCTAGGCGGCCTTCTCGCAGGTCAACACGACAACGAGAAAGAAAGATCGCCACCAGCACGGCCAATACCTGTGACTTTCCCGTCTTTGCGTCCACCTGAACCCTCGCTGTCGGCACCCCCCCGAACCTGGATCGGTGACTCGGGCCCTGGTGTTGCCGCCCACTTCCTCGGATTAAAAAAGCCAGCTGATGTCAACGTGGACACCTTGGCCATACTGAACGTATCGTTTCAACCAGAGTGCGATTTTGAAACGCTCTTGGAATCTATTTCGAACGATGCAGAATCATATCTTCCACCCAGGTCTTGGTTCGTGGCACCTGATCAAAACACTGCGAAACCAAGCGAACCCGCCACCAAACTCCTTTGCAACGGCAGGAAGGTTCCAGATCACAGCGAGTTCTATGTCCGCGCAAAAGAGATTACTTATAGCAACCAGGATGCATTTGCTAACCTCACGCGAAAGCCAATGGGTGAGAAGGTACCACTACGTCTGGCCCACTTTCGAAAGTTCTGGGAAGGCCTTGACAACATGGCCTACTACTGGGATAACTCTCTTGATGAATATCTTCCTTCAAAAGTGACAGAGAATAATGACAATACCGGCGATTTGAATGTTTCGGACGAAATGGGGAATGCGAATAACTCAAGTTTGCCTCTGTCGGTGTCTCCAGTTGAGGAAGAACCCCGAAAGAAGGTGAAAACAGAACCGGCTATGAATGCGACAGCAACTATGCCCATTGGTCCAGCAGCCTCGAGCAATACCACATTGCCTAATGGCTCTCCCATGTCAGCAAGTAGAGCAATACCAGCCAATGCAGCCCCACCAAAAGCTCCCTGGGAGGTGAACGCAGTAGCTATATCTGAGAGACCTGCTGATCTGAGCAAGGGGTCTTATAAGGGCTACCGTATCGGTAATGGCGCGGAGATGCCCGACCCGTACCGACTCGAGACTGTACGTGCTTTCATGGAACCTATTACCTGGGCGTTTGGAGTTACGTTGGTACCACACCGCCGTCCTCCGGTGCTATTGCTGGAGCATGTGCGTTTCCCTGTTCGCGTGAGTACAGTCGCATGGCGTGGCCCTCAGGATCGAATCCGCGCGCGTCAAGGATGGATGGAAGGCCCCGTCCTTGGTGTGCAATGTAGAGCAGAAACCGGGTTCGGTTCAAGCGGGGACTTGCAAGCCGAATCCATCCTGGATACTGTCCGCGAGCTAGGTGGACTACTTTTGCTCGCTCAGGAAAGGGCAAGGGAGGGGAAGACCGAGAAAAGGAGCGGTGAAGGCAAGTGGTGGACGATGAGGCATCGCTGGGGAGGCGGCCCAGGTGGGGAAGTGGGCGAAGGCAAGGGTGCAAGTGACGCGCCAGCTCCAGACCAAGTGCCCAAGGCAGACCAAAGCATGGCTGGAAGGTCCCGCGACGGGTCCAAGATTCGGCGGAAACCGACACCAGCAGAAATCTGGAAGACCCTGAAACCTGGGAATCCACTGTGGGATCCAAAGGTGGTCTATGAAGCGGTCGGCAAAGATCGTAAATCCGCTTGGGATGATGTAGGTCCTTGTGAGGGAGAGCTTGTTGACCAGGTTGCTGACCACCCCCTAGGTCTTTTTAGTGTCGTCATTGAACCATCATATCAGCGTTCTGAAGCTACGGGTGCATCCAGACTACCTTCGATTCTTGGCCGACGGCACTCTCCCTCAGAACCAAGCTGATCTGGCATGGTCTTCACCAAAGCTGCAGAGGACTCGATGGTTTGATTTGTTCAACATTGATGATCGCACAGAAGCCATGCGGGGTATCTGGGGCATCATGAATTACCTCATGCGAGCTCAAGATGAGCAAGATGTACCCATGGCGGATACCTGAATATATTTGATCTGTCTAGATATGCCAAGCGAAGGTATGAAGGGCAGAAAATCGTCTCCTCGTCCTTGACTCGCCCCGACGACTGTGTCTTTGGTTGACATGGCAGGAATTGGGATGGATCGTAATCCTACATGCGATAGACCAATCAGAGATACATTCACACGGTGTGCGAACATGCACATAGATGCGTGGTTGATCAGCGACCGTATGCCAGCTCTACTTATGAAATTCAGGTTGATATGCTCTCCCAGTGACTTGCATAACGCGGCACGGCACGGCACGGCCGTCCTACCGAGCCGGTTTACCAGTAAAGCGGCGAAAGCTTTCCGAGCCTTGGCTTGTACGACTGGACCAGCGTCACACGGTAGGGATATATCAATCTATCAACTCCTGCAAAACCTCCGGGAATATGTACCATGGTGATAGAACCACCGCTGTGTGATGCTCGATCGACTGACTTTGAAAAAAGGTTTACTATTTAGCTGTCAGAAGTACCCGCCGGATGCTTCCCAGGCGGATCAAGACAGACTCCCAACGCTGTCGACATCTTATCACTGCTCTGCTCTGCGCACACTCTTTTATCACACGGCAGCATTGTATGGTGCGCGACGGAGGTGGTGTCCGAGATCAGAAAGCTAATTGGTACAGCCCACGTCTCACTTGTCTTACTTGCGCACATGTGAGCCACTTCTCGAACATAGCCTGCCGCTTTTGCCTTTCCAATCAACTGAGCCGACGGAATCGAGATGCCCAACCATACACAGCTCTCACCAATGCGCAACCGAGGCTTCGGATAGCGCGTGCTAGACAGGCGACGCGCGGAGGTAGTGTCACTGATCTGTCAATCAATCGAAGAGGATTCTAGACAGGACAAACAGGAACATCGCACTAGCTTGAACTGTCCAGGTCTGGCTTCACGATCCTGAAGCATTTTGGTCGTCTCGAGCCAAAGGCATGTCCAGCCTAGACAGGGTGACAGCATACCACGTTGCTCAGCACGAAGAGGCTAGCAGTTGGGGCAGAATGCTGCCGAAGTCTTACAGTCACTGAACTGCAACCCTAAGGGTGGCGTCGAGGGCGTCGAAACAAGATTTCCTCGGGAGGCTAGATGACTCGAACTAATTTGCTCTCAGCTGTGTCTCGCAAAACGGTCGCTCTGCGTTGCGCCTTGAATGCCTAAGACTAGGGGCCGCAGGTGCGACCATTCACCCAGGACCAGGTATGGGGATTAGGCTACCTGAAGTTATGTACCTTTTCACGTCAAGTCCCGCTGATGCTACGTGGATAACGATAGACCTTTCCGATAACGGACCGTTTGTCTGAATCTGCGACTTAAAGCAACAAGAGACCCCACATTAACCCTCAAGGAAGCGGCAGCATGCCTTACGGCTTAATGATGCCTATAGAGGCGATTGCCAAGGATCAGGTCTCTGATGTTCCTCTAAAGACGCCTCTTCACGTTGGAGTAACCGTGGCTTCGAGGCTACGACGGAGGGAGAGGCGGTCAAAATTTTGACTCGGCCGCATCACAGGTGGCCCTAGGCATCTTTTTCATATCATATATAAAGCTTGCAGTTGCGTAAATACAATCGCAAAATTCTTGCAGCACATCGTGAGTTTCTTTCACAGGAACGACCCTTTTTGTTTTTACAGTACTCACATCTACTTTTGTCTGTTTGTCCTCATCTCCGATACTCCCACGATTCGGGTACTACTACATATCCCTCCATTCTTTAGCGATCCACCCATCCCACGATATCACGTTGGTACAGCACAATTTCTTCGCCGAAAAATCGTCCTCACGGCAGGTTGAATTGGCAAGCATTTGCCTATTTACCTAAGAAGGAGGGTACTTCATCAAACGCTCAGAATCAAGCAGTTGCGTCAAGTCCTCCTCCTCTGACAACAGCACCTGGAAATATGGTCGGCCATCTCTTCGCAACAATCCTAATCTTCCTTCCACTGGTATACGCCACGGAAAAGCTTGACAAGACAGTGAATCAAGACCTCGTCTCACGTCTCAAGCTTGCAGCCACTGTCTACGATAGACACCAGATACTCGCCAAAGACGAAGACTGGATCTACGACTTCAACTCCGCGCAGCCAACCGACTCCTACAAACCAGGGAGCGTCAAGAACGCCAATGCAGCGACCTTTCCTGCTATGGTTGGCCATGGCATGACCGTTGCCCAACTCAATCTTGGTCCTTGTGCCATGCTGCCGGTCCACTATCATCCTCGCGCAACGAACATGGTGATTGCCATCACGGGCAACACTACAACGTGGATGGTCAATGAGAATGGTGTGAGAACTGTTTCGACGACGCTAACGCCAGGGAAAATGACAATCTTCCCTTTGGGCAGCATCCACTGCATGCAGAACAACGGTGCGTTACATCCCAGGACCGGGGCCTATGTCGATTGTCAACTCTAATGACGTTAATAAGGCTGCGATGACGCGTATCTCATCAGCGCGCTCAACTCCGAGGACACCGGCACGATGAACATCGCTGGCGGTCTGTGGAGTATACGTGATGATATGATACGGGCTGCCTTTGGCAATCCCGCCATGGACGTCCAAACCACGGGTAAGAATATTCCGGAGGTGGGCACCGGCTCTACCTACGGCAGTGACGAGTGTATGAAGAGGTGCGGCATGAGCAAGGGGAAGACTTGATTAGGTGTATCATCGGTGTTGGTGGCGACAATATTCGACGTGATTTTGGTCATTGGGTGACATTCGTTCACTTCTGGTGGCGTTACTGTGCAATCTGGCGTCTGGATCGGCATTCCAATGAGGGGTGGACCTCAAAGAAAAGGCACATATAACAAGTTGTGATCTTGTGCTGTTTGTTCATTCTCCGGTTACGCTTCTGAGTATATTGCCTGACGTGCCAGCGGTGCTGCTTCACTGATTTGATGGAAGCATGCTCGCGATGGCGGACGCTAAGTACTTGCGCGCTCACGCAACGTGGCTTTGAGTCTCTCGATGTGCTCTTCCAGCGTACTGTTTGTCTTGACGTTGCTAATCACCACGGTTTTGTCTCTGCTCTTCAAGCCTTTGACGATGTTCACGTCGGATTTTGGTACTTCGAGAGCCTCGTATATGTTAGGTATACATCGAGCGCAAGTCTCTCAGCAGCTGCTTGCCTCCGCTAAGACCTCTATGACTGCTTTGTTTGCCTCTCCTTCCTTCGCGCGCGCTGCAACACACACGTCGATACCATTCTCGGATATCCCCGAGACACCTTCTCTGTTTGCGCTGACGCCCGGTTTTACTCGGCAAAGTAGCTGAATAGAGCCGGTGGATGTCTTTGATCCTTTGGTGGTAACGAAGCGGACAGCTGGGGACAGCATGGGTAAGCGGTTCGGTGAGCGGTGAAAGAGGAAGGTCAGCGGACTTGTCTGGGCAGACTGTGTGGGGAGGAGATTGCTCGGCGATGAACCGGCAGCACACAATTATCTGATTGACACGATGAAATTAGGGCAAGGCTGTGCCGATCGCAACCGCGGAGCACGAGCCACATGCGAGATAAGACCAGAGCTGGGGAATCTTGAGCAATCTGCTCGTATTGAAGATCAACCGCTTTGCATCTATGTAGTCTGTGAAGATCGCTACCCGAGCAGACTCTCAATCCTTCCATCTCCATGTTTCATGGTGCTTCCACCGCCGATGGCGGCCACAGCCATAGGCCACTCCTCGGCGCCCAACCTCGGTTCAGCCGCATGAAGGCACTAGCGGGGCCGTCAGATAAACCGCCGTCTACACCTGTACTTAGGGGAAATTCCGACCTCACGACTTCCCCTAAGTACAGGTCTTCGCGACGAGAAGAGATTTCAGAGGATACACTTACCTAAGAGATGGCGCAGCCCACAGCGATAAAAGGCGCGTGGTGCGCCCTTTCGCACCACTCTGTCACACGCGCCATTTTCCCATCTCTCACTCTTTCCCAATTCGATCCGCGAGCCGTTTGGTATACATAGCCGAAAAGGGTGTGGTTGCAATAATTGCGTTGCCTCATTGCGCATATACATACGTAGGCGAACACGAGGTATACAAAGTCCGGAGTAGGTGAATGCCTTGTTTTCCATGCCGGTGTCGCAGATGGAGTCCACTCCATCTGCTGATTCCTTTGTCCCAACCGCGATCGTAAAGTTTCTCGACTTTCAACACACAGCGCTAACATGCACGTGAAGCTCTCATACACCAACATGACGTCCGCACCGCAGATACAGCCCAAATTCCTCCCTAACCGCCACGACTTGGGTGTTGTGGCGGTCGGCTTCAGCGGCGGCCAGGTGAGCAGCGCGGTCTCCTTACTTCGCAGCTGCAGCTAACGCAGGATAGCCGAAAGCCGGCGTCGACGCAGCCCCTCAAGCTCTCATCCAACATGGCCTAATCCAGCAATTGGAGGATGAGCTCGAGTTCAAAGTCAGCTTCGATGGCGAGGTGCACGACTATTCTAAATTCATGCCCGCGGAGGACCCAGACTACCGAGGAATGAAGAAGCCCAAATTCGTCAGCGCCACCACACAAGCAGTCAGCGAGCAGGTTTACAACCATGCCAAGAGCGGTAAGCTCGTTCTTACCCTCGGAGGCGACCATTCCATTGCCATAGGCACTGTTTCTGGAACAGCAAGAGCAATCCGGGAACGCCTCGACAAGGAAATCGCAGTCATCTGGGTTGATGCACACGCGGATATCAACACGCCCGAGACGTCGGACAGCGGAAACATTCACGGCATGCCTGTAGCATTCTTGACGGGCCTCGCAAAGGAAGAGAGAGAGGACACATTCGGGTGGCTCAAGGAGCACCACCGATTGAGCACGAAGAAGATCGTGTACATCGGCTTGAGGGACGTGGACAGGGGCGAGAAGAAGATTCTGAAGGAGCATGGCATCAAGGCGTTCTCGATGCACGACATTGACCGGTAAGCTCAGAAGAACCCCTGTACTACGAAAGGGTTTTAGTAATTCGAGAACGCAGGCACGGTATCGGCAAGGTCATGGACATGGCTCTGGGCTGGATTGGCAGTGATACGCCCATCCACCTGTCATTCGATGTGGATGCGCTGGACCCGATGTGGGCGCCGAGCACGGGCACGCCTGTGCGAGGAGGCTTGACCCTGCGCGAGGGAGACTTCATTGCTGAGTGCGTGGCTGAGACGGGCTCTTTGGTCGCTCTCGATCTCGTTGAGGTCAATCCGAGTCTGGACGAGCAAGGTGCGAGCGATACCGTTAGGGCCGGTTGCAGCATTGTTCGATGCGCACTCGGTGATACTCTTTTGTAGAGTGCTGCCTATGTCAGGGAGATGTTCAACGTTGGAAGTCGGTGTTTGGCATAGACATTCTTTCCAGCAAGGCGATACCTAGGGCAGCCAATAGTCAGTTGCCCCACCCTCGGGGCTTGGACACGAACATGAATCGGAAGCAATGCTTATTCAAGGGCTCTCTTTGAAAGTAATCACACTTACGAGGAGGCATCTGACCTGCTAGTGCTCCAGTGTGCTTATACAGCCCAAGGAGCAATCCTCGCTGCAGCCAATTGGCTTTCACCTTTGGTAGGGCGTCGGAAGGAACCCCCACTGCATTCCGAAAGAGCGGAACTCCTTCCCATCTCACTCTGCAACGAGCGATGGTTAGCTCCATTGATCAGCTTGGACGCAGCAATTATGTGTGAACGGCGCTCGCAGGCGTTTGCGCCGGCCATATGCACCGAACCTCACCGGTGTTACGCTGTCGCGATGCGTACGTCATTTTCGCGCCTTCCGCAACGCTCCGCCGTGGCAGGCCGGCGAAAATGATGAAAATGAAGCAGCTCCACCTCAGCGTCGCAGCGCTTATAGATAAGAAGAGATCCCTTGGTTGAGCATAATCGCGCCTTTAATCGCATCAACACCATGCAGCCATCTGCGCGCCTAGCGCAGCTGCCCTCCGAACTACGACTGCTATCTCGGAACTCCGTGCGGACAGCGAGGCCGTTGTCCTCAATAAGCCACCAACTGTTCGTCGCACAAGCCGTCGCTGGCTCACGCCTTCGATGTGGCGGCATCTTGCAGCAGAGGAGAGCCATGACTATAAGTCAATTGGACTCTGGCCGAGATGGTGAGTGACCGTACGAACGATTACAAGGCGCAATGGCTCTCTTGCAGAGGTTTCTAAGGCTGATCGCGTTTCAAACAGAGCGCGAACGAGTCGTCATACTGGGTAGCGGGTGGGCCGGATACACGGTTGCACGAGGGCTCGACCCCAAGAAGTACCAGGCCGTCGTTGTGTCGCCGCGATCGTACTTTGCATTCACGCCTTTGCTTGCCTCTACATCGGTGGGAACTCTTGAATTTCGAACCGCGATGGAGCCAATACGCACCAGGAGGACACACGTCGACTTCTTCCAAGGGTGGGCAGACCAGGTTGACTTCAAGAACAAGAAGATCACAATTGAAGAGGCAGTGGAAGAACGGGCGCAATCCACGGCTGGGGTAGAGGAAAGAGATGCTGGGGAGTCGAAAGAGCACAGACATGAGAGGAGAGAGGTGGAAGTGCAGAAAGGCAAACTGTTCGATCTCACTTACGACAAGTTGATCGTTACTGTGGGCTGTTACAGCCAGACGTTTGGCACGCCTGGAGTGAAGGAGCATGCGTGAGTCATCTCAACACTGGTTGATGTCAGAGCTGACCGGTTACCAGGATGTTCCTGAAAGACGTAGGCGATGCACGCAAGATCCGGAACCGCATTCTGGCATGCTTCGAAACCGCAGCTTTACCGACAACTACCGATGAGCAGCGCAAGCAACTTCTAAATTTTGCTATCGTTGGCGGAGGGCCCACCGGCATTGAGTTCTCCGCCGAGCTACATGATATCATCACGGAAGACCTGGCACGCATCTATCCTGAATTAGTTAAGTTCTCCAAAATCACGGTATACGATGTCGCAAAGAAGGTACTCCCCATGTTCGACGAGAAGCTAGCCCAATACGCCATGGATACCTTCGCACGTGAAGGTATCGATATCAAAACAGATCACCATGTGGAAGAACTGCGCCCAGGCGCTCCTGACGAGAATGTCTCTTCGAAAGATGACCACTTGGTGTACACTCTTAAGGTCAAAGAAGGAGGCGCTCTCGGCGTCGGTATGGTGGTCTGGAGTATGTTTTAGTCTCGAGGCAGCACGGAATTCTGCTAATTAGAACCCAGGCACCGGACTGATGCAGAACCCATTTGTAGCCAACGCGCTCAGCCACGTTCACGAGATCCCCAACGACTTCAGACGACTCGAAGGGCCATCCAACGATCCCGGAAACCTCCACTGGTGTGTAAAGATCGACGAGAAGACAGGCTCGGTGGTGACCGACACACGCCTTCGTTTGAAACTTGTCGCCGATACCAAAGAAGACACCAAGCCAGAGGCCATTCTGGACGATGTTTTCGTCCTCGGCGATTGTGCCATCATGGAAGGAACCCAATATCCTGCAACGGCACAAGTTGCCGCCCAAAAAGCTAGCTGGTTGGCTAAGCGCCTCAACAAAGGTGATATCGAGAAGACGAGCGGCTTCGCATGGAGGAACATGGGCGTGATGGCGTACATAGGCAATTGGAATGCACTGCTTCAGGGCGGCGGAAACACCGGTGGTATTTCTGGACGACTTGCGTGGATCGTTTGGCGTGGAGCATACCTCACCAAGAGCGTGAGCTGGAGGAACAAAATCCTAATTCCTGTCTATTGGTAAGTGCGTTAGGTTGCTCGAAGAAACTTTGCCGACAGGGTCTAGGGCGATCAATTGGCTGTTTGGGCGGGACGTTAGTCGCTTCTAGTAAGTTTGATCGATTAATAGAGAATGGTGCAGCTAGATTTGGCATCTTGAGCGTTATAGAGACCGGGTGAGTGGCTAGAAGGAGTATTTATGTAAGATCTTGTATGTATCTTCATGTACATGTCTTGATCGGTGTCTACCTTTAAGAGATACTATTGCTTAAAGCACGTCTTTGGAGTCATCATGAAAACAGCGAAGACTTCCCTTTCGAGGAATTCCTGAGTCGACTTTTCGGATATTTAGGCGAGGTGTTTTCACGCGCCGCGAAAAAAGGTGGATGGACGTTCTTGTCTGGCTGCACAACCCTTTCATCTGGCGCCTCGTCACTGGAAGATCGTAGGGTTGAGTCTTTTCTCATTCAAGCGAATACGAGGCTGGCGCCCTACGCCGCCGCATTGGCAACAACAGGCTGCCAATCATACACACGAACCTGTGTGGCACGCACTCGGCCCAAGACCAGGAAGATAAACGAAGAGTTCAGCTCGTAGCCTTGCGATTCGTATTGATGGCTAGGCAGCGCATATGCATCTACTTTCGCGACAACCTCACCGGATCATCCGTATACAAGCTTCTGGGTATTCCATGTTTATTGGAGATCGAAACGCTGTCACGATGTATGCCGCATTATTGGGGATATCCGTATTGTTGGGGCAGTTGGCAGCAGCTCTGCAGTTACACCAGCCTCGTGCCACGTCTGTCAACCAGCTTTTTCCTGCAGAGGGATGGACACCCAAACCGACTTCTGCACCGAAATCACCACTAGAGCTACTCCGAAGACAGGATGATCCTGGGCTGTGCGGGTATCTTGAAGGAGACCCAGGTTCGCCGATCATCCTCGCCAGTATCTCCAGCGGCGAAAAAGCTGACCCAGCACAGAATACCCTCTCTACTGCGACCCCGGCTGGAACTGCATGTACGACGATGAATATGCATGGTTTGGATGCTGTACCGGCACTGCAATCACGGACTGCGATGTGTACACTGCTTGTGTGAACAGCAAATCCATCGATGAATGCCTCTCCAGCTCGGAATGCTATGACAATGCTTTAGTTACGGGCTGGTGCGTCACCCACTTTTATCCCTCACGCAAATGAAACGACTGACAGAGGCCAGTGTCGAGGATTACGCGCCCTACTGCGCAACGCTGTACAGTGTCATCTCCGGCAGCACCTATGGCCACTATGGGTGCGCGAACAGGAAGACGAGCTACGAAGTCATGTTTACAGTCAGTGGAGAGGATGAGAGCTCGTTTGAGCTGGAGACGGAGACGGATATAGCGTCTTTCACCGGTTTGTCTTTGAGTAGGTCGGGTGCTGCGTCTACCAGTGAAGAGAGCGGTTCTATGAGTACGGAGACAGGGTCGAGCAGCACGGAGATGGTACAGACGACTGGGAGCGAGACGAATCTAAAGACGACTATAAGTGAGACGAGTGCAGGGACGACAGGAGTGGCGCCGACGTTTCTGCAGAGTGGGGTTCCAGGCACGACGGCTTCCTCTGGGAGAGCCGAGATGACGGCTGGAATGGACATCGGGATAGCAGGGTTGGTTGGTGTTCTTGGGCTGTTACTATGACGAGGAGATGACTGGTGAGGCAGGTCCGACATGCCTTACATGATCAAAGTTTGAAGGGTGCTCACCTAGAATTCTGAGTGCCTTGAGTCACGCCAGATCACACTTTGCAATGACCGAGGGACTTGAGATTTCGGTGTCATGTATTTTGAGTGTTCTCCCTGCCTGCTGGTCTAATTACGGACACAGGACAGGGAAGCCGCAATCTTGAGCATACCTCCCAAGTTGACCCTGTGTCACCTTCGCTCGATCTTCTTCACCTCTCGACATCGTTAGTCTGCTATTGTTAGCGCAACATCAATTGTACGCTATTCCTATCGCTATCAACAAGATGCACACAAGCTTCAATATCGTTGCCGCCCTCCTGTTTGCGCACGCAAACTCCGGCCTAAGCAGCTATCCACCATGCGGAGACACGAACTGTCTGGATTAGGAATCGATGCCATCAGGTGAGCATGCCACCCTGTGATATCATGGTCTGGAATGACTAACAACCTTAGCCACTTCTGTCATTGGAGAGATCCTCAACCACATGTCGCCAACGACGGTCAAAGTCGAGACAGCTACGAAGACCATTGCTGCGATGGCTCCCGAAGCCCCGGCGGCTAGTATGCATGCCTCTGTCGCCACTGACTTCTCAGCCTCCTTCACCGGCGACGTCACAGCAAACTACGAAGAAGCAGGATGGGCCAACATTACGATTCTCGACGACGCAGGATTCTGGTATAACCAAGGCTGTTTTGTCAGCGAGTCTAGCAACAAGTCAGCCATGGGTGACATCCTACATGTCAGCTCGAAACTCGTAAGTTCTGTCTTTGACATCATATACGGTTTCCTGACAGTATATTAGGTGCGATGGAGCGACAAGATGGACGTCCGGCTCTGCCGCCAGCACTGCGCCTACTACGCCCCTGACGAGGGCCATGAGTATTTCGGCATCGCTAATGGCCAAGAGTGCTATTGTGGGAACTTCATCTCTAATCATGTAAGTGAAGAGCAACAACGCAGGCTCGTGGGTCGTACAAATCCAGGTACCCAGCACTGCATGGAGGATCGCACAACAGAAGTCCTAGATATTTGATATATGGTACTGATTACGCACTCCACAGGCGCGTCGAGTCGATCAATCGAACTGTCACTTATGGTGTCCCCCGCGTGAAGACAGGGGAGACGATAAGTTTCTCTGCGGTGGGAAGGGAAGGTACGTCGACAAGATGGATCACAGGATTGCGTCGAGCTAACATGAGCAGCATGATTGTATACGGGAGACGCAAATGGAACATGGCACTGCAAACCTCCGAAGATAGCGAGCCTGGGTACCGACCTCCGCGTCCCCATATTCAGAGCAGCCCCGCGCGTCGCAATGAGTGGCGTGATCACGTTGGTTTGAGCCATCTGTTGTATTGGATGTCTCCTGGATCAATTATTGCGTTCTTCATTCAGTGGTGGTGGTCTTGCGGTCATCCCTTTTGTTGGGTGTGGTCCGCTTCGCTGAAAGGATTTCTTGGATCATGGGTGATAGCAGGCATTATTGGGATGCTCTCAATGGTATTTTACTGGGGCTGTGTGTCCGCTACACGCCCTCCAGACCTTATACTCCAGCGTGCAGCGTTTGCTGAGCGTGCCCACCGGATTGGTGCGCCCATCCCTGGCCCGGATTTCATTCACTGAGAGGAGCTCGGTTCTTATTGATAGATAAAAACCACTGAAGCACTTCCATTAGAGCTCCTTTTTATATGAACGCAAGTATCGCCGATACAGTGTTGAACCCTCATAGCAACCCAAGTCACCTCGAGTTGGACTATCGAGGACTCGGCAAGGCCTCATTTCATAGCTGATTTTGAAAATGCCACGAGGGGGTCCCTGTGCCATGGTCTCCAGATCCGAGACACATATGGCCAGGCCAAAGTTCTGAACACCCTGTCTTATCCAAGGAGCAATACAGTACCCGAACATCTGGACCAGCAGTTCAGCTCTGCAGCCCTCACGGTTGGTATCCTAGTTGACAGACCGTGCCTTCCATAGTGCAGTAGGGCATCTGGATCGGCTCCGCACCAATGCCCCTCGCCACAAGTCTTTCTCTCATCTCGCTCAATCTCGGTGCAGCGTCGATCTGGCTTCTATTCCTCCCCATTGAATCCTTGGCGCCACTCCAGAGGATCTCCGCAACAGCCGACCCCCGCGGCCAGATCATGCGGTCGACGTTGGTGGGGTCTGTCTGCTCGGCCCACATGTGTGCCTCGCCACCGATGACGAGGTGTTGGGCGTCTGCGGGCACGCCTCCGAGTGGGTCGTACGAATAGGCGAGGCGCCAGTTATGGAAGGGCGCGCAGTAGTCTTCGTAGGGGTAGTATTGGGCGCTCACGGAGGGGTCGAAGTTAAGCCACTGTCCTTTGCCGCAGTCGAGATACTGGGGTGGGTTAGTGATGTGGAGTGCTTGCGTGCGAGCGTGGGGAGACTCTTTTGACCAGATGTAGGGAATACACTGGCCGGATGTACTCAGGCTATGGGAGTGTAACGTGAATGGTAAATAAGATTGTTTCTCACCCAGTACTTGTAGTTTCCTACAAGCGCCTTATGGCCTTTTGCTACGATCTGCGCAACTGCCTCGTCGCTCTGCCACGACTGGACGATCACATCGGAGCCAAGAGTAAGGTTCCAGTCCAGCAGCATTTCTTCCCATACAACGGGAGTCAAGCCTGCAGCGCGTATTTGGTCGTGGTTTCTGTCGATAAACTTTTGCATAAACGGTTGTAAGATAGTGGAGTCGTTTGAGTTGACGGTATCGTCTTTCAAGTACGAATTCTTGTTCACTTCGTCGCCGCCCGTATGGAAATACGAGGAGAAGGGCAGTATGCGTGGGAGCAGGTCGTCAAAGAGCTTCTTGAGAAAATCCTCGACTTTGGTTGAGTTGAGCTTCAGTGTGCCGCATGGTGGCTCCGCGCAATATGTATCCCAGTCTGGCTGTATGTTGTAGGCTGCTATGAGCTCTGGGTGGCTCAACGCGATGGAAGAGGTATGACCCGGCATGTCGATTTCGGTGATGAGCTCCACGCCCTGAATCGAGGCATAATATTGAAGATTCGCAAAGTCGTCTGTAGTGTACACTAGATCTGGCCTGTAAGCACCCTTCGCTGAGAGCTCGGGAAGCGCGGGAATCTCGAGAGGCCAGGACTGTGCATCTGTGATGTGCAAATGAAAGCGGTTCATCTTATTGTACGCCACTGCATCAATGGTACGTTCGATGTCCTTGACAGAGAAATAGTTTCTCGAGACGTCGAGGTTTATGCCGCGATGCTGGAATACAGGTATATCGAAAATGATCACAGGAGCCAGTGGCGTGTATGCACCGCCGTCAGAATGCTTATAGAACAGCTGCGTGAACGTCACCAACCCCCTGACGATCCCCAAGCTGGAATTTGCTGTGATGCTGACGTTGCCGCCTTCACTCAACTCAAGTGCATATGACTCATCAACAGTGCCGGCGAGGGGCTTTGCAATGTCTCCAGGGTCATCTTGGAGAACTTCCACGCGGACGTTGGAGATATAGGTGCGATTCTCTGTGCTCGGTTCTGTCCAGTTCCTAGGGTGGAACTTCCAAGGTACAAAATTCTTCTTGAAGAGTGTTTGCTTCGCAGAATATATCGCCTGATCGATCATCTCGTCCCCTGTTGGCGCTTCGCTGTAGCGCTTCAGCCGTGTGCGGTCCCCTTCATACTGTGTGGTTGCGTATGCGTTAGAGTTTGTTCTGAAGTCGAGATCGTAATTCGGCTGAACTTTGAGAGTGCCTACATCGCCTGCGCCAGCCCAGTCAAATGATGTGTCTTTGGAAATCCACAAGACGGTTTCCCCGTGCGTATATGAGGTAGGTATTGGCCATATTGCCGATGCTAGAGATGTAAAAAGAGGAAATAGTAAGAGAGTAATCATCGTTCAGTGACACTGCAAAGAGAAACACGAACAAGCAGGAGGAAAACTTTTAGAAGTCTTGCAAGCGGGCTTTTACGGGGAATAGAGGGGACGCGTCAAGCGCGTGAGGGGCAGGACTGGAATGTCGGACTAGCGCAGGCATGTACAGCACTTTCCCCGGGCCAATGCTTTTGTATCTCTGTAGGTAGATTGTTTGTATTCGAGCGTCGCAAGTGTATCGAGCAGGTCGTTGCCCCAGCCTGTGGTTGGCTGCTAAGCTTATGGCCAGCTTCCGGCGGACTTCTGACGTAGTGATACTGCAGCGTCGGAAAGGTTACATGTAAAGAGCATACGGCTAAAGGTGCTCTAATGACGACTTTGACAATGTAGCGAGGACAGGATGCAGCGTTCGTTGGATAGTCGAACGTTGAGCTTCCAGTAGTGTCATATGAGTCAGCAGATCTTGGCGAGTGATCCTAATTTTGCATTGCAAGAGCTGCGATCTTCTCATATCTGCTACCATCTACGTCCATCTACCAAAAGGTTGATCTTGTCGATTCTGCCTGATTTGGCCGACGGGAGTCGGAGGCGTGTTCATCCGCATGTTCTCCACCCTCTTCCCATGCCACGACGATTCCCCGCATTCTGTCAGGGGTGCTTTGCAATTAGCCAGTCAATGCCGTTGCAAACAAGCGCCCAATACCCGTTTGGGCTTCGCCCATAACATACGCCGAGGTGTGCGTCGTGCGCATATGATAGTTGCTCAAGAGCACCACCAGTTTGCGTTGGCATCAACGGCTTCGCGTGCCCGACTATTCCGTCCCGCCTTTAGTGCTACCTCAGAGATCATCCCAAGACCACCTATTTCATCAAGCGGTGCAGCCTCCGAGCAATCAGTGACTGTGCGCATCCCGAGTGTCCCGCACTAACGAACAAGTGCTAGGTGCATCCCAGTCAAGCAGGTGCCTCGGTTCCTTTGTTCTCACCTCACTGTCCTCTTTTAACTTGTGCATTCCTACAGTGGAGTGAATACCAGGACCCCAACCGGTCTCTGACCATAACTCACCATGTTTGAATACCACGGAACCACCATCACGACGCCGCAACTGCTTGGCGGCCTTCTCATTCTCTTTATTGGCTACAGAGTCGTTGCCAGGTTCTCCTACGATGCGAAGCTTCGCAAGCTGGGTGCGCGAGCACCTATTCGCAGGACATGGCTTCCCTTGGAACTCGATCTGGCCTACAAGATCGTGAAAGCTGCAATCGACGACAAGATGTATGAGTTCTGGCTGAACACTTTCCAGACTTACTCTCGTAACGGCTGCTACACAATCGAAACTGGAATAGGCGAGCGGGTAGTTATGACGGCTGATCCTGAGAACATCAAAGCGATCCTGGCCACTCAATTCAAGGAATATGGCAAGGGAGAGCAGTTTCACGCGGACTGGGATGATTTTCTTGGAGATGGTGGGTATCCGAAAGTAAGGGGAGCGGCCGACCGAAAGCTAACGAGTACTAGGTATCTTCAATACTGATGGACAACTCTGGCACAACTCGCGACAGTTGATTCGCCCGCAGTTCATCAAAGACAGATTGAGCGATATTGAGATCTTCGAAGAGCATGTGCAGAAGCTCATGGTCAAGTTGGGCCAAGGGGAAGTGGACATGATGGACATGTTCTTCAGGTTTACTCTTGACGCCGCCACTCACTTCTTGCTCGGTAGCGACATCGGCAGCATCGACCAACCTCAGACAGCTTTCGCTGATGCCTTCACCCGAGTTCAACACATCCAGAGCTTGATAGCAAGAGTCGGGTAAGTAAAGCTGGCTTTAGTTGCTCCAGATACCGCTGACCTCGCCCTTGTAGTCCCTTGAACAAGTTCATACCCCGCAAGCGTATGGGCTTCTACTCCTCCCTCAATGTCTTGGACAACTTTGTGAACATGTACATTGAAAAAGCACTCGCTCTCTCCCCTAGCGAGCTTGAGGAAAAGAGCAAGCACGACTCTGGTTACACGTTTCTGCATGCGATTGCTGGGTACACACGCGACAGGAAAGTGTTGCGCGACCAGCTGGTCTCTATTTTGCTTGCTGGTCGCGATACTACGGCTTGCACCTTGACCTGGGTCATCTATGAGTTGTCTCGCCAACCTCACATAATCGCAAAGCTACGCCAGGAGATCATCGATACAGTGGGCTTGGACCGACAGCCGTCTTACCAGGACCTGAAGGATATGAAGTACCTTGGACACATCATCAACGAAGCTCTACGTCTCTACCCAGTTGTTCCGTACAACGTTCGCTTTTCACTTCAGGATACTACACTACCAGTTGGTGGAGGACCCGACGGCACTCAGCCCATCGCCGTGCCGAAGAACACACCCATCGGCTACTCGACACTAATCATGCAGCGTCGTCCTGATTTGTACCCGCCCCCGGAGACGGGCTTTCCTGCTGTGGATAAATTTGTTCCCGAACGATGGGACAGCTGGACTCCGAAAAGCTGGACATACGTGCCGTTCAATGGTGGGCCGAGGATCTGCATTGGGCAGCAGTTTGCTCTTACAGAGATGGGATACACGATTGTCAGACTGTTCCAGAGATTTGAGACGGTGGAAAATCTGATGGGAGATGAAGTTGCAGGGATGCATGCTGATATTGTGCTGCAGCCGTCGAACAAGATCAAGGTGCTATTTAAGTAGAATGACCATGAATGGAAGATGAAAAGTTGGCCTACAATGCTGCTGGTGTCGAGTTGATGATGTTTGGATATCTCTATCCTAGAGAATATAGGGTGCTTTCCGAAGACCGATTTCGGACTTGTAATCATAATCGTACAGCTGTGCTCACTTCCGCTTCAATTTTGGACTTAGTGTTTCATTACGTCAACGTCAACATCACCTCGGAACGGTTCCGCCAGTCGGAAGCTGCACCTTGAGCTTTGAATGTCGATTGCATCCCAAGAGACAGTCATCACTACACAACACCATGCCTTTCCTTCAAATCGGGTATAAGAAGATCCATTATACGGATCTAAAGCCTGAAAGTAGCGATGCTCGCGAAACGTTTGTCTTCATTCACGGCCTGGGCTCATCGCAGGACTACTACCATGCGGTCGCATCAGGTCTACAAGCTCACAACTTCCGCTGTATCACCTTTGACACCACCGGCGCGGGAAGATCCCCCTATACGCAGATTGAACAAAGCATCCAAAGCCTCTCCGATGACGTTATCGGCATATTGGACGCGCTCGGGGTGTCAAAAGCTATAGTGGTAGGCCATTCAATGGGGGGGTAAGTCAGTCCACAACTCCGTATAATTCATACATCTTACTCGTTCCTAGTATTGTCGGAGCTCACCTCGCCGCCGAGCGCAACGATCGCGTTGTGGCCGCCGTCCTCATCGGTCCTGTATACCCGAATCCAGCAGTTGTTCCCGTCTTCGAGAAACGAATACAAACGGTGGAGAAAGAAGGCATGGAACCCATGGCGAACACGATACCGAACGCCGCAGTTGGAAAGCAGGCGTCGCCACTCGCGAAGGGCTTCATCCGCGAGCTGCTCCTGGGGCAAGACCCAGCGGGGTACTGTTCCAACTGCCGGGTCATTATCAACGCGAAGCCACCTGCCTACGAAAAGATCGCTATCCCAATACTCATCCTAGCGGGCGAGGAGGATAAATCCGCACCACTGGAAGGCTGCCAGAAAATGTTCAACGAGATCGGTACTGGCGAGAAGAAGCTGGAGGTCATGAAGGGCATAGGGCACTGGCATGCGCTTGAAGCGTTTGAACAGGTGGGGCAGCACATCTTGTCATTCTACCACGACATTCAGTGAGGTTCAGATTTGGTGGGACGTGTAACAAGCACATGTCCTTGAGCCCACGAGCGACTGGCAGTTCCGCACGGACATGCAGAGGTCGCAGTAGCTCCTCGTGATGGCCACTGGTGGCGGTATTGGATGGTCACTGGCGCCCCTGCATCTGTACAGCTGCATTAGACAGCTTGGCGTGCTCTCGCACTATCGCCACAGTTTCCGCGCAGGCAAGCAGAAGGCAAGGGTCGTTCGCTCTATTATTGCTTTAGCCTCTCACAGCCCTCACTCTCGATTAAGGTTGTTGCGCAATACGCACGCCCTCGATGTCATCCTCTTCGTATGAGCTACACCCGTGATTGCGTATTTCCGAAGCCGTGGCACCTGGGCCCCATTGCGCCTGGCGTAGCATCTGGAGTCAGTGGTACTCGCACCCAAGTCCTCTAGGGCCTTGCGACTCGCTTCAACATGCCGGTCGATGCCCGGTGACTTGGCCCGACATCGCTACGCGCCGTGATTCGGTCCATCCCGCTGTCCGTGCGTTTGCGGTGTGAGGGTGTGGGCGGGAAACGAGGCTGCACATCGTTATTCGCACGCCCCTCACTCACAGGGTGCATCACCAGCCCAGCCAAATGATGCTCGTTCCTGATCCTGGGGCCTGGCTTCCGCCCCCATAGCAAGCATGTGAAAATCGACATCATACTCAGCCCCTCTGTGCTCCCTCAGGCATGCAGCCCTCTTGACATATGAAGGCTTTCAGTCGTTGCCCGCTTTCAGTTCACGCGTTCTTTCATCGTCTTTTCCGCTGCGGGTCCGCTAACCTGTTGTGTTTCCGAAGCGGATCCCAGCCCTCTCACATCTGAGGCGGTGAACTGCAGAGCGTCTAAACCCACCAGTCACTGTTCCTAGTCCAACGCTGCCGTCACGCATCGCCCGCCTAGTGACCTGGGCCTAGCCGCGCCCTCCACTGAACTAGGGGATCATCGTCTGTGCTATCCGAGGCTTTTCCATTTATACTGTGTTGAGGCACCTCCGACGCAGACCGCACTTTGCGCGCCATTGCTGCTGCTGGGTCCAGCGCTTTGAAATCTTCTTGCTCATTGTGTGCGCAGAGCAACGCTTCGCCTTTCTTTCTTCTTGTTCACGAACCTTTGTTCCATTGTCAGACGAGTCCCATTTCCACGGTTGTCCCAAGGTTCGCGCCCTAGTGTACCAGCTAGACTGGAATCCCCTTTACCGTGACATGGCACTGACGAGTGGTTCAGAACATGCTCCCCACATTCCAATAACGATTTCTTTGGCTGTTTTGATCTGCTGCCTTTCCTCCTTGGCTGGACTTTCCTTCCCTTTTCGGCCCATCTGTCGCCACCATGGACCGGACAGACAGTGCCTTCCACGAAACCTTTCGCGTGGTACCATCCGATACTGCACCAAACACGACTCGCAAAAGCAAGACTGCCTCTGGAGACCAGGAATATCGCCATAAATTCGGCAGCTTCCATCTCAAAAATCAAAACTCTACTACACACCCGGCCCCAGAGAGACCGAATGCTACCCCTCGAAGATCCACAGAACCACGCCGCAAATCCATCACAACAACCTCATCGAACTCCACAAAATCCCGTCGACGCGGCCATGGCTCCGCCCCCTCCTCCCGTCGGACATCTTGCACCGTCATCGACCCTTCCAGACCAACACGCCACTACCGAATCAACAGCTCCCAGACATGTCCTACCCTCAACCGCGACATCGACGACGTGCTCGCACTTCATTTCCGGTCCTGCAGCTTGTTCCAGAATTCCACATATCAACCGAGTCTCCCAAGCCCCACCATGTCCGCATATGGCCCAAGCGTAACCGCGGAGATTGGCGCCACACCAGGGCCCCAAACGCAAGCGAGCACGCGCGAGTCGGGGTCGCCGGTGCAGGATGAGAAAACAGGGCCTACGACCGATATTGGAGAAGATACGATTATGCACTGGATGTCACCCTCGACGCGTAAGATTCAGTACGCCAAGATTGATCGGGCGAACACTGGGATCAGGGGCCTTTTGCGGAGATTCATACCGCGATGCGTATCTGGGCCGGGATCGCAGCGTTTCTATGAGGAGGAGAAGTCGGATGCGGGATCTGTCCGTCGGTATCGGATGGATCTGTCGGGCGAGGAGGAGGAGGAGGAGGAGGAGGAGGAGGACCTGAAGAGCACGTCGGGCCTGAAGATGCAGCGGCGGAAGCTGGCGAGGTCGACGACGCAAAGGGGTGAGACTGGGAAGAAGGTTTTTGGATGCTTCTAAGGCGGAGGACGATGACGATTCACGGCCTTGACATTTTGCGCTGCATGATACCCATGGTATGTTTTCTTTGTTTGGGGAGCTTGCATGATACCTTGATGGTTTGTTTGAATGTTTAATACTAGATACGTGAGCGCGTCGTTACATAGCAATGAGAGCATTGACGTTAGTTGGAATCATCCATTTTAAGGGGCCTTATGGCATTCTGCGCTTCACGAGGAGGGCTAGATATGTGGTCGAAATAGCCTCGAGGGCCTTACAATTCGAGTATGTACATACGAATACTTGTCCAATATGCCACACCATCACGGATAGACACTCAGTGTGCTTTGTCCATGCACCCTCTGTCTGTTGAGGAGTAAGCCGGCGTTTTGCCTGGAAGCGTACGCATTGAGCTGCTGCTTTTCCCTTTCGATATGTCGCAACATCGTTCCTCCGGTAGGCTCATAGCTTCGCTTCCTCTTTGAGCGTTCCGACCTTGAGCTTCTCTCCATACTTTTTCAATACGCTCTCGTTGTGGTACTGCGATCCAGTTAGCCTCTACCCGCTGCCGATAGCTTGCTGGCAGCATACCTTCCAGAACTGCTTGCTGGCATCCTTTCCACCAACCCTCTTCAATATCTTTGCGCCACCGGGATGCTCGTCAACAAAGCTCTCCAGCGCGTAAACACCGCCATCGATTATGATGTACAGGCCCTTGTCGACATCTTTGTGCTCGGCCACCTGCTTTGCGGTGAAGGACTCCGACATCGTGGGTACTAGCGGGACTGGTAGCGGTCGGGTATTGGATGCGGGTTGCTGGGTGTCGCGGTAGACTTCAGGGTCAGATCGCGCAAAAGCAGACGCAGAGGAAAGACGTATAAATATGGTTGGAGTGGAGAATGCGGGGACGGGAAGGAGATTATGGGATTGAATCGCGAACGGCCTGTTCGGTGGTGATGGCAGACGCCGTTCTACCTCGGCTTAATGGTAAGTTGACTTTCGGCGGAGTCGTGATTGGTCGGCGTGCGGCAGGGTGCACGTGCCGTATCGTTAGCTTCGGAGAGAGATGCTCTAGTCTGGCAACACCAGCTCTCCCAACGGCACCTCAACAGTGATTATGCGCCTGCAACGGTATTCTTGATCATCTATCTCAAGGCAAATCTAATCATGGGCATGCCCGGCAGGACTTGAAGGCTCCTTTGGGCGATGTAAGCCATTTTGCTACAATGATACAGCACATGCGTCTTTTTGATACAGTTCTCCCACGTTGCTAATGCGCAGGTGTCTGCCCCTTCTGCACCGCCGTCGACTGTATTGCATCACCATAGCACGCTATGGACCTTGTACGATGCTGGGTCGTTTGACCTGTTGAATACCTCAACAAGGATTGCCCGAACCTGATATTCGAAGAACCAGCCTGGGGTTACAAGACACTACTTTCGCTTTCTACCGCCAATTGCAGATTTCACTCGTTGAGTATACCATGGTTCTATCGAAGGGTATACATCAGATGTACTCACCGTTAACACGGTGGTTAATATGACAGAGAGCGTCAGCGGAGTCGGCTTCGTAACAAGGACTCTGGCGGCCCCGACCGCAAATGACGTTCACAAGTTGCGGCAATCTCTCGGTTCAAAGATCCACGTCGCTGGCGGCTGATGTTGCACTTCATTTCTGTGCAGAGCGCGAAGAAGCGTATGGCACGTTCAAATTGCAAATATGCCTTCGACCTCATCGCCCGCTCTAGTTCCCATGCACACTGCAGCCATCAGCCGAGGACCTGAGTTCAAGCCTCTATAGTATGCCATTTTACAAAGGAACAAAGCAGCCAGAAGCACCCTACGGATCTTGGGCCTAGATTCTGAAGTCTGCAGTGTTGCGCGACCTTTAGAGATACGAATTTAGTATGTGTGAAGACAACGTAGTGCATATCCCAGCCCAGGAACTCAAAAGTATAGCCACGTACCAACATCTAGCGAATATGGTGCGGCCTACCTCGCAACGCGCCCACTCCGCTGACAGCGCGCGTGCAGCGCGCCATCCAGCTTGGTCCTCCCCATGATGTCATGCGCGAACTTCCAAGGTCGCACAGCAACACCATCCACGGCCTCGCCGCAGCGCATGTCCGTATATTGTCCACTCGCTGCCCGCATTGCGCACTCGCTTCAGCCTTGTCACGATTAACGACTAACGATCCAATACAATACCTAATTATTACGAACACACCCTACAAGACCCATATCCAATCACACACGAACCTGCCTGCCTACCTGCATCCTGCACCACCACCTCCGCTCAGATATCCTACATACCACTAAGCGTGCATTGAATCTCTGGAGGAAACATGTGTCTCTTCACCACCAAACCAACCCGCACATACCACGACTCGGTCGTCGACCCGCCGCGCCACTCGTCCCGCTACTCGGCGCACACCGCAGGCCGGATGAGCATGCCTGCGAACAAGCGCTCGAGCTATCGGCGGTCGACAGAGTACGTTCTCTCGCCCGTCCCCGCTTCCTTCCTATCATCGTAGGAAGCAAGAATTGACACGTGAAAAAGGTACGTCGACTATGAAATCGAGCCGCGGCGCAGCAGCCGGGTCATTGAGTATGTGGAGCCGGCGGGGGCAAGAAGGAGTAGAAGCGTGGTTAGGGAGCGGGATGTGGATTACTACCGGGGGAGCAGGGGGAGTCTGGGGGAGAGGGATGTGGTGAGAAGGAGTGTGAGCCGGGTGCGGTATTAGAGATGGTGCGATTGGGGTTGGCGTTGAGTGGTGGATAAGGACGCACGGGCACCGAAAATATTGGAGTGAGGAGGGAGCTTTGGAAGGTGCTCTTGACGAAGATGGAAATTGCATAGTCATCCATCGTGTGTGGGACGCAAAATTGCATAGCATGGCGTGCGGCAGTCGCGTGCACTTCGATTAAGTGGGATCTACCACATCTACAAAGCGCTCCAGATATCTTCCCGAATCGTCTTCCTACTTCAACTGCGTGGGCTCCTTCACCTCCTCCTCCGCAACCTCCTTGTCGTCCGTGAACAACGTCTCCTGCGCAGACCACAGCTCCGAATACAAACCTGCACGATCGACCAGCTGCTCGTGCGTCCCGCTCTCTGCTACGCTGCCCTCTTTGAGACAAATGATGAGATCGGAGTCGTATATGGTGCGTAAGCGATGCGCGACGAAGACGGATGTGCGCTTCTTTTCTTTGAGGATGGAGTTTATGTGCGAGAGGAGGGCTTGCTCGGTGTGTGTGTCTAGCGCTGAGGTCTGTGAATAGTATTAGTTTAGGCTGAAAGAAGAGAAGTGCGAGGAGAACGAACCGCTTCGTCAAAGAACAGCAGAGGCGGGTCCTTGAGAATAAGCCGCGACACCGCAAGCCGCTGCTTCTCGCCGCCAGAAATCATCATACCCCGCTCGCCCACCATGGTGTTGTACCCATCCGGAAAATTGGCGATGGTGTCGTGCACGTGAGCGCGCCGCGCCGCTTCCATGACCTGCGCATCCGTCGCCTCCAGGTTCCCGTACTTGATGTTGTGCCCGATGGTATCATTGAAGAGCGGCGTGTCCTGGGGCACCACACCGATGGCCTTGCGCAGGCTCTCCAGGCTGACGTCGCGGATGTCCTGCCCGTCGATGAGAATGCGACCCTCCTGCACGTCGTAGTAGCGGAACAGCAGGCGGAGGATGGTGGATTTTCCGCAGCCGCTGGGACCGACGATGGCGACCTTCTTGCCCGCGGGGATGGTCAGATTGAGGTTCTTGAGAATGGGGCGGTCGGGTCGGTAGCCGAAGGTGACGTTTTCGAATTTGAGCTCGCCCGAGCTGAGGAGGAGGGGCTTCGCGTTGGGCTTGTCTGTAACCTTAAGCTCAACCTTTTGGAGGTTGAAGAGGGTCTCCATGTCGAGGAGGCTCTGCCTTAGCTCGCGGTAGACGGAGCCGAGGAAGTTGAGCGGGACGGAGAGCTGGAAAACGAGCTGGTTGACCATGACAAGGTCGCCGACGGTCAGGCTGCCGTTCGCTACGCCGTCTGCAGCGAGATACATCATGGCGGTCAAGGCGCTGGAGAAGATCAAGTTTTGGCCGGAGTTGAGGAGGGCGAGGGAAGTAGCGACCTTGATGGAAGCCTTTTCGTAGCCGAGAAGCGCGTTGTTGTATTTTGCGACTTCGTACTTCTCGTTGTTGAAGTATTTGACGGCTTCGTAGTTGATGAGGGAGTCGACTGCGACGGTTGCTGCTTTGTTGTCTGCGGCGTTGGCTTGCTTGCGGAACTTTGTTCTCCAGGCGGTGGTCAGGATGGTAAAGGCCGTGTATGCGACCATGGTAGTGCCGGTAATGAAGGCAAATTTCGCACCATAGTTGTAAGTCTGATAGGGTGAGCGGAGACGTAGGGGAGATGAAGGGTCTACACACCAGAATTCCACAGACAAGAGAGATCTCCAAAGCAGTCGGCAGCACATGAAAGACCATGGACGTCAGCAAGAAGCTGATACCCTTGGTTCCACGATCAATGGCTCGGGTCAAGCCACCAGTCTGTCGCGACAGATGGAAACTCTGATCCAGCCTGAGCAGATGTTCGTAGACCTTGCAAGCAACCGACCTGATGGCTTTCTGGGCGACACTGGCGAAGACTGCATTGCGCACTTCTTGGAACATGGTCGCGCCGATCCGGGTCGCACCGTCTGCATGCTTTAGTCACTGAGACATGGCGTGCAGGTGTCATGCTTACAGGCTACAATCATGCTTCCAGCGACTGTCCAAGCCGTGCCCCCCAATGCAGCGAAGTCAATGTTCATTGAGTCGACAATGCTCTTGAAGTAGAAGGGCACCTGGACGTTGAGCACTTTGGCGCCCACCAGCAGCGCCACGCTCAAGCCCACGCGGAACCTTGTGCCCATGTTGTCCTTGGGCCACAGGTAATGCGACATCTCCTTGATGATGGCCCAGTCTGCCTTGCGCTGCTCCTTGTTGGTCACCGTCTGCTCGGCCAGCAAGGTGGTCGGCTGCGCAGGCTGGGCTGCTTTGGTCTTGTGTACCGCAGCCTTGGAGCCTGGGGCGGGAGCTCCCTGGGGGGAGGCTGTCCGCTGGCCATGGACATGCTTTCTGTGGAGGGCGCTCGAGGGGAAGACGCGTGCGGAGAGGTAGGCGTGCTGCGGGCGGAGGTGGTGGAGGGACGGCCGGCAGGCGGCGCGGGCAAGCGGAGGTATCAGCATGGCGACTTCACATGCTCAGCCGTCCGCAGCTGGAGGCGAGGGAAGCAGGCATTCGCGTGCGTCGGGACGTGCAGGCGAGCCTCGAAGCAACTGGGGCGAGGAGAGCTCCCGCGCGTGCGTCGGCGGCGGGACGTTGCGAGCTGCATGGCGTCAGAGCTTGAGCGCCTAGCGTGCGTGCTTGCAACGCGCGCAGGCCGACGCCGAAGACTGCAACGGCGCCTGCACCACGACCAGCGCCCGTCACCAGGCCCGCCATGCCCCGTCCAGCAGCAACCCCCTGGGCGACTCTCGTCCGGGGCACCGCCCAGCGCCGTGCCCGGCCGACGCCTGCTGCGCGGCACATCAACATCACCGCCGCCAGTTCCTCGACCGAGCCGGCGCCCGACCACCCAGGCTCAGTGAGCCCGGCTGCCGCGCCGTCGCTCTCGCCAGGTACGCCGCATGCCAATTGACCGTGGGCCGAGCTGACAGCAGCAGATGCGCGCTTCGAGGTGGTCGGCTCGCCGTTTTCGCTTCTTTCTGTCTCGCTCGCCGCCTCGCAGCAGCTCTATACCCGCCGTGGAACCCTCGTGGGCTTCAGCGGCAACCCCGAAAACGCCCTTTCGACCCTTTCCTTTCTCGAGCCCTTCAGGCGCGCCCCCGTGGGCATCCCCTTCCTCTACCAGAGGGTCTCCTCCACGAGCCCCGTCACGGCTCTCCTCTCCACCAAATCGCCCATATCCTCGATAGTAACAGTGCACCTCGATGGCAGGCAGGACTGGATCATATCGCAACGGCAAGCGCTGCTGGCGTGGACCGGCCAGACGCTGTCGCTGAAGCCGCAGTTCAATGCGAAGCTGGGCCTCGCGCACTGGGGAAACACATACATCACCGGGCGGGGCCTGCTTGCGCTTGCCGGCAGCGGGCAGATCTACCAGGTACAGCTCAAGGCTGGCGAGAGCTACGTGGCACACCCGAGCAACGTCGTCGCATACACAGCCTCGGCAACCCCGCCGCTGCCGTTCCGCTTCAAGTCGTCGAGCCTGCGCTTCCAGGTCCCCGATCTGGGCTTTGGTTCCCTGGCGCAGAATGTGCGCTTCTTCAGAGAGATGAGCAAGACGGCCGCATGGAGGGCGACTGCTTCCGTATACCACACTCTCAAAACATGGTTGCGGCGGTCAATATGGGGCGATCGGGTGCGTACTTTCTGTTTCATCAACGCAACGACGCTAACAATTACGCCCAGCTGTTCCTAAAGTTCGAAGGCCCCACCACAATGCTCATCTCCTCCCGCGCCTCGCGCATCAGCGATGCACTCACACTGAGAGACGTCAACGAGATCGCAGACAGCCCGCCTGGCGCCGTCCAGGACGCCGTTTCCAAGAAGATCGAGCAGGAAATCAAGGACATTGCCGACTCCAAGCCTGCGCCCATCGCCCACTCTGACAACACGGTAGTGCGGTACGCGACTATGCGCGCGGGGAAAGCCGAGTTCGACAAGCCGACTGAGAAGTCGACATGAATTCTAGGGCGAAAGACTGGGCGAGATGGCGAATCACCAGCACCAAGTTTGTAGCATACTGTACGTCTTTGTACCAATACCACCATCCTAGCGGATCTGCTGCCCTACTTACGTTTTCAAATGATGTGATGTTGTCCTTGAAAAGGATTGATGAGAGCCTAGTCAACGCCACTTCTTCTCTCGCTTTGCGGCCTCGAGGGCGATGATGCGTGCGAGATCGTCTACTTCATCTGTGTCGCCTGTATACGAAGGCATGCTCGTGTCTACCAGCTCTGGCGCCTTGCTGACGTAGGTCTGTCTCTGGTCACGGCTTGGCTTGCGGTTCGTCGCAATCGGCCTCTCATGCGACTTCATCTCCGCGCCAAACATCGGCTGCTTCTCAACCTTCCTCGCCTTTGCAATCGGCCGCTCCCCAGCCCTCCGCTTCTGCTCATTCGCCTTCCGCTCCCTTTCAACCTGCTCAAACTCCCCTGCGTCGATCCGATCCGGCCACACCATCTTAACCTTTGGCGGTCTCCCTTTCTTCTTCACACCACCATCGCCGTCCATCTGCAGCCTCTCCAGAACCCCAGGACTTCGTTTCCGCCTCCTCGGCTGGCCCCTCGCTTTTGGCAGCGCTCTCGGGCCCGGCCTCCCACCCGCTTTGTGTTTTCTGGGCAGCAACGCTTCGTACCCTCGCGAGGAGGCGCCCGAGCTGGCCGACGAGACCGATGCAGACGGCGAGGTGAAATCGACGTAGGCATCGCCGTCGCTATCCTCTCCTCCTACACTCCCCAACCGGCTCTGCACCACGCCCTTCCGCGCCCTGATCTTGCGGCGCCCCTTATCCTGGCCCTTCGCGCTGTGCTTCCTCTCCAAACTCTCTCTCCTCGCTTCCATCTCTTGCCCCATGCCCCCAACCCTATCCCTCTCCTCCACAGCCCCGACCTCCGTGTCCCGAAACGCGATGCGCACCTCGCACGGTGTGACGCTGAGGCTTTGCTTTCTCCCGTACTTGCGCGTCGTGGTGGTGTGCGCGTTGTCATGTTTGCAGGCGGAGCAGAGGCCCAAGGCTTTGTAGCGGCGCCGCATGCGGTGGGGGCACGCGGAGGGGTCGAGCGCGTAGGCTTTGGCGTGGGAGCAGCGCGGGTAGGTTACGTGCAGAAGCCAGGTGCAGCGGTGGCAGGTTGTGAGGAGGGCGTAGCACATTTCAGGGAGATCTGTTTGTCTTTGTGTTTGAGTATGGGTGAGGGCAAGATGAGAGGAAAGATGGAGACGGAGTACACCGTAGTGTACATGTGTAGATGTGAATTTGATGTGGTTTTGCGACATTGGCATGATATATACCGATGCGCTGTGCTGTGTTGACGTGGGCGAAGCATACAATCGGCTTGCGTTTTGTCGCGGGCAGACAGACAGACAACAGCCAAAGGTCTCGCAAGCATATACACGGGCAAGACAAATCCAAATACAAATTCCACCCGATGTCTAAGCCACTTCCCCGATGATAATCACCTATCCCGCCACGCGCGTACATGCCCTCGCTTCCCCACACTCGCCTTCTCCCTTTTCTTCCCCCAGACACCCACACTCTGCTTCGGCCGCTTCATGGCCTCCCTCAAACACCGCACCTCCCTCTCCAACACAGCGATCCGCTTGTCCGGCGTCCCAAGATGGTACCCCTGTATCGCCGCGCGCTCGAGCGCTATCTGCACCGGGGTCCGCTTTCTCGGTGTCGGTTTAGATGCTGGTGCGCTATGCAGACGTGTCTGGAGTTTGGAGGAAGCGTGCGTAGTGCTTGATGAGAGCTGGGGACCTTGAAGTAGATGTTGTGATACGTTGAAGGGAGGAGGGTTGAGCGGTGGAAGGCACAGACGTGGTATCTGTGCTGGCCGAGGCAAGTTGCCGGGTATGCGCGTGGACCGCGTTCTGTTGTAATTCTGGAGCAGTTTGAGGAGAGGTGTGGAATGTTCTACTTCACGCGGAGACATGGTTGAGGATGAGGGTGCTTTGGCAAGGTGGTGGTGTAGGCTTGAGGAGCGGATCGTGTGTAGCAATAGCCAGTGCTTCCTTGTGGGACGTAAGGGTGAATGGAGCTGGGAGATAAAGAACAATGTGGTCAGTTGCGAGACGAGACCCAGCATGCAGCGATAAGAATAGAAAACCATAACAATGTATTACCCAAGACGCCTATCCAAGCCATTCATCCAAAGGGGCACCTCTAAGCCGGGGTATACTCAAGTTGCCGTTTCAAAAGACAGCCATGTCGACATGCAAGCCCAAGTCATTCGTGATCCAACCTGCGACCGCCTCCTATCCTACAGAAAGAACAGTGCAGACCAGTCGTGCTCATAACGTGCGTAGATTCGTTTATCCAACAGTGATAAGAATGTGCAAGTCGAAAAGGCGACGAGGTTTGAGACTAGGAGGCTTCCGAGGCCTTCTGCTCGCCGTTGCTGAACATGGAGAAGCCGCCGAACCACGACGCGCGATTCGCGGCCTTGCGGGCTCGCTGCTCTTCTTCGCTGTTCTGCACGAGGCGGAGGGGACGCATCTGTTTGCCTGTCATGGTGCTGGTCATCTCGCGGCGTGGCGGGCTGGGGGTGTCGACGTGCGATGTCTCAGACACCGACTTCACGTCGTCCCTCTCGTCGTCCTTTGGTGGTGCGCCGGTCGATGGGACCCTTGAAGAGGGGTTGCTGTTGGCGGTACTGATGGGAATGCCGAAGAAAGAGTTCCGCGGCGAAACAAGGCCAGGCGATGTCTGGCCAGGGGTGGCTGCCGGTGGAGGCGCGCGGAACATGTTCGTCACGATGCTTCCAGGTGGAGGCATCTCTGATGTAGAGTGGCGGTGGTAGTTCTCGCTGCTAACGGTGCGCGATGTGCTGGCGCGCTGCAAGGGGATCCTCGGTGCGGTCTCAGGGTCTTCGTTGAGGTTGCTGCGCTGCGCGGTATAGCTCATGGGTCGGGGCTTGTTGCGGCTGCCACCCATGACGGATTTGGCGCGCTGGAGGAACCCGCCCTCCTCGCTCTCCTTAGGCGGGGGTGGTGGAGGAAGCTCCTTGTTCGTGTTCAACGCAGCGCCTCCTGCGTTCTCGTCCTCGTCACCGCCGAGTACGGATTCGAAGCCTTGGTGCTGAAGCAGCCGGCCGATGATCTTGTTGATGTAGAGGGTCAAGGCCTTGTTCTGGTCCTTGAGCCCGTTGATCTCATGCTCCAGCTTGCGGACCACCTCGCCCTCGGCGCCCTCGTCACCTTCGAGACCACCAAGCTCATCGGCAAGACTGTTCAGGGGCCCGTTGCGAGATGGTGCACGATCGGAATGTGCCGAAGACGGACGCAGCATGTCACCGCGGCTCAGGGTGCCGTTCAGCGTCTTCTCTCCGAGCAGCAGCTGAAAGCTCTCGTTGTCCTCGATCAGTCTGGCGTTTGCCATGCGGATGTCGACCATCTGCTTCTCTAGTTCGCGCAGGCGACCGCCACCAGCGTTGTCCATTTCCATCATCTTGATCTGGAACTCGGCGAGCTCGAGGCGCAGGCCCTCGATGATCTGGTCTTTCTGGTGTATAAGCTTGGAGTGGTTGCGCGAGTCGCTCCGCTGGACCGTGGACGGCGGCGCAAACGAGCTGGCTGTGTCGATGTTCTGCGAGGAGCTGTTGCGGGAGGGGTTCTGGCGGAAGCTTGCTGTGTGGCTGTCAGTAATCGGGATGTATCAGATAGACAGGGCAACTGCTCACAAGCTCGTGACAGCCTGCCTTCCTCGCCGTCGCTGCCCTCGACGTTCTTCTTGGCCATGGTCTCCTTCAAGCGCTGGATCGTTTCCTGCAGTTCTTCGACGCGGTTCTGGGCCTCTTCCTTGTCCTTCATGGCCTGCACGCGCTCGGCCTCGTAGATGCCCTCAAGCTCACGCTGGTGGCGTGCGAGCTTCTGCTTCTCAGCCTCGAGCGACTCGACCTTCTCTTCCTCTTCGTGGGCGCGCTCCTCGAGCTTGGCCTGCTCCTTGATCGCATCGTCCAGGCGCGCGTTGAGCACGTCGACCTGCTTCTGGCGCTCTTCGGCGTCGGTCTCGGCCTTCTGCAGGCGCTCCTTGAGGTCGGCCATGAAGACGGCCTGCTCCTCGCGGGCATCCTCGTCGTTGCCGTCGGCCTGCGAGGCGCTCATGCTGAGGTTCGAGGGGCCGCCGGGCTTTCTGACGGCTGCGCGCGCTGACACGGGCGAGCCATTTGTGCCCGAGCGGACGGAGCGCGTCCTCGTGACGCCGTTCGTGGTGCCGTTGGCGCTGGGGGTCGACCCGCGGCGGGCTGCGCTGGCGGGCGAACTCGAGACTTTGCTTGCTTGGTCGCGCCCAGGGGTTCCCGGCGGCGCTGGCTTTCGGGCGGTGGTGGCAGACATGCCGTGCGGTGTGTGGTGCGTGTGGCCGTGTGCTGCTGTGCGGTGAACCGGGGACTCGGCGCGGTTTTGATCGTCTCGCTGGGGGCCAAATATAGACGCTGTGCTGTCAAGTCGACGTTGACGGCCGATCCGTGGGCTGTGAGCTTGGCGGGCGTTGCAAGTGCGGAGTGTGAACGGGTGGCCGAGCTACGTTGAGCCGAGTGCGCAAGTGAGTGCTGTGGACGAGGAGGATCTTCGCCGATGTTTACAAGACAATGCATGCGGCACGAGCATTCGTTGGTTTCGCGGCATGTTTCGCATAAAAGCAGCCCTATTTGGGGTGCCCTGCAGCATTAGGGGGTCAGGGCGGGTTGCTCTGGTGCCATGGTCTAGTCCTCCGCTCCCTGGAAACCAGCCACCAGTCCGATGTGACCCTGCCGCTGCCGCCGCCAGCCTCTACCCTGCGGCTCAACGTTCACAACGGCCTTGTTACTCGTCTTTTTGCACCGCACGACACGTTCTCGACCCGCACCGCGACAAGCGTCACAGAGCGTGACGCTCGGCGTGCGTCCGTGCCTCTACTGTGCCAGCATCCAACATCAGCTCCCCACGCCTCAACTGCAGCAACAGGCAACTCGATGCCGCTGGAGTGGCAGGCCTTTTGACTGTGGCACGACTAAGCTTCCAAAGAGAGTCATTGTGCTTATACCGAGTAATATGACGTTTATCATGCGAAGAAACAAACCCGGAAGCCGCCGCGCTCTGTCAACGCTGCAATCCAACGACCGCAATCTCTCGAGTGGATTCATCGTTCAACTTTGACAACACAACGGCAATCGCTTTACCGTTGGGCAAGGATTGGTAGACAAAGTGACAGTATGGCGACGAGATTAAGGGCGTCCGTGCCCTCTATATAACAATTTCCACGGCTGGATTACGGTCACGTGTGCTCTGCTCGGCACTGACGCTCATGCTGTACACAAACAATGTCACGGACCGAATCTTTTGCTAGACCTCCTTGACAGCCGTTACAATCACACCAGGAAAGCTCACAACCCCATCTTCGTACTTACTCCACTCCTCCAACCCCTCAACAATCAGCTGCTTGTCGTCCTCTCCTAGCCCCGATTGTCGGACAATCTGCCCAAACCCCTTCACCAACCCAGACTTGACCTGTGGTCGCCACTGCATCTGCCCATGCATCGACACGTCTTTGAGCTGGCTGTGCGTGAATCCCGCACCTAGCACAAGAGACACCAGCTTGCGGCCAATGTACGGATCTGCACCCTTGCCTAGGCTCAGCGTCGGGAACGTCTCGAGCCACCTCTTCATGCCTGGATTTTCAGGATATGCGAAGAACAAGCCCATGTCACCCTCTTTGAGGGAGATGGTGCCATTAGGTTTGGCGGCTTTTCGCATCTGGCTTATGGCGGCGGGTTGGTCGCCCGTGTGCATGATGGCCTGTGAAGTCATCAGTATGAGAGCTCACATCTGACTGAGTGATATGTGCGCACTGCATGGCTGTATACCACATCACATCCACCATTCAATGCTTCAAATCCTTCGACGGTGACAAGCTTCTCCAGGTCGCAAGCATCGCCGTGCGCGTATCGAACATTGGTCGTTCCGGCCTTGTCTTTGGCTTCTTGTGCCAGCTGTGCTCGCCGTTAGTAGAGACTTGGACTATGTTGTATTGTTGTTCACCTTTATGGACTCCTCGTCAACGTCCATTCCAAGAACGGTAATGTGCGGGTACAGCTGCGCGATATCGAGCGTAATACCTCCTGGACCACAGCCAACTTCACATACAATTGAACCAGCCGGCAGTTGGTCGAGCATCGGCTTGAGGTGCGGAACGTCAGGAATCAACCTTCGGTTTTGCATCGCCCTACGCATCAGGTCTGAGCCAGAGGCGATGAACGCATTGTTGTCACGAGACATTGCGGAGGGGCTTGAATTCTTGCAGTAGATTTTGAAAAGAGCAATGTAAGTTAATGGTTCTGAAGATGATGCAATCCAAAACTCAGAGATTGCTTTCCGTATTATACCAGCGTTGCGCTCGTGTTCGCTGGTAACCCCCTTCGTAAAGGGCGGCTTCGCTTAGCTTGAAAGGCGCTGGCGGGCTCCTAGAGCGGAAGGGTTCATTGTGATCATCTTGGGACAGTTATGCGATTGCAACGCGTGTAACATGACAAGAAAGTGAGTCACTTAATATTATTACTATTGGACGCGCCTATGGCTATGGGAGCACATGTAGCCCTTTTCTGCCACTGCTATGCAGTGAGAATCTCTCAATCGCAATGTGGGCCTCTATACCTCTAGCGTTATAGCCTCAATTCTGTCTTTGGAACCACACGACCTACTACTGTTGTTGTCAAGCATTTGCTGACATGTCTATGGACTACAGCCCGCTCGTGGCGACGTAAAAAGACACCCTCTTAGCACCTTCATGGTAGAAGCTCGCTGTATCGCGCGCAATCGCCGTCTTTCGCCGAACGCAGTTTCGTGAACACCAAGCTAATTTGTCAGCATTGCCTTCACCTTACCGGACGATTTCCGCACGTCTACAAATGCAAATACTGTTGGATCATACACTTCAATCAATCAGATCAACATACACCTTCCCCTACAGTATCCGTGAACTCATAGTCATCTTGCGCAACCTTCATCGTGGCGTTCAAAGCGAGTCTCCGGAAAATGACCAACTTCAACATCGACATTGTCTCAGACACGGTGTGCCCGTAAGACCATCTGCCCTCTGGTAATATTGATTAAAGCAAAGAACTGACACGTGATAGCTGGTGCTATGTAGGCAAGAAGCGCCTTGAGAAAGGCATCGCTGCCTACAAAGCGGCGCACCCCAACTCTGACGACACCTTCTCAACGAATTGGTTTCCCTTTTATCTGAACCCTGATTCACCAAAAACCGGCATCGACAAGACGGCCTACTACAGGCAAAAGTTTGGCGACCAGAGGACCACAGGCATTTTCCAGATGTTGGCACAGCTGGGCAAAGACGAGGGCATTAATTTCAAATTCGGCGGCAAGACCGGAAACACAAGAGATTCTCACCGTAAGCCTATTTTAACGTGTAAATTGACCACCCCTCTCACTGACCGTAAACAGGACTCATCCAGCTCGGCAAAACCAAGGGCCCTCAAATGCAGACTCGCGTAATTGAGGAGCTCTTCGCCGCCTACTTTGAAAACGAGAAAGACATCACCTCGCACGAGACTCTGCTCGAAGCCGCTGAAAGGGCCGGCCTCGACAAGAGCGAAGCGAAGGAATGGCTCGACTCTGACAAGGGGGGCCCAGAAGTCGACAAAGAAGTGCAAGACGCGTACGCGCAGAATATTCACGGCGTGCCAAATTTCACCATTAACGGCAAGTTCGAGGTTGGCGGCGCGCAGGAACCGGCAGCGTTTGTGCAGTTGTTTGAGAGGCTGAAGAGGCAGGATGGGGGTGCGGTGGCGATGAATTCCGGGAGCAAGTGCTGAGCTGCTATCCGAGGTAAAGAAAAGCTACCTTCGTTGATTATAGACAGGACGAGTAGGCATTAGGGCAGAACGGAGAATTTCCCCAGGTCCAGTGTATAGTCTTGCTGCTGATCGGGCACGGAGAGCGCTGCTCCGTCCTAGCGTCTTTCCATTCCTCCCATAGTGCCCTTACCGCATTAGGCATGTCGTGCGTGGTTGTCCCGACCTATGTCCTTCATTGTGGGCCATACTTTTGCAATATAAAAATGTAAATCTCCCTTGCTATTCTCAGATGATTCAGCCATCACTATGAAGGTCTCAGTTGCATTATTGGGATTCGCCGTTGCGGCGACGGCACTGAGTACTCCCAGAAACCCGAGCAAGAAGAAGCCGAATGCTGTTAATCCCAAGGACTTTGTTTATGTCGATGGATTGAGGCTAAAAGATGCAAAGGGTCTTCATTACATCACTGTAGGATCTCGAGATGCGAAATTGTCCCCAATTGACCATAACAGGGACTCAATTACTGGGCATGTCTGAACCTCGCAGCCGACGCCTCCCAGGGCGGAAACTACTCGCGCCTCGTCACAGAGCTTGATCAAATGGCTGTGAGTGCCTTCACATCTTACCATTTCCTGATATGACTCTAAAGTATTTGCCAGGCCCACGGAGTGAATCATCTCCGAATAATGGCCTCTTCCGAAGGCGCACCAACACCCCAGCCCTTCCGAATGAGCCCAGCCCTTATGGACGCCCCAGGAAAATACAACGAAAAAGTCTTCCGCGGCCTTGACATCTGCCTAGATGAGCTGTCCAAGCGCGGCATTCGCGCCACCATGACGCTGAACGATGAATGGCAATGGTCCGGCGGCTTCGCGCAGTACGTCTCCTGGGCCACTGAGAACACCGAGATCCCCTATCCGCCTTCCTGGAACATGACGAAAGCCCCACAGCGTTCGAATCCACGCACGGGCTGGGGCGACTACTCCGCCACCGCGGATGGCGCGCACAGCTACAACGAATTCATCACGTTCGCGAACCAGATCTACACCAACGCGCAAGCGGAGCAGTGGTACAAGGATCACATCAAGACGGTGATCACGCGGCGGAATACCGTCAACGGGCGCAAGTAAGTAAACCACCGGGCAACTCGGTGACTCTTGCCTCTCGCGTTTAGTTGAGACATGCACAGCCCTGTCTTGACTCACACTGACTTTGTACCCGCACCTCAGGTACAACGAAGACGCGACAATCATGACATGGCAGCTCGCCAATGAGCCGCAGTCCCTATCGTCCTACTCCCCCTCCGACCCGCTCTTCCCCTGGGTCAACCGCATCTCGGGCTACATTCGGCATCTCGCGCCCAAGCAACTCATCAGCGTCGGCCTGGAGAGCAAGCAGGGCGAGCAGATCTTCAAAGCTGTGCACCAGGCGCCCGACGTCGACTACGCGACAACGCACTGCTGGGTGCAAAACTGGGGCGTCTATGACATGTACAACTCTAGCGAGGCGAATTTGAAGGCTGCACAGGACTTTGCGACGGCGTTTGTGGCGAACACGAGTCGGTGGGCGAGGGAGGTCGGGAAACCCGTTTTCCTGGAGGAGTTTGGCATGGTGCGGGATAACTGGGAGAATGCGGACAAGGAGTACCCGTATTTGAGTAGTGCCAGTACGACGCATAAGGATGCGTATTTTAACGTGAGTGCAGCATTTGAATGGGAAGTGGTAGAGCTGACTGTTGTACAGACGATCATCGGTGCCGTGGTGGCCGACTTCAAGAAGGGAGGTGCGTATGTCGGGACTTGCCCGTGGGCTTACGGTGGAATATGGCGGCCTGAAACGCAGGTCATGAACGAGTTTGGGATGGTTTGGGCTGGAGATCCACCCCATGAGAGCCCAGGTAAGTCGTAGAGTAATCCAGGTTCGTGCAGGGTAACTAAATTGCAATAGGTTGGTACGATTTGTATGATACGGACGAGGCGATGAACATTGTAGCGAGTCAGCAGCAGAACGTCGCTGCGTGGATCAAGAAGAACCAAACAAACGGGTACTAGGTCCTTTGACCTCCCAACGATCAATCAGAAGTTTCAAGTGGAGAACGTAAAGCTGTGCTTGCGGTGAACACGCTGAATGAACTCCACAGCACTGCCATACGCCTCCATTCGCTCTTTCTCGAGAATCCACTTCGGCACTGAGTACTGTCAGCATCACGTAACACCCACCAGTACTATAACTTACGTTCGAGCCATCCATGAAACCCCTCCTCCCACACCCTCGCCTCAACACATCTCTCTTCACTTCCTCCCTCCTTGTCCAACTCACCCCTCACCCTCTCCACAAACGCCAATTGCTCACACGCCAAGATATCAATCCCCGCAACCACAAAAAACATATTCGCCGGCAGCGTCTCTTTTTCCGAAACGACCACATTAATCCTCGCATCATCCCCGTCCCTCTTCCGTGTTGGCTCAGCATACGAGTCATACAGGGGCGTCATCCACGCCAGCGGATCTGTATTGGGAAACTTAGGAGGCTTGTGTTTCTCCTCCGGTCTCAAGCGCAGATCCAACACCGGATAGAACCCCACGTAACCCCTCGCCACCTCCCCTCTCTCACCAGCCGCAGACATCGATGCCGCTTGCGAATGCAGCATCTGCGCCACACCGAGCGCCAGATTGCCTCCCGCCGACGACCCACTCAACGTAAGTAAGCTGGCATCAGCACCAACGGCGGCAGCGTGGTTTAGGAGGTACCTCACGACATCATCGACGTCGTCGTGGGCGGCTGGGTACGTATGCAGAGGGGCAAAGCGGTACGAGATGCTGATGACGACGGCGCCTGTGCGCACGGCGAGGGAGGCGCACCAGCGGGCGGTATGCTCGGGGAAGCCGCCGATCCAGGCGCCGCCGTGGATGTCTGTTCGAAGTCAGTGGGGTGGGTGCCGGATGGGAGAGGGCGCTTGCCGATGTGGAGAGGGCGTGGCTTCCTTCCCTGTCTTTCCTGCTCTTGCCCTGTTGAAGGTGGTTGGTATACAAGACATCGTTTGGGTCCGCTGCGCGTTGGGACGTAGAGCACGGATGAGCAATTATCGAAAAGCCATGAAGGAGACGTAATGAGTAGAGAGAGGAGATTCAGAGGTTGCAGAGCGAGAAGCCGCCAGCGGTACCTAAATGGAAGGAACGAGAATATGGCATCGCGGGTAGGTTGAAAAATGTGAGGTAGGAGAGAGAGCTTGGTACGGAGGAAGTTGTATGCCATTTCTGGGTCAGTGATATGAGCAGTCGCGATCTATGTAACAAATAATAGAGCCTGGGTCAGCTTGGCGGGAGTTGTCGACAGATCAGCTCACCAAAGGTTAGGGCAGTCGATGAGAGTGACGCCGAAAGCCTGTCCATTGACGTTGTTGTCTGCGAACGTCTCGAAAGAGTTTATACAGGGGAAGGTCGGAGCCAACCGGAGACATTGGCGGAAATGCCCAAAGGTAATACGAAATACGAGCTCTTGGGAAATACACGGAGGTCACACAAGCCGTGTCACCGCTTTACATCCGCTTCTGCCGACATAATTTCTCTGAACGTATTCCCTGGAATGGAAAGCGAAAAGACGCTCAATACCAAAGATGTAGATGAAGGCGAGTACAAAAGACATATACGTCTAGGACGTGCGACAGAGTGTGATGATGTACCTGTAAAAACTTCTAGACCTATAGGTCGTAATTCGATTCGTAATTCCGTGGATACCTTCTGTTTTTGACGCCAGTATATGCAAAAATCGTCCACAAGTCCAACGATCTCACATGTTCATTGCATGAGTGCCCGCGCATCCCAGACAAGGACACGCTCGTCCCATCCGGTGCTCGCACACCAGCCCTCTGCGCCGAAGAGACACCAGTCGACGCCCGTCGCAAACTCGGTATGCCGTCCCATCCTACCCAGTTCGCGGCCGCCACCGTGCATCATGGGATCCCCAAGCATGTTCTCCTGATTCATGCCTCCCACAACGGCACTGCCATCACTCCATACGCGACACGTCATGTCGTAACTTGCACTCATCAGGGTATCTGAGAGATGCGGCGACCACGACACACGTCTTACTGCGTACTCGTGGCCTGGTAGAACTGCAATGGGACCCGCCTGAGGCGCGCGGATGTCAAATGTGCGCACGAGGCGGTCCACGCCGGCGGTAGCGACTATGGTGTCGCGGTACTTGTTCCAGTCGTGGGTGAGGGCTTCGGCGGGAGGAATGCCCGGCGGCGCAGCGGCGCCCATGCGGGGCTTTGGTGGAGTGTGGATGGGGATGTTCATGGTGAGGTGGTTGGAAGCAGAGGCGGGTGTCCGCAGATCGAATACGCGCAGGTGGGAGTCTGAGCCGACGCAGCTGAGGATGGACGGGCTGTGCGGGCTGAAGGCGGCCGAGTAGGTGCACGTGTGGGTCGGCAGCGTCGCGATGCTGGCCGGCGCGTTGGGATTCCATATCTTGATGGTGCCGTCCCAGCTGCTGCTCAAGAATGTGTCCTTGGCCACGAGGTTCCAGTGCACGGCAAAGACCTCGCGCGCATGCTCCTGCCACGACTGCACGGGGAACTGGTCGAGCGTGATGTCGAACAGCTTCACCGAGCCGTCGCCGCCCGCCGTCAGCAGCTGGTTCTCGTGCGCCTCGCTCCAGGTCGTGTCGAACAGCGAGTCCTGCGTGTCGAACCACTTCTCGGCCACGATGCCGTTGGCCGTGAGCCCCAGCACGTAGAGGCGGCCATTGCCCACAAGCCCGAAGTTGGCGGCGCTCGCAACGGCGATGCGCGAGTCGAAAAAGGGCGAGTATTTCACGCTGTAGCCATTGAAGCCCTGCGTACGGAACTCGAGCATGATGCTGCCGGTGCGGCTGTGCCCATTGTTGTTGGAGAGAAGCGACTACGCAGGTGACGCAGTTCCGAGGTCTCCCCTCGGCCCACATGCACGCACATGCCCCGCTATTCTAGGTAATGAATATTTAGCTTCTGACTGCACGTGCTTTGGCGTTCTCGCGTCGAACCTCGCCGCGTTTTAGACCCAGCATGTCCCGACATGCTGCTGCCTCGTCCGACCCACCATGGATGCCTTTGTGTCGCGGAAGAGGAGGCGCGTCGACACCGTTCACCCCGTCGTACAAGTTGAATTGGCGGCGGATCGACCAGAGGAGGAATCGACCGACTTCAAATTGGCTATGCTAGCGTCCCTGCACCCAAGCATCGAGGAAGGCACGTTGTTGGAAGCCCTGCTTGCTTCTGAAGGTAGTGTGGAGCACGCCTCGGAAGCTCTTTCGGCCAACCCCACTCCCAAGAAACGGCCGGCGTCTTCCATCGGATATCAATCGTCCTTGTCATCTTACCGCGTTTCTCTGAACAGGACCGGGGCAACGAAAAAGCCGCTTGTGAAGAAAGGCAAAACCTTGTATCTCTATGCGCCGGAAGACATCGAGGCCCACACACCATGTTCCATCATCCACAATTTCCTGCCACCTGAGCAAGCCGACGCACTGACGCGTGAACTGGTCGCAGAATCCTCTTCCTACAACAATATTGAGTTCAAGTTGTTCGACAGAGTTGTCCAGAGTCCACACACTTTTTGTTTTTACGTCAATAGTCTGGCCGAAGCCGAGGAGCAGAAGACAGAGTACACCTATGATGGACGCAAGGTCGATGACGTGCGCCAAAGCACTCCAGAGATGCTCCGAGCCTGCCCGCAGGTCGAAGACGCTGTCAACCAAGAGATCCAGCGCCGCATACGTGATTCTTACCCAGATGGGAAGAAGCTCAAGTACCAGACCCCGAAGCCCTGGAAGGCCAACACGGCGTTTGTCAACTGCTACGATGGTCCCAAAGAGTGCGTTGGTTACCACTCTGACCAGCTTACCTATCTCGGACCTCGCGCAGTAATAGGTAGTCTGAGCCTGGGTGTTGCTCGTGAATTTCGCGTTCGCAGGATCTATGCCGAGGACGATCAGCATCGCAAAGAAGACGGCTCGCTCGCAGATGCTCAGGGTCAGATTTCAATCCATCTGCCGCACAATTCTCTTCTAGTCATGCATGCTGAGATGCAAGAGGAGTGGAAGCACTCCATCACTCCTGCCCAGGCCATCGATCCGCATCCTCTTGCGAAGAACAAACGGCTCAACATTACATATCGATACTACAAGGAGAACTTGCACCCGAAGTACACACCCAAGTGCAAATGCGGTGTGCCTACCGTACTCCGGTGTGTGACACGACAGAAGGAGAACCGAGGGAGGTATATGTGGATGTGCCATGTTTCTTACGTGCCAGGCAAAGAAGGATGTTCATTCTTCCAGTGGGCGGAGTTTGACGAGGATGGAGAACCGCCTTGGACGATCAAATCCAGTTGCAAGAACCAGCAAACCTGACAATCAAACGCGATTGCAGGAAACGTTTCATCTCAGGCCGCGACTGGAGCACTTCCGACCGACGCACAAGCTCCTAAGCGAGTACCATCGCCTGACAACCGACCCCACACTGTTGTTAGACATGCATTCACCTGAGACGGCGAAAGGTGGTGTTGAGGTCAACGCCACACCCAGCCCCGCTGCACCGCCACCAAGTTTGCGAAGCCTTCCACCGTTGAATGCGACGGTCACGCTTCGCGACCAATAAACCAGCAATACATTCGCAGATAGAGTCCAGCAATAGCGACTAATCATTGTCCAGCATCCGCTCCCGAGTACGACGCTTGGACTATCGAGTGTGTACCGAGTTGGGTAAGGCGCGCAGGGCGAGTTATCGATATCGCGTGAGCAGTCTCAGGCCGCGGAGCCTGGATAAACAACAGAAATCTGAGGACAGCCTGGGGCCACTCAAGGAGCGTGCTTCGAGGACACTGTCCGCGGAGAGGGTACAAGAGAATGAGATGTTGCTTATTTTATGGACCTTTGCGCTCTTGTTCCTGGATTGTTCCCGGATTGCTGGCATCTACTGTCGCGTTCCCTGATTGCTTGGCTAGCGTCATCCGCTCAAAGTCCGAGGCCAGTGCAACCCCTGCTGTGCTCTGCCGCCCACATCGCGATTGAGTGATCATTTCCAAGAACAGTAGTCTCATGACGTCCCACCATCAACTTGCTTCGCACGGCTCAGCATCAGGGTCAGGGTCGGTAACACGATGGATCCTGATGGGTCGTAGCGCTGCACATAGAGGGGGCAACGGGAAGCACAGATGAGAATCTCGTTGTTCCTCAGGTCGCACGCTCTCACTTACCGCTCACCTGGATCAGTTCCTTGAATATAATCTGCGTCTGCTCAGCCTCCGCTAGTCTCTGTCTACAGCGCATACCCGCTATTGTTTTACATACTCTGGCGCAGTGCTGCAGGAGTTTGCCACGCCCCTGTTCATATATGCACCCCATTAATCCACCTCAATTTGGTATTTGACAGCCGAAGCTGGTTTTCACCGCAACGTCATTTATACCGAGCGTCCAACGCTCTTAACTTCCAACGAGTGTCCGTCGCCGCGCGCGGCACTTTGACTGGACAATGGACTCTGCACACGACCAACCCCCCTTCGCGGCGCCCACGCGCAGGAAATCAGTGTTTCTGGAAGTTGGACTGGTGGACGAAGAGCAGGTTCGAAGTGAACGCAGCCCGGCACCCAGCATCGACAAGCACGCGAGACCGAGACATTTGAGGCCAGCAAGGACGGTGCGGTTTCGGAGCAAAAACGACGTCTTTGAGGATAAGCGCGCAACTGCGCAATCCGACGACGACTGGGAAACAGATACCGAATCAGACGACGACGATACATTCCCTCGGATACAGCCTCGGCAGAACATGGTGTCACAGAAGGTCTACCGATTGGCCTTATTCGCGCTTGTTCTTGCCTTGATGTTGCCTATTCTCCAGATCAGCTCAATATCACCACAAGGAGTTAGAGCAGGAGTCATTCCACAGACGTCGATCGAGCCTACAGTCGCACAGCTAGGTGCGAGGCAGGATTCCGGCTCAAACACACAGGTGTGTAAGCGATGGGCTGGTCAATGTAGGTTCTAATCGGTATACTGCTCGTGAACTAGACTGACTCGTGTAGCCGCCGTTGTCAATGGAACGCTCTACATGTATGGGTTCCGAACCAGCAACGATTCTCAACAGAAGAGCGATACCTGGAGTAAGTTTTTTTAGTAGTAGTGCGCTGGTTGTGCGCATGACTAACATTGCTAAAGCCAACGACTTCCTTTCCCTCGATTTGACCAAGTCGTGGCAGATATCTAGCCCTTCGCTCACGAGCCTCTCGAAGCCGTCAGGCCCACCGGCAGTTTCCCTCGGATATCTGTGGAACTCGCACTCCTCCCTCTACCTCTACGGCGGTGAATTCTCAGACGATCCCCAGGAACTGCCAACAGCGAACTCGGTCTGGGAATACAAGATTGCTAGTAAAGAATGGGTAGAGCACAAGGACCCCAAGACTTCTTCTGGTGATCATGCTGAGAAAGCTGGCCAGTCAGTTCAAAGGGCTGCTGAAGGGTCAGGCTTCAGTGTGCCGAATCTGGGCCGTGGATGGTTCTTTGGCGGACACCAAGACTTTCTCACGACTGAGGGCTGGAGCAACCAGGTCGAAAGGATCTACCTCAAGTCGCTTCTCGAGTTCACGTACCCTGGATATTCGAACGAGGCCGTCGATGATCTTAAAAATGGCAAGACGGCTGGCGACGATGGTGTCTATCGCAACATTACCGAGGGTGGTCTGCAGAACTCTGGTTCCTTCCCTGAGCGTGCCGATGGTGTTCTGGTGTACATTCCTGGTTTTGGTGCGGAGGGTACCCTCATTGGCGTGACGGGAGGAGATAATGACACACTGGTACGATAGCCACGAATCCGTCCTACACAAAGGCTAATGTTCAACAGGCCCAAATGAACGTCATCGACGTCTACGACATTGCGAACTCGACCTGGTACAAGCAAAACACCGCAGGGGACACGCCCAAATACCGCGTCAATCCCTGCGCGGTGGTTGCAGCCGCCGCTGAGTACGTATTCCGACAGATGTAATTTTGTCTTCGCTAACACCAAGAAGCGGTTCTTCCTACAACGTCTACATGTACGGCGGGCAGAGCCTACAACCTGCAGGCAACCAAGAGCAATACGACGACATGTGGATCCTCTCCGTCCCGTCCTTCACGTGGATCGAAGTCAAACCCGACACATCCAAATCTTCTGCTCCTCCCGCTCGTGCCGGCCACTCCTGCCACGTGTGGGACTCTCAGATGATTGTGCTAGGCGGCTACACGCCCAAAGAAATCAGTTGCGACTCGCCCGGCATTTACGCCTTCAACATGTCCAGTCTCGGCTGGAGCGACCAATTCACCGCCCTCACCGGCGACAAAGCCCTCAAAGCCTTCAACGGCAACGAAGGCGACGAAGGCAACCCGCTCGCCCAGCAAGCCAACCAGCGCGGCTTCGACCACAAGGCCGGTCTTGAAGGCAGTTACGGGTACTCTGTCCCCAAGCAAGTCCAGGAAAAAATCGGCGGCGAGGCAACCGGTGGCGCCACGCTCACGGCGCCTGTCCAGACGCCGACAGCGGGACCCTACAAGTCCGGCACGCCGCAGACGTACACTGTCACGGGACCCAACGGCGCCACTATCACGCAGACAATCGACTCCGGGAACAGCGCTGCCAACCGTGGCAACAAGATTGGCGCAATTGTTGGCGGCGTGCTCGCGGGCGTGTTCTTCCTCGTCGCTGCGTACTTTGCGTTCTGCGCGTGGGTCTACCGCAAACAGGTCGCGATTTGGAAGCAGCATGCTGCGGTGGTGACGGCGCGGTCGAACGCAGAGAAGAGCGGTGCGGGCGGAGCGCTGCTCGGCAGCGCAGTAGCTTCGTCAGGGAAGAATTCGACGGAGCGGGCGCAGCGTGATGGGCTGTACACGAGCGGGAGCGGAACGGCAAGCGCGATCCGGACGAGCAATGAGCGGACGGGGACGTCGTATACTGGTGCAGCTGGGGTCGCCGGGGGCGGCGTGGATGCGCTGGGTAGGCGGAGCAGTGTTGCCAGCTCGACAGACGACTTGCTGGATGGGCAAGAGCCTGCGTTCTGGGGGACGCGGGGTGTGTTGTTGAACCCAAGGCGGAGTTTGAGGGTGATTAATCGGGACTAATGTCTGGCCTTGGGTGGCGGTCTCAGGTTGTATTATAAAGTCTGATTCGCCTTGAGTTTTTGATTGAGTTCTCGACATGAGCAACGATAGGCCGTATACGATAATGATAGCGTAATATCGCACAGTTATTTCATGACTCAAAGTGCGATACTGAACGTGGGTCTGAGTTGCTGGATTGCACATTGACGACGAGATACCCCGTGATCCCAGCCGTATAGCCTTTTCGGTGTGTTGGCTCGCACGCACTGGGAAACACGGGTATCGCTCATGAGAGTTTGCTCTAGAATGCTCAGAATAACGTGACTTACCACCGGCTGTATGGTTGCCAATTGAGGAAGTGGCCTTGGCCGTTGTTGTGTGTGGCTTCGTCGACTTTCCAACTGGCTGGACTAGCTCGTTTCTCTCTGATTTCGAGCGGTTGTTGCTGTGGAGCGTCAGATGTCGATGTCGTTGTTATCGTTGCCGACTCCCCATCGGGCTGAACTTCGTTGTAGATATCCAGACATGACGCGGGGATGCCTTGGGGTAAGAAGTTTAGGACACAGAAGAATTAAGCTGCTCCTCAAGGCACTACAAAAGATCCGGGACACCCCATAGTGTCTTCGGTTCTCATACATATAGTAAAGCGGGTTAGTCCCACCTATGCGATTCTTAGATCAACTTACCGAGACCTAGATTTCGCCTAGACTGCTGCGATTAGTTTACAAAGACGCCGCGTAGTGTAATTTCAATCAAGGATGTAAGAAACATCGAATGCCAGCCATCGATACTGCAGAGTTGCACCCGGCCTCCAAGAAGACCAGTTTATTCGCGTTGTAAGTATTTGACTGTAATCATGCTTAGGAGATGTCTCCTTCGCCCAACGTTTTATTGCGTGCTGACGCAATGTGACAGAGGGTGGGGAAAGAACAGCCCATCAACGGGCAAAGGGCCGAACGACCAAACTCCTTCCAGCGACGCCCTCCTGCCGCCAAGCGCAAAAACTTTACCTGCTGCCGCATCCATCGAATCAACTCCATTCGACCCCATTCACAGCCTTGGCAGCGCGAATCAAATGCGGCAATATCTAATCTGATCCATCTTATCTGATCAAAAGGCGTCTCCGATGTGTCTCCGAGCGCTCTCTAGCCTCGTCACTGCACAGGTATGCAGAGCCAAATAGGGCAGGGAGCGACGGCATTCCTCCTGCAGGAGGTGGCAGCAGGCGCGCCGGGAGCATGTTAAAAATGGCTGCTGCCAGCGTGCGACGCACCATGTGCAGCTCCCATCCGCTGCGCTACACCCCTGCAGGCCACAGCAGCCTCTCTGGATGTGAAGATGGCGATCCTCGAATTCTTCAAGTCGCATAACTTCGACTGCTCAAGCGGCTGCTTGGACTGGAGGCTTCTCTTCCTTGCCTTTGTACCGCTCAGTCTGATTTTCTACTTCATTAGAAGAACAAAGTCCGATGGTATCGATGTCACCAAGTACTCACACCTCCCGCAGCCAGGACCGGCAGACCCATTGAGAGGGCACTGGCCATGGCTGGAGAATATCGCCGTGGAAGGCGATGTGCGGCGCGCTTTTGGTACGATCCATGTAAGAAGTACTTCCGCGACCAGTCACTAAAGAGTTCTAGACGAAATGTTGTATGAGCAGTGTATAAAAATGGACTTTCCGCCGGTTCTTCTTGTTGACATGCGGCCTGTGGAGAAGTCCCTGCTTCTCTTTATTTTCGATAACGACGTCGCGGAGCAGGTCACCAAAGCGTCCAAGCAGTATTCGACCAGCATGCCCAAACACCCTGGTATTCAGGACCTGGCTCCTCTGGTTGGCGCTCGGTCTCTCGTGACTACGGATGTAAGTCCAGTTCTTGCTAGGTCGCCCTTCTCATTGTCCAGGCAAAGCGTGCCCCCATCACCTCTTCCAGAGCTATCCTTATAACAACCTCTCCAGGGAGACGAATGGAAAGCTTTGCGTAAGAGGATCCTGCCTGGAATGGCTCCAGGGCATCTCCTTAATCTCGTAGACGCCATCCTCGACAAGACGGAGACATTCATCAACCTCATAGAAGAAAAAGCCAAGACGGGTGAAGAAATACGTCTTGAAGAATACACCACCAATCTTGTCTTCGACATCATCGGCATTGTAACGTTCAACATGGACCTAAACGCTCAGATTGAGGGAAAGCAGAGCGATGTCCTGCTAACCTACCGCGCTTTGTCACAGGTCTTCAACAAGCGCCCATTTGGAGCTGTCTGGTGGAAGGAATACTTCACGAAGAACGAGCGCGAGATCAGACGTCTTGACAAGAAGCTGGATGGCATTTTGAAAGAGGAGATTCGGAGGCAGCACAAAGAGATACTGGCTGGCGCGGACCCCACGTCCCGAAGCGTAGCGACGCTCAGTCTCTATGGTATTGATAAGCTTACGCCCGAAATCCTTCAGCAAACAAGTGACACTCTTCGCGGGTTCCTCTTCGCTGGACATGATACCACAAGTATCCTACTGCAATGGTGCTTCTACGAACTCCACCGGTGCCCTGCCTCCGCAAAAGACCTCAAGAATGAGCTCGACGCAGTGTTCGGTGCAGATGCGAGCCCCCAGTCCGTTATTGAGCAGCTGCGAGGTCCCCAGGCGGGAAAGCTCCTCGCCCGCCTACCTTACACAGACGCTATTATCAAAGAAGCGCTGCGCCTGCATCCGCCAGGAACCACAGCACGTATGACGCCCAAGGGATCAGGAAGCACAATCACCCTCCCCGACGGACAACGGCTAGTCGTTGACGGCTTGTGTGTTACTCCACGCGCATACGTCATTCAGCGGCACCCGAAGATCTTTGGCGAGACGAGAGACGACTTCATGCCTGAGCGATGGCTTGGGGAGGAAGGCGCGAGAATTCCCGACAGCGCGTTCAGGCCATATGAGCGTGGGCCAAGGAGGTGCACGGGGTCCGAGCTGGCGAATCTGGAGGTCCGCATCGTGCTGGCTGCTGTGGCAAGGCGGTTCGAGTTTGTCAAGGTTGGACAGGGGGAGCTGGATTTGGATGAGAAGGGGTTGCCTCAGCTGGACAAGAAGGGGTGCTATAAGACGAAGTCGGCAATGTTCTCGGTAATTAGCTTCATCGGTGGTATCAGGGAAAGACGTAGCGCTAACTTATGCAGACATATCTGGTCACATGCAAGCCTGTGGACGGTATGCTGTCCAAAGTCAAAATCAAGGCAGGACCTCAAGGAAGGAACGACAGTCTCATTTGATCGACCTCGCAGGCTATAAAGTGAACCAAACCGTGACATTTGAAGGTACAAATGGGGTATATAACTTGTATCGGAAGTCAAAATCGTCCTTCCCCGAATTAAAAATTGTTCTCTCGACATGCTCAAATTACATCATTACGTGCGACCGCTCAATTTCACTTCTACAAAGCGGTAGGTGCAGCCTTGTTCGTTCTGTCCTTCTCGTCAAACAGGCCAGGCGTCTCCCCGTCAAACTGATACAGCGGCTCCATGGGCGGCACATCCTTCCTCAAAACATGCTTCTGCATGTACCACGGCAGCTTTTCAGCGTAGTACTTCGAAAACTCCCGATTGCCAACATTAAACACACTGTCCAGCTCCTCAAGCGTGAGATTCTTCGTTTCGGGCAGCAAAAAGTAGCAGTACACCCAGCCGAAGACGTTCCACGCCGCATACCATCCGAACGCGCCTTGGGGCGTAAACGCCCGCACGAGCGGCGGCCAGGTCAGCGACAGGATGAAATTGAAGCCCCAGCACGTCGCTGTGGCGAAGGACATGCCGATGTCGCGGATATACAGGGGGAATGCTTCGGCGCTGTAGGTGAAGGGGACGGGGCCTTCGCCGGGTGAGTACACGGCCATGAAGGTGAAAATTGCGGCAGCGATGCTGCCCAGCCGGGCTTGGGTGGGGTCGCCGTTCTCGTCGTTGGGCAGGAAGAAGGACATGCCGCACCAGAGGAGGCAGAGAGCCATCAGGGGGAAGGTGGTTAGGAGAAGGTTTCGGCGGCCGAAAGTATCGATGGTGTAGATGGCAGGGATGGCGAAGAGCCAGTTGGTGACGCCTGTTCCGAAGGAGACGAGGAGAGCATTGCTCTGGGAGAACCCGGCTTCTACGAAAATGGAGGTACCTGTGGTGTGTTAGAAAGCTTCCAGCTGAAAACACCTGGGATGAGAGTTACTGTAATATGCGATAACATTTACGCCACAAAATTGTTGCATAAACATGACAAAGAAGGACGATTGTGCGGCGCGGCGGTTGCGTTTGACAGTGAAGAACTCCTTGAACAAGTTCTTGCCCTCCCGCTCAGCCTGTTCAACCTCGAGAAGCTTGTAAGCGTAGTACATGTCGCGAGCAGCCTGTATCTTGTGCTTTCTCAGGCGGCAGAGGGCGTCAAAAGCTTTATCGTACTTTCCTTTCTCCATGTACCTGCCATGGTCAGCTTATTGTCCTTGCAAAGTCATAATCTCATCCACTCACCACCGCGGAGATTCAGGGCACAAATAGACCTGTACCATAACTAGGAAAGGCGGGATACTTGTAGATCCAAGCATCCACCGCCATTGGCTGAACTCTCCCAAGAAGTCGGTATTCTGGAATGCCACGCTGACGACGAAGCCTATCATGATACCAAAGGCTGTCCACATCTGCCACATCATAGTTAGAGCACCTCGGATGGTCTTTGGTGCACTCTCTGCGGCATACACCGGTGTGGTTGAGGACTTGGCGCCGACTGCAAATCCCAATGCAAATCGGGCGATAAGCAGGTTGTACCAGGAGTCCGCAGCCGCCATCCAGATTCCGGTGACGAACGAGATGAAGCAAGAGATAAAGATAGTGCCACGACGACCAAACCATTTGTTTAGAGGTGCGTTGGTCCAGCAGCCGATCGCAGCGGAGCATAGGTAGGGAGCGCCGTCTATCAAAGTCAGTTGAGTCAGAACAGTGGGCCATATACGACGTAACAACGTCGGCGACAAAGCGACTTCGTATGAGGAATCAACGTACTGAGAAGTCCTTGTTGCCATTCATTCGTAATGCCAAACTCTTCGAAATAAAAAATCTGCAATCTGCGTTAGTGAAAAGGATATTGGAACAGCAGACACGGAAACACGTACCTGCGCACCGTTCACGGCCGTCTGATCCATACCCTGAACGATGGCTGAGCCTGCACACAACACCACCAAAAAGTAGAGCATGAACGGGTGATCCCATCGATGCGTAATCTCATGTCTCAACAGGGCCCTCTCTTCATCGTTCAACTGAGTGACGTATTCGAATCCATCTTCGCGCTGTCCGAGCCTTGCGACGAGCGCACCCTTCTGAAACTCGTCCCGGTACTCTACGAGTCCTTTCTCTTCGACCCATATATCGACATCGTGGAGCACTTCCTGCTCGGTCATCCCAGCAAGGGGGTTGCGAAGCTTCGCTGCAACGGACGCCTGCCGTTTGGCGCTGGCGACTGACGCACGTCGCGTGCGAGCATCTTCGGTGAACTGTGTGTCGTTCAAGGAAGGCTTGCTGCTATTTTCGCCCGATAGATCGGGGTCCGTAGCCTCGATGTCTGGCTTTTGATGCGGCATGGTGTTGAATACACGCAAAGCAATTGGAGAGCAGACTCAAATCGCAGAGTGTACCAAAAACTCTGAGCGCGTGGAATACTATGGGTCCCCTTTATAAGTTCACGTCCCCATGGTGGGTCGTTCCCCATGGGTCCACTGAGCTCTTGTCCCCGGAGTGACCGACCGAAATGCTAAGCCCCCATCTCTTCTCCATGTATTGGCATATGCAATTGCGCTCCGCAAAGCCTTTCTCAGCACCACTTCTGAATCCTTCTCTTTGACAAGTCGGACGGTCGACGTCATGGTGGAGCTTCGCCATGAAAGTATCATCTCGGCGGAGGGTTGGCCTGTTCTTGGCGACAGATGAGGACAGCGGAAGCCAAGAATTGGGGGACCATGAGAGTCCGGGCCAAGGAACATGTGCTATAGGACATAAGATGGCGTGGGGCGTCCGAATCGACGATGAGTTTTGGCTGGGCGGAGTGATGGTGTTGAGGCGGAAAAGGTCTTGGCCCAGTCTTAGCTAGGGTTGGCTGGCGTGTGAATCGGCAGACGCATTCCGAACTGGTTCTGCGCAACCCGAGTGACCTGCTACTCCTCATTCGGGCTTGTGCATCATTTGATGGGTGGAGAGACTTCCTCACGAGGTAAAATCTCGTGTGTGAGGGACAAGCTCAAACTTCACGTTTCAAGTATTTCCAACGCTGCTTGGGACGATCTTCAGAAAGATTTTGGAAAAGCTACAGTGCGTAGGCAAAAGCATCTCAGTCTCAGCTCCCCTCAGAGCTTAGCCCTAGCTTCATCCTTGACGACCACGCCTCTGTCCTTCCCACTCCTCTCTTTGTCCCTCAACACCCTCCTCAGAATCTTACCACTAGCACTCTTCGGTATTTCCGGGATGAACTCAATCTCCTTAACCCACTTATGCCTCACCTTCTTCTCCTTCACAAAGCCGATCAGTTCCTTCCCTACAGCCGTATCTGCCTGCACACCATCCTTTAGCTTCACGAATGCCTTCGGCAGTTCACCTGAGTAGTCATCCAGAATACCCATCACAGCTACATCCTCAACCTTGTCGTGGCCGAGAAGTAGGTCTTCGAGCTCTGCTGGAGCAACACCGATGCCTTTTACTTTGATAAGCTCCTTGATGCGGTCTGTGATGTGAATCATTCCCTCTTCGTCAATCAAGCCTTGATCGCCGGTGTGCAAGAAGCCGTCTTCGTCGAAGGTATCCCTCGTCGCTTTTTCGTTGTTGAGATAACCCATGACGACCTGCGGTCCTCTTGCTAGAATTTCTCCCACTTCACCCACATCACCTTCGGTCCCGTCTTCTTTCAGTATCTTGACCTCGGTTGAAGCGCAGACTGCACCTCCAGAATGCGCGTACTTGTACGCATACTTCTCCGGGGGGTGAGCCGTAATACAAGAACAACTCTCGGTCATGCCGTAGCCTTGCTTAAAACCGGTGTTCGGGAATTTCTTTTGCAACAGCTGGATGATCTCCTCGCTCAAGGGCGCGGCGCCAGAGGAAAATCGGGTGACGTGCGAGAGGTCATACTTGTCGACTATAGGGTCGCGCACCAGTCGAATCAGAATGGGGGGCACGAGAAGGAGCTCTCCTAGCTGATACTCTACGATGGTGTTGAGCATCCCCTCCATCGTGAACTGCGGCAGCATGATCACTTCTGCATTTAGCAGGATGGGGAGGTGCATCTGGTGTACAAGTCCGGTGATGTGGAATAACGGAAGGACAGCCATAATCTTCTTATGGGTATTGGGCGTGATCTGCTCGATTTGCAGACACTGTGCAATTACGTTTTGGTGGCTTATCATGACAGCCTTTGGCAAGCCCGTTGTACCCGAGCTGAAAGAGAGAAATCCGCAGACATCCTTGTTTTTCTTTCCAGGTGGCAACTTGAATGCTGGAGCTTGACCTTGTTCTCCGTATGACTGGCCAACCTTGATCAACTCCTGTATAGTAGTGTAGCCAGGGACTTCTCCTTCGAGCAGAAAGATGTTGCTTTTTGGTAAGCCAGCCGCCTCAGCGCTTTTGCTTGCAACTTCCATGCTACCCGGAGTGGTCATCAGAAACTTTGCATCGGCCGTCTTAAGCGCAAAAGCCATCTCTTCAATATTGTAAGCAGGGCTCGCTCCGGAGATTTTAGCTCCCGCTCGCAAGCCCGCAAACATCGCCACGGGATACCATACGGTGTTCTGACTGAACAATGAGATTGTCTCGCCTTCTCGGAGGCCGTAACGCTTGACTAGTGCGGTTGAGATGTATGTAGAGTAATTCTTCACGTCTAGCCAGCTGACGCGTTCCTTGGTAACTGCATTCTGGAAACCATTGAGCTCGTTGGGTGGGAATTTGTTGATTGGCGAGTATTTTGAATCAAACAGCCAGTCCCAGTCAGTGAGTTCCGTAGGCACTGCCACTAATCAGCTTCATTCTGCGTGATATCATGAGAGAATAATCGTACAATCAATCGGCGGCTGCCTTGATTTAAAGATGACCATTTTGACGTTGTTCCAGTATTGGTCTCCTGTGTCCAGTTGGAAACGGCGTTGCAAGGCCAGCAGGCTTGGACGGACAGAGTGCGGGTTCCTTCATTGTGTACATTTTACGTGTATTTAGCGCTAACGTTTGCCTCGGGGTAGAGCGCAAGTGACCGCAGATATTCATGATGCACGAGTCGATTTGGTGCGGGGAAAGGGATCGTGGGGAGGGGAGCGGAAGCGTTTGGCGCACTGGAGAAGCTATCCGAAAGAGGAAGAGATCGTCACGCACCTCCACCGCGTCGTTCCTGCTTGTAGCCGAGCACAGCGCGGACTACGGAACATCGTGACGGCATTTGCGGAATAATGGAACCAGAAAAGGATATACGAATCACCCTGATAGGCGCTGGCACCATCGGCCTCTCCTTCGCGGTCTTCCATCTCTCACACCTCCCCGCACCATCCCACCTTGCAGTCTATGACACCCGTGCGAACGCAGACCAATACATCCGCGACAGTCTCCCAAAGTTTTTCAGCAAAGACTCCACTTCACTATCAAGATCCGACGTCAGAATCGCAACCTCCCTCCATGATGCTGTCTCCAACGCAGACATCATCCAAGAATCCGGGCCCGAAAATCTCCAGATAAAGCAAGACCTATGGGCCGAAGTCGAAAAGCACGCTAGCAAAGATGCTCTCCTATGGAGCAGTACAAGCGGTATCCCCGCCTCACAGCAAGCGCAGAAGATGCAAGACAAGACACGCCTTCTCGTCGTCCACCCTTACAATCCCCCGCATATCATGCCACTCCTTGAGCTTGTCCCGTCCCCTTCCACGTCTGAGGCTGTGATACAACGCACGCAGAACTTCTGGCGAGCTCGGAATCGCGTGCCTATTCACATCCACCAGGAGACTACGGGTTTCGTGGCCAATCGACTGGCCTTTGCGCTTTTGAGGGAAGCAATCCACCTCGTTGATGTGGGCGTCGTGTCTGTAGCCGAACTCGATAAGATCGTTGAGACTTCAATGGGCCCCAGGTGGGCGGTTGCAGGGCCTTTCAAGAGCTACCACGCGGGCGGTGGACCAGCGGGGTTGGAAGGCTTCTTTAACAACATCGGAGAAACAGTACAGGGATGCTGGAACGATGCTGGAAAAGTTAACGTTGGGGATGGATGGGAAGACAAAGTGTTTGCGCAGGCTAGAGAGGTTTATGGTACGGTAGACGTTGCGGAGAGGGATAGAATCACACGCAGATTGTTGGATGTGCTTGAGGAGGAAAAGGGGGAGAAAACACAGTCAGATGGACCATCAAAGTCGTGACATACAAAAGCTTTGTCAAGATGGATTGGACAAGATAAATCGTCGTTCTTGCACATGTTTACATTCATACATCCCTACAACTACAACCTCGACAAGTCGCGTACTGGCGAGCTGGCTGCGTGACCTTCGTAATAGGCTTGTCCATGCAGTATTTTGAGCATTCCGAGAGTGATAGTGCATGTAATGCACTCAGATTGGGCTTTTTGCCAGTCGGCGTGTCGTGCTGAGACAAGCTCACTGCTTTGCGAGCTTTCCGAAGACGTTATCAGCCTTGGAAACTGTTCAGATGTCAGACTAGCACATGAATCGATCACTTAAAACATACCATTCAGTCCCGTGTTGTCACTCTCGACGTGTGCGTCCTTGACAGCGCCGTTCTCGGTGACGAGGGCGTATCTCTTGGAGCGGTCACCACCGAAGATGGCGGCGCCGTCGAAAGACAGATCAAGCGCCTTCGTGAAGCGAAGGTCGGGGTCAGCGAGGAAGCGGATCTGACGATGGTCAATATGTATTGCTTTTGTTCGAACATTGGTGACGTACTCCACTTGAGCCGGTAGGGTCGAGGGATTTCGCCCACGCCTTCATACTGAGGACTGTTAGGAGATGCAAGTTCACATAGATCAGTTTCTCCACACTCACACAAACGCATCATTGACTACAGGTAACAAAGTCAGTCAAGGTTGTACATTTCACGTCTAACAGGGGCACTTGAAGAAATATCAGAACAACTCACCCGAGACGACGAAGACACGACCGGCATCCTTGAGCTCCTTTGCGTTGATGTAGCCTGGGATATGGGACTCGCTGCATGCGGGAGAGAATGCTGCGGGTACGCCTGCATGACATGGTCAGGTGATGTCTCTAATGGGGGCCAATACTCTCAGCCTGTACCAATTATCAAGCCCTTCCCGCTCTTGAGTTCATCGGCAATCTTGACCTTGTTGCCAGGCGAGCCCTCGTGCAGTTCCACATCCGGGATCTTGTCGCCAATCTGGACGAAGGCCGGGGATGAGGCGTGGAACAGGCGGCGAGGAGCAGCAAGGGGCAAGGCGCGCGGCAGTCGGCGAGCGGCAAACATGGTGACGGAGGTAGCGGTGGCGGGCTGAAGGTGGTGTGTCTACGGTACAGCACTACGGCGAGCGTGTGAGATGTTTGGGATGGAGACTAGCGTGGTGGACGTGGGATTACCGCCGGAGTGGCTCGCACAGGGAGTAAAGATCGACAAGCGGCCATGCCCGATCGGGCCGTGATTTGCGGGGCCCTGGGCGATGGACCCCAACCTCGCGGTGAAGGAGCTGGCGACGGCGCCTCTGACGACGGCCGGCGAGTGCCCGGAATCATGGCAGGCCGTCGCAGCAGGGCCGCTGGCAGGCGTCGGGCGACTGCGCGCGAGATTGCCTTCTATGGGCCTGGCAGCCGCGTTCCGAGACGATTAATTGCGACGTTCTCTTTGCGTCCGGGATCCGCTTAGCCCAGTCTCATTCCGTCATTGCTTGGTCGCACGCAGCCGGCCAAAAACCCACAGCAATCCCGGCAGGCCCGCGGCGCGCCGACGAGCTGCTGCCGAATGGGCGTGCGGATGCTGCTGGCCCTGGCGTTGCGCAGCAGGCGTCCTGGCGACTGGGCGCGCTGTCTTTGTGTCGCTGATTTCGGCGACGCGAGCACAGGCGAGGCGAGGCGAGGGGCGAGCGCCGGGGTGCAGGCGGATGCTGGCTAATGGGCCGCTGCACTGTTTCTTTCAAGCCCTCGAGAGATGCCCTGTCCTGGGCTGTCCTCGGCACGCTTCTTTCTTAGCTCTCGCTGCAGACCACTCAGCGCCACCAGCCTGCCGTCACGGCCGCCGCGCTCTGTGCATTCCTCAACCTGCTTTAGTCCCAGATACCCACCCGCAAAACCTTAATTCACCCTTCTTCGCCAGGCTCCTTCTCGCTCTCGTCTAGGACACCTTGGGACTCTTCCGACATAGGTTCGCAGCGCATGACCGCAGGCTCATGTGCGAACACCCTGCCCTCCGCCATCCCGCATCAGACGTCACAGGCCGAAGACCGCACGGGCGGTCACTGCAAGGCGGCTGAACCATCGCGCACCGTCCGGTTGGTGACAGCACGAAAACCATCGCAACGGTTGCGAAACTCCCTCGCCGAGCGCTGTAGTTCGTAAAGCGACTCTACTTGGTACCCGGGAAAGAGTTGGCTATCTGGAAAGCGCGCTAGCCAACTGTCAGAGAGAGCGCCTCTTGCAGCCATGGAGAGCCAGTCGCAAGGCTCGAGCAGCAGCGACTTTGTATGTAAAAAGACGACATGCCATCTGGACAAGAACTAACGGTGAATCAGGTTCGCAAGCTGTACAAGTACGTCGAGATGCGGCGCCGGTTGCTGGACCGTCTCAATTGCTGATGCGCGCGACAGGATGCTCGAAAACCCGACCGACGAGAACGTTGTGCGATGGGGAAATGACGGCGATAGCTTTGTGGTGCTAGAAGTACGTCGTGGCACCTGCCATGGTTCGCACGCGGGACGCTGACCCATGGCCAGAACGAAAAATTCACAAAACACATATTGCCCAAGCACTTCAAGCATAGCAACTTTGCCAGTTTCGTGCGCCAATTGAACAAGTACGACTTTCACAAAGTGCGCCACAACAACGAAGAAAACGGACAGTCGCCGTACGGGCCTGGGGTAAGGGTTTACCTGGGTGCTCCTTCCTTCCAGGAGTACTCGCGCATGCGCTGGGTGAGCACGACTAACGGTTTCTAGGCTTGGGAGTTCAAGCACCCGGACTTCAAGATGAACAACAAGGATGCGCTTGACAACATTCGACGAAAAGCGCCAGCGCCGCGCAAGACAAACCAGCCAAACGAAGAGATGATAATCCCCGCCCAACAGATGGACATGATGAGTAACCAGCTCGTCGCGACGCAAGCGCAGCTGCACGCCCTCGAGAACCGCTACAACGAGCTCAGTATCCACCATTCTATGCTGTTGCAGGAGGTAATCGGACTACAAAAGACGGTCGTCAACCATGAGCATGTGATGCAAAATGTCATGACCTTCCTGCACAACGTCGACGCACAGCGCCGTCGCGATAGCAGGCTCGGTAACCCTTTTCCTCCAAATGGAAACCAAACGCAGAACGGAAACGTGGATGGTGCGCAGAATCAGTCCAACCCATCTGCCGAGGATGACATCCCTGCCTCACCTTTGCAGCACGCTTCTAAACTGTTGAGCGAGACCAATGCGGATGTTATGTTGAACCCAAGAAACCTGGAACACATGAACGAAATCACGATGCGGATGAACGGAACACTCACTACGCCTCCTCCGGACCTTATTCGAAGTGTAAGACCCGCCAGCCGAGGGCCTCCGTCGGCCGGCAGCTCTACCAACTCGTTGCGCCTCGGAGATATCGACAACCTTGTGTACCCGGTTGGACAGACTAATGGGATTGACCCCATGTACAGCGAGCACATCAATAATATTCCTTATAGCATGCCACCAAAAGCAGCCGATCCAACCAATCCACAGTTTCAAGAAACCCGGAAGAAGAGCGCTCAGGTTGATCCAGGATGGGTACGCCAGCCCCAGATTTTGCTCGTTGAGGATGATCCAACGTGCCGCCGCATCGGCAGCAAGTTTCTTTATGCATTCCACTGCTCCATCGACAGCGCTGTGAGTTACACGTCTACCGTTGCAGTCAATATGCTAACATCTCTAGCTCGATGGCCTGGAAGCGGTGAACAAAATGAATGCTGGATCGAAATATGATCTCGTGCTCATGGACATCATCATGCCTAATTTGGACGGTGTATCGGCGTGTCATCTAATCCGGCAATTTGATAACACACCCATCATTGCTATGACGTCGAATATTCGAAGCGACGATATCTCTATGTATTTCCAGCACGGTATGTTTACACAACTACACAAGCTGTTGGACACGCACTCACATTGTTAGGTATGAACGATGTTCTTCCGAAGCCGTTTACCAAGGAAGGTCTTCTACACATGCTGGAAAAGCATCTTGCACATCTCAAGAAACCCATCTCGCACATGGACGGTGGAATGGTCGCACCCCAGCCTCTGGCTTCGACAAGGCAGGTTTTGAAAGAGGAGGAGTCCCCAGCTAAATCCCCTGCAACTGCCAGCTGGAACTCGCCAAATCCAGTCCCCGGTGTTTCCCCCGTAGCCACGGGCATGTCGGAAGAATACTTGCATGCTGTGCATGCAAATCCTGCGGCATATGCGGTACAAGGTGTGCCCGGAATGCCACAAGGCAACGTACCCTACAATACGTCTCCGCAGATGCCCATTCCCGGCCATGCACAGCAACAGACTGGGCATAGAAGACAAATTTCAGACATTTCCGGGGGAGAGAACATGAACCCAGCGAAACGGCAACAGATGTACGCTAATGCTCCATTGCAGCCAGGTCCCCTGAACACAATGCAACGGCCGCGTTGAAGGAAGCAAGAGGCGTTAAGGAAAGCTAAATTCTCTTTGCACTTAAATCCCGCAGCGCGCCTGCACTGGAAAGCACCATTGGGCGGTGAAGAAGACGCCTGGTAGCTCTTTGGTCGGAGATGACGCCTCGAAGATGTTTTTCTGGTGTGGGATACCACGGCTGCTATGCCGATCATGCTTTCGTTTTTCCATTCTGTTCTCTCATTGAGACCATTTTCTCTGATAGAAGAACAGTCAAATCGACCGGAAAGTGGCCTAGCGCCATGGTCAGGTGTCATAGATGCAGGCGAAGAAGAGGGGCGTTCTTGGGGATGTGCGGAAACGCCCGGAGCATACGGCCTAAGCAGATGCAAGATATCATGAATGTAGCGCAATTTGTAGCATTTGATAGCATACTGCGTACTCTACTCCCTGCTGTTGCCAGCTTGACGTAGTAGACATTCTGCACGGGGCAAATCCAACCAGCTTTTGCAATTTCACATGCTTTGTCGTAATTAGGTTGGTAGCGTGCGGAAGCAGATCCACCGACGGTGAGAGGGAAGCATGGCACCCAGATGCTAATGCATGTACAGCAACCATAACCGGAAAACGGACTGTTTTCAGAATGTCTCCATACTGCGACTGCTGAAGTGTTGAAGTGTCGTTGCAACAAGCATCAGCATGGTCGTCCAGGGTCGAACAGACCGCGCAGTCTAGACCTCCATCGCCACACGTGAAAGCCAGAAAGTCGACGTCGACCGTGACCCAAGCAAGGCCCCTGCGGCAAGCCCGCAAGCCCCACCTTAACCTTAATCCGTTTTCTGGAACTCGCTGGGGCCGTGACGCACAGCTTTTGGTGCGGGTTTCCGTGGGCGTTCCTGAGTCATCACCAAATTTGGCGTCGCGATACATCCCACCAGAAACTCGCAGCTACCGCCCCACCAACGCACACCTCGGACCGCACAGCATGCCGCCCAAAGTCAAAAAGGGCCAGCCGGCTGACAAAGCCAGAGCTGGCGAAGAGGAGCGCGAGAACCCGCTCCAGGCGGTGGTACGAGCTGCCTGTGCCCGCCCGTGGAAGCTATGCATGCTGACTTGGTAGATACTTGCCGACCCATTCGAGACGCGGTTCAGCCCGTTCACGCTCGAGCGCCCACGTGTCAGTACACACAGTCGCATGCGCAGCGCATTGCTGACAGCTACCAGTGCCTCCTACCTCTCGCCAACACCCCGCTCATCGAATACACCTTCGAGTTCCTCGCAAACGCTGGTGTGGAGGAAGTCTTTGTCTACTGCGGCGCGCATAGGGACCTCGTTGAAGAGTACATCAAGAAGTCAAAATGGTCCTCGCGATCCTCGCCCTTCTCAAAGCTGGAGCTCATCCAGTCGACCTCGTACTCGATTGGCGATGCGATGCGCGACCTGGACACACGCGGTCTGCTGGTGGGTGACTTCCTCATGGTGTACGGCGATGTGGTCAGCAATCTGCCGCTGGAGTCGGCACTCGCAGCGCACAGGGCGAGACGCGCAAAGGACAAGAATGCGATCATGACCATGGTGCTACGGGAGGCCGGGACAACCCACAGGACGAAAGCGCAGGCCACGAGTCCGGTGTTCATCATAGATCCCACCAAGGATAGGTGCCTCCACTTCGAGCAGATGCCGAACAAAGACCAGACACACTTTCTGTCCATCGACCCCGAGCTTCTCTCTGACCACCAGGAGATTGACGTCCGGCAAGACTTGATCGATTGTGGCATTGATATTTGTACGCCAGACGTGCTGGCGCTTTGGAGCGATAATTTCGATTTCCAAGCGCCCCGAAAAGGCTTCCTGCACAGCGTACTGAAGGACTACGAGCTAAACGGCAAGACAATCCACACGCACATCGTTTCCGATCACTATGCTGCGCGAGTTAGAAATTTGCACGCATACGACTCCGTGAGCAGAGACATTGTATCGCGATGGGCATACCCGCTATGTCCTGACAGCAATCTCGTGCAAGGTCAGTCATATCGATTACAAAAGGGAAATATCTACAAAGAGGAGGGCGTTATACTAGCAAGGGATTGCGTCATCCTTCCGAAGACAGTTATTGGCCGTGGAACAAGCATCGGAGACGGCAGTGTGATCAAGAACAGCATCATAGGGCGACATTGCATTATCGGCAAGGGCGTGAACATTGACGGCGCATACCTGTGGGATTATGCAAGCATCGGAGACGGCTCGACTATCAAGAAATGTATCATTGCAGACGAGGCTTCGATAGGGAGGAGATGCACCATCGAATCTGGAGCTCTAATTTCGTACGGGGTCGCGATTGGCGAGGGTACTACTATCCGCGGGGAACACAGAATTACCAAAGCAAGCAGTAGAAGAAATCTGGACGAGCCGGCCATTGACAAGAGCACGGACGCCACGATTGTCGGCGTGGGTGGGGTTGGGTTTGAATTCCACGACTCGGACGAAGAAGATGAAGATGAGACCGTTGATGGACTTGTCGCCACTGCTCCCATATACAACCTCGCAAACTTGTCAGTTGAATCGATATCTACGCTCAACTCGGAGTCCGAAGACGATATCGACTTTGAATTCCGGCACGACCGATCCGCTGCGAGCAGCTTCCGCTCTGTTGGCTCCGCGGACAGCCAGCACGCCGCCAACTTCGATCACGATGCCTCAGCCAGCATATACGATTCGCTCGAGCAAGGTCACGAGTCTGCAAACATACAGCTGGAGTTGACGGCACTGCGCATGAGCACAAACGCTTCAGACCACCAAGTGCGACGCGCAGTCGTCGTGGCTTTCGTTAAACGCATCACAGCGCTCATTAAGTCTGGAACTAGCATACGGGAGGCTGTCGCGCAGGTTTTTTCGCAACACAAAGATCTGGTGAATAATACTGCTCGTGTGGCCTTGGAGCATAAGCTAATCTCAAATCTTCTTTAGGTCGATCGCTCCATATTCGATAAGACCAGTTCCAGCAAAGTCGACCAAATTGACTTTATGCTGCTGCTACAGGCAGATCTTGCACATCGGGACAACGGCGACGCCATACTGCTAAGTGCAGCAACGAAGCTGGTTGAGCTGGAATGTATCGAGGACGACGGTGTTCTGCAGTGGTGGGAGGACGCGAAATCGTCGGAGAGTGAGGAGCTGGAGAAGGTCAAGGGCAAGACGCAGCAGTTGATCGATTACTTAAATGAGTCTGAGGAGGAGAGCGACGAAGACGACGAGGATGATGAAGACTCGGAGTAGTTTTATACCACGGAGACAGCATGAAGGATATCATGTAGTAATGCGCTGCACGGATTCGATTTCTACATGAGTGATCGATGAGACTAGACTTTTGGAGATAAGTGCTGCCTGCAATCATGGACAGATGCAAAAGTGGGTTCCTGGCGCTGTGGTGGAAGAGGCGCTGCCTGCAATAGTAAGCTCTGCCTGACTGGCGCCAGGCATCCGCACGCCGAACAATATGGTAGTCACCACTTTGCTGCGGATGAAGCTCTTCGATGACCGTTAGATCTCGAATGATCGAGTAGACCATCATGATCTGTCTGCGTAGTGTCTTGGATATTCGAAAGTCCCCAACGGAATAGAGAAGTGGTGGTGTCGAAGGTTCCAAACCTGGACTCCGCGCGTGGATGCGTGCAACTAGCCCATGCTGTATGTGGAGTTCAAGCTCAGCTCGACCGCAGTTGCCTGCGGCTTGGACCTCACGAAGGTGGCGGTTAAGACCTGGTTGGGCTTAGCGCAAGGTGCCCGCATCCCGCCGAGTCGTGACTGCCCTGCTGTTCCAATGTCTCAACCCGACCTGAACCTGTGACTCTGTAAAGCTGACCAATATTGCACCCGGCTTTGCTTCTCCTTCGCTCCCTTTCGCTGCCTGCCGCCACTCAGCCCCATTTCATTTCCTTTCCCCTGTTGATTTCGCTCGCAGCTGCTGGTCTCGTCATCGCGGCGGGATCGGCTCTCCCAGAACATCACCACGCCGCCCTCAACCGCTTCCCGCAAGCGAAAGGCAGACGATATAGCAGACCACCTCGCGCCTTCCACTGCTCCCCCGAGCAAGAAGCAGACACCAGACACCGCAGTCGACCTGCCCGCCACACCGGTCACGACGACAGCCTCACCCGCCATGGAGTCCGACGATGACTTCAACAGCTCGCAGGCGAGCGGTGACGATTTTTTGGACGACCAGGACAGCGATCTGGGTCTTGAGGATGGTAAGAATTTCTATAAACTGAGCTATGGCGGGATTTGTTCTGACGATATGGTGATAAGATTCCGACTTCGACATGGACCAGGATGATGTGGGCTTCGAGTCGCAAGATAAGGACATGGGTCCCCGAAAGCAGGCGTACGAGGTGGATTTCAAGGTCTACGACCCTCAGCAAATACAAGCCTCGCAGGACAAACAGATCGACGAGGTGTCGAGCATCCTTGGCCAGCCGCCCGAAGCAACCGCAATCCTACTGCGCCACCTGCGGTGGAACAAAGAGCGCTTGATCGACCGATATATGGACAACCCAGAGCAGGTTCTTGAGAACGCTGGCCTAGGGGAGACTGCGGCGACGAACCCGCCCAAGATCAGCAAGGTCGCGGGCTTCGTTTGCGACATTTGCTGCGAGGATGATGCAAACCTGGAGACATTTGCGATGAAGTGCGGTCACCGTTTCTGCGTGGACTGCTACAGACAATACTTGTACACTAAGATCAAAGAGGAGGGAGAAGCAGCCCGCATTAGGTGCCCCGGAGATGGGTGCAACCGGATAGTAGACTCCAAGTCACTGGACCTACTCGTAGCGGACGAACTCAGGAGTCGGTACGTTCACAGTGCGGCTTGTTTCCCGCATCCCTTCCCTCTCATAACTCATATTGGGTGGCACATGTACACTACCCTTATCTTCGATGTGGCGCTGACGCAAGCTTACTCAGGTATCACGAATTGCTCACCCGAACATACGTGGACGACAAAGACAATCTGCGATGGTGCCCCGCGCCGAATTGTGTATATGCTGTCGAGTGCGGTGTTAAGAACAAGGACTTGATGCAGATCGTACCTACCGTCCACTGCGAGTGCTCTCACGACTTTTGCTTCGGTTGCTCGCTCAACGACCACCAGCCCGCGCCCTGTGCTTTGGTCAAGATGTGGCTAAAGAAATGTGAGGACGACTCCGAGACTGCCAACTGGATCTCAGCAAACACAAAAGAATGCCCTAAATGCAACTCGACCATAGAAAAGAATGGTGGCTGCAACCACATGACGTGCCGAAAATGTCGTCATGAATTCTGCTGGATGTGCATGGGTGTGTGGTCTGAGCACGGAACCAGCTGGTACAACTGCAATCGGTTCGAGGAGAAGAGCGGCTCAGAAGCGCGAGATGCACAAGCCAAGAGCCGGCTGTCGCTCGAGCGGTACCTGCATTACTACAACCGATACGCCAACCACGAACAGTCAGCGAAGCTGGACAAGGATATCTACCTCAAGACGGAGAAGAAGATGCAGCAGTTGCAGAACACGACAGGCATGTCGTGGATCGAGGTTCAGTATTTGGATACGGCGTCACAAGCGCTGCAACAGTGCCGACAGACCCTCAAGTGGACCTATGCTTTTGCATACTACCTAGCTCGCAACAACCTTACCGAAATCTTCGAAGATAACCAGAAGGATCTAGAAATGGCGGTCGAGAACCTAAGCGAGATGTTTGAGAAGCCTATCGACCAGCTCCAGGGGCTGAAGGTCGATATGATGGACAAGACTTCGTACTGCACTAAGCGGCGAGTCATTCTCTTGAACGACACAGCAGAGAACCTCAAGCAAGGTGAGTCAAGATCCGATGTGAAGGCTTGAGGATGTTGCTAATTTTATACCAGGCAATTGGGAATTCAACGTCAAGTTTTCATGAGCTAGCCCCTAACGCAATGGAGCGGACACACTCCGGCCGTCGCCCATGCCATCACGACTTTTCCCTTCACGATACCTGATAACCTAAACATTTCCGTTTCCCTTGATTTACATGTACAGCATGGCTTGGTGCATCTTTGTTCTCTCAGCTCATCTTTTGATACGCAGTAGCTGGTTTTCGCCCAAGATCAGGATAGCAGTGGCAGAGAGGAAGCCGTCTTCGATGACCCCCGGAGAGGATGGTGGGTCTACAACGAGTAATAGTGCGCTGGCCGAACTTTTGAACGCTGTTGGGAACGGTACGGGTCGGAATGAAGGGCTCGCGTTTTTCTGACTGTTGAGCAGGATTAGTTTTCATGTCGAAAGGTCGCGTCGGTTTAGCAGGCGGGCATGCATAGCATCAGTCGGTTCGTGGTTAGCGAAATAGATCTGGCAACGAAGGATTCAAGGTGTGATGATTCAGTTGTGATGTGATGGTGATCAGCAGTATCGTGGAGTAACTGGCTAGCGTGAGAGCCGGGGCATAAGAGTCGCCCGTGTACCTGGATTGTGAGCTTCATGCTTCTTCAGCATGTTGGGTACGGTCTAAAATGTCAGTGGCACGACTAGCGATGGTGCGCTGTGTGTCTTTCTAAAGCTTCAAATGAAAGCTGTTCATGGGCGCGCTCCTGCTGGGAGATCGAAACCCCAATTCGAAGCGTCCAGGTGCTTCCGCCTCCACCAACACAAGGTGATGATGGTGCTAAACACCACCATCGTCCTGCGAATTAACGCTAGCGGTGCCTGAAAGGCATAAAAGGAGCGCTGGTGTCGCGAGGTTGGTCCTTCACACTTCGCCGTTCCTATAAGAGGGGATCAAAACTGTCTAACCCTGCCCTGCATGGGAAAGCGCAGGCTCATGATGGAGTTGCCTTTGGAGTCACCTTTTCAACGGGATACATTTTGGTGGATCGAACGCTGGACTGCTTATGCTGCGAGTATTTTGCCGTTACCCACACATGCTTCTCGTGGCGTTTCACGTCATAAGAGTAGCTGCGCCTTAGAGGGCCTTTTGGCTTGAGGCTTTCGTGCATGCGCTTTCACGTGGTGGCAACTCTGGGAACCCAGACCGATGGCAGTTCTCGTGCTTGCACTCTATGTAAAGCTGTGGCGAGAATCTGCTCCCTCCGGTAAGATCTTGGTCACTGCGACGCGTGACAGAGAAGAAGTAACTTGTATCGGTATGGAGTGTTGGACATTAGCTAATTGCAGCGCTACAGTCATTACTTCGAATAGTCTAGCTGCAGGTCTCCACTCTCGGTGGTGTTGAGAGTTGTGTTAGACATCTGCACAACATTGTACCGCGTTTTTACAGTGACAATATAGTGCATCGGAAATCACCATGCAATTCCCTGATGCATTGCTATTGTACCCTGTTGAATTACTGACTTGCAAGTCCAGCGGGATGAGCAGATCTACGCGGCGGGTTAGCAGATCGCCAAAGTGGCGTGAGACTCAGCTCACGCCCCGCGCATCCAGCTAGGCGACCCAGGGGCGGTGGGAACGGTACATAATCTGATTCTCCTCTCCTCTCTTCACTTCATTCAGTTGAAAGCCGATTTCGTCGATGTCAACATAGCTTTGCAAGTGTTCGCACAGCACTTTATAGACTCTACTCCCACCGCCAAACACGACAATATGAGTGGGAATGAAGAAACAAAGAGAAGTAAGATTAAACCTATGTGCTTCGTTTCGGTACAAGGTTCGCTAGGTACTACGGCACAGCGCACAGCCGCGCCCAAACTTCATCTCAATTTGAGTGAGACGCTGCCCAGAAACTTCAGAATACGGTAACGCTCTCAACGCCTCCTGTCCGTTCGAGAGTCAGGTCTGTTGGACGAAAGCAAAAAGTGAAAGTCCTATGCCCCCTCGAAGAAGGCACTAATATACACATCTTCCCCCGTCCTTGTCGCGTCCGCGTCGATCCTCATGCTCACTTCTTTTAGAATTTTTTTTTGCATTGTTTCTTTATGTTCTGGTATCAATTTTGTTTCGGACCGAGCGATTATACAGTCGCAGCCTTGGGCTCTGTGACCGTCTCAACCTCGATCTTGGGCAGCGACGAGCCGGTGCCGCCAAGGTCTGTTTTCCGCGCGTTCGGGTTCTTGGTGTAGTAGTTTGAGATGGCGGACTTGATGGCGTCTTCGGCGAGCATGGAGCAGTGCACTTCTATCGTCAGCAAGTGTCCCTCATTCGCAATCTCCTCGCACTAGGTGCAACTCACGCTTCACAGGCGGCAGGCACAGTTCCTTAGCGATCTCGGTATTACGGATCTTGGCAGCGTCCTCGAGCGTCATGCCGCGCACCAGCTCGGTCAGGTAGCTGGAGCTCGCGATGGCGCTGCCGCAGCCGAAGGTCTTGAACTTGACGTCGCTGATGGTGTTGTTGTTGGGGTCGACGCGGATCTGCAACTTCATCACGTCACCACATGCGGGGGCGCCGACGAGGCCGGTACCGACGTCGGTGTCGGCCTTGGACATGGAGCCGACGTTTCGCGGTCGGTTGTAGTGGTCTAGCAGTAAGAGGAGGTTAGCTGCGCGTTCAACGATAAGCTTCGGCCAGGGTCTCGGGACGTGCCATCAGGCGATTGAGCCCACGGGCGCCAGAGCATGCGCAGAGGGCGACTCATCTTTCTCGTGGTACTGCCGCCTCGAGCTGACGGCGACTGTGGCGGGTGCAGCTGCTGCGCGGACCGGGGAAGCGATCATCGGACGGGCGCCGGTGGCGACGATGCGGCCGGCCTGCGGCACGACTGCTGCGACTCTTCTGAACATGGCTTAGGTTGTGTAGAGGGTATCGACGTGCTGTAGAGGTGCGTGGGGATGGCGGTCAATGGTGTGGAGGTGGTGTTGGAGGGTTGGGCGTGCAGAGGTGCGAAGGCGAGGTTAGTGACGGCGATGCGAAGAAAAGGCCGTCATCGCCGAACTTTCGCCCGCGGGCGTGGGGTCAGTGGGCCGTGGTCCGAGCGCCGAGTCATCGTTACCAACATGCTGTTGCTATCTTATCTGATCATCATATCGTGCATTGTATCCCGTCGTCAACCCGGCTGTCCTGTCTATGCTTCGTTGTGCTTTCCAGTATGATGTTTGCGCCCGCTCCGAATCCAACATGTTGACACCTTCCCGCCGTCTCTGCGCCGCCCGCAATGCTAGTGCTCCCCAATATGCAGGACCCAGACCCCCCGCTTACAAACGCCTAAAGAAATACACATAGGCAAACTTCTTCATGTCTTCCACATCTGCTGCCTTGGCCACCTTCTCGTCGTTGAAGAGCACCCAGGCTGCAGATTGCTCGTCGGGGATCTGCTTGCGCACGAACGCGACATAGTGCCTGTTGCAATGGTTAGTAGACGCCGTAGATGGTTCGAATATGGATCCTTACCCGGCGTGGATAGAGCTGCCCTTGTGACAAACAATCGACTGCAGCTGGAACTTGGCCGGCAGCTTGTCGCTCCCTGCCAATGTCTTCTCTTTCGCAGCCGTTGGTTCCTGTCAATCCCCGTTAGTACACTCTCAGCCGACACCGGCATATTCGGCCTTGTCGGACAAATTACTTACCTCCGAACTGCCGCCCTCGTCGAAATCTCCTTGAGCATCTGGATGGCTGAATAGCCAGTCCACAGCTCGCTCCATGTCGCCTCCAGTCTCCTTCAGTGCCTGTCGTGCCTGTGGCGCGCTGAAGCCCATTGCACCCAGATTCTCAATCTTCTCAGGGTCAACAGCTGATGAAGCTCCACCACCAGAGCCACTGCCTGCATTGAAGTCTACTGGAGTATCGATATCAGGATCCTCCATGTGCGCAAATAGCCAATTGGATGCAGCCTCCGGATCCGCGTTTCCAGTTGCGTGCAAGGCCTTCTCGCACCGGACTCGGGGGAAACCCATTGCTTCGAGCATGGACAATGCCCCTTCGTTTGGCACCCACTTGCTTGCCGCACTGCCTGTGTCGGCATCCTCAGGAAGTAGCTCCTCATCTGGCTGGAGACCCTTTGATTTGTATGTGTCGAATGAGAAAGCCTCGTCACCAACGATGACTGGTACGTCTTGTTTAGTCGGCACCCAGTTTACAATCTCGAAGCGACGTGCGTTCACTGCCAGTACCGCAGGGAAAGTCTTGAACAAGCTCTTCTTGGTGAAGCCTGCCTTGCTACCGCAGGCCTCACAGGTAAGCTCGACTACTTCATCAGCTGTGAAGATGTCCAAGCATTCCTTCAGCGTGACGGACTCAAACTCCTCTTTGGGCTTCTCCTTGCCTTCGCTGTCCGTCACTTCCATCGAGTCGTCCTTAGGTAGCCTTCGAATGGGAACTGGGATTGATATGTTCTCTTGCTCATCATCTCGATACCGAACCTTCTTGCAGTTGAGGCACTGTAAGCGCTGCTCCATGACAAATCTGAAGGCGTCGACTGGGTCTTGGGCGGGTGCCACATGCTGTGACCTTGAGATGAGCTTCAAGAGGTGTAACAACAACTCGAATGCATCTTGCTGTCGCATTGTGGAGAACTCCTCGTGGCCGCGTCCGATGAGGTGCTTCAGCATGGCAGGAGCAAGTCCTTTCTGGTGAGGAACCTCTGGGGTATTCTCCGATACGATAACATCGCTATCAGGCTTCGAGTAACGCCCTGACAGTAGACCGTCGGCGATCTTTCGAAGCTGAGTCTCCAAGTCTTCGGCAGGCTGGGGAGCATCTGGTGGAGGCTGGTCCGGAAGGTAGTAGCGATCCGCGAATTCGGGCATGGCAAACAAAGCCTGCAGCGTGCTGTTAAGATAGCAGCTATTTCCAAGATTCTTCAGGCCGGTGAAGTTGGGCCCAAACAGCGGCTTCAGCTCCTTGCCATCTTCCGTAGTCATGGAGAACTCCCACAAGAGATTCTGCTCCACCTGCATCTCGGTCAAGCTCTTCTCCGTCTTGATTCTGTCCTTGATGTTGATGCCCCAGTGTGCCAAGTGGTTGGGTAGCTCTGGGTCGACGCGCTCCTCGTCGCAGGCATAGCAGTAGATGTCGGCAGTCCCGTCAGCGGTCAAAGAGCCAAGCTTGACAGCCACAGGATGACCTGAAGATTTCGTGTGCGCCACGCCATGGGAGTTGCCGCCGATGCCGCCGAATTGCTGTCGCCCGCAGCCCAGGTTGCCGCATGACAAGCAGAGCCACAGGTTCTCCTTGAGGTCGCACGAAGAGCACTGGCCCAGGCCCTGGGGCTCTATCTGGCGTGCCGCATCCTGCTCCAGACAAAGTGTGTGCTCGCATGCCGTCATCTCCTGCTCCCACGCCTTGACTTCCTCTTGCCGCGCGAAGGTATTGGCCTTCAACACTGCATCGACAACCTCTGAGAGCTTCCCCGAGCTCTTGTCTACGCCGTCGACGCCGCAAGCGTAGCACTTCACGGCCGTTGTTGTGTCATAGCGGTCGGCCTCGGTCTCGGCGGCAATGGCGAGTTTAGAGACCTTCTGGGGAGGCTCGTCGCGTTGGACATGTTTGCGCGTGCGCTTGATGTTTAGGACGAGAGGGTGGCTTGTCTTGGACGCGTGGAGGGAGGAGTGGTTCCGCTCGCTCGTGCAGCCGCCGTTAAAGCAGAACAGGCAAACATCGAGGCCGCTGGGGTCATCCTGGGTTGTGTAAGTCTACGTGAGCCTGGGAGCACCTGGGGTTCACATATCAGCTTACGATAGAGTCGAAGCATTGCGTACAGTCCTCGCGATAGACCGACTGGTTCGGGCCTGGAGCGCGCAGCTCTGCGCCTGGTCAGCTTTCCAACGCGTTCCTGGGACGAAAGCGGGGCACTTACCCGCCGCGTTGACATGCGTGCAAGCCATTCGAGCTGCTGCACGCCGGAGATTATTGGAGACGTATCGAGGGGCAAAATCTGAGAGAAAGAGGGGAGTAGGGGAGGTACAAAACTTATGGTGTAGGAGTTGATCAGAACGCCGCACTGTTTGCTATGTAATGCGGGATGATGGAGCTAGGAAACTTTGGTGGGGCAACTGGCGCAAAGCTTAGGCAGGCACCAACACCAACGACATCATCTCGCGCCCGGGTTCACCGTGGCTGACACAAAAATTTGGAGTTTGGCTCATCTTGTCCGTAAGACCTTACTGTACAAAACAGTCACAAGACTGTTGTCTAATAGTTGATCCCTGCATTTTCTGGCCACAAAGTCCAGGTTTTTCTGTCAACCCCTATGATTGGATACATTTGGTATACGGTATCAGGCAATCAACCCGCATGGCGTTTCGGACCTTCGATTTCTCCAGAAGGTATGACAGCCAGCGCATCTGCCGTCACCTATTTAAGTCTCACGCAGTCCTCTTCCTTGTGAAGCGTATGATCCGAACGTCGAAGGCATTGCTCCTGCGGTGCCACTCCTCGTTGGGAACTTCTGGCCGACTATCCCCCAAACTCCAGCCACTATGATCCACGTGTCCATCCCAGATCAACTCATAGGATGCATTCTTGATAGGAAACCTCCACGTCTTCGCAGCTTCGACAACCTGCTCCAGCTGCGCTCGTTTCTCCGTAAAGGTTTCCAGGACCAGCTCCAGACATTTCAAATCAGGCATTCGTCCGATTGTCGCCGCCCACCCTGGACTTCGGTCAGGGTCCTCGTCTGCAAAAGTGGGTGGATGGTTTCCCGAGCGACGTCTGTTCGCGAGCTCACGCATGAGTGCTGCCGTGGGTCGTCTGGCGAGAATACCATCACCGACGTTCGGATCAAGACCGAGGTGATGCGTGGGATCAGTGCTCGTTGGTGAATCGGTCCAAGCCCACCAGTCCGAGGATTCGATGCGCAGTGTGAGGTGGACAATAGGCCGAGCTTGAGCAACCCGCATAGCGGAAGACCACGGCAGGTGGAGACCAGAAATGCCTCTTGATTCAATGGTAGCCTTGCCCAGCAGGTGCGAAAGGAAGTGTCGGTCCAGTCCCTCCTCTGAGGGGACGCAGCAGAAGCTTTTGAAGCAGGGTTTGAGCATCGAGAGGCTTGCCAAATTTTCCGTTGACCCCACGATTTCGTGCCTGAAATTTCCCGGAGCCACGTATATGCCTCGATGCCGCGCTTCTGGCTGCCAGCCTGATGGGCCGTGGAGATTATTCTGCAACGAATTTGGGAAACCCGGTGCCTTGCCTTCAAGTAAATATTGTTGAACTGTGATATCCAAGCTCTGGATAAGCGCCACCTGCCATGGATATGGTAGTCCTCTCGGTTCGTAGGGTATACGGTGATGCTCTCCCAGACTGTACAAGATGTAAGGGTTGAGTGAAAGTGGAAGCATCCATGTCTCGTGATAGACGGCTCGACATGTGAGGAGCAGGTCAGTTGCGATGTCGTTGCGTCGAGTTCCAATCATTCGCATCCGGAATCGCCTAGCATTTCGGTGTACGATGCTCTCGAACGAGTGAGCCTTTGAGTCAGTTAAGGCATACATAAAAATCAAGTCACGCAGCTCCTTTGGAATCACAGAGTAGAGCGGACAATGTGCCTGGTTCAACACTGGTTCATGCTCAATGTGCCACGCAAGTGGCTCTACGCAACGGCCTTGGTAGACGCATGGGGAGTCGTGGTTCCGCAGGAGACTTTGGCAGGTGGTGCATGTGCAGGCATTGGCCTTGTTGTTGGCTCCGCAGCTACAAATATATTTGGCTCGCTTTTTCCATCAGTCTACCATGACTCGGCGACGCCAAAGAGCGGACTCACCCGACTGTCATGTGTCGATCGCAGGTTGGATGGTTTGCGCGGCGGCAAAGGGGGAGGAGCACGATTACGGGATCTGAATGGGATACTCATCTCGGTCTGGCTGCAAGCTAAGGTGTTAACCTGACATAAAGGTGCAGAGATGGAAGCAATCAAGTGTCAAGTTTGAAGGTGGAGCTCCAGCCTCCTCAAATCGGCGCTTACATGGCGCTTGCCGAAAATTTCCGGCTTCTGCCTGATTTAAACCCTGTAAATTGCTCCAAGAAATCCTTTGAAGATGTCAACAAAATGAAATTGACGAAGTATCTCACCTGCCAGGACTTCGTGTACATGCACATATGGTTCGCACTTGAGACGTTCAATTTCAGCAAGCGTGCGTATGAAGATGATCTAAGCACTCATACAAAATAGGCGCGAATCCCGGTGCCGTATAGAAGTCGGGGAGACCTGGGTAGGTACACCGGAGTGAGGAATAGACCGGACGATTTGGCGAGGCTCATTACGAGGAGAGTCCGGTTCCTGTTCTCACCCACTGTGGTAATGAAAGTGAAATCGGTGGGGTTGTTGTGAAGAAACCACGCCGCTTGCAGGCGTATTGTTTGGCCCTTTGCGGAATCTCACAGCCGCTGGGCGAGCTGTGGAACGTTGCAGCATTGCTGTTCCCTTTTCACCCTAGTGATTGATTCCTATGCACTTGAGTGCCCATTTCCCATTGATGATCAGTGGAAAGAACTGAACAAGAAAAGTCCTCAGCGAAAGACCCATGCTTCCCAGGACTCAAAGTAATCCCTGGTCACGAGACCAGACTTATACCAATAGTCCTCCCAATGCATTTCTACAGCTTCACCATGCTATTTTCAGTCAATCTCGTAGAAGATATCAAGAAGAGCTGCACCTGGGCGCCACTTTGCCATGTGCCACCTCGGCGAACAGCAAAGACGTCTTCGTTTGGATAGTCCGAAGATGCTTCTGTGTATGGTCTTACATATTGAAGCCCCATGCAAGCTTGTCCTGGGTGTATTGGGAAATATTCTTGACATCAAAATCTTCGTACTGTACCCAGTCGTCCTGAAAATGTAATGGTGCCCACATAATGGTGCCCACAACGCAACCTGTTTCAGCGCAGGCATCGAAGCCGCAGCTTTGGCGAATGTGACAAGAAAGAGTCTCAGTACTTCATCGTTCGGTACAATGAGAAAATTGTGCACGAGTGCAGTAGTTCATCCAGTCGAAGTTTTCGTAACTAAATTCCGATTTTTCATCTTGTTCAGTGGTTTCTAGTGGGGGGTTAAGATTTGGTAGTGATCTCGAAGCCTTCGTGTTCTCCCTTATTATGTGGGCCCCGAAAGCATCCGGATCCAGAAGGGGAAGCAACTGCTTTTCAAGGTTTGGCCACGAAGGAGTAGTCACATCGTTATGCCAAAACAAGCTATGATCAGCAATCACTTGTAACATCATTATGCGAAGCTGATGCGAAAGGAGACGGAGGCTGGTGCTGAAGACGTCGTATATGGACGGATGTGTAAGATCTGGCATTGCAAGGCGTTGGTATGTTTGATCGACGACTTCAAGAGGGAAAATAAAGTCCAGTCGTACATGACTTAGCTTCTGGAGTGTAATTCCGATAGAGTTGAACGCTTGTGCAAAGTCGCGGCGAGAGTCTCAACAGGGTCCAGCCCAGTCATATGTGATGTAGCGAGCTTCTTCGGAAGTTGTACCTAGCATCCAGTCATAGCCAACAATATTACATACCAGAAGGTTCAGGTTGGGTAGTTTCCTGGCAAGATCTAGAATTATGTGAAGGTCGAGTTTACGCAGAGGCGGCTCAGGCTTAAAATTGTAATTTGTTGACGTTCCGAGCTCAACGCGTAGAGATCGAACCGATCCAAGATTCGGGAGCGAGTCCGGAGAAATCAAATGTACGCGCCAGCTACTGAACGCGCGATGAATACAACAACATCCTCTAGCAATAGCTATTGTGGGGGTGTATATGATGAGCTCGATATTTCCGGGACCATTGTGACTACATACCAGCGCCGGTACACTAGTCTTCAGCTCAACTTGACGGAGGTATCGAAAAAATCGTCGTCCGCTATAGGTCCCCAGGAAATCTTCCACACTGTCTTGATTCGGTGTGTATGTGGAAAAAGCGCTAGAAAACCTTTCAGCTGCATACTGAAAAGGCTGTGAAATCAAAAGCGTGTTTTCAAGATCGTCGCGATCGAGGTGTTTGCCGATGCTGTCGACAATTTCTTGCGGTAGACTGTTCATAGTAGAAGGGTGATGGACGTGGTCAAACAGGAGATGGAGTCGCTAACGAATGACCTGATATGGTTCAGAAGAATGAGAGTTGAGAGTTGAGAGTTGAGAGTCCAGAGCGTACCGATATGTTGGGGGCGAGCGACAACTAAGGGGCGGCGTAGCTAGCGCAACGTCCGTGGGCTTACCTCCCATAATTCTACCCTGGGTCGCATAACTTTCAATCACCGGCGCGTTATAAGGAATGTATTTCAAGGAAGTTTTGACGCCAAAAATGGCGGGATTTTGAGGGCCTATCGCGCACCAACGTTGTTTAGTATCACATGTTATACCGGTACCATGACAACCAATTGATCAATCCGCCAGCGGATACTCCGATAGAAGCAATAACGCACAGATGCAGACCCACACAGTACAAGAAAGATGCGATTAATATTACATTTACATCGTTTTGCCACTTTCCTCCAGCTCAGGTGTAGAATGATAACCGCTGTCTCTACTCCTTACCCTCTCCAGCCGGGGAAGCTCCTCCAGCGCTTGCGCATAAAGTACCGTGCTAGCCTTCTCCCCTAACTCTGTCAGCTTACAGGAGGACCTCGTCCGCTTTGCACTCTTCCCAATCATCTCTTTCACGGTGACCGCGGGCGAAAAAATCGTGATAGGTCCCGCCTCCGGCAAATTCGGTACTGACTGGGCGAGAAGTAAATTCTCCGGCTGCTAGAGTTCCAAATCCCCGTTGCCCATTATTACACCCCCATCTTTATCACTCACCGTTGCATAATCCGCTTTCTCGCCGCCTATATCGATGTTACTCGCCGGCGGACATGACGGCGGCACGCTCTTCCGGCTTGTTGCACTCGCGATCAGCGCGCCCCAAAAGTCCGTCTTGTCTTTCTTATCTTGCTTCACCTCCTTACAGTTGTCTGGCTTGACGATACCCTCGGTGGGCGGAGGTGGTAGGAGGGGCTCGATCGGCGGCAGAGTGACGACTGATTCGAGGGATGTGTGCACGCCGAATTGCTTGCCCCAGCGGCACTCGGAGGGGTAGTCGCAGGTGTTCCAGCAGTCTTTCCGAGGAGTCCGAGACCGCGTCATGCTCGCGGTGATGGCCATTGAAACATGGCTGTCCTCGATGGAACCTTCTGATGGAGACGAACTGGGGAAACACTCCTCATCTCCATAGATACTATCCTTCCTCCCGTACCCACTCCTCTTCCAACGCCCCCAGGTCTTCCAACCCCTATAGTCAAACTCACTTGCGCACGCCCGATGCCTCCGCACCCGCACGGCCCGCAGCGGCCTCCGCCAGCTCTTCACCTCTGTCACGCCTCCCGCACAAAATGTGTGGCCGTCCTCTAGGCACCGCCGGGTCACGCCGAGTGAATAGGTGCGGCGGCACCGATGGCACTGCCAGAGCCATTGGAGGGGGAGAGGTGGCGGGGAGGGCGTCGAGGGCGTGGGGAATGTGAGGGTGTGGGGCGGAGGTGGGTTAAAGAGAGGGAGAGGGGTGGGCGGAGAGAAAGGGGAAGGGGGAAGAGACAAGTACGAGGGTTTGAAGGGGGCCGGGTGGAGTTGGAAGAATGGCTTGGTCTTGGTGGGCATGATCTGCTGTCCTAGATGCTGAAATTGAAGGCGTGGATGGTAAGGAGATGTACGGTGGTTTGGTACGGATGGAATTGCTTCAAAGACTAGCATTGCTTTACTTCTCTTCAACCTCGATATGGAATGGTATGATATATGGGTGAGCGACGCAAGGTTCGCACCGACCAAACTCAACGGATCGTGCAGACAACCGCGGCAAAAGAGACACGACGAAGTATCGTTTTAGAGACTCGGGAACATTATTCATAATATGTGAGCACCATGATCACAATTAGCAACCGGAGGCCTCTTTGATGGAGATATGCCTTTGTTCGCGCAGCGCCTGTCTTTGTCCGCTTAAGAATAGCTTTGACGAATGTGCCATCTCTTGTCGCACGTGCGTGCGGTCTAGAATAGGGCGGGTCTTTGTTCGGGTCGTGGTGTTGGCAAGTGAGACTCTGGGCCTTAGAGGTGAGATGAGCAGCTGGAGCCGTGATCTGCATGTGCGAACGGACTGCAAATATTTGCAATATGGCGGTCTGGATGAGAGAGTAGATCAGATGATGGCCTTGGTGAGTGAGTTAGGGAGTAGGACCGGTTTAGACATCTGCAAAGTGGCTCAACTACCGAACAGCCCGTACATGCGTGTGACTGCTATGTCGGAGACCACGAGCTGCTGCGTAGCAATGGCAGCTTACAAGAAGGATCATCCTGAAGTTGTCAAAGTTTTCAAGAAACTGTCGGTGGTAAGCCGTCGTTGTGTTGACGTGCTTACTTGAAGTGGTCGTCTGCATCGTGAGGACAACATCTTGTTTTCGAGCTGATGCAGTTATACTGCTCTCCATCGAAGTAATACGAAGTACGTTAAAGCTTCGAAGCTGAGTGACAGACTGACATTCTCGAATGTGCGTGGGAAGCGGATACAGCAAACACCTGCTCAGCCAGTCCCTCGATAATTGACTTCGGGACAACCTGAACTCTCCTACGCGTGTCAGCGATGTATACCGTATCATCCGCATTTTACATTCACGCGCTGAACACCACCAACCTCCGCGGTGTCCTTGGAGCCAAGGCCCCTGCCCCTCCACTCCAGGTATCACACCATCTCAAATACCGAGATAAGCCCAACTCACATGCCGTCATCGACTCAAACCCAAGGACTGGACGCCCCAGCTCGCTATCACTCCCCGTCTCCTGATCGAAACCCAACACACCCATCTCCCTCTCCCACGCGCTCCATCCCCGTACATATCAAGCCACTAGCTTGGCGTGGACCGAGGCGTCCTCGCGTCACCACTCACGCGACGCGGGCCATCCAACCACCAGTGCTGGTGCTCAAGCCGTGCGAATATGCATGCGACGCGTCGTCGCCGTCCTAAGACTTGCTGCTGCGAGATAAGGTGACTTGCGCGCCCATACCACCAGTACATGGAGCGAACCGACGACCATTCAGCAGGTTGATGCGCGCGGCCGTGACATCATACATGGCGAGACATGGGTGCTAGCGAGCGTTCCCCAGGTTTCCAGAGGGAGGATGCAATGAATGTTGCAGGTGGAAGAGATAAGAAATGAGTCTTAGCGTGAGCCTGCGATCGTGCCAACACCTCATCCGTGCTTGGCAGATAATGCAAGTATGCGCGTAGAGCGAAGCAGAACCAGAGGATAGATACGGACATGTAGATGCAAGCGAAGAATCATGCGTAAGGTTAATCGTAGATTAAAGCGACATTCTGAGTAAAATATATGTACAGTGTATTAAAACGCGAGGAAAAGGTTTATTTGATGGTCGCTCCACCACCGACAATCAAACAGCCTCGAGCTTTCAGCGCATGACGCTTTTCCCATTGATAGAAAAGACAGACGCAAAGGTGGTATCTCGAACTCCAGCCAAAATGCTACACACAATAAAATCAAGTGAAGAACAACATCTGAACAGCTGAGCATTCAGTGCTCGAGGCTGTTCTTCTCGTTCTGAACGCCCTCAGGGCCTGCAGCGACCGCGTGGCGGTCGCCGCCGATGCCGGTATGGGCGCCATCGTGGCTGCTCTCGCTCGGTGCCTTGCCCTCGAGCATTTGACTGTGTTGGGAGATACCGTGGCGGTCGCCTTGAGGAATGTCGTGCTCGGCAGTGATCGGGTCGCTCTTAGCGGGCGTCCACGCCAGGTAGTCGCGACGGACCTCAACGTAATCGTATGCGAATTCACCGAGCTGGTCGTCGTCCATACCGAGGAGCTCAGCTTCCTCAGAGGCACGCAGGTGGAGACCAGGAATCTTGTCGATGGCGAAAGCGATGAGGGCGCTGACGACGAAGGAGTAGGCAGTGCAGGCGACGATGTACGCAATCTGGATGTACATCTGCTTCCAGTTGTGCATGATCCAGCCGCCTTCGATCGAGTTGACGCCGTCGAGACCGACAATGTAAGGAGCGGCAAAGATACCGTTGAAGATGAGACCGACCATTCCGGCGACACCGTGCTCAGCGAACACATCGAGGGCATCATCGATCTTGATCCAGAACTTGACTGCAAATCGTTAGCGACATTCGTGGCATTAGGTAGCAGCAAACATACTCTTGGTAGCAAAGTTAGCAACAATGCCAGTGGTGATGCCGAGAGCAACGCTAGCCCACGGGGTGATGAAACCAGAGGCTGGGGTAGCAGCGACGAGACCCGAAATGCATCCTGAGCACCAACCGACCATGGACCATTTGCGTGCGAGACGCCAATCGAGGAGAACCCAAGTCATCGCGGCGAACATGGCGGTCAAGTTGCTGTTCCAGCAGGCGACGGTTGCACGCAGGTTGGCACCGAAAGCAGAGCCGCCGTTGAAGCCCAACCAGCCGAACCAGAGGAAGACGGTACCGAGGGTGATCAACGAAACGTTGTGCGGGCGAAAGTTCAGCATCATCTTCTCCTGGCGGCGACCGAGAACCATAGAGTAGGCGAGGGCAGACATTCCGGATACGATCTCGACGGGACCTCCACCAGCGTAATCCAAGCCACCCCATGCGAAGAACCATCCATTTGCACCCCAAGCCCAGCAGGCAACGGGGCAGTAAACGATTGTGGCCCAGATCCAAATGAAGATCATCATGGGAATAAGACGACCGCGCTCGGCAACAGCTCCGACGATAATGGCGGCGGTGACGGCACAAAATTGCATCTAAGAGGACCGATTAGCTAGGGGAGTGAAGATAACAATTCGCACGTACCTGGTAAAAGGCATACAAAAGCTCAGGAACAAGCGGGCTTCCAGGACTGGGAGCACCAAGAGTGTTCATGAGCCCAAACCTCCGCAGATCTCCGATAAAACCGTTCGTGGCCGAGCCACTAAGGGCGAGCGAATATCCCCAGAAGTACCATTGGAAAGTGATGACGGAACTCGAGAACATGCAGGCCCATATCATGGAAAGCGCAGACTTCCTTCGAGCGAGGCCAGAGTAGAGGAATCCTAGACCAGGCACCATCACCATCACCATAGCGGCTGCTATGATGATGTAGGCCTGGTCGCCAGATTGGTACCATTGGTTCAAGTTCTCGGTGGCTAGAATTCACAAGATGGTCAGCTTTCTGCTCGTGATGTAGCTGTGAGGAATGTTGATGGCGGCCGCGGATCCGGCTCTTGTGTTGCGTATGCACGTGGGTGGTGACACGAGGTAAGGCACTCACCAGAATCTCCCCCGGTCTCTGAATTGGTCCCATTGAACTCAGTGGGTGCGCCCACCCAGGAATACGACATGGAGGGCGAGTTTGGTAGGCTTGGTATTGGTCTGGCAAGGTACCGGACAGCGTACAAAGGTCAAAGGAAGGTCGGGTGGTCGGTATGGGCTGGAGGTGAAGACAAGGGAGAGTGGGAAGCCGGGGCACTGTTATGATATAGTGACCAGCGTAATGGGAAAAACCGGAGCCTGTGAAAGGACGCGAAAGGCACGCCGGGGCCTTTAATGGTTGATCTCTCTCTTATCAGGGTGGGTGCTCCTGGCGCGTCTGGGAAGGCAAAATAAACGACTACCCCCGCGTTAGTAGATCTGGAGCTTTGTTCTTCTGGTGCCGGGTTTGGGCGGGTTGGCGTCACCGCGCAGCATGGACTGTTTTGCTCTTATCTCGCCCTGTTACGGTGCCGCTCTTTGCCTGCTGATAAGAGGCCTGGGTCTACGGCGCGCCTGCGACTGCCAAATGGCCGATCGCGCCCGCAAGAGGCCCATGGCGGGAGCGCCTCGCTAGTAAGCGGTGGGACCTGGCTTGCGGCGCCCAACGGTGACTTTGCCATGACGGTCGCACCAGCAGGGCCAGTCTCAGGTGCGGCGGGAGCTTTGGGGGTGGGATTTTGCTAAGGCGATGAGGTACACTCGAGATAAGGAATGCCACTACCGCCGGAAGCGGGCATGGCGCCGGCCTAAGCCAATCTCGAGTCGGTCCCTGCGCGGCTCGCCGCCACATGTCAAACGCCAGCAGCGGACGGCGCTACGAACCATTATGTTATTTCGTTGATGGCAGAGATAACCCTCGACAGACCTGCTCCGCGCGCCCTGGCCGACCTACCCTCGGTCCGGGGTCGCTCCACACAGCAGCCTGACCATTGTCGTGCTCGCTGCTGGCTGCTGTGTCCATCGCGACTCGAGAATGCACGCAGCCGCCTGCGCGGGCGCTGTACCACTCACGTGCTCGCGCCTTATGCCCTGTGCGAGGCTGCGTCGGTAGCACTCGTCTCCCAGGCACTGGTACAGATCGCCCCGTTACGGGGAGAAACGTTCCTGTCCGGTAGCGTGCTACCCCGTTCCAGAACTCAACTCGGCGAAGTCATCGCTGCGCCGCCCAAGGACAACTTCGATGGCTCCCACTCCCCACAGCCCCTTTCATGTAGGGCTGGAACATGCCAGCAATACAAGTACGAGAGCGCATGTAGGTCTGTGTGCCTGTCTTCCCTGTCGATACAACATTGTGGGCGTGGGCGTGCTCCGCCGTCGTGGAACGATTTCCCTGCAGGTCAGCCTGCCCCCGCGCCCCGTATTGTACGGCCCTGTATGTTCCGCAAAGGCAAGCTCAAAACCATGGGGAACCGTAATCTGGGTCCTGACCAGTGGGGTGCGGTTTTCGGGCGTGGAGCACGCACACCTGGCGTGGGACAGGTTTTCAGACAGTGGTGCTGAGGACGGCGACGCTCACATGGACCAGCAATGCTTGTACGAGTGTGCTATTTTCACTCACATGTGTTTCATTTTGTCTTGGAAAGCATTGACCAAAGTTGTCTGTGTTATCTGGCTTGCGCAAATGTGTGTGTAGCAATTACCTGACTATCGGAATTCTACGAGGTAATGCCGCCAGCCAATCCCGGCGTGTCCGACCTCGGACCTGAGATTAGTACATACGCTGTCTAACAATCGCGTGCCAAACGGCACTTGGACGTATCGGATCTTGGCCGCGTTCTCGTTTCGATATTCATCAGATGATATTATAAATGCCGCAGGAGTAAGCATAGGTGTTCAGGACCTGTGTCGGAGCTCACTTTGACTTTGAGGGGGGCACGACGCTCCGTTCAAAAACCAATTAGCTGCTCAAAGTAAGCAAACGTAAGCGGAGTATAGCCATCGCCCAGATACGTGGGCCCAGGGGTAATGTTGAACATTGTTGTCGTCACAAAGAAGCGGCACCGTAGCAGATGGTCGAGCTTTCGAGGTAGCTGTTGGGAACAGTGCAGTGTAGCAGAAAGATTTCGAAGATAGAATGTAGTAGTTCAAGGTGACTCTAGTCAAGGCAGTATTGGTATCCTTATATGATCCACTAATTCGTTGGGTACAAGTGCACCTTGGGTCGTGTAATCCTACCCAAGGGAATGCATCTTCTGGGATGGGCTGGGAATGGCATGTGGTCTTGGTCCTGTTGTCTGCTTATATTGAGAAGAATACTTTTTCATCATGGGTTCATTCTAAGACTGTTGCATCATGATCGATGCTCGAGCCAAAACCACGCGAAATGATCCACACAGCCGCCAAGCGAACGGTTAAAAGTGGGGCGAATGCCTGCAGAGGCGCGGGCGCTTGACCCCGCCAAGTCTTCGAAGGTTCCCCAATTCAACACCCTCCACGAGTGTTACCATCTGAGCGGAACACGCTGCTCCACCTGCGCAGCAAGCCTGCCACTATGGTTCTCTCGTTCATTCTGATTCAGAACCGCCAGTATGTGAGGCTAGTGCTCGACAAGAGCGGCACTGACGAAATCTCAGGGGGAAGACGAGATTGGCCAAGTGGTATGCGCCGTATAGCGTACGTTGCGACACTCGATGTTATGCACGCAGATACTAACCGCGTATAAGGATGAAGAGAAAATCAAGCTCAAGGGCGAGGTATATCTACCCTTGTCCACCCAGCTCCGCGTCCCCCGTCTTCTCAGCGGCTCACGAAGTCCTGCTGACGTTTCGCCCACCCTCCGCAATGCTTCGAACACGACATCTCGAATGGCAACTAACTCTGCTAGGTCCACCGCCTCATTGCGCCTCGCGATCAGAAACACCAGTCCAACTTCGTCGAATTCCGCAACATGTCCAAGATAATATATCGACGTTACGCCGGGCTATTCTTCTGCGCATGCGTTGACACAAACGATAACGAGTTGGCATATCTGGAGGCTATACATTTCTTTGTGGAAGTGCTCGATGCCTTTTTCGGCAACGTCTGCGAGCTGGATCTGGTCTTCAACTTCTACAAGGTGGGTGCCTCTCCCATGGCAGATGCTTGCGATGGAACTTTGCAGAGAAAGGCCGTATAGCTAACAGGCCGTAGGTCTACGCAATCCTCGATGAAGTGTTCTTGGCCGGCGAGATCGAAGAAACGAGTAAAACGGTGGTGCTGACACGACTCGCACATCTTGATAAGTTGGAGTAGGAGCTGGGTTAGCTCATATCTACTACAGACGGGATCATGGTATCAGATGGTATGCATTTGGAAAACACTGGCGCATAACAGGGACGAGAGAACTCGAAGAGGTCGAAGTTCTGGAGGAGCAAACTATCAGGTTCCGCGCGGATTGCGAGGCACCCGTGCTCCGCGGAGGAACGCAGTGAATGCGGAAGGGGTAGCTATGCTACAATCTCAGGTACCCATTTAGATGTCGAAGGAGGCTTTATCGAGCACGAAGCTTTTAGAGGATTGATTAATTAATTCAATCCAATGCTACCTTCCATGACCCATGGGGGATGCCACAAGAAACTGGACATCTGGAGTACACCTCGTCTTGTAAGACTCACTGTACGATGCAATCACAGAATTAAAAATGAACAGTCCGTCCTGATATTTTATAGCTCTGAAACTCTAGCCTAGTAGCTGACCTTGAAGCTACCCCGCCGCATGCTCGTTAGCGATGTGATAGTATCATCGTGTGTGATCATTGCGCTTCGTATGTGAAGCAGTTCGGTAAGATGCAGTTATCTATTCCGGTCCAGTGCAGGCATCCCTATGGCACGTGGCGTGACTTCCTGATGTTGTGTCGGCGACGGTCTCGATCGGAAGGTGCGACCATTGTAGTGCACGGGCCAGGGCTCGGTATGTTTGAACGTTGAACTTTCCAGATGCCAGATCATCCAAATTCAAGAGATTAACTACACGCCCCGCAAGGCCTCAGCTGCGGTTGTGCCTTGATATGCTCTGCCCCAGAACCCTTCCGCGACCCCCAAGTAACCCCTAGCTATCGCGAACCCAGTCACTTGCCTCCGCCCTAAACTTCGACGGTGAGCGCTCGCGCCGCAACCATGTCCGAGTTCACGATGTACCACGCCCTCGGACAGGGCTCGCCGAACCCGAATGGCCCTCCCCGCAAAGAAGAACCAAAGTTCCGGCCTCCAGTCGCTGCTGGCCCTACAGGATATCAGCAAACTGGCAGCCCCGCATACGGTCAAACCCCCAGTCAGTACGTAGGAACGCCGAATCAGGTTCCTACGCCAGGTCAGCAGCAAGGATACTTTCCACCGCAGGACCTCCCGCCGAGACAGGCCGGACAGTCTGTGGATACTTTGGCACAGCAAGTGGGAGGAATGGGGCTGGGAGCGGAGCAGACAGGCACCGTCAGGCACAAAAAGAAGGACCGGCATGCATATCACAACATCGAAGGACCGGCTGGCAGCCCGCAGGCATTCAACGGCATGCCGCAGAGCCAGAACGGAACCCCTAACCAGTTCCTGAACTCTCCCCAGGTTGGCGGGCCGCAATGGGCGCAACCAGAGATAACACCTGCAATGAACCAATTCCCAGCTGCTGCACCAATGTTTTCGCCTTCGAATCCCGCCACAGGCATGCAACATGCTGCGCGCACAGGCGATCAATTGCAAGGCTCGCCGGCCTCTTCACAGCAAGGTCGAGTGGACCCAGAGCAGATACCGAGCATTCCACGATCGCGTGACGCACCCGCAAAGTATTATCTGGAGCATGTATATCCTACCATGGAACATCATCTTCCACCACCAGCACTGACACCTTTTGTGGCATTCGACCAGGGCAACTCTTCGCCAAAGTTCGCCCGACTTACCTTGAACAGTATACCGAACAGCGCCGATGCCCTGGGCTCCACCCATCTGCCACTTGGTCTAGTTCTCCAACCTCTCGCCAAGTTACAGGAAGGCGAACAGCCAATACCAGTCCTGGACTTTGGTGATACCGGTCCACCTAGATGTAGGCGATGCCGAACATACATCAACCCTTTCATGCAATTCAAATCTGGTGGCAACAAATTTGTATGCAACATGTGCACTTATCCGAACGATGTGCCTGCCGAGTATTTTGCGCCTACGGATCCATCTGGAGTGCGAGTGGACCGATTGCAACGGCCGGAACTGACGCTAGGAACGGTTGACTTCATGGTTCCCAGGGAGTACTGGTCAAAGGAGCCCGTCGGGCTAAGATGGCTGTTCTTGATAGACGTGAGCGCAGAAGCTGTGAACCGCGGCTTCCTGGACGGCTTCTGCGAAGGTATCATCAGCGCACTCTACGGTCGCGAGAACGAGCAGTCCGAAAACGCTGGTCAGACCCAACGAAGGCTTCCCGAAGGTGCCAAGGTCGGCATTGTCACCTTTGACAAGGAGATGCATTTCTATAACTTGAGCCACAACCTGGAGGCCGCTCAAATGTTGGTGATGCCCGACCTTGAAGAACCATTTGTACCACTGAGTGAAGGGCTCTTTGTTGACCCGGAAGAGTCCAAGGCAGTCATCACATCCCTGCTCACACAGTTACCTAACATGTTCTCGGAATTCAAGAATCCCGAACCGGCGCTACTTCCGACTTTGAGTTCGGCTGTGGAAGCGCTCGCAGCAACGGGAGGAAAAATCGTTTGCTCTTTGGCAGCGCTACCGACATGGGGACCGGGACGGTTGTTCCTCCGCGATGATGGCAGCATGCACAACAATGACGCCGAAAAGAAGCTTCTGACGACAGAGCATCCAGGATTCAAGAAGGTGGCTCAGAAAATGGTGGAGAGCGGTGTTGGTGTCGACTTCTTCATGGCCGCACCTAGCGGTGGCTATTTGGATATTGCCACTATAGGGCACGTCTCAGCTACCACCGGTGGCGAAATCTTCTACTACCCCAACTTCCACTCCCCACGAGATACGCTCAAACTGTCAAAAGAAATCAAGCACACTGTTACTCGAGAAACTGGATATCAGGCTCTCATGAAAGTGCGCTGCTCAAATGGCCTCCAGGTCTCGGCCTATCACGGGAACTTCTATCACCACACCTTCGGAGCAGATCTGGAATTTGGAGTCATCGATGCAGACAAGTCTATCGGTGTCATGTTCTCGTACGATGGCAAACTCGATCCAAAGTTGGATGCCCATTTCCAGGCCGCGTTACTTTACACGACAGCCAGCGGCCAGCGCCGGGTGAGATGTATTAACAACGTTGCTAGTGTCAGCGAACGACCTGCAGAGTCGTTGAAGTTCGTTGATCAAGATGCTGTTGTGACCATCATAGCGAAAGAGGCTGCCGCTCGTATGGCCGAGAAGAATCTGAAGGATCTCCGTGCCGCGCTGACAGAGAAGACTGTTGATATCCTCGCTGGATATCGGAAGAACTTCACAGGCCACAACAACCCGCCAGGCCAGCTCGTTCTGCCGGAGAACCTCAAGGAGCTTAGCATGTACATTCTTGGCTTGGTCAAGTCCAGAGCCTTCAAAGGTGGCAAGGAGCCCACAGATCGGAGAGTGCATGATATGAGGCTACTTAAGTCTATGAGTCCATTGGAGCTTTCGCTCTATCTCTACCCACGCATTATCTCGATCCACAATCTGGACGAGAAGGACGGCTTCGCCAACGAAAACGGCCATCTCAGGATGCCGGAGGGTATCCGCGCATCCTTCTCGAAGGTAGAAGAAGGCGGTGTCTATATCGTGGATAACGGTCAGATATGCCTGCTGTGGTTACACGCTCAGGTGTCGCCAAATCTGTTACAAGACCTCTTCGGCGAAGGCCACGACAGCCTGAAGAGCTTAGATCCATTCGTGTCGACACTTCCAGTTCTTGAGACGCACCTCAATGCTCAAGTACGCAACATCTTGCAATACTTGGAGGACACGCGCGGCTCCAAAGCGTTGACTCTGCAGATGGCACGACAAGGTCTTGATGGGGCGGAGTACGAATTTGCACGATTGTTGTATGAGGACCGCAACAACGAGGCTCAGAGCTACGTGGACTGGCTTGTCCACGTGCACAGACATATCCAGCTCGAGGTACGTTAGTCTAGTATATATCATGACATGTGCGCTTACTGACTTGGTTCCAAAGCTCGCAGGACAGCGAAAGAAAGAGGACTCTGACGGCGGCTTAAGCTCGACCTTTGTAGGATTACGCACGCCATACTGGGGTTGAGGGCTTTTAGCGGATTATGTGTATTGCATAGCGAATCTGGGAGTACAACAGGCTTGAGTAGAACGATACGATTTATGGCATTGGAGATACATAATTACCTCTCCGTAACTATTGCATGACGTTGGTGGTTTTCGTGCCTACGAGTGGAGAGTCATGCCAAGATGTATCACGTGAATGTCAACGGAAAATTGACGGGCCGAACTACTCGCTTAATTCTAACCCACCAACTCCAAACTCTTGCAGCGCAGGCAGAACTTCATCGATACTAACACAGCAGTCGCCCATCATGCCTACCCGTCTGTCGAACACCCGCAAGCACAGGGTAAGGATCCCAACAACGCGCGCACCACGCTGAGACTGACGAAAAACAGGGTCACGTCTCCGCCGGTCATGGACGTGTAGGAAAGCACCGCAAGCATCCCGGTGGTCGTGGTATGGCTGGTGGCCAGCACCACCACAGGACCAACATCGACAAGTACCATCCCGGTTACTTTGGTAAAGTTGGTATGCGCTACTTGTAAGTCGCTCCCTATTACCATCAACTGGCGAAGCAGCGCCTAACACATCTGCAGCCACAAGACCCAGCAGAAGTTCTGGAAGCCCGTCGTCAACCTCGACAAGCTGTGGTCTCTCATCCCCGCCGAGAAGCGCGATGCCTACCTCACCAAGAAGTCCGACAAGGCGCCCGTCCTCGACCTCCTCTCGCTCGGCTACTCCAAGGTCCTCGGCAAGGGCCGTCTTCCCGCCGTTCCCATCATCGTCCGCGCCCGCTACGTCTCTGCTGAGGCCGAGAAGAAGATCAAGGAGGCTGGCGGTGTCGTCCAGCTCGTCGCATAAACGCGCACACCACACGGAGTCTACGGCTTATGGGAATGAATATACCTCTTCGGGTTGAACGGATACGGATAAAAGTCTAGTTTTGACTGTGGGCCTAGGGCTTGTGCTGCCGACTGGCGCGCAAGACTCTTGCAGCGTGGTGGCTGAGGAATGATGCCGATTCATAGAAATGAACGTCCATTCCTGAACAAACCTTTTCCGCCCGATTCTGTCCCTCGTGGACTGGACGCCTCCGGGTGTCGTGCGGTTCTGCTGCTTCAGCGGGGTCTCGCAGGGTCTTTGCATGTTTTTGTGATGTCTGCGTGATGTTGTTTCTGCTGTTTTTACGTGACCTCGTATCACCTTGCCATCTTCCACCAAACGTTAATGGCGATTACCATATCTCGCTCCTGAGGCTAGTAGTCGTAGTCCTGGTGTCGGTAAAGATCTTTGTCCAATCATGTTCGCCTCCCAAGCCCAATTGACTGAAGCGCGGATCGTGAATCTAGAGCTTCTTCCATCCGCACATCGGCACAATTGAAGTACACCAGCCGCAAGGAAAGCCCAAATACTTTCAGGAACCAACTGGTAGCCAAGTTTTCCAAAATACTCCTGCCATCCTGTATTTGCTACTTCGAGGAGTTTGTATTCCGAGATAGTTGTAGTTATTGTACCATCGATCGTATCCCTTCATGGTATTGTACAGGTCTGTCTTATCTTCGTTATTGCTTTCATCAAGATACTCGCAGGGAGGCCTAATCAGCAAGTAGTCAGTCATTGATCAATACAAGTCCCAGAATCGATTGTTTAACTGAACAACTGCATAGCCTCTCTATCAACGCGCATATCTAGCATTGCCGCACAAGAAATCGACGAGGACAAGAAGCTACCCATGCCAGCATCGCACTAGGTATCTCCTGCGGTCGTTCTGTAGTTGGGATGGTTCAGACGAAGGCGGTTGAGACGACGATGCTCCCAGAGCCACGGTTCACACGTGACTCATCCCACCGTTCTCCCACGCAATCTCTTCTCCTCGCGGGTCTAGTTACCTACGTGAGTGCCCTCCAGCTTGTTCTTAAATGACTCCGGTATTTCCACATGGTCGGTTCATGATGCCGTGTTGGGAGCGGGTTCCTGTAATGCTGGTAATACCTGGCAAAACAAGCAAGAGGCAGGTGCGGAGCGTGCGGTTCCTTCCTCATCAATATGCTCTCAACATCGGCAAGCGCTGGGTGGTAGTTGCCGTCTTAACATCCACGTCTCTCTCCCCAAGAATTGCTTGCGATTCCACCTTTGTTCTCTACAATTTACCATGATTAACCCGAAGTTGTTTTGCCATCGCTTCTGACCCTTGCTATTGTTTCGCAGCTCTTCACCATTTGCTATGGCATTCTTCCGCAACGCTGCTGCGACAGCGGTCATCGCTCTCGTCACGGCAACTTCCTCGTCCAAGCGTGGGCTCTGCGTCATACCACCTAGAGACAACCCTCACCACGCCGAAGACAACGCTATCTGGACCACAACTTCTGGCTCTCGCTCCCGCCTGAAATGGTATTACAACTACAAATCCACACCCACTGAGGGATATCAGGATATGGCCGGCTTCGAGTTCGTGCCTATGTTTTGGGGCGCCCCTGAAGGCGGCTTTACTGGCGATACACCCTTCCTTGACAGCGTCCGACACCAAGTCAAGTCCGGCTCGAATATCACCCATGTCCTCGGCTTCAACGAGCCTGACGGTCCCTTCCAGTACGGCGCTTCGAACATTCCCGCACAGGTAGCGGCCAAGGAGTGGAAGAGACAAATGGAGCCGCTGAAGGAGCAAGGAATCAAGCTGGGTGCTCCCGCTGTCACCGGAACCCTAGATGGCGCCATGTGGCTCCAGGACTTTTTCTTCTACTGCAACGGCACCTGCAACCCCGACTTCCTTCCGCTTCACTTCTACGGCAGTTTCGAGGCTATGGCCAGCAAGATAGGTGAAATGACTGTTGCATACCCTAAGCTACCGATTTGGGTAACGGAATGGGGCTACAGCCACCAGGATCTTCCCACTACACAGCACGCCTTCAACGAGTCGATCCGCATGTTTGATGACTGGAGGTGAGTGCTCTACCCCCTTTTAGTACTCCAATGTAGTATCCAACCTAAACTCAGTACCGCGATGTCCAACCTTTGTCAAAGGCAAACTTGAGAGAAGTTAACTGACAGCTCTGTTAGCAATATCACCCGATACTCATATTTCGGTGCGTTTCGATCGGACACCTCAAACGTTGGCCCGAATTCAGCCATGCTGACCGAGAAGGGCGAATTGACAGACATCGGGTCGTGCTACCTGGGTGGATCGAGGACCAACAAAATACCTCATAGCAGTTGGGCCGAACACTTGAGAGTGAAGGAGAAAACGATACGATTGGGCGCCCTTTTTGCTCTTGTAGGAGTACTTGGAGACTGGTGATTACTCTTGCCCACGTGAGCAGGCTGGCTGGCACACCACTTATTTTCCTTCTAGTACTCTGGGCATTTAGGGATGCTTTGGGGAATCTTTGGCCCCTCTGTTTGAGGTTTGGGGGAGCCGACATAAGCACGCAGAAGAACGACCAGATGACTAAAACAATGCTATTTCATCCCCCTCGCTAACGAACTTATATGCATCCAGGCCCCCGGCCGCGCAGTCCGTGAATTACAAAATATGCTGTCAGAGTCTATGTAACAAACCAGGAAAACCGTTTGCCTCGTAGGGTACAGATAGATACCACCCAGGTATATACGCCCGTTCCCAGCCATGCTATGCCCTCCTCAGGCGCATGCTATATGTCAGAGTCCGGACTTGCAGAGCTGTAAACCGTCTTTCCAACATGTTTACATGTACAGTGCGGTGCGGGATCCCTGCGTAGAAAATGTACAATGCAGAATTACTTTTGCTTTGGGGTATCGATGTCGCAGCTCAGTAGGCATGTCCCTGGTAACCTCCCTGCTGGCTGCCATGCGGCGCCCACTGGCCGCCATAAGATGTGTAGCCCGTCTGCTGGGTGCCCATATCGACGGAGGGCAGACGGGGCGCCCGCGCGTCGGGGCTGGGGTTACGGGTGTCGGCGCTGATGCCGCGGCTGTGGGTGCCGGTTCGGCCGAACCCAGCGGCGTTGTCCATGAGATGCTCGTTGTCGTTGTCCTGGAAGGGGCGCGCCCCGTGGTATTGTGTGTTTTGCTCGGTAAGTGGGATGGGGTCGTAGCGGTGGCCGCCAACGCTGATGACGGAGCCGCGCTTGTATTCTTGCGGGTCCATGAGGAGGGAGTTGCGGGCGTCCAGGGGAGTGAGATTGTCCAGGTCGCGTGCCTTCTCTGTGGGGTTGTCAGTGCCATGCTTGATTGCGAGTTGCTGGAGAGACTTACCGGCTTCCTTCCTCTTCTTCTTGTGGGGATTCTCCTTGCAGCAAATGACAATGGCGTTGACTGCAATCAAAATAGCCAGGAGACCAGTCAGGACAGCCTGCATGACCACCAAAACAAGACCTGTCACCGTCTTCGTAGTTTGAGCAACACCAAGTTCCTCGACGAAAATCAGGATGCAAGCGACCGAGAGGACACGAACAACCTGGATGATGATGTTGATCCAGTTTCCAGACTTGAGCGAGAAGGGGCGAGACCACAGGAGCAAGATCAGGAGCAGAGACTCGACGATGAGTTGACCGGCGACCTGAGCCATACCGTGACCGTCTGCGCCCGCGATAACGCAACCGCGAGCAAACATGTAGACGATCAGCGGGATGAACAGCCACCAGTAGCTCTTCTTGTAGTTTTCGTAGAAAATGCTGTACTTCCTCCACAGCTCCTTGTTCTCGTACAGGGCGCCGGGGTTGCCCTCCATTCTCTTGAACTTCTGGGCCAAACTCCAGATCTTCCAGGTGAAGAAGGCAAGAACAGCGGTAAATATCGCAAGAGTAACGCCAGCAAGGACTTTGGCAGCCCACGAGTCACCGTTCTTGAACTGATAGACACAGTAGAGGGTCCAGATACCGTAGAGGAGGAGGATCAGGTGGGTGATGGTCTTGGCCAGTGTCCACCAGTACCGCTTGCGGAAGCCAGTCAGGCGCTTCGGGAAGTTGCCGCACAGAGCCCAGGTCTCAAGAATGACCTTGAAGAGGAGGATGGCGACGGTGATGGAGGCGACGACAATGGCGAAAACGAGGAGTACAGTCATGAAAGTGTTGCCGTTGGGAATGCTTAGCTCCTGAGCGTACTTTTTGATGCCTTCACCGAGATCACCAAATTGGTTGCTCTCCCCGCTGTCGGTGCTGTTGTCATTGTTGACACTCAAGTCATCACGTACCCAAAGCGACGCAACCTCGATCGCGCGCTTTGTCATGTTTTGACCGGAGCTGGTATAGCTGACTTTCTTCAGATAGTCGACGCTGTCTGCTGTGAGATTGCCGCCGGTCTTATTACGGAAGGTATCAATCGACCGTTGTGCGCTGTCCCAGCCGATGAGACCTGTGCTGAAAGCGAAGTTCTTTGAAAAGCTCTGGTAAACGCTGGGGTACTTGACGCTCATCATTCCGTTCAGTGCCATGGACTGGAACCAGCCGATGACGTCGCCAAAGTTGGGGCTTGACGTCGCCGTGCCAGCGTGACCTGCGCTCGCGAGGGCTGACAAACTGGAGACAGCCAACGCACCGGCTGCGATGCCGGCTGCGATGTACTTGGCAGCAGGGACATCCATCGTCTTGCCGTTGCTGACTGTAGAGGTAATGCAGGCCAGTTGCGATCCATCTTTTGCCTTGAGCTGCAACGTAGCCTGGCTGTCCAAGTCCGGGACGTTGAAGGCGATGGCCGGGATCTTGTCCATGTAGGCGTCGGGGATGGTCTGGGTTCCTTGGGCACCGAATGTACCCTCGGGTACTGTAGATGGTCAGTCGGGGCGTTCAGATGGGCGTAACGGCCCACTTACCTGGGCACAGCTGTGGCACCTTGGTGTCTTCCTTGCAGGGGTCGAACTCGTTCTTGTACACCTCGATGCCGTAGGCGTTGACAACGAGTGTAGCCATGACTTCCTGCTTCTTTAAACTGGTACCAGACACGTCGAATGTGACCTTCTTTGTCGACTTGACGAACTCGATGTCCATCCTGTTGACCTTGATGTCGGCATCATCCTGGCACGAGGTGTATCCGGTAGTCTTGAGTACATCTGCAGCAAGGGCACCCAGAGGGGCTGTTGCCAGTAATATGAAGGGCGCGAGCATTGTGGAATAAGAGATGTGGGCTCGCATGACGTTCGTTCTTCGCCCGCGGGCGATCTACCGCCTACGAAACGATGGGATGGAAGGACGCGCAAGGCTCGGTCTGCGTCGACGAGCTAGAGAGAAGGCGATAAGAGAGTCGTGATACAAAGGAAGCGGGTGATTAAAAGGTGTAGGGCCGCAGGTTCAACCTGTGTGGTGCCGGAACAGGGTGCGTCGAAGGTGAAGATGGTGTCGAAGAGGCAAACAAACGAGAGAGAGGATCAGAAGACCAAAAGCCTTTGGTGTGCTGGCAGTTGGAGGAAAGCGAACGATGAAACGAGAGGTTGTCGGTTGCTGGAAGGGGAGAGATGAGCGCGTGCAGGTGAGGCAGCGACTGAAACCTGGTTGTCTTTGCGGACAGGGGTACGGACAGGCGCGACCGAAAGGGCAACAACGGCGCGGTGCTACCCCGATGGCCTTTGCTTCGACTGTCGAAGGATGGGTGGAGAGTTGGGTTCTGGACGGGCCCAGCAGATCTTTGCTGCAATATGCTGGCGAGGAGCGACGGTGACGAGGCCTCTGCGCGACACGAGCACGGCTCTTTTTTTATGCGCACGCAGGCAACATTGGCCACGAGCCTTGCGCCTCGCAGCTGCGAACTGCGAGGGCGCCTCCACTGGCCGCGGGCGACAGCTGAGGACTGCGACGCTGCACAGGAGCCATGTGGGCCTATCAGGGGGACCAGCGTACGCTAGCTTCACGCTGCCGGGAGCCATTCATCGCGCCCAGCGCCCGGCGTCCCGCCTCCACAGAAGCTGCAGGCGCCGCACAATGGTGCGCTGGCTCCTGAAACACCAGGCCTGCCCAACAACAACATTGAGTGCACGCGACGCCAAAGGCCAGCCGTGCTGGCAATGGCGGTTCTGCTCCCGCCGTTGCGATGCTGCCCCCGTTGTGCTCGGGCTGTGGCGCTGCCGGACAGGGCAGTTGTCAGGAGCAGCGGCGTGGCACCCGTGGCTGAGCCTCTCGCAAAAATAGACGGCCGACCACTGTCGATCCGCAGTCGCCGCCGCCCAGGAACCCGCCGTGCTTGTGATTGAAAGGGTCCTGGATGGACCTTCCGCCCCAGCACCACCGAACCCGACAATGGCCCTCTGTCGCCCTGCGCTGGTCGCGCGCTGCCGGCCCAGCGGCCAGCCAACGCGAGTGGCTCCACGGCTGTCGTGCCACACATCTGGACATTGCGCTACTGAAGGGGAGCCTGCACGGCCACGCTGCCACAGCGTTGGTTTATTGAATTGTGATGGGCACCCGTGATGGATACAATCCATGCACAAGCCTTATGTCCCAGATGTGTAAGCTGCTGCGCCTCACGGGTGTCTCTCGCCAAAGCTGAGCGGGACGATCCAACGTCATGAGCGCCCGCCCGTGTTGTGGCAGGCCAGCCACAGGCCTCGTTCAATCAATCGAGGCCTCGTTCCTGCAAATTATCTCCACATGCAATCAAACAAAAACACACCTCGTCCTGGCGAGAAGAATGCTCCCACGCTGCTGGAGAGTCTCGCTGTCCCCATCTCCCATCGTCCTGTCCGCCCGTCGCTGCCCTGAAGCCGCGTCAGCAACTGCATGTCTCGTATAACGGGTTTCTGGGCACACAAACCATATCCGACTCCTATATTGCCACGTCGGGCATAGGTGACGGGCGCCTAGCACCGTGTCTTCATACTAAGCTTTCAGGCTCTTGTCCGTCTCTTCAAAGCTACCAGCCTGCAGTACGGCCACTTTGTCTGCCTCTGTCCCTCTGCTGCTGTCCGCAAGCTCCAATCTGCCCACCAGTCGCTGCAGAGCCCTTTCCGTTCTATTCACCCTGTGGCCTTCGTCGTCTGGTACCAATGACCCGTTCGCCATGCGATCGTGAAGAGTCTCTGGAGCAGACAAGTATGCCAGCAACGCTGGCGAGAATGGTCGCTTCCTGAGTCTCGTCAGCAACGGTTGGCCTCACACGGGACGAGCAGAGTTCAATTGTATTCACGAGCATGCTGTATGCTATTTCTGGTGACCATGTTTGGGTCGCTTACTTGTTCAAGGCAGCCGCTGCCATTTCGAAGCCCTGTTAGATCGTAACAAACACTTTAGGTTGCAACTGACATTTGCTGTAGTCCACCATGGTGGACACAGGAAAGCAATTATATAATCTCATCCTGTGAACTTTGGTTATGCGCGGGCGAGTCGCATACGAACTGCGCAAAAGTGCGCACATTTGTGACCCTCTACACTCGAGTATGTCGCGAACGACGCGCAGATGCGCAGTTTCCCAATGGGTTTAGCTCAATACGCGCAGATCCTAGCATGCAGGATTGTGCACCAGAGCAAGCTTTCCGTAGTGTTTGGTTCTTTGTTTCGCCCATGTCGTTTCGCGGGACGTGGGGTGGAAGTTCGGCTGCGTCAGCATCTCCGCAATGATAGCTCACGGAAGCAGCGGAGTCTCCATTACGAGATTTGTAGCCCAGCAAAACCTGTGTGGAGGAGTAGCGACACCGTAAGAAATACACTATTGAAGATTATCATACCTACTACAACGGGTGACGTCATCGTGAGCACTCCACTCTTTTGCAACTTCCTGTCTTACTATACAGATGACTTCGTGCCTGCCACACCAATCTAAGGCTAGGACGTAAAGCAACAAAAGCTCTGCTCCAACAGCATCGTCCAAGCATAACTCGAACGAAGAACATCATCAGGATGCCGCCAGGTACAAGAAACACAGACGGTGCGCCTTCGATTCGCGGAGATACTGGATATATGCCAGTAGGTTTGCACACCGACTGGCCGAGCTGAACACTGATCGTGGAAGGTCGAGAACTATGGACTGATCGGGAATATGCGTACATCAGCACTCGTTGCTACCGATGGAGTAAGTACAGGACGCCCCACCAAGACCAAAGTAATAGCTGAATATTCGTGTCACAGGGTGTTGATATGATGTGCTGGTATAACTCACCACTCCAAAAAGTGAAGGCGGGCGCTAACGACTGGCAGGCCTGATTTTGATTCGCCCTCCATCTTTGCTCGAATGCTAGATAAAGACAAGGGAGGACATTTCTCGGTGGGCCCAGCAGCAGGTCAACTATACACAACGAAGCAGCAGTACTTACCCTCCAGCAACATACTTCAAACCCGGCATTTGCACGAAGATGGAGTCATGAACGTGATCGACTTCTTTCCGCGGCCAAACAGTGCCACGGCTGATGCAGCTTACCATGAAAAAGTAGTTCACGGTAAACAGCGAGGTGAAATATGCAAAGACCAGGAGCAGCGACCTGATCTAAAGAAATGGCTAGTGCGCCGTGTTGAAAGTCTACGAGGCGAGGTTGACGTGGAGGTCGAACTCTTTCCTGCGTTCAGTAGGTGAAATTCAGAGCAATCCCCAGGTCCTCGCTGATATTTGAAGATTACGCACAAGACAAGCATACCACTAAAGTCGACAACGAAGGCCGTCGTGCTACCTTCCATTCTCAAACCTTGTCATTATCTTGCACAATCGCAATGAATGACGAAGACAGTGGCGTTGGCCTGGAACGACCATCCGTGACCTTCAGTAAAGAATCAAGCTCAAATCACCCGGGAGATGGCGTCGTAGCCCGGTTTCGTCTTCTGGACGGACAGTCAGTCGCTTTCATCCTGCATGATGCCCAAGACACAGTACCTGCAGATACTGCGACAGCTGTAGTTGATGATGTGCAAAAGACAACGCACAAGTTCTGGGTCCGATGGATCGCGCAGAGCAAGTATCATGGACGATGGGAGAGTTATGTGACAAGAAGTCTCTTCATCCTCAAGCTGTTGACATACGAACCAACAGGGGCGATAGTGGCTGCTCCAACCTTCTCACTGCCTGAAGATTTCGGAGGTCAGAAGCCCTATGTACATCCACGCCGAACTAAGCTGACCAATATATAGGCACACGGAACTGGGATTACCGGTAGGAGGGTCCACACTAGAATTGACACACTTGACTAACTCGGCGCATAGTTACTCTTGGGTTCGCGACTCTTCGTTTACCATATACATATTCCTGCGGATGGGGTTCAAGTTTGAGGCCGAAGCATATACAAGCTTCATCTTCCAGCGCATTGCCGAAACAAAAGTAAAGAAAGGCCCTCTTCCTATCATGTATACTATTCGAGGAGAGACCGACATTCCAGAGATTGAGTTGGCGCATCTGGAGGGCTATCGTGCCAGCAAGCCGGTCAGGATCGGCAACGGAGCAGCGTCCCATATGCAGCTCGATATCTATGGGGAGTTGATGGACGGTATTTACTTGAGCAACCGCCTGGGCAAACCGATATCCTACGACCAATGGCTTTCTGTGCGCGAGATCACAGACTATGTCTGCCAAATCTGGCAAGAGAAAGACATGTCGATTTGGGAGGTGCGTAACGCCAAGCAGAATTTTGTGTACTCGAAAATCATGCTTTGGGTTGCTGTAGACCGCGCTCTCCGATTAGCTGACAAGAGGTGTTTCCCCTGCCCGCAGCGACAAGAATGGTATCGTGTAAGTAGCAGCAGCCCCTGCAGCCGCCCACAGCAAATTCTAATGAGGCCTTGCTTTAGGTACGAGATGCAATCATGGAAGAAGTGATGGAAAAAGGCTACAACAAAGAGCTAGGCGCATTCATCCAAAGTTATGAGGCCAACGAGATGCTCGATTCCGCGGTCCTGATCGCTCCTCTGGTCTTTTTCGTGTCTCCCAACGATCCGAGGTTCTTGGGGACTCTTGACCATATTCTGAAGGCTCCTGAGAAGGGTGGGCTGACGAGCACTGGTTTGGTGTACAGGTACAATTCGGCGAAGTCGGATGATGGTAAGTTCATCGTCTTTTCGATGTATGAGCACAAGGTGCCAGGTGCAGCTCGTGTCTCACCGCCCTGGCTTGATCCATAGTATATAGCAACGGCCAGCCGTTGATGTGCTACGTGAAGACTGGGCTGCTTCCTTTGGCTTGCTGACCTTTTTCATAGGCGTTGGCGGACGTGAAGGCGCGTTCAGCATGTGTACCTTTTGGCTTGTTGAGGCTTTGACTAGGGTAAGCTTTGAACTATGTTACCTACGTTGGTCGCACTGACATCATATCCGTATAGGCCGCTGCCTACGAGAGCAAGTATCTCCCTCAGGCAGTCACCATGTTCGAAAATATCCTAAGCTTTGGCAACCATCTTCGCATGTTCTCGGAAGAGATTGCTCGATCGGGCGAACAGTTAGGTAATACGCCGCAAGCGTTCAGTCATCTCGCTTTGATATCCGCTGCGTTCAACCTGGATAGGACGTTAGGGAGTCCACATTAGGCTTTTAGCTGGTACTATCTGCATAAGTTGTCAGCTTAGACCTTCTCAATTGAACCAACTCGTGCCGCCACACGTCAGATGCTATGGGTGTGTGCTCAGTTTGCGTGTAACACTCTCAACCGCTGCGACTTAAGCCAGCATGTGAAGGTCAAATACGCACAGCTGCCCCTTGATGAAATGATGCGCCCACGTTTCAATAACTGCTTCACTATGATTAGCCAGAATGCTAGCATTTGCCGGATGGGTCCGGGGTTCTCTAGCGTTTACGGGTCCTGGTTCGCTGCAACCTCATTTCTTCAATCCCAACCTCATGTCGAAGCCGCCTCTCATGTTGGCAGCCTGAAGGATGTGCATACAGCCATCAACCGCATCTCCATGCTTGCTATCAACCCTGGCCATGTATGCGCAAGCCGGGCGCTTTCCGTCTCTGCCGGCTGGTCATTTACCCGGCCACCTCTTGATGAAGACCCACCTGACAGTCTACCATGGCCAGCGGCAGATGGTACAAGAGCTATATTTAAGAGCGACTAGACGATGACCTGAATGAAGAAAGTGACCTACGAGCGTCGAGATCGCAGATTCCGAAGGAGTTTGTGGGGGCGATCCTTCCGGCGTTTTAACGCAACCATACCTCCTTCCGCATCAAGTGCACCACCTTCAAATTACCGTTCATCAAGAGCCGACTGCGCCCCCAGATCCGCGGACTGACCGTCTACTATAGCTCCTGGAATTGACCTCGGAAGTCTCGTTTTTAGTGACAATTGCAGTGCTATAGGGCCGCGGCGTGATGTCTTCACATGAGCATCTGCGATCGTGATTGGAGCCAGAGCTTATTATTCCCGCATGCGCCCTACACTAGCCTTCCACGAAGAACAGATTCGGATGCACGGGGAACGGTGCCACTCGTGTGCTGTACACTGACTCTCCACGGCGACCTTCTAGAAGATATCACACGCTTCTTCGGTCACAGAGCTTGCCTGGTCCGGAACATGACAAATGACGTCTATAGCATACGACCAAGGGACTGGTCTAAGTGCAATACAGGTAGGACAATGCTATACCCAGAAGACTGACATGAGGTACCCTGGCCCTTTTGTGTCACCAGACCAGAATCCCAGATCTCCATCCGTATGACAGGTACAACGGTTCCTACAGATCAAGATCTGTTTTAGGTTACTACTCCCGCTGTCAAGGGTCTCACGTAGGCGCTAATCCTTACCATCTGTTTGATCGGTCATTGACTACCTTCACTGACCTGCCCGAACAGAACCGTCTCTAGCATCTGGCACATGAAACATCATCCCCACGTTCGGAATGACCCTTCCAATATCGTATGTTATATAACGTTCGCAGGGCTGCACAATGGCATTCTTCTTGCGTGGAGCCGCGCTTCATTCTTCGGGAGCACGCTCGCATTCCGCCGTTATCAGCCCTAAACACTTGCTGTTTTCATACACAACCGCTTTTTGACAGAACGACTTCAGTTCACATCACTCCTTTTGTGACATTCATTCCTTAGTTTTTTTCTTCCTTCTGTCCAAGATGGCAAAGCTGGCCATCCTGCTGGCCTTGGCCCAGAGCGCGCTCATTCACGGCCTACCTGCGCGCGAACTGCAGCGCGACACGCATGTTATCGAAGAACGTGCTATCACCTTCTCGTCAGGGCTTGAAATCACTACGAGCTACAGCCTGGTTGTGTCAACACTGCAGTCAGTGAGCGCGACGGAGACGCCTTCAATCACGGGTGTAAGTTTTCTTCATTGCTTGAAACCGGAATCTGGCTCAGCATTTGACAGGTCATACCGACAGGTCTACCTGATCCAGGTTTCACATTGAATCCTATCAAAACTGCTATTGAGGGACCGTCTCACACACTGGCACCTATTGATTGGACTCTGAAACCCGGACCAACTGAGCCCTTGAACAATGTTGAAGGAAATGTTTTCGTCCCCATGGCTACAGATACGCCGCCACAGCAAGTTTCTCGCCGTGACGATCACCCTGTCAAGAAAATCAATATTGTGGATGGCGATGTTCCACTCCACACGAATAAGTTCTACGCAAATCTGTTCCTGGGAAAGCAGGATTTTCCTGTTTTCACGCATCCGTACTCGCTCACGTGGGCCAAGGGCACCGGTGATACCTGGGGTATGTCCGTAAGCCATGTCGAGCGGGCGCAGGTTGCGTGGGGTGAGCAAACCCCACCGCGTTATTGGATCGCACCGATTGGCATCCAACACATTGTCATGTCGGCGAAGGAGCTGGGAACCAGCACAGTCTTGTCCACTGAAGAGTTGACTGGGTTCTCTGTATATGCCAATCTTGCCCCTTCTGTCCATTCGGACCCTGTCATCTCTTTTCCTCTTGTGCAGGGAATGGGCTTCGTGACTGCCTTATACAACAACGCAAGGCCGCAACTTAATTCGGGCGTTTTCTTCCGCACGCTTGATTACATAGGACGCCTGAACGGCATCACTTACAAGTATCGGATTACCCTTGAGGACAACTCCCACTGGCTTCTGTACGCAACGCCAGTTGGATCCTTGGGTGCACCACCCTTCACTTTGAAAGACAACCATCTCATTGAGGGACCAGATGCATTCATCGGCTCAGTCCAGATCGCCAAGAACCCCGCAGGCGACCCAGGTGAGCAGATGTACGACTCCACCGCCGGTGCATTTGCCACCAACGCTACTATCTCTGGTACTGTTAACGGTGCCTTTGGTAGCTACACGCTTGAGTGGGGCAAGAGCGGCGTCCAGAACCAGACCCTACTCATGTTCGCGATTCCGCATCAGGTGGAGTCGTTCGACCAGGCATCGAAAGATGCTTTGACGAATATCGAGCTTGTCACAACCACCAAGGGATATGCCAAGGCTGTCGTGGCAGACAAGATTACCATGGTCGAGCCTGAGCTCCCTGCCTCCATTGGATTTGCACCCTGGGTCCCAGACAAGGAAGATGGGAATAGTGGCAGCGACAACATCGAACTCACAGACCAGATGCGCGTAATGGTTCAAAACTCTGGTGCAGTCGAGCTAGGCCAGAACTTCATCGCCCAGACGAGTCTCGACAGCATGTACTACAGTGGTAAAGGCCTTGCCAAGTTCGCAAGTATCATCTACACAGTCCAGACATTGGGCAAGGACACCGAGCTCGCGGCCGCTGGTCTCGTAAAACTAAAGGACGCCTTCAACGTCTTCATCAACAACACGCAGCCCCTCCCCCTCGTCTACGACACCGTCTGGAAGGGCGTAGTCTCCTCGGGCTCCTACGGCGGCGGCGACCTCGGCATGGACTTCGGCAACACCCTCTACAACGACCACCACTTCCACTACGGCTACTTCGTCTACACCGCCGCCGTCGTCGGGCATCTCGACCCCTCCTGGCTCGACCAAGGCTCCAACAAAGCCTGGGTCAACATGCTAGTCCGTGACTTCGCCAACCCCTCTGCCGACGACCCGTACTTTCCCTTCCAGCGCTCCTTCGACTGGTTCATGTGCCACTCCTGGGCAAAAGGCCTCTTCGACTCGGGCGACGGCAAAGACCAGGAGTCCACCTCTGAAGACACATTCGCGACGTACGCGCTCAAGATGTGGGGCAAGACCATCGGCGACGCGTACATGGAGGGCCGCGCCAATCTGCAGCTCGCGTGCCAGAAGCGCAGTCTGCGGAACTACTTCCTGCTCGAGGCGGACAACCAGGTGCAGCCGAGCCAGTTTCTGCCGAACAAAGTGACGGGGATCCTGTTCGAGAACAAAGTTGACCACACGACGTACTTTGGCGCGAATCCGGAGTACATCCAGGGGATCCACATGATTCCACTGAATCCGTCGAGTGCGTATACGCGGAGTAGGAAGTTTGTGCAGGAGGAGTGGGATACGTATTTTAGTCATGGGCGGGCGGATAAGGCGGTTGCTGGGTGGAAGGGCATTCTGTACGCAAACCAGATCCTGATTGATCCGTTTGCAGCGCTGGAGTTCTTCTCGGATCCGAACTTCGATATGAGTCTGTTGGATGGTGGGGCGAGTCGAACGTTTTATTTGGCGTATGCGGCAGCGATGGCGGGGGGCGAAAGCGGAGCTGCGGTGAATGTTACAGGGGCCGATGCGATGGAGAGTCAGGGCGGGAAGGCAGACGATGCGCCCGTTCAGACTCAATATGTGGAGTACAACGGAACTGAAGGCGAGGAGGAAGAACCTGGGCCGGATGATGATTGGGAGTGGGAATCTGACGACGACGAGACATCATATGATGAAAGCACGGCTTCGGACGACGAGCAAGAGGGTGGAGAAGACATCGACACTGCCACTGATACCGACATCGACGACGAAGCAGATAAAGAAGTCGACTCGGATGATGAGTACGAGTGGGTTTACGAGCGGCGAAAGCGGTAACCACGTGCCAGCACGCGGTGGGTCAGACGGACGGTCATTTCATGTATCTACAGTTCACATTTGCGCCCCATCTCCGCTACAACGCTTTGGGGATGCCGCACATATAGTTCTAGTCAACATACTTTGCGTCAAGGCTTCGGCTTTGCTTCATTACAAATACATTACAGATTTGCCATGGCAGTTACGGTGTCCGGCACCGACAGCTCAGCTTAGCCTGCCGGCAAACGTACTAGACACCGAATGAAACCCGGCACACGCGATGTTATCCACCTCCACCCTCACACCTGCAAATCCTCATCAGCCCACCTCACCCTCTTCACCAAACCTGGCCTTGCGCTATCCTCCCGCGTCTTCCTCTTCCCCACCAACATCCCAGGCCCATCCACCTCCCCCTCTCTTCTCCTAATCCCCTTCCAGCGCTCAACCCACGCTCCCACGTCCTGCATCCCATATCCGTCCCGGGGCTTCTCGCACCATGCCAACTCGCTCCGGCCAACGCACAGCGCAGCGAAGAAGTCCTCCGCATCGCCACGCCACGCCTCCGCCATGCGGCCACGCACTTCCTCCTTCACCTCGCGGCTCACCCCAAGTCCACAAGCGGCGGGATGCCTGAGCATCTCGTCAACCGTCAGATGCTCGAGCGGCACATGCATCGCCCACGCGAGAAAACACTGCTTCGGGAGCGCGACCCCCAGCGTCGCAATCTCGAACCCCTCCTCCAAGTCATCCCCCGCTCCCTCTTCGCCCGCCGCGTCCTCCGCGGTGCGGCGCAGTGCGTCCCGTCCCCACCCCTCCACCACCTCTCGCAACGGCTCGACCCAGGCGAACCCATGGCCCTCCCCGACGCTGTCCAGGAACGCCAGCACGCCAGCGCGCGTCTTGTATGCAAAGCAGAGGGTCAGGAGATGCAGCGCGTGCTCGGGGGAAAGGTGTGCGGTGGCGGTGGTGAATTGCGTCTGGTAGTACGTCTGGAGGTCGGGACGCCAGCGGGTGAGTTGGGCTTGGCTGGCGGTGCGAGCGCGGAGGGCGTCGTGTGTGCGTTTCGCTTTGGACAGGATGAGCCGGGTGTCGGGTGTGGCGAGGGCTTCGGCGAGCGGTTTGATGTCGGTGTCGCACATGTTGTGGTGTTGTGTATATATGGCCGCGAGTCCGGCTTGCGAATGCGTGCGTGGAAATGTGAAGAGGTTGGTTACGCGAAGGGAGAGTGTTTGTCCGAAATTTTTTCGAGTAGGAGGCAATTGAACACGGTTTGGTGGAAGCATGATGGGGCAGGCGGATTTATATCTGCGCGCAGGGCTGGGAGGTGAATGGGGGTACAATAGCAACAGCAGCAGGCACAATAGCAAATGGCTGGCGACGCGCGACGGGCAATCGAGATAGCGATTCGAGAACGGGGTAGAATGGCACAATAAGAAATTAGGTATTGCTCGGCGCGAATGATTGTTTCGCTGTGATGGATATTTTCTCGACTCAACTCGGACGCCTGATACAGGACTATGGATGGACGTTTGCGCTGTTAACACGCACTCTTCTCCACATCCTCGTTCTTATGAAGAATAGACTACAGCTGCCTTCCGGCCGGTGTGAAAGATGGTGGTGGCCCGAACTCTCCACCTTTTTCACACCTGTAGTGATGCTTCCTCTGCCTGCGCGGAGCTACAGAATTGTAACACACTGAAACTCGTACAATTTAATCTTACACGGACAGTGTGTCCTTAGATTCGTTAGAGCCTCCTGGTGACTCGAACTGCTTTTCCTCAGTCCTGGCCATCGTCCCGCTGACTGGGTTCATCGACGAGCTGAGATCGAGGTTACGGTTCACTGCATCACTCGACAGGACGTGTGCGGCAACCTTGCCTGCAAGAGGCCCGTTGTTAGTATCGTTCATGTTGAGCACTTCTTGGCTCACGAGGGAAATCTCAAGGCGTCTTCTGGGCACCCCACACGATAGACTCCATCAGAGCATATGGCGACGAGTCAAGTTCCAGCCCCAGCAGAGGAGACTGCGTCAGTGAGCCATCGCCATTGAGAACGCCATTAAGTTCATCAGTAGTGAACTGTGCCACCGAAGGAGACGACTGGGACCCGGCCTCGCTTGTCTTCCTGGGAGCACTTGGAACGCTCAGCAGCCGTTGAAGTGCTGAGACTGATCGTTGCATGGGAGCTGACAGCTCTGCTGGGTCGACGCTCGCAGTGACGTCGCCGAGGACCTGGACGAGGTTTGTCAGGAGGGACCGGGCTCGTTCGTTGCGGTTGTGTTCGCCAATGATACCGAGGAGAAGGGCTGTGCTGATGGATCGATGGACGGAAGCCCACGAGCGGGTAGCAAATGGCGTCATGTTTTGCAGACCGAGGAACGCTTCAACGGTGTTGGTGAGGCTGTCGATGCACACTTTGCGCAGAGTCTTCGATAGATCGAAGCCTGCCGTGCTTGGGCTGATCGCAGGCCGACAAAGTTCGGACGTGATGTAGGAAATGTGCAAGTACAAGGCCCAGTGTTCCAGCTGGTCCCTCATCGATCGACATCGCCTAGAGTCTTTTAGGTAATCTGCAGCATCCACCATGATCTCCTGAAGCTCGTTTCGGTGCTCCGTGATGCGCATAAGAGCCTCCTGTGAGTTTTGTGGACGCTGACGCTCTCGGACAATATCGAGACCCACTTTGCAAAGACGATACATGCTCTCGACATATGTTCTTGTACCGGGCGCGGTATGCGGGCTCAGGGGAATGGTGTGGTCGATGGTGGTGGTTGAGGACGCACGGTCGTAGGAAATGGAGAGCAACGAGTCCTGCCATAACAATGCCCACCATACTTTGCTGCGAGCAATTCGAATTGGCAGAGGCGTGGATGAAGGGCACATTCGGTGTAGACCAAGTGTCTGCGACAAGCGGACGGTAAGGCCCATCAAGCTCCAAGAGACGCCGGCGTTCATGTTATTGGAGATAACGTTCCCAAGAATGAGGAGCGTTTGGATGTTTTCTAAAGTCGCATGTGAAAGAAAGTTGGTGAAGCGGAGACACTCGAAGCTGCAGCAGATGTACACCTGTGAAGTCAACTCCCGCTCTTTCCTGCTCAGGGTCGAGCACTGGCAGCCTGAGGCAAGAATAGCAAACACCAGACCTATCCAGTGGAAATCTTTGCCATAGATCTGCTCGTCGGTGATGCCGTTGGTGCCCTGGGTGCTTGCCCGGTTGATCAAGAAGAGCAACAAATCCGACTCTACGCCTTCGATGTCAGCAACCGCCGGATATACGACATGTGCCGTCTCTCGATAGGATCGGAAGAAGCTCAGGCATTCAGTATCGTTGGGAAGCGCGTTGGCTAGCTCCTGCGCTCTTTGGATAGATCCGTGGGGCAAACCCCAAAGGTCGACAAAAGGATATGTAGCCGTCTCGTTGTCCAAGCCGAAGATGGGTAACATGCTCTTCTTGCCCAAGACGTCCTGTATGCCCGGAAACTGGCTGTCACCCTTGCCTAGCGCCATCACAAGCGCCGGTACAGAGCTCGGTCCAACGTGAATCGTCTGCCCGGTGAAGTCGTTGTAGGTGTGAATGCCCTGCGTCCTGACGTGGCTCGTCTCGCTGTCGATGGGCGCAGAGGCGGCCAGCGGAGTGTTGCCAGCCGTCGCTGGAGAGTATCCGTTCGCGGGCGCATTGGGCGACACTTCGGAGACGCTCGCGACCGAGTTTTTCAGATCCGCCAGCGACTTTTCTGCCGTCTGCAGCTTTGCGCAGATGCGTTCCCAGTCCTGCGGCAGTCAGCTTCCTGTTTGTTGTTTCTCAGACAGACGCTCGCACCTCTCGCGGAAGTGTGACAGTGCCGCCATGGATGTGCACCATCCCGTTCGAAAAGTCGTTCCCATTCTGGCCAACGCCCATGCTCAGGCGTTTCGCAGGCGGATGCGACTCGCTAGGAGGATGATACGTGCAGAGCTCCGGATGCTCACGGACAACGCATGTTTTGCACGGAACCGACTGGTCGCATTTGACCTTCCGTTGGCGACAAGGATAACAGGCCTGCGAAAATGTTAAACCAAGCTCTTGCAAACATCCGAGGGCGCATTGGTCGAAGAGTTGCTTTGTCGGCCCAGTGCTTCGCCAGACTCGATGCCCATCAACCGCGTGCCTGCTGCAGCGCAAGAGGCCACGCAGCTGCCCGACAAAGCCCTCAGAAACCAGCCCAGCCCTCCCCGTCCACCTGCTCCCTCCAAGCTGCGTACCTTGTACTCACGGGCCTTTCGCTTCCGCCTCAGGATCTCGTCGATGTCGGACCGCGCTGGCACGTCGTGGCCGTAACCGGCGGGCGCGTGCGGCTGCTGGTTGGGTTCGCCGTCGTCCATGGTCGCAGCACCAAAACCATCGATCTCGCTGGATGCCTGTGGTGGAGAGAAGTCGCTGTCGTCCTTGGAGATCGCGAAGATCGAGTGGGGCGTGAGACCTGCGGCAAGGGTCCGTGTCTTGGCAACGTGAGCGATGATGAATGGCCGCCGTCGGTGACTAACCATGACCGTCCCAACCTCGCGCTTTTCCCCGCCCCAGATTAATGTCAGCCGTTCATTAAGAGATATTGATCGTCAATTGGAGACGAGTCTTCAGCGACGTGCTTCATACGCAGGCCCGGCGAAAGCAACCAGCCGCCATTCTTGAGCCTCATGAAGCCCACAGAACCTGCTTTATTCCCTCATGTTGGGATACCTTGTACAGTGGATCTTCGAAAAGACGCTAAGGTTCCCACATGGGAGACTTCACCACGAAAGCGCGTGAGCTCGAAATAGGATGATAAGTTTATGCGCCGCTGAATGCACATGTTGCAAGAATGAGTCCGATGCAGAATTATTAGTCACTTTCATCTAATACACATGCGCAGATGCAACTGCAACACCAGTCTCTCTACCAATCCCAAATCCTGCCGTGCTTATCCCATGCAGACGCCACATCAATGCTCAAACAGGAGATCTTGTCGCCAGAACAAGTAAAGAAACGCAAAGAATAAAACAAAGCCAATGTCGCTGCTCCACCTTCACCACTAATGAGCCTCCTTGGCCTCCTTCATGCCCGCCTCGTTCTCCTCGTCCCCGCTGTACGCGTAGTGCGAGTGCTTTCGAATAGCAGCACCCTTGTAGTAGAACACGAAAGGAATCGCACAGCACGCCAAGCCAATGAAAGCAAGCAGCGTACTAGCCCACTGGTAGTTGAGCCGGTCGTACATCTGGTTCGTGAATAGAACAACCGCAGCGCCCCAGAACGACCTCAGGAATGTCTTCGCTGCAAGCGCAGACGCCGCCTGGTGCTGGTACGAATCGACCAGGTAGTTGTTCGCCGAGTTGTAGAGGAAGATGAAGCCGAAGCCGACGGGGAGGCCGCCGAGCGCAGGGCCTGCCCAGTGCAGCTCGCTGTAGGACGTCCACGCGAAGATGAACAGCCCGATCGGAATTAACCAGCAGCTGATCATCATCGGGATGAGGCGTACCTCGGCCGGCGGCGTGCCGTTGTGTTTTGCGACCATCTTGAGATAGTGCTTGTTTACGAGGGGTGCACAGCAGGCGCTGAGCACTACGCCCACAGCGATCGGTATGAACATGAGACCAGTGGTGCCCGCGCTGTAGCCCTTGCCTTTCTGGTAGACGATTGGGTAGCTGCACGAGTATTAGCGAGTGTTGCAAGTAGCACTGCGCGCGAAAACGACCTCGGGGCGTCCGTCAATCGGTGTGGATTGTGGAGCCTGAAGTAAGACGCCGTGTTATACAAGGACAGAGATGGAGACACTTACGCAACGAAAAACATATACAACAATCCATAGAGAACAGACATGTAGACCGAGATGAAAAATACGATGAGCTCTCGGAAAAGTAGCTGGAACGGTCGGAGTAAGAAAGTCATGAGACGCTGGCTGAGCGGCGCCTTCGAGATGTCTTCTTGTGTGACGAACTTGTCATCTCCCGTCTCCTTTCTGAGCTTCTTCGCCCGGCGGGCAAGCAGCGTCGGGGTGTACGTTTCCGGGACCGTAAAGGAAATCAGCGCCCAGGCGGCACCAGAGAGGATCAGCTGAATCCAGTAGAGCCACCTCCAGCCCTTTGCGTCGGCAAGAAAGCCACCTACTAACGGCCCGATCGCCGGTCCGATGAAAGGGGCGGCGGAGAATGCGGCCATGGGGACACCGCGCTCCTCGTTCCTCCACATATCTGCCAAAGTACCACCCACCAGTGTCATTGGAGCAGAGAACCAGATGCCAGCAAGCGCACGCGTGACAAGGAGCGTCTCGATATTCTTCGCCACTGCGCCCGGAATCGTGAATATGACCGCCAGAAACAGCGTAGTCGCGTAGATGATTCTCCGACCTACGATCTCGCTGAGCGGCGCAAACGCCATGGGTCCAACACCAAAACCCACGACGAACAGAGTGATCGTGAGCAATGCCACCTCTTCACTGACGTTGAATTCCTCCGCCACACCCTCGATGTCGGCTGTAATGACAGCACTGTTGAAAGCGACGACAAAGCACGTCAAAGCAACGCACATCGTACACCACCACTTGTACGCTTTCGACCAGTTCTTGGGATTCTCGGGGTCATTAATTTTCCAAGTGACCAGCTCGTAGCGCTCGATATTGCCGGTGATGTTGGAGCGTACTTCGTGAAGGATCTGGCCGTCGATGGTCTCCTGGGTGTATTCCTGAAGGTCGGCATCGTTGCTGAGGGTTCGGATAGGGAGATTGACAACGTCGGCGCCGTCGAACGTCGGCTCGTTCGAGCCTGTTATTGAGCGGTAGATGGGTCTTGATTGTTCGGCGATGTGGGTTGCATCTGATGCTGAGTCGGAGGCGCGGGAGTGACCTGCGTAGTCTCTTGAGGTATCCGCCATAGTCCCAGGACGATGACAGAGCAGCTGGAAGTATAGAGAAGAGGGCCTCAACTGGAGATGGGGAACTTCTTTACCCAGGCCTTATCGAAAAAATGTGGAGTGATGTGCAGGACAATAATCGTTCGATGGCAAACCCTCACTATCTCTCCCTCCCCCGCTGCAGGAGGCACCCACTCAATATATACTACCCCCATCTCCACAGAACCTCGCACGAGGCCCTGCACAAGCTTTGCTCAAACCTCAAAATTTGTGCAACGTGCTGGAAGTCACCATACGGAGTTGGCTCGGAGGAAACCGTGCTTCGAAGCATCGGGTAGGGTGGGGCCATCTAGCCGTTTTTGTACTAGAAAGGCTAACAAAAGGGGAATGGTGGCAAGGACATAACTCGGAGCATCTCAGCTATCAGAATGTCGCGCAGGATTTTCGAGTGAGGTTTCTACTTCTGGGCGAGAAAGACCCACTACTGAAGATATGGGTGCGAAATGACGGTGGTGAGCGATGCGACATGGGATGCCGCGCCCATCTGTGGCCGCGAGGATTTCTGCCGATGGATGGTTTGTAACTTCTGGAGTGTTCGTTCCTGGCCATTACTGACGTAGGTCGGATAGGGCTGCATTCCACGACCAGGCTTCAGGCCATGGCGCCGGATGTTCTAGTTAAAGGTAGCGCCCCAGCTCTCTCCACTCGAACGTGGTGAGGCCCGTGACCGCGTGTTTTTCACATGTCTGTTAGTGCCCGAAGGAGCTTGGACAGCGGGTAGAAACGAGAGGAGGCGGCGTATCCACACCAGGCTAGAAGCAGATGGGCACCTGGAACGTCTCCTATGACCTCAAGTTCGCCTCAATGGCTTCGGCAGGATCTTGCAAACTGCGTCGTCGCGCGGTGTGCGTGCGCTCAAGCTTCCTTTGGGGAGCATAACCATGCGGCTTGCCGCGTCTATGTTATTGGCGCATGCCATGCCGTTGATGTGTAACGCACAGTAGCCAGTGGATCCCATACAGTCTTATGTCTGAGCCTCTGAGGAGTCACCGCGTGCCAATAAACTGAGGATTACGCTCGGCCGAGCTCGATCGAGTCAAATGCAATGATCACGAAGCCAACAGTCAAGACGTCATCTCGTAGCCGAAATGACAAAGTAGAGGGATTGGAGAATAGAAATTGTTTAAATGGGTGGAGCTGCCCACGTGGGCTAGCGCACACCTTCCGTACGCCAGACGCAGCGGATAATCCACTAAGCAAAAGCGGAGATATCCCATGAGAACTGAACCATTCCATCACAGCGGACTCATTACGGAATGGCCAGCTTTTACGGAATAATGGTCATTTTTGCGACGCAAGACAAGATCATTGCATCCAACGAGACTGCCACTCGAGCAGACATACAAGACGTTCTATGATGACACATCACACCAACCGCACACGATCAAATAGCTTTCACATCGTCAACATCGCATTGCCGACTATGACTACCCTGTACCCCCGCTAGTCCCTCCAGCTCCCCCCATGAAGCTCGCTCTTACTCCTTGCCCTCATCTTCTTCAGATCTTCCGCAGAGGCCCCAGTTGCGTTGTAGATGAGATCAATACCCGTCGCCAGATCCGTCGGCGTGAACACATGGCTTGGCTTCTTCCACCCCTCCGCCGCTGGCAGCCTCTCGTTCAAGAACAGGTACTCAACGAATTTCCGAGGTGCAGTTGCTGTAGAGATGTCGCCCAGGACGAGAAGGTACGCGGCGGATTCGCCGGCGCTGAAGCGGTCGCCGAGCGGGCTCATGGTGTACTTTGGGTTTGTGGTCTGAGACGTGTTGTAGCGCGCAAGGCGGGCGGCGGCGGCCTGTTTGACAGTGATGGATTCGGAGGTCCAGAATTTGCGCGTCTCGTCATATGCGTCACGGTTGAAAGAGACCGAGTCGCCGGTCACGTCAAAATCTGCGCGGCTGGTCGGGAAATTAGCATTGCTAGATAGAATGGATGGACAGAAGCTTTCTTAACAGAAGGGCTGACTTGACCGCGAAAGGATTTGTCCTTCCCAGTGAAGGAAAGGAGAACTCACCTCAGACTAGCATCGTGCTCCAACACATTGTGTCGACCCAAGTTCTCCAAAGAAAACTCAGTTGCATTAGGCTCTGGGTTCGTCATGGCTGCGAAGCCAAACAAATCGATAGCGATGTCTTGGCCGATATTCAAGGCTTCTCCAAGGGCATGAATGGTATCATTCAACTTGATGCCTTTGCCAGAGTGGGGCAGGAATCCGTGGTTGGCCAGCGAGTTGAGCATAGGACATGGCCCTCGTACTGCAGTCTGTGAGTACGCGTGCTCGCTTGTAGATACGATGTTCCCAGATTCACATACCATCGCCCTTGGTAGGAGGATGCCAGTCCTCAACCGAACCTTGTCCCCGGACAAGCCCAGCAAGAAGCGTAGCCGCAGCAACGAAAGAAGTCGACCTCATGATGCTTGAGTAGTTAAACTGTAGACTGGAGACTGAGTCTGCACAATCGTGTCGTTCTACAGCGTTGGTCAGGCTCATTTATACGTTCCTAGCAGCCGATGCATCCCGTGGTAGAACCACGCTTTTTCGGAAACGCGCCTTTGTTCGCGACGTTTACACCCCTGTAGAATCCTGCATAGGATTGATATTGACCGGGTATGATGCATGAACATGGCCAACCATATTTCCTTTATTGCCAATGACACACTTCGTTTCGGTTACACAGCATGCAAGTAGTGACTGGTTGTGTCTAGTTTCATTTGTGCAAAGGGTGGCACGAGATGCAGAAGTAGAAAATGTATGCCTCTCTTGAGGCATCAAAGTGACATCCGGCTCGTATTTCAAGTGATGAGTACGAGTAGAACATCTAGCGGTGCAACTGCTCCTGTTCACCGGATGGTAGGTGGCTGCGTGCGCTTTCGGGCTGCTCGAATGGCTTCGTAATGTTTTGCCTAGACGTTGTACGGGCGGGCGTGTGTTGTACGTAAAAGGCAAGTCGATGTGTTTCAGGACGGACCCTTGTTCGAATGAAGGAGCCGCGCGGTCGACGCCCTGCCATTGTGCCACGAACAGTACCTGTAATCTAGGCAGAAGGTAAAACTGTTGGAACTCGCGCTGGCTTTCGCGACGCGAACTACAAGCGGCTAGAGGCTGATGCGTAGCTGGGATATACTTCTGCGGGGAGGACCAAATGCTTCAGTCCCTGGTCGCTCGCGTGAAAGGATTTACTGGCCCAGCTGCGTTCGCGCGTAACCGAGCAAGAATATATATTAGATGTTCTCGAGCAGTTAAGTGATCGGCATGGAAACGCCCAAAGTCAGTTGTAGGGTGACGGAAGGATCTAGAAACATGTTGCGGTGCAGACCGTCAGCTCCGGAATTTTTGAAGGAACTGAAAAGTGATGCGTGCGTATGCTTCTCAAGGTGAACACTAGGATGCCGATTAGTATGACCCTGTGGGGCGCCCCTAGACTACCTCTCGATGCGCAAGGGTGTCCGTGGCCGTGGGTTGCTACGAAGACGGAAACAAGTGACGGTATGCCTCGAACTCGAGAACGCACTTGGATGGGTAGCGCAGACTCAGGTGAATGAGTGCCACGCAGGCGCATATCAAGTGACGACCATGTCTCTCACGGCTGCATCGATAGCTCTTGCGTGTCTCAGCATCGGGGACGCCGAAGTGGATTCGAGACGAAGTTTGGGAATTTTCAACGCGACTAGCGAATCGATTGTGCCGCAACCTGAGTTGTTCATATAGTAATAATTCAAGCTCGAAACAGTCCTTTTTCGTGTTGGCTTCTACATACTCTGTCTACGTGACCTACTGTATTATGTGCCCTTTGATCGTCATCGGGTGAATGAGCCTGACTACGCCCGAAATATAACAACGTAACAATATTGTGAAATGAGCGAAGCAGGAAGTCCGGGTGCCCTCGACCGACCTAACAGCCGTGACGAATGATGATTAGGTCAGTCGGCACAAAAGTGCATCTCGGAGTGCTGTAGTGGATTAAAGTTGGCGAGATCAGACCTGTGTATAATAGTTTAGTGGCAGGCAAGCGCAGGGCCGAATTCGGAGGGGGGTTTTGCATGCACAAAGTTATGACGGTGACCGACTTGCGGTACAGTATCTGACAATAGCCCACCTAGTTTCCAAGTGTAAATATATAGAGCTCCAGCTACTGAGCACCGACGTCTGAACGCGACTCCGATCCTGACCACGAACAAGCGCGTTGCTCAGGAATTGTGAGTTGGTTTGATCCATGGGACGTTGAAAAGTGCCGTGAATACTTTCTGCATCGGAAGATCCCAGGCTATTCGGTATGACTAGCGAACCCCCACGTCAGGCGAATATGAGTGCAAAATCATGAAATGGCAGGGGAAGGCAAGGCACAGCAACGATTGGAGTTTCCAATATGTACCACGACGTGCAGTATAGAGTTTGCAGCTTCGAATGAGCGGTGTAGCCGCTTGTGCACAGCACAGTAAGAGCTGACCGCGGACCTGAAGAATTGCTTCGACCGAAGCTTACTTCTTCGCGGAGCCGTCAGCAGAATATACGAGGCTGTCTGGCAAGGGGCATGGAAGCAATACAAGAGCGAGGTCGAGCCAGTTGAGAGACATCAAGGTGTTCGTGAGGATGTGAACCCAGTGTGAACTTGGCTTGAATGCCTGATCTCGGTATCGAATTGTGGATCTCCGATATCCTCAATGATAGCGGCTGTAGAAGGTCATGGAATTCTTCCATGCATTGCATGCTTAGTGTGCGGTGGTGAGAACCTTCCTCCCGCACTAGCTGCGTGCGTGGTTACCAGTGTCGCTGTTTTCCCACTACCCGCCCAGGTACATTCACCGATTAGTTCGTGGGCCCACTTGGTTGACTTTGGACCAAGTAGCGATTGGGTAAGGGTCAGTGCTTCATCCAACAGAAGTCAGCTGTTCGCGAGAAACTGTATGCCGTGCAACAAAATGCCCCCACTCAGATTCTGCATATGGACGGCACGATCTCGAGCGGCGGCAATGCGTGCATCAGGCCGGACAGCACGATATGCGGGCCAAGTGGACTGTGTTTTACAGCACCACGGGCTGCAGGGAGGGTGCTCAACCGAGCATTTCCACATTCCGAAAGGTGCTTGCATCGGCGATCGTCTGTACACCGGTTTTTGTGGCCCAAGAGCAAGGCTGCTTGAGTCTGGCTGCAGCAGCTAACGTCGAAACCTTGTGTTCCGTGGAAGGTTGATACTGCATACTATGCTCCGGGGTATCATAAGAAACTCACAGACAAGAGTCCTATGTCTGGAGGCGGGACGAGGGAGAAGCGCGACCAACAAGGTAGTGGGGATATGGTGGAGTGGTGGAGTAGCCGTCGTTAGCGGGCCGGAGTCCTTGAATTAAGGTTCCGAGCGTGTGTGGTGGGCTTCGCAGCGTCGCTGAGGCTGCCGGCTTCCTAGAGCAAATGCCATTGGTGAATCGGGCCTGCAGATGGAAATTCCCTCATTAAAGCAACAGTCCAATGGAAGAAATTGCAGCGGCACAGCAGCGGCACAATGCGATGGTGGGGCATGCAGCTGCCCGGCCTGTGGATGCATGGGTGAGGGAGGGTGTTTGGGGAGGGATGGAGCGAAACCAAAAGCAGGACCTGCTAGGGCTGCAAGACGGCCCGCGGTCGGCAGAGGATTGCGTGGCCGCTGCGAACCTGATGGACAGCGATATCCGTGTTGACGGAAGGGCGACTTGGCCCTCGTCGCTTGTCGTGAAGCGACGTCTGCTCGTAGGGCAGAGAGGCCAGCCCTAAGGCCTAGGGGAACGCGGGATGGGCGGCGCGCACGGGGCTCGAGCCGCTCATCGGCTCATCGGTGGGGTTGGGGTCGGGAGAGGGAGGGGAGGCTCATGCTCAGTGCTTCACTCGACGACGGTCAAGTGAGGTCCAGTCAAGTACAGCCAGGCCCAGTCACAGTCAGCACAGGTTCAAGGCAGAGTCAGCTTAATCCGACGCAACAGGGCCCGTATCACGCGTGCCCGCGCCGAAGCCGAAGCCCCATCTCTCCCTCCCTGCACCCTACGACCACACAACCGGATCCTGGGCCTCGCAGACTTTCGCATTGGCTAGCGGCCGCAGCATCCGCAGGGCATACTCGATCGAGGCTTTGGACGGCGCAGGCAAAAAGGCAGACTTGCTGCAGCGCTTGCACATTTGTCCCGCTCAGCTGGAGCAGGAGCTCCCTTGTTGCACGCCGCGCTGTTGCTCAACGAGAAATGGGTAGGCGGCCCCGGCATCTAACCTGTCTCTCCCCTCCTTCCTCTCACTCCACCACTCCACAACTTCTCTCTCTACTGCTCCTTGCCTTGCCTTGCGCTGACCAACTCCCAAGACGCCGATACTGACTCCTACCGGCCCTCTGAGGTAAGTTGCGGCCCTCTCTCCTTCCCAATTGTACGGCGTGCTGGCACCCGGCTCCCTGCCCCGCAGAGCGTGCCTGCCACTGCGATGCCTGAGGAACGCGGCGCCGTCGAGCTCGTGGTCGCAGCCGTCGCCGGTTGCAGGCAGCAGCGTCCCGCCCCCACACGTGACGCCAAGCCGGCCCGGGGGCGCTTGCCCTGACGACGACGGTTCACGGCCTCCAGCTCGTCGACCGCCAGCGCCAATTCCATCAGACCGCGTCACGCACACCTGCCACCTCGCCTCTTCCCCGCCCTCTCCGCACACTGCGGCCCTTATCAAACCCCATCTCCCGTCACGTCTGTCGCGACCATGTCGTACGAAACTGACGCCTACGAGCAGCGCGATTCAGCCCGCGATCGCTCACCCCGACGTCGCTCGCGCTCACCTCGTCGCTCTCGACGCTCGTACTCGCCGCGCAGCCGCTCGCGCAGCCGCGAAGACTATCGCCGCAACGACCGTCGCTCGCGTTCCCCCGGTGGTGGTGGCGCAGGAGGTTATCAATCGTACGGATCTAGTCGCGGAGGCCAGTCGCGGTCTGTAGACCCTGCCAGCAAAGAGACGATGATGCAGAGCATCCGAGAGTCGTCCCAGCAGGACCGTCGCGTCTATGTGGGCAATCTCTCGTACGATGTCAAGTGGCATCACCTGAAAGACTTCATGAGACAGGGTATGGTCGCGTCGCTTGTTTGGCGCTGCGCAATTGCTAACGCGCTCCAGCCGGCGAGGTCTTGTTTGCAGACGTACTTCTGCTGCCGAATGGAATGTCAAAGGTAATGGTCTGATGGTCGGCTTGTGCGCTGGATGGAGGTTGACTGGCTTTTGCTTGGGTGTAGGGCTGTGGCATCGTGGAATATGCAACTCGGGAGCAGGCGCAGAACGCCGTGGCGACGCTCAGCAACCAGAACCTGATGGGACGGCTCGTGTACGTTCGCGAGGACCGTGAGGCCGAGCCTCGCTTCAGCAACCCCAGCACCACTCGTGGAAACTTCCAAGGCGGCGGCGGCCCCGGCGGATTTGGCGGCCCACCCCACGGAGGATACCAAGGAAACTTTGGAGGACCACCGCAAGGCGGCGGCGGTCGCCAGGTCTATGTGGCCAACGTACGTGTCCTCGTCCCTGCTAATTCAGGGTTCGATCGCTAATTCCTCCTCAGCTACCGTACAACGTAGGCTGGCAAGATCTGAAGGATCTCTTCCGTCAAGCTGCCGTCACTGGATCAGTTATCCGTGCCGATGTTCACCTCGCTCAAGATGGCCGCCCCAAGGGTTCCGGTATCGTTGCCTTCGACACTCCCGAAGACGCCCGGAACGCCATCACCCAATTCAATGGCTATGAGTGGCAAGGCCGTAACCTCGAAGTGCGCGAGGACCGCTTTGCTGGCCCGGCTGGTGGCCGTGGTGGTTTCGGCGGCGGCTTTGGTGGTCGTGGTGGTTTTGGCGGCGGTTTTGGCGGCCGTGGCGGCTTTGGTGGCCGTGGCGGCTTTGGAGGTGGCTTTGGAGGCGGCCGCGGTGGGTTTGCTGGAGGCGCGGGTGCTTACGGTGGCGGTGGTGGTGGTGCCGGTGGTCCCGGCTTCGCTGCTGATGGTCCCTCGAACCCACCCAATCCGTTCACTGACTACGCAACCTCTGGGGGAGAGCCTAGTAACCTGATCTACGTCCGCAACCTGCCTTGGTCCACCAGCAATGAAGACCTGGTCGAGCTGTTCACAACCATTGGCGCCGTCAAGCGTGCCGAGATCCAGTACGAGCCCAACGGACGTTCTCGCGGCACCGGTGTCGTCGAATTCGAGAAGGCTACCGATGCAGAGACTGCCATCCGTAAGTTGTACGCCAGTCGTATTCACATTCCAACTGCTTACATGCAAAACAGAGAAATTCACTGGCTACCAGTACGGCGGCAGGCCCCTCGGTCTCACATACGTCCGCTACTCCAACCAGAGCAACGGCGACGCCATGGAGGGCACTGAAGCTACCGGAGGCCTTACTCAGGACCAAATCATGTAAAGGCGCTTCGAGCGGCGTTGCCTTCATATTTATGCTTGAGGTCAGTCCAATCGTCTCAGCGTACAAGACTCCCTGTTCACAGCTTGCACACAGCTATTCACAGGGTCAGGATCATTTATTCATCGTACGCGGCATCTGTCTGAGAGATCGGACATTTCAGTGGTAATTTGGCGATGGGTCATGCATGGAGGAAAGTTTTGTGACGGATGGATCGGAAAAATTTCATACCACTTTCATATTGTACTTTAGATTGAGAAATCGTGGATTTCAGGAATGTGTTCTGCTGAAAGGGACGGCATGGTTCGTTGCACGCATTGTAGTGCTTCGTGTGAGGACAGCATCTAGGCTTGGTCGGATGAAGACAATCTCAAGGTTGCCGTAACAGGCGCATCATCCATTCATAGACAGCCCACTGGACCGCGTTAACAACAAAGGCGCGTATACTACAGATTCCAAGCCCGCGAAAGAAGACTCGGGCGCCCTCCGCTTGGTAAGCGTTCCGAGCTACTTGGAGCGTGCTTAGTCGCTTTCCATGCGCTTGATGCGGCAGCAGTGTCTCACTCTCTCCATGCGGTGGTGCGTTGATCAACTGGGTCTGGACGCGGGTCTTGACCACATCAAGCGGAAAGATGGATGCCCAGGTGACTACACCTGCCAACCCACCGCAGAGAAGCACTTTGATGGCCGTGTCTCTGTCCGTGTCTGTCGGAGAGCTCACCGCTTGCTTGCTCCACTCGTATGTCCAAAAATACCACCCATACCCAAAGGCATCGCGTATGCTCGTTATGCCACCACCATAATAGAGCCCGCGTATTCCTTCCCGCTTCCACACGTCCCTGACTACCGTCCACGAGCTGGTAGCATGATCGGTCGAGACCTGTGCGCGGCACTTTATCAGCTCTGTGGGCGCGCTGACGACGAAGGATGCGAGGCCGCCGGCGGCACCAGCACACCAGACTTTCGCGAGCGAGGTAGGGAGCTCAGGAGTGTCGTGGAGGAGTGTGAGCGTGCGGTTGTAGGTCATGAAGAGGATCGCGTTGAGTGCGCCGTAGCCAAGAAGGGGCGCTGTGGTGCCTATGCTAACACAGCGCGAATCAGCGCCTCCCTTCAATTGCAAAACATAACCAGAAGCTGCCTCTCACCCTTGACGAGTGTTCCCGCACGGTCAAAGTGCTGTCTAAAGCTCCGTGGGCTCACATCCGCAGCAGGTGCGGGACCTATGACGGTACCCGTAGGCTCGGCATGAGGCGCTGCGTTTCCCGCTTGGAGGCGCGTCTTCACGAGATCCAAAGGATTCCCGATAAGGATGCCTACAGCGCCTGAGGTATAGCCGGCCCAGAAATCTGCAGACATGTTTGGTGCCGGAGGGTGCGGTGTTTCGAAGTCTTGAGGGCAATGGCGCCGCGTTTCCAAGGCTCACTGTGGGGCAGGCAGGCGACTATCCGAGGCTCAGGCACTGGATGCGTGCATCCGTACCGGAGCATGCCTGAGGAATGAATAAGTCATGGTCCAGGGAGGCTAGAAGCGGACCTGAACGTGGGTTTCCGTTTGCAAAGGAATGCAAATCTTCAGGGTGGCAGCACGTGTGTGATCCATCATGGTAGGTGGCGTGTGACTGTTTGACGTGAATCATTGACGCACAGACGGTGTGGTGAGGCTCAGATCGATCTACGACAGCTGGCCCCGCTCGCCACCCGTACTCCGACGGTTACCTCAACCTCGCTCCCCTACAACACCGTCATATCTTTCGCACATTTCGCTCCCATGTTCTGACATTGTTCCAACCTTGGTGTCTTACCTGCTTCTTTCTGCTGCACCTTGGAAGACACTTTCCAGGCCCATTGCGACCCGACCACGGTTGATCATGTGGGAGAGATTGGAGCCATTGATTGCCATTTCCAGTATGCTCAGCAACCCTTCCCCTAACTACTTCGACTGATCATGCCCAGCTCCTCTTCCGCTCTAGCCACATACCACGAATCCCGGACGGCCTCGCGATATCCGCAGATCCCAAGCACCTCAAGACACATAAACTACGCTAGGACTGCCCGCCCACTTCCGCTGCGACTGTAATGCCGTCACAGCCTGTTGATACAGGCTGGGGTTTTAACGCCGTGATCGACCTAATAGAGTCGGATTACGATGCTGCGTCCCCCACACTCTCGGCCGCGTCCCCTGTGCGAACACATGTTGCCACGCCTGGGCAAAAGTCCGACCCTAGGTCGATCGCGCAAACACTTCTAGATACACACGTTCCACGCCTCGGCGACTTCTCAAAGCTATTTGATGAGTTGGGCATCTCGAGAACGGAGCCGCTGGCACCCGCCAGTCCTGTGGACTCGGAGGGTCCCATCAGCTCCGATGATGCTCTTCTGAGCGGACATATTGATGCTGCTAGCATTGGTGACCCGGATAGCCCACTGGCTGCGCTGTCAGCCAAGGAGCAGAAGAAGGAGCGCAAGCGCGCTGCGAAGCAAGAACGGAAGCAGGCTCGGAGGGCGCTCAAAGCATCCGTCTCAGAAGAGTCCGCATCTGGTACCCAGCCCATAAACCAGCCTCGACCTCGATCAAATGTTGGTGCAAAGATCCGTCCAGCCACTCCAGCATCGCTTGAGGCACTCCCTCAAGCGCTCAAGCCGCTTCTTCCCGCAAGAGTCCTAGATTTTCCGCGTACTCCTGCGGATTCCATTTCTGTTGCTGTCTCCCCGCAGCGTTTGAACTCACTGGCGCAGCCCTTTGCACCAGCTTCTACTTCAATTCCACACCTCAAATTTCCACCGGGCGCAGTGGATGACTTCGCAAAGACCCCGGCCAAGCAAGTCTCGAGCCGACCTTCCTTGCACGAAGCTAAGTCCAACCCTGGCCCTCAACTACGGATCCCTTCTTCTGTACACTTCGACCGTGGCCTCGTGCCTCGCACAGTACAGTCCGTTAGTGCTCCTAGAGTACATACAGTGAGCTCAGGGAAAGTTCAGGGTGCACGTACCCCAGTTCCTGCGGCTCCTCGTTTTGGTACTGCAGCCGGACAAAAGACTAGTGTTAGATCAGACCTAGAACCAACCGCAACACCTGCAAGTCAGACCCCTTACCAACTTCAGTCTCCAAATCGTTTGGCGACCCCTGTTCAGATTTCGTCCACGCCTGGAGGTGGATCCACAGGCTTGACCATCAGGCCACGCACGGATCGGCACTTCCACTTTCTTAACCAACTTTTGGCCAGTTTCCCAGAGAATCATCAGCATCTCTTAGCACCTATGCGTCTAACTACCGATCAGACGATGGCGCAAGGCATACACTGCTTTGTCGATGCATCGAACATCATGATCGGATTCAGAAACATACTTCGTGAGCGCGGACAACACCAACCAGTCGATCTGTCTTTCGACACTCTCGCCCTCCTCATGGAACGCCGCCGCCCCGTCGCCAAGCGCATCTACGCCAGCTCCCAGCGCGAGGCCAACCCCCTCCCGCACGTGATCAAGCTTGCCGAGACGTCCAAAGCTGTGGGATATGAGAACCTTATCCAAGAGCAGGTCTTCATTCGGCGCGAAGACAGCGACCGCAAGAAATTCTTCAAGGACGTCGAGCGCCTCGGCTGGACCAAAGCCACACAGCTCCGCGCGAGTGGCAGCGGCAGCGACTCAGAAACGGGCGCTGCCGCCGCCAACCCTCTCTCTGCCCCGAAATGGGTTGAGCAGGGCGTCGACGAGATCCTGCACTTGAAGATGTGCCAGAGCGTGCTCGACACCGAGGTCCCGACGACCATGGTGCTCGCGACGGGCGACGGCAATGCAGCGGAGCATTCGGATGGGTTTTTGGCGAATGTGGAGCGCGCGCTGAAGAAGGGGTGGCGGGTTGAGCTTGTCAGCTGGAAACAGCAGATGAGCGCCGGGTATAGGAACAGGAAGTTTAGGGCGAAGTGGGGGGAGCAGTTCAGGACTGTGGAGCTAGATGATTATTTGGAGAGCTTGATCGATACGTAGGGGTGCTTGGTCGTGGATGTACAGGGTACCCTGTATGGTTGGGACAGTGCTTAGGGAAGTGCCCATGGACAAGTTCCCAGGGGAAGCGCCCAGGGAAAGTGCTCAAAGAAGGCGTTCAGCGGATGCGATACAACAATGCCCCTGGAAAAGGCCTGAGGGAGAGCCATAGGAATGTGCCCTGAGAAAGAGTCCTGAGAAAGAGCCAATATACTCGGGGAACGCGCTTAGGAAAAGTGCTTTGGCAAACTATCCTCATGGACAAAAATATAGCGCCCTGCAAAAGCCCAGAGGTAGAGTCCTGCGAGCGTGCCCTCGAGGCTGGTCCGTAGTTTTGACAGTGCATTCTGAACGGCACCATGCCGTTAGCTCCTAGATATGCACACCCATATAGCTCCATCTATATCGGCAGCTGGTCCTCGTGTGGATACACAGCCAGTTCTACATGAACCATGCTAAGCCTCAGCCTCTTGCAATGACCAACACCCGTGTTGTCACCCTCCTCCCTTGTTGAAACTCACCGCTGTATAAACGATGCATGGCCGCAGCACCATCACGCGGTTGAAAATTAGCTGCCTGATCTGCACTGCAGCGATGGGATGTGTGCAACGCTCAGATAAAGTTGTTTTCGTAGGGGCGTAATATGGTGAGCAGTGAAGGTGAGCAGTGAAGGTGAGCAGTAAAGGTGAGCAGTCAAAGTGAGCAGTAAAAGTGAGTGCTGAAACTGAGTGCTAAAAGTACGCAGTGAAAGTGAGTACTGCAAAGTAATTAGCAAGCCTCAGTGCGCTTGCTGGGCATCACTCATATAAGCAAGAACACCGTGTCTTCACATCATCCCGTCCATTAAGCATTACTATAGCGATGATTACCTCCACCGCGGCAGGCCTTCCCACCCGCGCCGATCCCAACCCATCCAAGCTCATCCCATCGTTCCCCTGAACCCTAGCCCATCGTGATACAGTCCTCCCTCCGTCTCCAGCTTGCCTTCGCAGCCTAGTCCAAGCGAACGTAGTAGTACAGCGGTACTCTGTGTGAAAGTAACCGGAAGCGACCGACGGGGTATCAAATTAATCGAAAACAATAGCGATCCGCACACACACCCCCCGGAAGAAAAGAAGATGTGGGATGGGCGGCGGACTCGAAGAATGAAAATGCAATGCAGGAGCCGCGGGTCTAGCGCTAAAGACTCTGTTTCTATGCAATGCCCGATATGAAGAAGTTGGCGCGATTGAAATATAATGCCATCGCGCTGGTGGAAATGCTCAAAAACTCCTTTTTTCTATGCATTAAGTCGTGACCGGCCGTCATCAGGAATAAGGTGATGATGTTGCAGTCTAGGGGTGGTGAGAATGTGGTGATGGTAGAACGGGCTACCTTAGGGGCTCGGTGTCGGATCCTACGGTGTCGCCATCCCAGAGACTTTGTGCATCGTCGACTGGCGACCGCGATCCTGCGGACGGGCTGCGGCCGCCGGTTGAGTACGACGAGGAGGAGCCGCTGGCCCAATCATCCGAATCTGAAAGTGGGTGGAATTCCTCGTAGATGTCGAGCATGGTGTAGGTGGTATCCTGAGGGTCGCCGAATTCGACGTATTCGTAGTCCCAGCGGAATTCCTTATCTGGCTGCACGCGGGGCAGGAACTTGGCACGTGCCCAGAAGTACGCAATACCGGCCACTAGATTCATTAGCTTTGGTTGTCAAAAAAAAAATCGCGCCGAAGAACCTACGCAAACTGCCGGCTACCAAGTCTACGGCATAGTGGTGAGAGAAGTACATGGTCGACCACCACAGCCACATGGTGTAGAAAACGTAGACAGGGAAGAGCTTGGGGAAGACGTGTCCCATGAACAGCGTTTCCAAGGTCGCCCAGCCAGAGTGCAGCGAGGGGAAGGCACCGAACACCATGGGAGAGGCGTGGAATCCGGAGGTGTACAGATCAATACCGAAGAGCGCATCAATCGCTTTGAGGCCAGCAGCGTCACCGGGAACGGAATAGTTGGCGGGAGCTAGGCCGTAGGTGTTCTCGTACCATGGAGGCGAGCAGGGGAAGATGATCTGGATAATGACGGCAGTCATGTTCATGTAGCCAAAGGCGCGTGCCCAGATGGGAGCGGTACCGGGAGGGCCCCAGATGAACATGCACCCGCTGACAACGACGGGCGACACATAGTGGATGACGCCGTAGGGAATCCAGGCCAGGATATCCAGCACAGTGTGCTTGTGGGCCGAGAGGATGTTGCTTAGATTGGCGCCGTAGAGTATGTTTTCCATGGCCGGCAGCACACGCACCCAGATGGCGGGGCGGTAGTCTGCGGGGATGTACTTGCAGCTAGAGAACAGAAGCAGCCATGTGAGGGCGGGGAGAAATGGCAGGAGGAATTGTCGAGAAATGGGTAGGACTAGACCGCCCATGAGCAGCGCTGCAGCAAACGTCTTGGCAAAGGGGCCCGGGGCCTCGCTCACGGAGAGGGCGAATATGGCGACGATGGCCAGTATGAGGTACTGGCCGTCGTAGATGGACCACGGGTGGGTGCGCAGCGAGCGCAGGGTGTCGGCGGGGGAGAAGGAGGTCTCGAGGGAGGCGATGGACGACGTGGGCGACTGGCGGCTGCGTATGCGCGACTTGGTGGCTCTCCATTTTCTGCGCAGGCGGTGCGGCACAAAGCTGGGCAGGGCCGACAGGCCAGGGACCTTTGCTTGCGACAGCTTGGAGGCGCCCTCGTCGAGGAAGGCGAGGTAGCTCTTGTTCGTCATTGGGGGCGGCCGGGCGTGGTCTCGGGGGCGAGCACGGGGACAATGCGGACTGGCGAGACGGGTGCGCAGCGGGAGGCGGCGATGGAGGAGGCACACGCGACGGCGACGGGCAGCTGTCGTCGACGGCGGCGGCAGGTGCGAGGTGCGGAGGAGGAGGGGCTTCGGGGCACGCCTGGAGGACGATCGGGCAATAGAAGAGGACGCGCTGGGCGGAAGGCGGCGGAATATCAATGAGCGCGAGGCTTGCTGAGGCCGACATGGGCCGCGTGAAATTGGATGCAGCACAGGCCCCCGCGGCTAGCCCGCCCCCAAGGGCCGCGACAACGACTCGCGACTGCTGTGTCCATGCAAGCAGCAACTGATGCGCCAGCCCAGCCCGGCCGTCTGATCCAGCGGCGCCGCAGTCGAGCATGAGGCCCTCGAGCGCGGCGCGCGAGTGCGTCTTGATGCCCGTGAATATCAAGCCCATCAGTCAGATCCCCGCGCCTCGCCCGAAGCAGCGCACGCCTGGCCGTCACACAGCAGCCGTCTCCCAACCAACCCATGCCCCCTCGCAGCCCGCTGCACCACCAAACTTCGCTTTCGCTCCAGAAACGCGGCGGCCTTCTCCCGCCGCAGCTGCATGTCTAGCTGCAAATGACATCAGTCGACCCAGATCGCGCAGCGCCACATCCCGCCGCGCCAGCGCAACCACCAGCGAATCGAGGGCACCGCTGTAAGCCTCGCCGCAGCACCACAGTCCAAGACAACCGCGTACATCTCGTGGCGCCCACGGTTTGTCTCGTATGCGGTGTGCTTCCCCAGCCTCAGCCACGCGAAACGCGTCTCCTTGCAACGCCTGCCAGACACGGCCTCTTGTCCGTGTCAGATCAGACACGTCCAAGCATCCACCGCTGCTGCACTTGCAGCTGTAGTTCGCGCGGCCCATCGCCAATAGGCCCCCGGTGCTGACTGCACTGACTGGCTGACTGACCGACTGGCTGGCTGACCGACTGACCGTCGGCCGTACGCGCTCGGCTCCGGCATCTCGCACCCTCCGACTCGGCCGCCCGCTGGGTCAGCGACCTTTTTTTCGCTTTGACAAGCAAATTCGCAATTTCCCTTGACAAACCCGTCAGGCTCTGCACGCCGGACCGTTGCCCGGACGAAACCCTGTGCTACTGCCATTGGTTGCGCTTGCTCCTTTTCAAAACCTTTCCAAGCTAATTTTCCTTTATCGATATCGAATACGCTGCCGTATACCGAACCGTAAGCCGTATTCTACCCGTACCCGCTCGGCTAATCCTTTCTTACTCAGACGGCGGGACTATCATCATCTCCTTTCTTGCCCTTCGCTCTAGGCATGCACGCTGGTCACTGTGACACAGGAACGTCTCGTGATGTGGGCGACAGCCGCGTTCCAGGCGTTGCGCTCTCGCCCGCTTCTGACAAGTCGTGCCGTGCATTGTTTCTCAGCATTGAGTTCAAGCGCGTTTCAAACTCACGCGTTGTTCCCGTGTTGCCCATGCAGCCACCTCTTATGCACAGTGCGCCAGGAGCCCTGCGCTCAGCCCGCCAATCTGAACTCACATTATACCCCCGGAAGCGACTCCTCTAACACCGAGCTGGCTCGGCGTCGCTCTTCGGGTTGCGAAGGTAGCATGGCCTGGTGTTGGTCGAGTACAGCGTCTGGTGTTGTCCATGAGAACAGACTTGACGCCCCACTGCTAATAATGCTTCATCACGCAGAGTCCAGTGGTCATGATCAACATGTACAATCCCTTCAGGAGCTAATTCTGATATTTGACCAACGCTCTGCGCCAATTGCGATGCGTCGACTCACGACTTCGATTGATGGGTACGTAATCCAACTCAATACTGACAGCCATACGGAGTACAATGAGAGCACACGCAGAAATGTTTCCGAGCATACACGTTCCATGTCTACAATATCTCTCCCCATTCTTCCCCTTCCCCCACGTACCCATCATGTCAGTCGGGTCCGTCCACACCTGCACAAACTCCAGCCTCGCCGCCTTGCCATCCATCTCCCCAACCACAAACCGCGCATCAAAGTCAAACTCTACTCTCTGTTCGTGTTTCAAGTGTAACTTGAACACCCCATGCACCAGGATATCCGACGTCGGCGAGTCGGCGCAAAAAACGCGCTTCAACTCATGAGCTCTGGATACGATGAGTGGGCTGTTGTGCTTGCGGCAAGCTGCGATCTCTAGTTGTTGCACCGAAAGAGTTGGTCAAAAGGTGCCCGTGGATGTTTTGACGTTCTGCATAAAGGGACTTGATGCAGGGTCCTGGTATATGGATATCTCACCAGCTCGACCCAGGCCACACACGTGGGATGCGTGGTGAACACCGTGTCCTCGGTGAATAGTTTCTCAGCAAAAAGCGTCCAGAGTCTTTTTCTGTAGAGTCGCTAATTTCGAAGAAGCGCCGGATGCTGTGCTTGACTTGATCGCTGTCGAGTATGGGCGCTGTTGGCCAGATAATAGGTGTGGCAGCCATGCTGTTCGGTATTGTCTCTTGATGTTTTTTGTGGACTGGCGTGTGCAGAAGGTAAGCTATCGAATATATGTGTGCAATGTTCTCGCTGCCTATTTCCCTAGCATTCTGGAGGTCTGCTGATGAGCGTGATAAGGTGGGATTACGATGTTTCGGTTCTGGGAAATGGCTGTCTGACACTATTTGGAGTGCTGCCTGGATTGAACACGTCTTTCCGTGATCGATAAAATCTCGAGTATCAAACTATCGTAGACGCAAGCTCCTTTCCTCGCTCATCGGAGGCACCAAGAAGAACCCAAAGCAGTTTAGTCCCACTTTGCAGGCGCAGGTGGATGACCGAGGCGCTTACTCATTATTGTAATCAGCGCTCCCCTCCCTTGGGACAACGAAGACGGAGAACAACGGGAAACACCTATCATATGCATTCGATGGTGTAGAGGGAACGTAGTGAGTATACTGCCTACTGCTTTGGGCGCTCCAAGTTCCCTATGCCGTGAAACAATGCCCGTATCAACAGCATACATCCCATGCTCCCCGTCTCCTCCGACCCTCGTATCGCCTTACCTCCAACCATATACACACGTCTAGATACATCCAAACCACCAAAATGCCTAAATCGCACTACGACGCACTCATCCTCGGGTCCGGGCAATCCGGTAGCATACCCTTTCCTTCCTTCAGCTCCACTCCAACTATGCTCGCAGCACCATGGTCTGACTGAGGACCACCAGGCTCCCCTCTCGCAACACACCTACGCTCTCTCAACCACTCTGTCTGTTTCATCGAGCGGGAGCACGTAGGTGGGTGCTGTGTCAACGAGGGATGCATGCCCACGAAGACGATGGTGGCGAGGGCGTACCTTGCTGGGCGAGCGGGGAAGTACGGTGTACAGGTGAGAAGCTTCCCCCCTTTTCTCCTTTGGCTCTCATTCTACGCTGCTCGAGCCGGTTGTGTGAAGCAGTTGGAAGCATAGTAAGTGATGTTGATATTTCGAACAATTCCCTGTCAATGAAGAGAAGTGGGTAGGCGTCGACATGCGCGCATTGAGGCAGCGAAAAAGAGGCACCGTGGCCAGCTCCCGGGAAGGCAGCGAGGATCGCCTGCAAGCCGCGGACGTGCACGTCGTTCTAGGCTCCGTAAAATTCATAGTCCCCAGAGAAGTCGAAGTAAACAGTCTGCGTCTCATCGCAGACAAAACCTTCAACGTCGGCTGTCAACCTTCTCGTCCTGACATACCTGGCCTGGACACCTTGAACCAGAGCAGAGTCTTGGTTCCACCAGCATCCAGGAGCCGTCCAACGTCCCAGCGCATCTAGTCGTCATCGGCGGCGGTTACACCGGCCTAGAATTCGCGCAGCGGTTTCGCCGCCTGGGCTGTGAAGTCAGGTTGCACTCTCTACTGTTTGGTGGAAAGTACTAGTGTTCTGATCGCGTATAAATCCATCAAGCTCACGATCCTGCTGAGCTGACAAGGCTAAATCTAATATTGTGAGCAGAAGCCTCCCAGGTTTCCCCTCGGACGGTGTTGTGGTGTGGCGTATGGATGCTAGTCGCCCGACTTTCGTCCTTCGACCGTGTCTCTTTCTGAAGCCTTGGTGGTTGCAATTCCAATGATGACGTAAAGAAGCTGTTAAACTTCTCTCCAACCATCGACTGCGTTGATCTGTTGTGATAGATGATGCCCCTAGCTATTCAAAATCAGCAAAAATCGTATACGAGCATCGATTACTGTAGCAGCTAGACCGTTTAAAATGCATTTAGCAGGCCCAACTCGACCCAGGCATGCCGACTTACTCACAAGTAAAGCAGCGGTACGATAGCCATTCACCATACGTAGACGTCGAGTACGGCAACTCTTTCTATCCACCGGATGCCTGAGAAGAAGGACTTGCATTCCTCGTTATCTGACGCGTACCTTCTCTTATCTATTTCTGTGTTCTAAACCGCCTGACTGGAAGGCTTCGAGGTTACTGCACGTAGCCCGGCCAGAAAATACCAAAGACTACCACAACGCTCCTTGGCGGAATTCATTCCTGAGTACCTGGCAGGTGTAATCCTCTCGCTTCATTTGTATCTCCAATTGCGGGGTTCGAGCATTCCAGCGTTGTTAGCCACAAGAGGTCTGGACTTGGCCGCGTCAGCGCAGGTCTCAGATGACCTCGCTCCCGCGCATCGCAGCACCGTGAATATGGTCTGATCGTATCATTGAACCGAGAAAATCGTTCAGTATGGAGAAGTACGGTATTCCAATGTGCACGAGCGTACCCACCCATGTGCCCTCCACGTTGCTCCTCCTCCACCAACGCATCGCATCTCTCCACACCCCAAGCCATCCACCCACCCTTCACGCCTCCGCACCCACGCAACCGTGACAACTCCGACAGGCACCTACGATTTGATATTCCCGCGTATAATGGCACCTGACATACGCGCGTCCGCCGACCTCCCACGCCCAATGTTCCGGTTCCAGCCCAGGCGCACCACCGGCTCCCCACCCTCACCCAAACCTCCGATCCGAGCCGCCCAAGTGCGGGTCCCTGATCTGGCGTCCCGGTGCTGACACCGACGACCGACGTCAGTTGGATCGTCGCCAGCCTGTATAAATAAACGGCGGTCCCGTGGTAGGTCGGATTGCTAGTTCAACGTCCCGCCGCGCACGCATATCGCTCTCATCGAACGCAGCGTCGAACCAGTGCAGATTTCCCACGGTGTGTCACGGTTGTCCTTGTCAGTATAACAGTCGTAGATTGATCAGAGTGTTGGAAGATGGCGGCTCCGGGAGGCAAGTTCTTCATACAGGAGAAGCTGGGCGTCAAGGCCGCGCATCATGAGAACTACAAGCAGCTGTGGGAGACCAAGTGGAAGGAGCCGGTACGTTGCGCCTGCTTAAAGTTGGATCCACAGACGTGCTTACGAGAGTGAATGTTAGGCGGAAATGGGCGTGTATCCCTTCATGTTCGGCACGGCATCCGACTTCGAACCCGTCGTCGCGGAGATGGCCGCGCGCGACATGAAAGAGCCATATAACTGGGACGAGTACGCGAAGATATACTTCCCGCAGGCGGAGAAGTTGAAGGGCGTTGCGCAGGAGGCGGAGAGCAAGGGCGAGACGGAGAAGGCGAGCGAGTATTACTTGCGGAGCAGCGCGGTGTATAGGATCTCGAGGTTTCCCGCGCCGAGGAGTGAGGTGCAGAGAGAGGCGTGGAAGCTGGGGAAGGAGTGCGCGTTGAAGGGGCTAGGGTAAGACATATCGCTGCCACGTTCGCGAAAGCTATACTAACATGACCAACAGTCTTCGACCGCATCCCGTCAGCGAAGTTATGATCCCGCATACCCACCGCCTGCCCCACGAGGGCTCGCACATCCCTATCTATTACATGCTCCCTTCCTCTACCACCAAAGATACCCCCGTCCCCACCATCATCATCTTCACCGGCCTTGACGGCTACCGCACCGAGCTCGCCGTCTGGATGGAAGGCTGGCGTCAGAACGGCGTTGCAACCATCGTCCTCGAGATCCCCGGCACAGGCGACTGTCCCGCCGATGCCTCAGACCTCAAGTCGCCCGACCGACTCTATACCTCGTTGTTCGACTGGATCGGGCAGCAGGACGGCATCGACCAGAAGAAGGTGGGCATATGGGCGTTCAGCACGGGAGGCTACTACGCCATCCGCGTTGCGCACACGCATGCCGACAAGCTGGCGGGCGTGGTCGCGCTGGGAGGCGGCTGCCACCACATGTTCGACCGCGAGTGGCTGGACAACGTAAACCACCTCGAGTACCCGTTCGATCTCGCGAACACGCTGGCGTACAAGTGGGGCTACGGCGATGACGTCGAGCGTTTCAAGGATGAGGCAGCGGATAAGTTCTCTCTGCTCAACGACGGGACGCTGGACCGGCCGACCTGCGCGCGCTTACTGCTTGTCAATGGCACCGAAGATGAGATCTTCCCGATTGACGACTATTACCTTGCGCTGCAGCATGGGGCGCCAAAGGAGGCACGGTTCGTACAAGGCGTCAAGCACATGGGCGAGCCGATGAGCTTCTTCATCATCTTCAACTGGTTTTATAAGCTTTTTGGTATCGAGGCGGATCCGGTCAAGCAGCTTCAGACTTTGCCGTTCAAGCCAAAGTATTGATTGAAGCGGTTTTTGCTTTGTTGTGAAAAGCATTTGCAGCGTAACTTTCGATCGAGCGTTTAGCAAGGCAAACATGCATTACACATTACATCTTATGTCTAGTGCAACAATCAACGACGCTGCGTATGCCTTTCTGGCCGCAACCTTAGGCCCGAGGAGGGATCTGAGAGGGTGCAAGGCTATGTCTTAATGGCGATGTGATGATGCTTATTCCGCAGCTTACCAACGATACGTTCGTGAGCTATCTGGCTCCACAAGCCGGGAAATGTTTTGGCTGTGCATCCGACACGCAAGTGGTGAGTTGGTCCTTGGACTTTGTAATGGTGAACTTCGATACCGTGGGGCCTGAATGTGAAACGGTTGGGATGATGACTATACTGTGCTTTCAGCCTTCAGTTGCCTCACCCCTACCGTATCATGAATCTCTTAAGCTAGACCAGGAATGCTCACCCAGAAGCATTTTGAAAGTGAATGTAACGCAACCAAAACGAGCAGTCCTTGGTTCTCGATGCTTCACCACATTCGCACTCTCGCGAGAACGGCGTATTCTTTTTTTCTCGATCAACAACACTGCTTGCTGCTGATCCGCATTATAATGTCGATTACAACTCAACCACGACTTTTTGGGATCAAGCCGACGCCGACTGTGTACCCGAGGCCAGATCCGCACAGCATCATGGTCTCTAGCGCTGGTACTACGGAAAACATCCCGGATGATAGAAGTTTTGCGTGGATCTCGGCACTCTACGGGCCGGGGAATCTCATCTGCTGGGCGTTCCTGATTCTGTCTGTGCTGGTTAGCTGGTCTATCAATCCGTCTTGCACCAAGGAAACTATAACCAAGGGTTTCATTGTTGTGCTCACATTTCCCATTGTGGCAGTTGGGCACTTCGTCCATCGGGTCATTCCACATATGCGAAGGAAAGGAGACGGCAAGACGCTGCGCCTTCAAGACGTACTCTCCAGCTTTATGCCGGAGGATATGCCATGTTGTGATGTCTCTTCTTCTACCCGCTTGCGGCGCGGAAAGGCCAGGCGAAGAGGGTATCCATGATCGTCGCCGTTGGAACGTTGTGCCTTGCGCCAAAACTGCTTCTCATGGTCCACTGGGTACTGTTCGACTCAAGCCTGCATTTCCGAGCAACCCTCGTCCACGTCTAGCCATTGGTCATTCCTATGACATGTTGAAATATACTCACGGCGGCGACGAATCCCGTGGAGAGACGGTTGGGGTCTAATTAGAGTATCAAATATGGCGAAACAGATTGATGTAGAATCTGCAACGACTCCAACATGGCGCGTTCTCTATCCAGGTCACCCTAGCAGTTGGATGGAGGCGTGCTCATTATTATTCATGAACATTGGCGCAATTTGGATGAATTGTGCCTGGTTATATCTTGTGTCGTATGCCCATGGGATATTCGGTTCAGTGCGGTTCGTTCCGCCAAGCGCGAGCAAGCTCTCCGACTGAGACCAGGTCGTTGTTCGACTAGGTGAAGTCGTGGCATTTGTCTTCAGCTTGTTAGAGGCTTTGAAGGGACCAAGCAATGCTGGAGCGAAGATGCAAGAAAGAGGCTGGAGTCGAGTGACATCTAGTTCCCTTGCTACTGAATTGATCCGTTCGCTCTATGTAAGTTACCACAAAGTTCCGTTCATATGAACAACATTGGGTCAAATACACATGTTTCGTACGCGTCAGGTGCATAGGAAGCAATCTGGTGGCGGTGATAATCTGCGTTTCCGGCGTCGTATTTCGCGTACCAAACCTTTATTTGTTGATGCCACTGCCTTTGTCCACCGAGAGTTGACCCAAGTCGATCCATCTCTGGAGGCCTCATGTAGATACGGTCATTGCAATGTCGTGGCAACGTATGTTTAGTTCTCGTGAGACGAGTAGCCATCGGGCACGAGAAGGCGAGACTGACACGAGCATCGGGCTTGTAGGCGAGTAGCTGCTAGCGGAGGGACCCTTTGACAGCGAGTCGGATCTGCATGCAGATCTTGTATGGCATCCAATCGGTGCCCAATACCAACGGGAGATTGCTGTCAGTGCTTTAGGACGTGAGGGGGGTTCGACACTTCCTCGGCTGAAGGCCTGATCGATTCTGCATGGTCAGTGACAAAGTCATGCTCAGGGTTCCCAGGCTTTCAGGAGATGTGTGTCCACTAGTCATCTTTGGCTTAGCATACCCGTGTCGTTTCTGCAGTGACCGGATCTGCGGGCACTGTTCGCAACCCCACGGTCGTCTTTTCAAGGCGCGTTTGATTGCGCAAGTCGCGTCTGCCATGGGTCATATGCTTGATCAATTTCAATATAGCATCGCTCATTACAGCATCGCCAGAGCAACCGGGCATAATGTGGCTGTATTGTCTATATTCCGGCGCTGAAACATGCAAACGCGCAGCATTGTTCTCGTAGGATGAGGCTGAAGCTGCACGACATTGGGCATACCAGAATAGGTCGGGCACCGACTGCGAGACCCTAACGGTGTCAGACTCGATATGGCAATTTGCACGTTTCACCGAGACAGTTTGATGTCAACTGCGGTGATGGACCCTCCAAGCCTCCAGAGTGGGAACTTGACTGTGATGCTGTCAAGCGCGCGGCCGCCGATCGCGATGCCCTACTGTGTTTTTTGGTTGGGTGCGCCTTCTCTCGGTCAGGCATCAAGCAACGCCGATTTGCTCTCGAGAACTTCAGATGTGTTTGCATGCGGCGGCTCATATGCAGCGAGCGGCGAGCTGAGAACATGTTGCGTTGCATGGGAGCTTACTGTTGATGTTGGTGGATGTTTGTGTGCCTGTTGTCTGTGTGTGGGTAGGGCTGAGATGAAACACCGAGCCCATGGGTGAGACAAAATGAGAAGGGTTGGGCCGCCCGGAGGGTGTTCCGCTGGACAAGCGCGATCTAAGTACGGTACGATTGAGGGTCGCGGGTATCTGACTGCTGCACAATTGGGCCAGATCAGGGGAGGAGTGGGGATCGAGCTGTGGCTCGCAAGTCATGAGCGTGGCGCTGGATGATGGGAATCCAGGAGAGCCTACGGACCAGCAGGTCGGAAGTTGGATACAGCGCTATAGGCGCCGTCGCATGCAGGCGTGGCCACAAGCTGCGGCCGGCGCTGCTACACGGGACGACACGGCAACACTTGAGCGCAGTGTGGATGCGCGCAAAAGCCCACATGAGGCATCGATACGGCATGTCTTGCATTGATTGTGCACACGCACACACAATCGATAAGTTGGAGCGATCGATAGACGATAGATGGAGTCTGACAGATGGACCGCTGCCGGGCGCAGAGGCAATCATAATGCGGAGACGTATAGCGAGCGTTGCGGCGGGCCGTGCCCGACAGCGTGAAAGCCCCCCTTTTCGCATGAGAGACGCGAAATTGCCTCATCTGACGGTGGCGCGGACGCCAGCTGGCGAAAGGGGCCCCCGGTACGGAGCCGTGGAAGATGACGATGCATCCACGGGTGGAGTGCTCGGACGGCGAACACGGTGGTGTGGCGAGGGTGATCAGAGCCGGGGTGGGATGCATGTAAACAAACAACACGCGTGGGTGGCGACGCTCGCACAGCATTCCAGCGCAGCGTCCCACGGCCGGCAGGCAGCGTTTCTCGTCGCGCCTGTGACAGCATCCAGACTCGAAACGCCGCGGAGAGGGCTGCTCGGGACAGGGCCGATTCGATGCGAGCAGCCGGCAGGGTGTTTGGTCTCCAACGGCGGCTTGAGATGCAGGTGCAGCTCGGCTGATGCGCGCACGGACTAAACAGCCCGAAAAAGAATCCACACAACGCGCTCGCGTCGTCTCTCCTCCCATCCCAACCCATCCACCCCGTGCGTGTCCTAGCCTGCCAGCCTGCATCGCAAAGGGTCTCCTCATCTTGCCGCCCCTCGACCCTTCCTCCCCTCATTGCATCACCGCCCTTCGCTCCTGCCTGCGCTGCTTTGCGACCCAACCGGCAGGCGCGCCCTGGTGTTGTTGTTTACCACGCGCATTCCTCACATCGCCACACGTCACGACGCGGCACGCCGCCCACGCCTCCCAGCGCCAGCGAATCCACCACAGCCACGACCGCGCTGCGCTCCTGAGACGCCAGCTTCTTCACACCACTGCGCACTTCCCTCGCCCCCCGCGCACGCCTACGGCCTTGCATGGAGCGGGCGCAGTCGCACATCGCTCGCTGAGGTGGAACTCTGGGTGAGACGTGAACTCGACAACGACGCCGGCGCCCGAGGTTGCTGCATCCCACGCATTCATACCACGTCCCCACGAGCACTGCAAACACGAGCACTATCGTTATCGACCGAAGATTGGCCTCTGCTCGACCCGCAGCTGCCGCCCCAGCCACCGATTTTGCCGGCACAGGACGGAGCACCGCGACAGAACTCAACCAGCCCAACTTCGCCTTCACTTCTCACCTCGAGGAGCCCATCACCCCACCAACAGCACTGACCATTATGGACTTCGCCTATTCCCCGCACCGCGACACGGGTGGGACTCTGCACCTGCCTTCACCCACCCACCACGCCTACCCCGCCCACTTCTCGTCCTCGCTGCAACAGCTGCGGCGCTCCCTCTCGCGATCGCCCTCAAAGCCCTCGCGCTTCCACTTGCGCATGGGCAAGGCCGACGCGCCGGGCTCTCCGATCTCGCCGCTTGCCACGTCGCGCGCCTTTAGCCCCAAGACGTTCAAGCAGACGAGCCCCATCGCCGCCTACACCGAGTCGCCCTTTGGATCCCAAGGCCCGCAGACGACAAAGAAGTCAAAATTCGCCGTGCGCCGCACACTGGGTGACCGAATCCGGTCGTCGCCGCGCAACCGCAACACCACCACCCCGAAAAGCCCGCGTCGCGCGCTGGTTGAATCCACCGACCGCGCAAACGCCTCGCCATTTGTGTCGCGCTCCCTCTTCGGCGAAGAAAACATGCCGGTGCGCAAGAACAGCATCGATTCCTGGGACCAGGAGGACAGCGCGCGCTTCGACATCGACGACCAGCCGATCAAGTTCGAGGTCTTCCGTTCGCAACCCCAAACTTCAACCACACCAGCCGTCAGCCGCTTCGCTCCGCCTCAGCCGAGTCCTCTGAAGCGCCGTGATGGTGCATCGGATTTCGAATCAGCAAGTTGCGCAACCCCAAACCCCAAGAGGCGAAGCCTGCATGCGGGTTTGCCGACAGACTTCAATGTTTTTGAGCAGACACCGGTGCCCAAACACAGCGCCGAAGAATCCTACACCCCCCAACAGGAACCCGAGCCTTTTAGCTTGTTTTCGACACCCGCAGCAAACACGAACTCAACGAGCTTGTTTCATACGCCTGCGCCAAACATGAACTCAGCGAGCCTGTTTAGCACGCCTGCTCCAAACATGAACTCTCCTGCGCGTAGGAACACTTCAATACGACGAGCCGTTTCTCAGCGAACTCCCGCAGGATCACCGCGGCCAAAACCGTCCATGGACGGCGAGTTTATGAAGCCTGGACTGGCCGCATCAAAAACCCGCCCTCAACGGGCTTCGTTGGACGGATTTAACTTCTCAAGCCCCGTCAGTGGAGATTCGGTCTTTGGCCGCTCGACAACGCAGCCTTTCATGCGTAGTGGAGCTAGCAACCCGCAACGACATCCACTGGCGACTACCGTAACCGCCTCTGCTTCCTCAAGTGTCGCGGGCGATTCCCCGATCGCTATGCCAGTGCCCCCTACACCGGGTCCACGGAATCCCTTCACCCAATCGCTGCCTCTGGGAGCCATGCGCCCACAGGAATCCAGCGACGGATCTTTTGGCACACCACTGCCGTATCGACCTGCCGAGACAAACATCTTTGCCCGATCGACCGGCGGACTTCTGTCGAAGAAGAGTCGCGACGTGGAGTCGCCAAAGGCTGACAAGTATCAACTCCCGGAGACACCATCAAAGCGGCACTCCTTTCCTCCTCCATGCGGTGCGGAATCGCCTCTCTCACAAAGCTTCCGGACAAGCTTCCGGGATAAAATCCAGCAGCAACAACAACCTGTTTTCGGGACGCCTAGCAGTCATGCCTCGAAGCTGTCTTTCAGTTCCATGTTCGGCAACCAGGATACTGTCTCCCAGCGGAGAGGAAGCCACGTGAGCCTCGACGGCCTCGATGACGATGCCTCAGTCTCACCAACTGCCAACCGGATGACAGACAGCCAGTCCAGTGTCGACGATATGCCACCGACACCAACAAAGAATGGAGACTCATATGGACGTCGCTCCGGCCGCTCTAGTCTCCGCCGGTCGACCTTCAAGAGACCAGTGACCAGGGGAAGCATTGGAACAGACACCTTCACAGCACCAGAGACCTCCACAACTCCCCGGATCGACACTGCACCACTCTTCCGCCACAGCATAAGCGGTACTTCTCCACATACCCCCATTGGGAATGAGTCATCTACCGTGCCAGACCCCAGCAAACTCAGCATCTCTGGCAATCGCCCCGGTACGTTGCTCTTTGGAAGCAGTTTCGGAAGCGATTGTAGCAACTCATTCCCACCAATGACCCCCACAACACCGCGCGATCACTCAGCGTTGTTCTCACGTAATCACACAGCAATTCCCATCGGACTGCCGAAAAATGATGTGGATGAATCGTTGGCCGCTCGTTTCGGGCACGTAGAGGTGCTTGAGGGTGCCAAAGGTGAATTTTCGCAGATGTTCAAAGTCAGCCAGCCGTTGAACCATGGTGTCAACTCGCCCTTCTCAAGGAGCACCCTGTGCTCGGTCGTGAAGAAGACGAAGAAGGCAATGCTAGGTCCACTCGACCGAAAAAAGAAGCTTCAGGAAGTCGAGGTTCTCATGGCTCTCCGCGGGAACGATCACATTGTCGCCTACAAAGATCATTGGGAGCATAGCCAGCATCTCTACATTGAGACAGAGTATTGTGACAACGGCAATTTGAAGGACTTCTTGACTAAGGGTCGCCTTGACGATTTCAGGATCTGGAAGATACTACTGGATCTATCGTTGGTAAGTTCTCCGCACTTCGGATCAATTCGTCATCTAATCTTTCCTAGGGCCTAAAGTTTATCCACGACAGCAACTTCATTCATCTTGACTTGAAGCCTGCCAACATACTGATTGACTTTGGCGGTTGGCTCAAGATCGCTGATTTCGGGCTCGCTACTCCTTGGCCCGCCCAGAAAGGCATCGACGGCGAAGGCGATCGGGCTTATCTCTCACCGGAAGCACTTCACGGTCGTTTCGACAAGCCATCCGACATATATGCTCTTGGTCTGATCATGTCAGAGATCGCTGGCGATTGCGACATGCCGCAATTCGGCGACTCTTGGCAGAAGCTTCGATCTGGAGAATTTTCCGTCCTTCCGAGCCTGAGCTGGAGTACCCAGAGCACCCTCAGCCGAGATGAGAATGGCGACCCAATCGAGTCGGCTGCCCAGGCCTATGTCGACTCAACTGGTTACCTCACCCAAGAACTGCAGGACGAGGTGACAAAAGCCCCCAGGTTCATGACTGACCGTGAGGATCCCAATTCCATGGACGTGGTCGCAAGAGCAATGATAAAGTACGATGCCGCGGATCGTCCAACTGCCGAAGCTGTCTCTATGGCATTTGGTTGCCAATGGGTGGCGAACAGGCGATCCGCTGGTGCGACCATTTACGAGGGAAACTTTGGACCGTCCGAAGACACCTTCGGTGGCTACGACCCGATGATCACCGACAATGCCGACGCTATGGACATGAGCTAGCTCTGTTCCCGATATGCCTACTCGTCGTCAATATGGCAGCGCCTGACATTGGAGTGACATTGGACGCAGGTCGGCCCAATGAACACTGTTCTTGCGAATTGTGGATATCCACAAGCTGCTGTACAATTTTCTGCGCAAAGGATCGTCCCGATGTTCGATTAGTTATACCTCAGCATAACTCCCCTGGACCTCAACCCCGACGCTAGAGCAACTCCCCCGAGCCCTTACGATCCTGACACGGCCGTTTTTGTATGAAGAGACGGAGTTTGGTCTTTCTGTAATGGTCTACCTGTTTTCTTTCCGGAGTTTCGATACGAATTGCATCAGCATTCAACCCCACTATTACCCTCGCTGCTGAAAGACGCGGCGAGCTGGGGATTGGCGTTTTTCACTTTTTGGCCTTATTTTCAGGACGTCGGTCGTGGCGATGAAACGTTTACGACGGTTACGATTTCTTGATTCCGGTATGATTGCGCTGGCTCAGGTGGAGGGGAGGCAGTGGCCGTCGGAATGAAGTGGAAGTCTTGAGCGCTAGAGCTCCGGTATATGGAGGATCTGAGGGTCGCAGTAGTTGTAGATGTGAGAGCATTATAACGATATGATGACCATGTGCAAGAACTGTCTTCAATGTGCTTGAGATGTGTGCTCGGGGCGTACGTCAGTGAAGAAATAAATTTGCAGGCCTTACGTAAGTTATCGATAGAGCCCCTGAGCCCACAATCGGGCAGAATGGGAACTTCCGGTGTCTCGTTAAGCCCTATGGAATCCGTTTATCCAGGTACTAAAACGGGTGATAAGCAACCGAATAGTGGGAACATGGATAAGGAACCGAGTGGTAAGGGGCTCGGTGTGGACCAAAACTCTTCGAAACAGAACTTGAAGAAAGTGAGCGTCATATACATGCTCACGAGAGTGTTAAATCTTTATGTGTTCGTACGACGATTTGCACGTCCGGCTCGTACAGTTTTCACCAGAGTATGGTGATGAGCAGCTTCACGGCGGGCACGGCTGCACTGGTCCACGGATAGAAATACTAGCCTTTTCTTCGCCTTTCATTCTCCTTCACGCTTCTCTCCTTGCGGCTGTGAGGTACTAAAATTGCGGTAAAATTACGACATGTACGGGCCAAAAATATCAGAATGGCCAATTTAATGGCTGTGCCTTCGTCTCTGTGCCAAAAATTGGCACCTGTCAACCACATGGCGTGGCCTCTCGTTTTCCCCGCCTCACCTCAAGTCAAGACTCGGGGCCAGGCTGCTGACCGTGATGGTGGTGAAGCGCATCATCTCTCGTTTCCACATCACTACCATCACCTTCAATCATCTTGTAGGGAGAGGGTTTCAGACGAAGCGTCGGCATAAAAAGCGCGAAAATTTCGCTGGAAACTGGTCATCAAACTTCTAAACTGCAGTGCTTAGGGCACCAAAAGTGACAAAGGGAGAAGCGATGGGCGCACCAAAACTTACAAGATGGAAGGTTATGTCGCTGTGGGATTTGTTCTTCGGTCTTTGAGTACAAAAAGGACATGTTCGACAAGTTTTATGGCTCAGTGTATGAGGAAGTGGACACAATGAAAGACTAGTGGAGCATGTGGTGATTTGGCTGTGCTGCTTACCCATCGCAGATCATAAATGTCTGCACTACCTATCGATGTGGACGCCAAAGTCGCCCAGCAACAATATATGAGTCTTTGCCGGCTGCTGTCCAAGATATCAAAATGGCCTCCCATGACTTGTCCTCACGCTCCAAAGTGCAAAATCTAAAACGAAATGGCGCGGTGGTGCGGAGAGGAGTATACATACCGCCATTGTCACGACTTGAGAGTGTTCTTCCCAGGAATTTGTGGGTGTTGGGTGGGACTAAAAGAAAGATTGTCACAAGTTCATGTGCGGACGAACCCCGAGCGAGCGCAAGGAACGTTTCTGCTCCTTCTTTGGTATGGCTCGAACAGAGTGGGCTCGCAAGTGTCCTGGAGAGTCTCCCTGCGCTATGTCTAAGCGGACATAAGAACGCACCTGCACACTCGAAATGGGACTTTCAGGTTCTGTCTTCCGTCGCAATACTATCTCCGCATAAGTGGTCTGTGGGCTTCCAAAATCACATACGATCATGGTCCATGTCCTGTTCGGCGCCGAGACGGTAAAATAAAGACTATTCTTCTCGCTGGGTGAGAAAGCTCTTTACGGGAGTGCGTCGATGGTGTGATTGATTGAAACAAGAATTCTAATGGACGAATGTGTGGACTCAAAATTACAAATCTACAGGACAAAGTTACTCCTCCAGGGACCATAGAGGTGTTTTCGCTCGCAGGATCGAGCATGTCGACACTTTGTCTGGTAGGAAAGCTTCTTGCTCAAGAAATACAGAGACAAAACCGCGGAACGACGGCGAGGATGTAGGGACCAAAACTCAACATTAATCCGGCGATGGGAGGTTTCTTCTGCTCTGGGAGAGGTTGACCTTTCAAAATGGCACACTATAAATGTCTTTCGACGTCAGTATGAATATCTCTTCTATCTGTATAGGAAAGAAAACCATTTCAGTGTAGTCACTCTTGCGTAAAACCAGATTAACAACTCGCAAGAAACGATGTATTGACTAAAAGAGCCGAGGAAGCCGGCCATGAGACCTAGGGTTTGCTGGATTCAAAGCCTTACCCCAATAATCTCCAAATGGAGACCGCGTATATCATGGAGGTGCCTGCTCGCACCATATATCTCGGCAGCTTAGCTAGAAGGGAGACTTCCTTACTTGACCACACAACAGCTAATACGACTTAAAAGATTTTCCCTGGTGAGACAATGTGCGGGACTAAAAAAAAAAAAACACGGGCCTTACATGGGACGCGACCCAATTCTGGAGGAAGTTCTGGTTCTGCACCGCTCTGAAAGTAGCAGACAACATCGTACATACAAAAAGCTATGTCTCGTTAGTGCATGGGCCTGAGTTTCTGGATGTGCGGATGCTAGTCATTGTTTTAAACGACTGAAGCAAATAACCGACACAAGACTGAAAACGAGTGACATGGGGCCGATGAGACTTGATTTCTGCTTTATCTGAGACAACATGGCCTGACAATTCTTTGTTCGTGAGGGGTTCGAAAGGGATAAGGGTAGCATCCATGGAGTTCCAATTCATGTATTCATGTATCTCAATCTGGTGTGACTGGATAGTACAGCGAAGTACTTCATGTCAATGCTATTGGGCACTTCAAAATCAACGGAGTAGAAAAGAGATGCTGAGCCCTCAAGTAGATAACACATCACGATGGGATCTGGTCTTGCTCCGATCTTAGTTGCTGCTGCTCGAAGAGCCGTACATTCAAGGTGCCTGGGTTTTATCAAAGCAGTGGGACCTCATATGGCAAGATAGGTAAACCTCGCTTCACTGCTAGGGACCTCCGCACATTCTACCTCCCTGGCCTGAGCGACTAAAATTTCATCCAACCTTTGCCGATGTGCGGACCACCAGAGTCGAAAAGAGAAAAAAGATGCTCCGCGTGTGTGGCCTGAGGATGAGGATTAATCACTCCACGGGGCGTTGGCCTTGCTTCACCCCAACTTGTTCACATGAAAGACTCAAGCGTTTGATTGAGCTCGTTATGACCATCAAATTGCAAACTTTTCGCATGCCCTTCCAAAAACTATGGGCATAATGCATATGTCGGGGCCTCTTGGTTGGACACGCATATAAGTCCTAGCGCCCAACCGTAAAATGTTCTTCCTCGCATATTCATGTCCAGGAATTAAGCCTCACTTCAACCAATCTGCAGAGATTCAATGTGTGGACTTTGGAGGATGAGTTTCTCACTGCCTGGACTTCCTCTGCACACACGTGTCTTTCACAACTCGGGAAACTAAAACACGTCATCCTATATTGTTATGCGGGCACTACAAAAGATCATCGACAACCCCATGTGCAGACCAAAACGACCTTTGTACCATCAAATGGGTCTTTTCTCTGTGCAAGCCAGCAAAAGAGATAGTGCCCGTGAGCGCTTCGAAGCAAATTCAGGAAATTTGATGGGGTCCAAGTACTTGCGTACTCGCGAATGCTATCACAGAAGCGCCATGTGGTGTTCTTCTGTCGAACAAACAGCATTTAGATACCATTACATGGCGTTATGCGCTTTCTCCTCGCCTTCTTCTCAGAAAATCAAGGACGACTGAAATTGGGTTCCTCACTCGCAGATGTGTGCCCCAAAAATGAAGACCAAAAACTCGATTGGTCCTAGGTCTTGCTCTGGGCGAGTGAATACAGGGAGCAGGGGTTCCTGAATTCACTCGAAATCGCAGCATCTATGGTCTATGGAGTGTCTGTCTTGTAGGAGGCATAAATGTATCTACTCTGTCGAAATTGGAGATCCGATTTACACAGTCCTTCCTCTGGGCGCGAAGCCGACTTAAACTAGTGCGGATGCGGACTCGTGAGACTGCTAATATTGACGCGGCACCGGATTATGGTTCTGTATCTCTGTCCTTTTCCAGCACCCTTATTAACACGTAGAGAGTGCCAAAATCTGGAGCCTGACTGTTTCTTGTTAGGTTATGGAATAGCTTCTGATGGAGCTGGTAACAAGAACAGGCCGAATCGCACGATATGTGGAGGCCTGCAGAACAAGAACGCCAGCTTGAGTAGTCGATCTTCGGGGGGTGGCTTGCGAGGCCGGCAATGTGCCGGCGTGCTGTTCCGGCGTTCCTGATGCTTAAGAACCGTGTGGTCGTTGAACTCCGGATCGTCGTTGTACCGTGGAGCGAAGAAGAAAGGCTTCCGCTTGCGTGACCTGCTTCGGCGGAAGTATGGTCTTTCCTCGTGATATAGCGGCAGGTCGTATAGTCGATTTCGTAGGTCTGCTGGTAGTTGGAAGAACTTGCTTCTTTGGAACATTGCCGCTGACTTCGGCTCGCCTGGTTCCATGGCGGAACTCAGTTGTATTTTCGGGTTAGGGATCAAGTGAAGCGAGATTGTGGACTCAATTTACTATCTAGCATCAAATATGCTGGGAAGTGTGGGAGCCGGGCTCACACCTATCCACGGCGGCAACGAGAACAACCTATAAGACACCCAACAGTATTTGCACATATCGAGTCGATACAATCTCATAATAAGCGCAGAAGGGTGGTTGGACAAGTGAAGACAGGCGGCGTGATTTTGAAGCTGTAAATTCACTAGTCATCCTAGGTAGACTCAATCTCGTCCATTGTGCACCGCCAATTTGCATCCCGCACGACGATCGAAGCGTTACCCACCGTCAAAATAGTCAGCGACACTCACGAAATATCCAGCTTCCAGACCGAAGTCTATTTTTCCAAGCTGCAGCTTGCAGTCTCACCGCGTTACGGGATGATATCGTAGTCGCTACAGCGATCGACAGGATCACCGCTCAGGTCCTCCAAGACGTCATACGGCCGCGGTCCGCTGGCGCCCGCCAACGCCCCGAAAAGATGGAAATCCATTCTGTCCCTTTTTGAGCTGTGATAGTGAAGTGCTAAACAGAGATTCAGGGAATTTCCGCGTACAAGAGTCGACAAAGCCTTGTGAGAGTCCCTGCGTCGATCTGTGGTACGGGCCGTCCAATATCGTGCACGTGGCTTCCCTTTCAGCCCAGTTCCGCCTACAACGCTACTCAAAATGCCGTTTCCTCAATGTGCGACCCCAGATCCAGGCCTCCTCATCGCAATCAAGCATTATCGGCACTTCAAGCTCCCACTGACGTCCCCAGACTAAGCTTAGCCGCAGGTCCCACACTGCCCCCTGCCGATGACGTCAAGCCACTGTTGTCAGAAATCCGACGCCTTACAACATATCGCGAAACGCCCCGGCGCCGGGTAATCATTGCTATGCCACTTCCTGCTGCCATATGTGTTGCGACCGTACGTCCTGGTATATCCGCAGACCGGGTCTACCCTGGATCAGTGGCAGGCCTGAGCTCCTGGGGCTCAGTTAGATTTGCTTTTTGAGTAACGGCTCGTCCACCGCTCTTTGCTCCACTCGGTGCATCATCACGCGTGCGCAATAGCCCGCGAAGCGAAGCGACTGCGGAGGCTGGCGATCTCCTTGTTAGTTTCCCCATATCTACTCGTCGACGCCTGGCGCATCGGGGCCTTCGTCTTTCTTCGATACGGCGTGTCCTCTCGTGTCTTGAGCCTGCTGCGCCGCATCACAATTGCCCATCATGAACTACTCTACGTGGATAGAGGAGAAGAACCTCAAGGTACGAAAGCTGCTAAAGCTGCTCAAGCTGAATGTACAAACTAACGCAACCCCAGAAAACCTTCATTGTAGCGACGCTATGTTCTACCATAGTTGGTACCTTCACAACGACGATGAATCTCTACGATGCGGTACAGGCTCGCAAGGAACAGAAGAAGACGGATGGCAAGCAAAATCAGGAGCTCGAGGCCCTGCGTAAGCGCATAGACCAGGCCGAGGAGCGCGCAAAGGAGAAGGACAAGGAGCGCGACGAATATACGCGCAACTTCCAGCACTCGTCGCAGCTCATACAGCGGCAGTACGACGAGGGCTACGGGCGGCTGGGCAGCAGATTCGCCCAGGGAGACAGTACGTTTACTCTCGTTGCCCATCATGAAAAGTGTGGTGTGGGAGTAGGGTATGCTGACGGCCGCCCCAGCAATAACAGAGAACCTCCTCCAAAAGCAAATCATCCAGCTGCAACAAACCGTCATCAATGTCCTCCAAGACGCCCTCTACAACGACCGCCAGCTCTCCCGCGCCGACATGGCCAAGCTCGCCGCTGCCTCCGACGCCGCCCGCGAGGGCTCCATCGATGCCCTCCGCCAACAACAACAGCGCCTCGCCGGCATCGACGAGCCCCCTTCCCGCCGCGACTCCCCCATGCGCGCGCTCCCCGCCCCCAAACGCGCGTCAACCGTCGTCGAAGATGAACCCCTGTTCTGCCGGTACGCCCTCAGTGTACAGTTCAGGCCCGCGAAGCCGCTGGCCGGCGATTTCGCACCGGGAGGAGACTGTCGCTGTCCCGATTGCGGCCGGCGTATCGACGCAACGGCGGACGACTTCTGGCAGATCGGGAAGCGCACGCCCGTCGTGTACGGCGGGAAGGAAGTCACTGAAGCCCGCGAGTTCCACCTGGGCCAGCGCTTCGTGATTAAGTGCCATACCCCTGACGGCGACTACGCATGCGTGCTGTGCAACAAGCACCGGGACCGGGATGCCGTGTGCAGGACCGTGGAGGCGCTGGTGAACCATGTCGGGCGCTTTCACGATGTGGAGGAGCTGGAGCGAGAGGTGGATTTGAAGGAGACGGTGCCGATGGTGTTGGCGGCGCCGCGGTGACAGGGTGGGATGGGTCGTGCATAGCGTTTTGCGTTCTCGAGGAGCACTTCAGCGGCGGCGTTTGGGCTTTGATGGTGGCTGACTGGGATGGACTTGACTTGTACTATACCACTTCTTTCTAGATCACGATCACGACTTACGACACGTAGATACAGACGACGAAAAGACTCTTGCTATATACCGCTGCCTCCCGTAGACACGTGAAGACCGCATGTAGCCTGAAACCTTCGCCAGTTGGCCATTTCATCATTGTCTCTGAAGTGACTTAGGCTGGTATACGAGTTCATAACTTGGACCTAAGACCCTATTGGCGGTGCTCACCATCCAACGAGAGCGGCATTATGCCGAGTCTGGCTCACGCGCTCGCCTCCGCCGTCTGGTGTCTTGCGCTCACACTTCCGCCTCTCCACGCTGCCCTCGGATCGTCTTTCTTCACAGCTTTACTCTCCGTACCCGCCTCCCCCCACGCACCCCCTCCAGGTGTGTATATAATAATCCGCTCTCCTGGCTTCATACTCGCCGTGTTCTTTGCCCCAAGATTGATATACCTGAACTCGACATCCTCCTCTCCAGCCTCAATCTCCTTCTGCTTTTCGACCAGCGCCTCCACCGCCCCGCTCGTCTTCGCCCCATCCCCCTCATCGTCCTGCTGCATATCCGAGTTCTCATCCAGACTCCTCCGATCGACCTTGCGCGCCCAGATATTCAGCCCGCACGCAGCCTCCCCGCCGCCCGCCATACCGTAGGGGTGGTACACGCGGCGCTCCGAGAGAATGGAGACCTGGACGGGGATGCGGAACTCGATGTCGCGGACAACGCCCTCGCCGCCGTTGTGGGCGCCCACGCCGGCGGACCCTGACCTCAGCCCGAATTCACGCAGCAGCACGGGGTACCGCCGCTCGAAGACCTCGCTGTCCGTGATGCGCGTGTTGGTCATGTGCGTGTGCACGCCGCTGGTGCCCTCCCACGTGGGCCCCGCGCCCGACCCGCCCGCGATGGTCTCGTAGTAGCCGAACCCTTTCTTTGCCTTTTCACCGGCGGACTGCCCGCCGAAGCCGAAAGTGAGGTTGTTTGTGTCGCCCTGGGACGCGGCGCAGGCGCGAAAGGCTTTGAGGACGACGTCGGTGACGCGTTGGGAGGTGAGGACGTTACCGCCGACGACGGCGGCGTTGTCGGACGGGGAGAGGAAGGATTTCTTTGGGATCAAGACGTGGATGGGCTTGAGGCAGCCTTGGTTGAGCGGGATGTCTTCGCTGATGAGGCAGCGGAGGCAGTAGATTATCGCCGAGTAGGTGACTGCTTCGGGGGCGTTGATGTTGCCATACACCTCTGGGCCTGTGCCGGTGAAGTCAAAGACTGCTTCCCCTTTGTCGGGGTCGATGGTTACTTTGAGGCGGATGGGGGATCCGTCGTCCATAAATTCCTCGGCTGAGAGGTCCTGGCCTTCGAAGCGCTTGTACACGTCTTTGAGGAGGCTGCGCACGCTCGACTCGGCGTTGGCTTGGATGTTCGTCATATAGAACTTGACGACTTCCTCGCCGTAGTCGGACATCAGGGTGCTGATGAGATTGATGCCTTTTTGGTTGGAAGCGACCTGTGCCTTGAGATCGTTGATATTGTCGCTGAGGCACCGGGTTCCTGAGCAGCCAGGGTATTGGGACGGCTCATCGTACAGCAACTCGGTGATTCTCTTCTCATTGAAGTGTCCTTCCGATACGAGCTTCTCGGACTTGATCTGAGCGCCCTCTTGAAAAAGCTCTCGACTGGCAGGAGGCATACTACCAGGTAGAATGCCTCCTATGTCAGCGTGATGGGCACGCGAAGCGACATAGAAGATGATCTCGTCACCGCTGAAGGCGGGGGTGATGACGGTTATATCGGGCAGATGAGTGCCGCCAAACATAGGGTGATTAGAGACGAGAACGTCACCTTTCTTAAGCTTGCCTTTCCATATGGCTGACTGTTTGCGAACGCAAGTCGACATACTGCCCAAGTGTACGGGAAGATGGGGTGCTGGAAAGTGTCAGTACATCCACGATATTATGTTAGTATGAGGGCCACTTACCGTTAGCGACCAGCCCACCATCAGCGTCAAAAAGTGCGCACGAGTAGTCAAGGCGCTCTTTGACATTAGTGGACACGCTCGTCTTCTGGAGGGCACGTCCCATCTGTTCGGCGATGGCCATGAAGCGATGGGCGAAGATGCTAAGAAGGATTGGGTCAACCTCCTTTGTGTCAATCTTCTTATCCTGAATATCACTTTCTCCAATGTTGATAACAACATGTGTGTCTATGATCAATGCTGACGCCTCCGGAGTAACCACTATCGTCTGGGTACCATCTGCAATGATAGCGGGTCCATTGATACGGTCGCCTGTGTTCAGATCCTCGAGCTTGTAGATCGCCGTGTCCTGCCGACCGCCTTCAAAGAACACCTTACGTGTGGCGTACACTTTGTCCCCTTTCTGAAGATCCTTAGGCTTGATCTCTTTGAGTTGCTGGTCGACCGTCTTCTCCAAACCCTCGAAGGTCTTACCGATGCCCCTTGCGCGGACGTCGTCTACAATGATGTCACGGTCTGGAAGCGTGAAACCAAATTCCTGTTCATGCTGTTTGATAAAAGCCTTGTGGAATGCCCAATCGTCACCTCCAAACTCCTTCTCGGCCTCCTCCTTGGTAGGCTTAATGATCATCAGAGCGGACTCGGTGCCACGATATCGCAAGTTGAGATATTCTTCAAACTTGATCTGATCTGCATCAAACCCTTGATCTTTCAACCTAGCGATGGACTTCGACTTGAGATCTTTCATCTTGCTTTGTAGATATTCGCGTGTCGGCTTATCGTCCGACCACACCTTTGACTCTGGCTCTTGTCGCTCATCTACGACATCTGCAAGCGCCATGCCATATGCCGATAGGACGGAAGAATAGCGATGGACCAGGATCTGGGAGATTCCCAAGGCCTCTGCGATTGCTACTGCATGCTGGCCACCAGCGCCACCAAAAGTTGCAAGTCTGTGTTTTGACGTATCGTGACCTCGTGCTTCCGTCAAACTTCGAATGGGCCGTGTCATCGTCTCGTTCGCGATCTTTATGAATCCATTAGCTATGTCGTCCAGCGACATCTCCTTCTCCTTATTGTCTCCTGCGACCTCTTTGTTGATTTGCTCTGCCAATTCCTTGAACAGCTTCTCGCTTGCCTCCGCATCCAAGCCTTCGTCTTCGTTCTTGCCAAATATTTTTGGGAAGAAGTCGGGAAGTAGACGTCCGAGAAACAGATTAGCATCGGTGATAGTCAATGGACCACCCTTGCGATAACATGCTGGTCCGGGGTGTGCACTCGCCGACTCCGGACCAACGACGAACAGTCCATTCTTCCAGAACAAGCGCGAACCTCCACCCGCGGCAACAGTGTTGATATCGAGTTGAGGAGATTGAATTGTCACGCCGGCGGTGGTGGTTTCAAAAACATGATCGTATCTTCCCGCTCCATATCTACTTACGTCTGTCGAAGTGCCGCCCATATCGAAGCCTATAACCGGAATCTGAGTTTCTGGGTCATACGATGTGAGCGCATAGCCCACCACACCACCCGCCGGGCCTGAAAGGATGGCCTTCAAACCAGAGAATATGTCGACGTCGACTAGACCACCATCCGACTGCATGAACTCGCACCTCGCGCCCTTGGAACCGCTCTCTTGTTTGACACTCTTCGTACCAAGTCCTCCCTCGAAGCCTTTCGAGAAGCCCTCGATGTACTTTCGTATCGCCGGTGTCAAATACGCATCGGCACATGCAGAAGTTGCTCTTGGTACTAGCTTGATCATGGGCATGAGTTCATGGCTCAAGCTAACGTGCTCGAACCCGATTTCTTTTGCGATCTTGCCGACCAATGCCTCATGGTTGTTGTAGGTATAGCCATGCATCAGGCACACAGCAATACTCCGCAGGCCACTATCGTACACCTCTTGAAGCTGCTTCCGTATAGTTTCCTCGGCGGGTCTTTGTAATATGCGCACCGTCTCACCGGACATGCCCTTGACGAGCTCTGCATCCTCGCCTGCCTCATCTATTGACTTGGCCTCGGTCTGTGTTCGCTCTGGATCTTCAGCATAGTCTTCAAGGGTGACTCGCTCGTCTATCTCCACCACCTTCTTGTATAGGACCTCCGGCTTTCTTATATCCAATGCGAAGATATTCGGTCGCGATTGGTTTCCAATCTCCAAGCAATCTTTGAAGCCTTTTGTCACCACCATGGCTATGTCCTCGCCCTTGCGTTCCAGCAGGGCGTTTGTCGCAACAGTGGTGCCCATGCGTATGCTCTCAATCTTGGAGGTGTCTAGCGGCTCACCACGAGGGATTTCTTTACCGGTGAATTTGGACAGTAGGCGGCGGATGCCTTCGAGGGGCGCGTCGTCATAATTAGAGGGATCGACCGAAAGCAGCTTGATAACAATATCGTCTTCCATCTTGCCTGTGCCTGGATTGCCTACGCAGTCGGTGAATGTACCTCCACGCTATCATTATCAGTCTGCATCCAATTGCTTTATTGTTCACAGCCTTACGTCAATGGCGATGCGGATGCCGCGCTCGCCGATGCCTGCTGAGCCCATGCTGTATGTCACTGCTCGAGGATGTGCTGGAGGAATGAAGCAGGATTTCTAGGGGCCGTAATGGCGTGGAGTAAACAATCAGGAACCCAGGTAGTGAGTCAATGGGCTGATTACAAAGTGGCGCGAGGCCAAAACTAAAGACATCGCACGCGATACGAACGGCTGCAGGGCTGTCGAATGGAATAGTGGGGGTGGGAGTGCTGCCCCGCGCCCACCCAAGAATCCGAGCTGCTAGTGGCGTCATCACCGCGGTCCGTCCCAAATGGGGCTAGCCGAAGTCACCTAGAACTCGTGCTACTGCGCATGTCGTGTTCTGTACCCTTAGACCAATGGCAGCATCTTAGACGTGCTTGTTGGCCATCTCTTGTTTTGCACGTATATCTTCCTGGATCCTCGGCCATCCCCTCCTCTGAATATCGTCATGCTGCTGTTCAGTTCGCCGCGAATGAGCAACTGACACCTGCTCAAATCGACGAGATAGTTACCTTCGGCAATCGCTCGCACTGGGGTAGAGCCTGGGCACAACAAGAGATCTGGCTCGCGAAGGACTACAAGGTGTACTGCGATACCAGGTACATTAGAAATCCGAACTCGACAACTCCCTTGTTTTTCTGTCTGGGGTTCCGAGCGAGGATCCGAATGAGCACTACAAGGCCTAGATGTATAAGATTCGAAAGACACGAATGCATCGGATTTTCTTGACACGACCCAGGCCACTAACTTCATCGTGAAGATTTTCCATGTACGAAGTCTCAGTGCGCTACCCCGAGCATGGGTTGCAAGAAGAAGTGTGTGTCTACACTCTCATTGATCTATGATTCAGTCACATCTATTCAAGAAAGAGATCTATACAAATTTCGCTTGAGGCTGCTCGAGACCGCTAAAGAAATGACTGCCATCTGGTCTTGCAAACCCCTTCAACCTGTCCCAGCCATCGGTTACTCGCGCCAATTGATTAAAACACCTTCCATAGATTCCAGCTTCGACAGAACTCCCCAAAATATCTAAATTTGTGGAACGCATCGCCATTGCGAACGACTCAGTGTCTAGAAGTCCGCCCCGCTCCTCACCAGGTACACCCTCGATTCATCCGATAGCAGGCGCGCATGTTCTTCTCACTTTCCGGTGTTCTGGCTGCTGTATTGGGTCCAATGTCCTTCCCTTGGCTTTTCAGCCAACCAGCTCTGCATTGCAAAGCTTTGAGAGCCCTAGCTCATGTCAATGGCATCCATCAGTGAGAAGCCACTTGCACCTACCGTGCTGCTACTGCCTCCTTGGCCAGCAGAAGTCTGGGTCACTTGCGTCGGCGTTGACTGAGCCTGTCTCTGAGTAGTGTGCGGCATGATGGAAGGCTGATGTAGACGATTCTGTTCGCTTGGGAGGTTGGACGTGGAAGCGTGCTGATGAGGATGCAGTTCGAAAGTTCAAGATGCTTTCTCTTATACTAACCTGTACCCTTCTGGCTTCAGCGGTGATGCAGACGGCCGCCCCATAGCACCTTCTTCTGAAGAACGCCCCAAATCGATGACTGCATGTCGAGAGTCATAAGTCAGCTATTGCCATTCGCTACATGCGTCTAGGACAGGAACATGATGTGAAATTGCCTAGAATGGGGATTATCCGAAACTCAGACCACTTCCGCACAGACTGAGGGACCTCTGTCTGTTGGTCTTTTACTGCGACGACACCGGTGAACAAAGCTCCAAAAACACACCGCATTCCTAAGTTTGGATTCCTGGCCCTGATATCAAACGTTTAGCGGCCTCTCTGCGACACACCAGGTGAAGAGATGTACGGGGCGCAGGGCGCCCTGCCCTGGAAAGATTCGTCATGAACTCCAACAATTCAGGGGTTTTGCCTTATCGAGGAGAGCGGGCGGCTATAGCAGCCTATCGATAGAAGTCTCCCGGCCCGTGGCGGCGAGCTTACGGGAAGGATGCCGTGGTGTTCTCCCCCAGATTTACGAGGCTTAAAAAATGGTCGATTAGAGAGCCGGGATCGCTGCCACACACGCAATTGTTTCAGCCATTGGCTACTGTTGTGCATATGCGGTGTAACATGGGAAACAGGCAAACGGGTCTAGGCGCTTAATTGCACTGCATGAGGTTGTAAACGACCAAGATGTGGCCGAACAAGGCAATAGGTCCGTCCGTCCTGCTGTATCTGTTCTTATCGACTTTGATAAGCTGACCTTTTACCACGATTCCATATGCTCAGCTGGGCCAGTGCAGCTAGCGTACCGTCCAGATCCCGCTCACAGAACTTCCTTCCCACGTGGCCCTTCATGCCTGGTCCTGGTCGTTAGGCTGAAGGCTCCTGTCCCTGACCGGGACGATCTTATTGCGAAAGAATTGCACGAGGCAGTTTTCTTGCCTTCCATTATACTGTTCGCACTGCGCGGACATCAGCCGGGATCAGGACAGCAACGTAGCTATCGACTGTTTTTCGCTCACCCGCCTGTGTACTGACCTGCACGTGGCAGTGCAATTCAATACCCGGAAATCTTACTCGCGATCACAACACTCCGCAGTTTCGTATCTCGAAACACTAATCGGCCACAGGGGAAAGTTCACAGCCCCACTATATCGCGCTTTCATCTTAACGCACCTGCAACAAGGCTGAGCACAAACTTTCCGACACCAATGACAGACTGACAAATCCCTTGGCACACAAGTTCACGCCTAAGCCCCAAAGATCTGTCAATCTGAAACAGTTGCCTCGATGGCCTACATTGCTGATCTTGCATGCTGCTTCTGTGAATGAAGGGGATGCTTCTCTCGCGCAGTAGCTTGATCCCAGGGTCACCGATTATCAAATCGTTCCGCGGCGGATAATGAGGCTCTTGCTGACGCGCAGACGGATTGTTATCCTTCAATGCCAAGGTTACCCAGTCCCCCTTTTCCAACTCTACCAGGTGCTGCATGCGGCTCTGTTGCAAGCCGCGCACCGGATTTCTTGGCGGCCCTGAGTACAACTATGCTACATGCCTGGCTGGGCAATGCCTAAAGGAGTCTCCTTCTAGATCTGGAACCCGAGGAAGGCATATTCCAGGGCCGCGTGTATTCTCTATGTCTCAAAACAGGCTTGTGCACTGTACGAAATAGCCTTGACCACTCCACCAGTTGGTCGAAATACTAAGCTATCAAACCTCCTTCTGCCCGACTCCCTGTAAGGGTCTTAGAGTCGCCACGAAGGTAGACAGGACAGATAGTTGCCCCTGAAACCTCGGCTTCCGATGCTGTAGTCGCAAACGGAGATAGACTCGGGAGTCGGAAGCAACCATTCTTCCGTATGCTCTGAGAACCGGTCAACATTCATAGCCCATACCAAGCAGCTTTTCTACACGGTTGTTACATTACATGCGGCTGTAAACCCCCTGGATACCCATGCCCACAAGGGGATACTACCGGCTTATCTCCCGTAGTCGATAGGGTAAGCACTTTATCGCCCCTATTCCCCGATCCATGGCGGCAAACAACGTCAGCATTCACGCCTTACACGCTACGTTGTGTAGAACTTGACGCAAGGTACCTAGAACCTTGTTTAACGTGTCTGAGCCTACCCTAGGACAGCGTCCTGGTGACTCTCGCGTCACGAGTGACTCCGCCCCCGATATCGGCCCCAATCTGACCCGTTTGGAGACGAGCGAACGACCGATACGCTTGCTCCTGTGTCTTACTTGCCGAAGGCATACTCCACAATCGATAAACCTAGCAGAATACGTCCTTTCTCTCACCCGTCAATGTTAGTGTATCCGACCAACAATGGAAGAACTGCCAAGTCGCACAGAGGTCTGATATAGCACTGACAAGAGACTTGTGCGTTTCCCCTCTACGCCGACTCTCACTTTCCCGGCTACCAGTACCGCGGAATACCTTAGAGCCTTTTCAGTTTAGGGGCTGTCACTTCCACAGTGTGACGGCCACAAACTAAACATCTACACTTTGAACATCTGCGAGGCCCCTGGTTCTACGATTGGTTTTCACAGCGGCACTCGTCGCGGTCCCTTTACAGCCGCTGGACGGTACTGCACATCGGAAATACATACCGAGGTGAGGTGGGGGCAGCCATATGCCTAGAACATACGAGGAATGGGATCTCTTGGGAAACACCTGGCATAACTGAAACAGCCCGAACGCCTCCCTCGAACCACCGCCCCTACCTCCTCAACGAAGGAATAGAAAGCTTATCCCCCTTCACCTTGACATCAGCCGTATACACGACGCGCTTGTTGATGCTCATCTCCTCCGTCAACCCATGGAAAACGATCCTCGTCCCCTCCTCACCCTTCCCCAAGCCCACAAACCGCTGAAAACTCGCGCCCCCCGGCCCAACCAGCTTACACCCATACTGCGTCCCACTCTTCAGCAGAGGCTCCTTAACACGCGTATACGGCCCCCACACACTCTTCGCCGTCGCATACTGCACATCATAGCTCCCGTCCATCGTGATATGCGTGCTGTACGTCAAAAAGTACACGTCCCCGCGCTTGAAGAGATACGGCGCTTCCATGTTGTTGCCGTCGCTGAAGCCCTGGCCGTTGACTTTGAGGAGTTGCACTGCGTTGCTGGTCCACTGCACGCCTTCTTTGGCGCCGGAATTGGCGACTTCGCGGATCTCGAGGAAGTTTGCGGGGATCTCGGTCTTATAGACGATGTACTGCTTGTTGTCTGTGTCTTTAAACCACGCGGGGTCGATGACGCCGTTTGCGGTGCGATTGCATTGGTGGAAGTCGTTCACGGGGTGATAGGGACCTTCGATGGTGTCGGCGATTGCGCCTCCGATACAGTGCTGGGAAATCTTCTGCTTGTCTTGCGCCGCAAAGTACCTGGGCGAAGTAGATTAGCGGCTGATGGGCCGATGTGAGAATGTCTGTCACGCACATGACATATTTTCCGTCAGTCCTCCTCATCACGTCCGGCGCCCAGAGCCCCGAACTTCCACTCTCCATCTGTCCGGCCCATGTTGCTTCTCTGATCGCGAGGAGCGGACTCGTCTTGAAGCGGGTCCAGCCCTTCTTGAAGTCTGTAGTCTTTGCGCTCTGGAAATCCTTGCCATTCCCGGTGCCGAATGAGTACCAAGTTCCGCCCTCGTTTGTGATGGCTGGTCTTCCGTCAGTATTGAGCGAAACAATTGGAACCAGCAAAACTTACATGGATCCGGGAATGATGAGCCCAGAAACGGGCCCGATATACCCTGACATTGTACATCGCGCGCTGTCGGCTGTGCAGCTAGCGGCGATGCCAACGGCGACGCCAGCGCTGAAGCTGTGAAAAAGGCAGCGAGCGAAACGAACATGGCGACGATACTTGGCTTGCGACTGTACTGAACGAAACCAAATTGCTATAGGATACTGCTCCAAGAACCCACCATGCGATGCGCCTCAGCCACTTCATATATCCCCATCCCTCCACTTCCTCGTTCAGAGTGACCTCCCCAATTACCGACCCACTCAGGCCTTCAACATTCTATTTACCTGATTCGGTACTCCCCCACAGATTGCTAGTCCCAAAACACCCAGCAGTCTGCATGTCGGCGGATATTTTAGGACGCGTCGGGGGTTATACGAGGCACCGCCATCGCATGGTGGCAACATTAGTGGTCCGCCTAGGAGCGGAGGCCGTGGAAGGTGGAACGGACTTTGCGGGTTGTCTGTCGCGTGCCAAGGGGTGCTGGGGGCGGTGTTTCGAAACACGTCAACTTTTTAGTACTTTTTGGCTTGGTTCAGCAGCGGGCAAGTGAAAGCACACGTTTTTGGGATTGTGTAAGGTAGCATGGAGACTACCCGGAGCCGAAGCTGATTTCAGTATACATGAAATTTGAGCAAATCTCATGGCATTTGATGCAAAATGGTTGAGTCGCATCGTCTGTCTTTCGCGTTCTGCTTGTTGTGTACGGCGGATAGCATTGCCCGGTGGGGGCCGGCGCAGGCTGACGACATGATCGACCGTGTAGTTATGGTCCACCGGGAACACAACCTGCTGCGTATCTTTATTGCTTCGCTAATTCCACTGCTCTGGTTTTATGTTCCAGGGCAGTTATCCGACATGAACTTTCATAACTCTGCTACTAGATGCGCGCAGTAAACCAATCACGCCAGCACACAATTCCACGATCACACGGTACTGCGGGAGCATGTAAAATGGTCTCTTCAGTAGTGACGTCGTCAGTCGCAGAGCCGTCTGACGTACACTGCACTCCCTGTGTACAGACTCGTGTATTATGTAGTGTTTTGTATTTCCATAGCCGTGTCTCGCCGAGGTGAGTGATGTTCGCTGGGCTCCACTTCCGTCGTGCGGTTCTACTTCAATATGCATAGCGGATATATCGACAGCTTGCCCGCTCCCTTAGTCTTCTTCCCGCTAAAGCTGCCCCGAAGCCAGCGTTATCGGGCGCAGCCACTCAGTTCCTGGCGACCTTATGCCACACCTTCCCAATCATGTCATATAACCTCCAAATCCCCACTCCCCACCCAACCTCTCACCGCACTCCACCTCACAACCCATACATCCCCTCTCTTCATATCCAATCTTTTATCCGTCCCCTCTATCGCGACCTCCCCGACATCCCTCAGCACCCTCACAAACACTGCGGCGTCCTCGTCGGGTTTATCCACCATGCTGATCCCGCCCGTCGTGTCGTCCATCCGCTGCAGACTGTTCGGGAACTGCGACAGGAAGGAGGCGCCGTAGTGTGCGGCCAGCAGCGCCTGGTGCGAGGTGAGGTACTGATACTCTGCGGGGGAGAGCAGAGGGTGGGACGCATCGGACTCTGTGTGTTTCGCGAGGATGTGGAAGGGATGGGTGTCGATCTGGCATACTGTTAGCCTCCCCTCTGCTCCGCCCCGTGCCCATTCCCAGTGCTCAGAAAGGTGTACACACCTTCTTCAACCTCGCCCTCAAAAAACTCCTCACCAGAAACTTGAATCGCTCCACTTCGGTCTGCACAACAATGAGGCGAAAATTCGTCTTCGGATCCATGTTCCCCGTCTGGTCTTCCACGAGCTCAATCTGCGCGCTCTCGTCAGCCCAGCCTGAACCTCGACCTCAACCTCAACCCTCGGCGCCCCCTCCACACCATCTCACCTCCCCTCCCAGCAACGTACCTGCCTCCCCACCCTCGCAAGCACCCTCTCCATCAACTCCCCCGGCCACGCCATTATCTCGGGCGCAATGCGCTCCGCGACCCACGCGCGCGTCAGCTCCTGCAAGTCGCGCGTCTCGCGCGGCATCGTGTCGACGGCGACCTCGGCGAGGATGTCATCGATGTCCATGGTAGGGGGGGCACGCGCGACGCGTCATTCGTGCATGTGGTGAGTCTCAGGTGGCCGCCGTGATGCGGGACGCGTCCGTTCGTTACTAGCACTTTTGAGACATTGCGGGAGGGGTGGGGCACGGCGCTGGCGGTGAAGTGGGGGCTCGAGGGTTGATGTGCGTCGCTAGCGGCGCGCTCGTCATTGGCCGTGCGCCACCATCGCCCACTGAAACGCCCTCGAGACTCGAGTCAGGATCACCATCACGGAGATAAGAACAGTAAACAAACAAAGCTTGGATATGACGATTGTATGTTTTTGATGAACAGACAGACTTTCGACCGTCGTCTCTCCTCCCCATTACGACGCGGTACCTAAATCACTACCTGATATCTCTCTCTGCGCGGCCTAGTAACCCCAATATGTACGCCGACTGCCAACCCCTGGCCCGCAGAGAAGAGCAGCACGAAGTATAAGTACAATCAAGTCGGGGGAGACTCAACAAGATGCCGAACAACATCTTTTGGGGGGTGCCCAGTAGTCAGAAGAGAGAATGCCGGAAGAAGACCGAGGAACCAAAAAGCCCAACCGATGCCGAGATGTAGTGGTGCCGTGGTGAAGAGTCCAATCTGTGTGCGAAAATGCCGCGGTAGGAGAGTGTAAAGGAGATGCAGTGTCGATGCAGGTGGTGGTGATGTCCAAGGCGCGTAGGCCTGGCTGGATGTATTTGTTTCGTGATGGTGCTTCAGATGGTTCTGGGGGCATAAGAGCAGTTTTTCAGCTCTTTAGGGGACATAGAAAGATCCGTGAGGATGGGCATGAATAAGACAAACAAAGGAAATGAAGCTCGCGAGGCAGCCGTCTTCTGCTGCTCTCTAAGCGTGCTAGAAAACAAAAAATGGGTATCCAGCAGACTCTCGCGAGAATTTATAGAAGAGCCCGGTCCGGAGGAGCCGAGCGGTATGCAATGCAATCGGCCTGGAACAAGACGGCAGGGTAGACCCAAACTATGCTACGCACTATCGAAATAGTCGTTGCCGTCCGCTCGGTGTTCCCGTCCGATGCAGCCAGATCAAAAGGGCAGTCGCTCGAACGCCGCAAAGGATGAAGTTGGAAATGTGACCAAACGCCAGGCTCGATGTCGAATGCCGCAAACAATGATTAACGCCATGAACCAGTTCGCCGTCAAGTGGTTTTAAAATCGTGAAAAGAAATCATGGACTGCCCGTCGCCGGCTCAGTACGAGGCCATGCGACGGGAAGCGCCTAGTCGTCCAGCATTGAGCATGTCATCACTGAGCGTCATAACGCCACCGCTTCTTGAGCGACCGACAGCGGTGGGCGAGTCTTCCATCTGGCAAGATTGCTGTCCAAAGGCAAACGTCTGAGCTCGGTTGAGCTTGGAGCGCTGTCGAACCTTGGCCATGCCCCGTTCGCACGAGGCCTGGTGCTCTTCAGCGTCCATCTTGACCCACTGTTGTGGGTAGCAGCGGGCACGGTGTGAAGCATAAAATTCGCTATAGCCACCATCCAAGATGTATACTTCAGGGTACGACAACTGAGGGTAGCGGTGAGCGTTGATCTTGCGATCCTCTTCACGGAGGAAGCGAGCCCTAGTCTGAATTAGCCTGCGAAAGGTGATGCTGCGATTGACAACTTACATGCGGGGCGCACGGTGTGCGGAGTATTCACAGTGTAGGATAAGAAGGGTGTTGGCTGTGTCCGAAGGTGCATCCGATCCGAAGAGCCGCTCTGACAGCTTCTCCTTTTCACAATAGTTTATCGCTCCATCAATGTGTCCTCCCTTGTACTCGTATTCAAAGCGGCAGTCAATGATGTACTTGTTCTGATAAAGGCTATCATACTCGCCGTTGATGATGTCGACCATGGTTGCGTCGGAGATGCGAGGCAAGCTGTCCGGTTCGTTAGGCTGCAGGGTGTGAGGAAGCTTCAGGCCAGGTGCTTCTTCAACGTCCATCACCGACTGAAGACTGCTCGGGGTGTAGCTCTCACTCTCCTGCGTGGCGTTCATGACATCTCCTGGGTGCTCAAACATGCTGAGCGACCTGCGGATCTTAGACGGCCGTCGAGCCGGGCCGGCGGAAGTTTTCCTGATGTTGGAACAAAAGGGCCTAGGCCGTGGGAAGCCTCCAGCAGGGTTCGACATCGGCCGGCGTTCCGGAGGAGGCGACATTGTGAAGCACTCGTCCAGTGACGGGGTGGAGGTGTTGACACCAGCGCCGAACAGGAAGGCCGGAATCTCCTCTTTGCGTGTCTTCAGTGAGACGGTGTTGGTCGAATAGTTCTTGGTGCGACCAAGACCGGGGCGCATGAGGAAGGTAGGCTTTCTGCGTCTGTATTTGTCAACACAACATGCAAGCATAGTTTTGGCCAAGACGTACTCATTGGCTGAAGTCGGACGCGGTGCCTCGATGTCGGGGGCAGCAAATGGTAATTGCGACGGGGTGGGCAGCTCGCAGGGCGAGAGCATGTCGTCGTCAGTGGAAGGTGTAGAGACTTCTGGGGTGGGAGAAGCCAAAGGCAGGGAACGCTCGTTGGACAAGAAGCTAAAGGGAGCTTTGTGCGGGAGCGGCGAGATGTCCATGGAGTCGGGTACGCAGCAGGGCGACGATGAAGGAATTGGCGGAGTTGTTACACCTTCCCATCGTACGGGTGGGGTCGTGGTTCCTTCTACACAGGAACTTAGTATCAACAACCCCAATTGTGCTCCCGTACATGGGTAGAAGCTTGCTTACCCCGATTGTCTAGCTGCTGGAACAGGCTGGATGTGAACAGAGACCTTCTCGGTGTCGTGAGCTGGGGACTAGAAGGCTATCAGCGTTGACGCAGGGGTGTGTGCGAGGGATGCCGCTACCTCTGGTCCATGTGCAGGTTCGAGGACATGTCGGCAGCGAGGCTCGCAGTGGGCGAAGATCCCCTCATGGGCTGCATGGTGATGTAGTCGTTGCCGCCAGACTTCTTCATGCTCAGGTCCCGGAAGTTGAAGTTCTTGGGTCCCATGGTATGTGATGCAAACAACGGCTTCGAGGGAGGCAGGTCGCGTCTATAGCCCCATGGGCCAGGCAGCGGCGGCGGGTGCATGGCGGCGAGCGGCGAAGACATCTCCATGACTGGCTTTGTCGAGTGTGCTGGCTCGGGGTGCGGTTCGAGGTGCTGGATCGGGCGTTGCTAGGACAAACGAGCGTGGCTCCGGATGCTTTGTTCACGGCGTCGAGGCGGAACTTGGCTGTGGACCAGGGCAGCGGGTAAGCATACAATTATAGACGAGAAAGCTAATTCTAATCTGAAGATGTATGCTTCTGCGTGGGAGCGGCCGGGTGGCTATCGTCTTGCAGCAAGTTGCATGGGTCGCAGGCGTGGTCGGGCGGGTTCGAGGGAGCACTAGATGGTAGCAACTGCCCGGTGGAACCAAAAACGACCAACGTCCCAGCCAGCAACTGCTTTAAGAGAGAGGGAGAGGGTGCCTTCTTGGGGACAAAGAAGGTTGGAGAGGAAGGGCCGCCTGGGACGGTGGAGGGTATAGTCAGCCAGGAGGACGGCCTGCCCCAGCAACCATGCAACCCAGCATCTGCGGTTTAGGGCTGGGTCCGTGAGCTTAGGCGCTGCACACACCTCCCCACCTCGCCAATGGCCAACGCCCGGCGCGCTGCAGCGGGAGAGGAACAGGCAAGCTGCGTCGTCTGCCGGCCGGTGTGCGTGCGGTCCGGCTGCATCTGCGAGTGCAATTGGGCGTGCAGAAGACGCACGCAGATGATGGCAAAGCGACTCAATCACGCAGCGCGGATTTGCAGTGCACCACGCACTCGAGCGGTGCGTCGCTGCAGCTAGACGGGCCCCGCTGCCGTTCAACAGCTGTTCGCAGTGCGTACCTGTCTGCTCGCCGGCGCTGGGCCGATTGGCACGCCATCTCTGTCTGACGCTCCACGTCGCAGCAGGCGGAGCAGCGCAATGCTCGCTGCCGTGAGCCTGCGCGCGCCCGCCGTGTTGCCAGAGCAAGCTGGCACGGATCACCTCTGCAGCGGGCATGTGCCTGCAGCGCTGTGAAACGACGCCGCTCGCCGGCTGGCTAAACGCAGCTCCGAGCAAATTCTCGCAAGCGGTGCCGGCCATGCTGCCCTTGCGTCGGCCGCCGTCGTACCGTCGCCTGGGGATACCGCCAAAGCTCGCCATACCACATGGCAGGCACTGAGCTACAGAGTAATAGAATCCACCGCCGCCCACCACCAGGGCGTCCGCGGCTCGCACGCGCCAGGCCTCGCAGTTCGCGTGCAGCGCCGTCTTCGACCACGCCCATTTGCCGTTCTGGCAGTCCGCTTCCCGTCCCTTCAGCTCGTACTTGTCGTCATACCTCGCTTGGCGCCTCACAGCAAGGAACCGCCCTCGAGGCCTCCTGTGACTGCGCGCTGCGGTTGGCCAGGGCGACCAGCCCTGGAACAGCAACCATGGCCGTCGTTAGCCCCAATTGGACGGCCCGACCAGCTCGCCGCGTCTGATTCCGTGCAGTCCTGCAAACAATGTGCGCCGAGAAGCGCCCTACGCGGCCCGTGAACTCCCATCGTTCCATGATCTCCATGGCCCTAGTCCGCAAGCAGTCGCATAACTCGTTAGGGCCGCCCTCTAACACCTGCGGTCGCTCGTTGTGGATCGAACGACTGCTTGCGAAATCCTCGATCTCAAGATCCCCGACGTCATATCCAATACGGGCCTCTTGGGGGCTTCCCAGTTCGCTACAAGAACTGCCCGGTTTTCCCGTTCTGTTGCTGCACTCTTCTCTGCCATTGCCAACTTTGCAAATGCGCTGTTGTTCGTTGCGCAATTCGGCCTGGCCGGCGGCGCGTGGGAAGGGAGGGATGAGGCGGGCTGAAAAGAGTCGAGAACACGGCGTCATCCTGGCCAGGACAACCACCAACATCGCATCCGCTGTGCACAAAGCCTTCATAACCCCGTCACGCTGTTTTCGACCCCACAACAACGCGGCTGCCCCTCATCTGAGGTCTGACCGGCCGGCCCGGCGCTTGTTTGTTGGCCTGTCGCGTGAGAGCTGAGACTCGTGGACCGGTCAACGCGCCTGTAAACAAACCTCCGAAACAGCAATATGCGCGGTCCCGTGACTCTTTAATGAGCCAAGCCTTCCAGCCGCAAGGAAAAAATCCTACCCCAGACCCGCTTCAGCAAGGCCTTCGGGTTTCAAGACCCTGAATGATGCAGGTGACAGAGTTTAGCCCTGTACAAACACACCAGCCCACCTGCTGATGCTGGTCTGGCTGCGGCTTCACTGATTCAAGATGCGAAGTCGAGCTCCATAGAGCTCCATAAGACGAGCTCTGATCACCTGCGGACAGCGACATTGATGAAGACTGACTTCGCAGCGCGCCCGTGCGTGGTCCAAAGCATCCATCCGTCTCGACGGCGGTTTGTGATGGTGACGCCACGCTGGTTTCCAGGTCGACGTTTCAGCGCCCACGTAGTAAGACGGCTAATCCACGACATCTCAGGGTTTCAGCTAAGCCGCCGCGGGACGGCTTAGGTACTGGCCTGATCTGCGAACGGGAACTCAATTCGCACCGTTGAGTAGCATTGAAACGTATAAGAATAGCAGTACTTTGCCAGCCGATTTTACCCTGGATTTTGTGCATTCAGCTTCACATTATGCGGGGAACAACAGGTAAGTGGATAAAGTGCATGGGCGCACGAAAGCTAGAGTTAAGAGGATCTGCTCGGCCAAAAAACCCTGTGAAGAAAATTTATGCTAGCAATATCCGTTGTCGATAAAGGAAAAGGAGCAAGCTCGGAAGAGCTTTGGTGTTGTGGTCGGGGACATACCATCAGTCTCTCGTAGGAACGTGAAGACCAGATGTACGCTGGGGCCTTTTCTGGTTAGATATTTAACTTAATACCTCGTCTCAAAGTCACGTAGGGTTTTTTACGAGTTCAGGATCTAAACACGATACTGCATCGCTGGTGTCCATGTTCACGCGAGGGACTGGAAGCAATGATTGTCCGCTTAGGTCAGCAGAGTTCTTTCAGCTCTAACATTTTTCTCTATTCATACCTTCTTCTAAAACTTTTAGAAAACATAACTCTATACTATCTCTACCTCCTTCTTGACTTTAGTCTCACAATATCAAGTATCGAGAGAGACAATAAACTTCTTGGAGGCGAAACACTCTGCTAGACAAGCAGTCTTGGCGGACTAAGCCATATTAAGCTAGCAACTTCTAAACTTTTTCCATGCCTTCTCTCTCGCGAAGGTTCAAACCTAGCCTAACGCAACACGATGGGTAGAAAAGCGGCCAAGTCAGCGAACCAGCCGCAGGGGCTGAAGAGACCGCGTGAAGATGTCGAAGCAGGAAGCCCAGAGAAACCGGTCAAACGCAAACGCCAGGCCAATGATCTCAGCATGGTCGAGCTCTACAATGATCTTGCTGCAGAATCAGAGGAGATCCGGTTAGAAGCAGCGAAGCAGCTAATCCTCAAGTTTTCTCCCGAGAACAAGCCTTCGTCAACAGATGTATTGAAGGCTCTGAACCGACTCATCTCAGGCCTGTGCACTCACCGAAAGGCAGCCCGGTTCGGTTTTTGTGTTACCCTTACAGAACTTCTAAGATTGATCTTTGCACCCTCGGCGGCTTCCATCGAGGGCTTAGACCTCAGCGTTGAAACCTTGTTGAAGAAGGTGGAGAAACAGACTAAACCCGAGGGCAATGTGTCTGGATTGGTAAGGAATGCCCATGCATAATCAATTTTAGCTGACATGTGCATACAGGAGCGAAGAAACCATTTGATTGGAAAGCTCTTTGCCTACAAGGCTGTATTGCAGTCTTCAATTCTGATCGAGCCAGAACTGGCGATGGACAGCTGGAACGAGCTTCTGGATCTCATCTATGGAATGGCCAGAGACACGCCATGGCTTCGTGAGGAATGTGCGTTGGTTCTAGTTCAGACCATCGAAACCCTTCCGGTCAAGGCAAAAATCGAGCCATGCGTTCGAGCCATAAGCGAGCGGCTCGTTTCTTACAAGATTGCGAACACACCAGAGGGCATCGCAATATGGCTTGCACTGCAAGAACAGTATGCGTCCACATTACCGGCGAACGTATGGCACGACAATGATCCTATCTCGATGAAGAATCGACCGAAACTCGCGAAAGTGCTAAAAGGAGACATCCAGAGCTCCCTCGGTAGCGATGAATCGGAGGCAGTCAAATCAAGCGCTACCAACGCTAACCCGCAATTCGCATGGAATACACTTTTGTCGAAGGTTCTTCAGATGGACAGCGAGTCCAAAGCAGCCCGCACGGATGCCAGCAAATCCCAATTCGGGCAGCTCTGGCTCAGCATTGTCGACGCACAACTGTTTGGGTCATCTTCATCACACGAACGCAAGTCCTGGGGTTTCAAACTTTTTGCACAGATGATTGGCCAAGTACCTGAATGGACGTTCCCCGCCTTGTTTAGTCCCAACTTCATGCGGACCCTCCGGAATCAGACGTCAAAAAATGACAGGTTCCTCCACGCGGCAGCCTTATTGGCTTGGAAAGCGATTGCACGTAGGGCTCAATCAACTCCAGAATCATCCCTCCCCATCATTGTGGAGTTGACATCTAAGAATGGAACCGCAGACTTTGAACATTCGTCCAAAGCAGAAACCTTGGAAAAAATAGCTCTTGCGGCAGACGACAATGCCCTAAGGAAAATTGTTCGCCATTTGCAATCGCTACTCATCCGGCCAGAAACTACAGAACAGAACGTGGCTGATCACCGGCGTCAGACCATTGCAGACTTACTCCTGAACATTGTTAAGCACTATACAAAATATGACGATCTCATTGCTGAGTTCTCGGAGAAGGACAACTGGCTGCGAAACACGTTGGATCTGCTTGTCGAACACGCGTACTTCAATCCGAGCCAGAGCGCGAAGGCTCGTAAAGTACCTTCTCCGCCTATTAGCGACTCGAGCCGAGCCATGTTCCAGGAACGATTGTCCTCATGTCTAACGCGGTTGCAACCTGTGGCTGCTGGCTCACAGACGTCTTATGGTGTCATTGTGGTCGACAAGATTCGGTCTAAGGCAGCTGAAAAAGCTTTCGAGCAGATATTCAAAGCGGATGAAAGTGTCCAAGAAACTCTAGAAAAGGCCTACGAGACCTTCGATGTTGTCAAAGTTAGTGTAAGCGTCCCCAACATCAACATTGGTTAGCCCTCAATCTGACATTGCCACAGGACAAGTCTGACGGTAAGGCATCGGTCTTCCAAGGGCTGACTCTCTTGTATGCTTTCACTTTCATCCAGATCTTCAACGGAGATACAGATGCTATAATGATGCTGCACGACCTGGATGCGTCTTACAAAGCCATCTCAAATCCAAAGAAGGGTGCTTCGAGCGAAAGCCAAGACGGTTTCATCGAAATTCTTCTCTCTTTCTTGGGCAACACACGTACGTTGTTTCACAAGATCGCAATCGAGGCGTTTACTGCGTTCGCCCCTGAGATTACTCTCGAAGGCTTGAGGTCAATGACGGATATCCTCGATACGGAGGAGACTCTTGAGGGGCAAAAGCAACTTTTTGCTCAGGCCGACGAGGAAGAAGATGTGGCGGAATCGGACGAGGACGAAGACATGGAAGATGCATCAGACGTGGAGATGGTTGGTGATGCTAAGGATGGTGAGAGCAGTTCAGATGAATCAGAGGACTCAGACTCTTCCGACAGTGATTCTGAAGATGAGGATGACGACGACGATGAACTCACGCAGTTCAACAACAAGCTCGCCTTGACTCTGCAGACGTCAGGGCTTGCTGCAAACGGTGATGGATCAGACGAGGACTCGGACGACTCCGATATGGACGACGAGCAGATGATGGCTTTGGACCCCCACCTCTCGAACATCTTCAAACAACGGAGCCAGATCACAGGGAAGAAGCAACGGGAAGAAGCCAAGCAAAACGTAATTCGGTTCAAGTCCCGTGTTCTGGATCTTCTCGCAGTCTTCCTCGACAAGCAGTTTTCCAACCCGCTCAGCCTGGAAGTGCTGCTGCCGGTACTACGACTCACCCGGGCGTCAGCGAACAAGCAGTTCACGGACCGGAGCGCAAAGCTGTTGCATTCGACATTGGCGAAGAGCAACAAGCCACTTCCGCAACTGGAGGATGCAGAGCCTGCATGGGAGATACTGAAGACCATTCACGAGGAGGCCAAACAGGGCGGAGCGTCGACTGCGCACGGTGGTGCATGTAGCGCGGCCAGCTTGCACGTTGTCCGAACTTTGGTCAATGCTGATTCGGACAACTATGCAAAGGTCGTGGATGTGTATGCTGAGAGCCAGAAGAATTGGTTCATGGACAGGAAATCAGAGGTCCGAGACAGCATGTTCTCGCAGTTCTTGAACTGGTCCGCACGGTCCAGGTCTGCCACAAAAGCGGAGGCGGAGTGAGAAAGGGATAGCAGATTTCATCGGCTTTGTGCCTTCATAGCTCGATACCCGAAGCGTGTATAGAATAGCATTTACAAATTACAATACCCTGCCGGTTCTTTCTGCGGGAACGGTGCATTCTTGTTGCAATATAACCCCGTTCGAGACGCCCGACACCCTTCCGAGTGTGTCTCGTAAACGGTGTGTGGCAGGAGCTCCCTACTTGGTTGGCGTATTGAGGCGCTCCTGCACCCCTTATTAGGCATCGCCTTCCTACTCAACATTTCTCCTGCTGCTCTGCATCGTCTTCTTAATCAACACATGGTAGTGAACACGACGTCCCATCGTTGGACGAGGACCAGCCATTCATCCAAACCGCAGCCTTAACCGTCCTCATTGGTCTCGCGCTATACAGCTCCAGCCTCGCCAGTTCCTCTACATTGGCTTTTCAAACGTGCAGTATCACGTGCGCGGAATCGCAAGGTTTAACTGGAACTTCAGCCTCGCCAAAACACTTCAGTATGACGCCATTGCCACTGTATGATTTCTGTTGTGGCCTAATCTTCTGGGATGAGAAACCTATAAGCATCACCGTTGCTATCAACGACTGTCAAACCTTCATCAATCAGCAATCCTGCATGATTGTCCCTTCTGTCAGGCTTTTAGTAAAGTCATGACCAAAAATTATCCTCTGGCTGATCGCGAAACGCCCTGCGAATACAATTTGGAAACATGTCCATAGCCCTCGTCATTCTGCTCGTTTGGATCCCGACCTGCTGTGCCAAGATGGCAGAATGATATGGTAAGCAGTATAAACCCGTCATGGTATAAGACTGTGCAAAGAGGTACCGAAGGGTTTTATCCGGAGAAACTATGCCACTGGATGATTGCCTATAGTGAATGTGGATTTAGACCTTACAAGATCGTTAAATTCCCCGTTGCTAATCATGTCCAGCTGATGTTCCATGGGCCTCTAGCCGATTTCACACGTGTCCAGACTGGCAGTCCGGGATTGTGGACATCACAAGGAGATTTGATAGCGTCGAAAAATGACATGGGGAATGCAAATCCAGACACAGAAATTGTTCGAGAGTGTTAATACAAGGCTACCCTAGTCGATTACTAGAATTGGATTTCGAACCATTTGCAGGCGTAAGGTTGGTTGACACTAACGCCTGGCCCCAGCCACGTCCGGATTATGTAGCGCTGAGTCACTGTTGGGGCCCCGAGGACGGCCCTCGTCCCCTCCAAACAACCTTGCAAAATGTGGACGAGCGCAAAACCGGCCTCACACTGGAAGATCTCCCGAAAACTTTTCGAGAAGACCTCAAGATAACTCAGCGTCTTAGTCAGACATACCTCTGGATTGATAGCTTGTGTATCATTCAAGACGATGAAAGGGATTGGGAACCTGAAGCCACTAATATGGCCGCTATCTACTAAGGAGCTTTCTTGATATCTCCGCAACAACATCTGAAAACTGTGAGGGTGGCTGTGATCTCGGCCTGTGGTATCGGAATATCATTGAGGCTACAGCAAGAACGAGCTCCTCTTCATATCGAAAGCCCATCCTGCCGGACGTCAAGTACCATCTAAAGCTCAAATAAACACATACATCCTGGCGCTCACTCGGCTGCCTCTTCATACACATGGCTGGGCGCTCCAAGAAGCATACCTGTTGCAGCGCATTTTACACATGACTACGCATCATCTGATTTGGAATTGTCAGGAACTGTTTGACCAAGAAGATTCCAACGTTCGGCTAATGCACCAGAAGGCTGTGCCAGCAGACCTTAGTCGGGTTGGCTTTATATGGAATCGTTATCACCGTGCGTATGACACGCCTTGGTGGGTTGTGGTCGAAAATTACTCGAAGATGGATTTAGCTTACTTGTCGGATAACCTCCCTGCCATGGCTGGCATCATTGTTTACCATGGCACTAAACTGCACGATACACCCTTGCTTGAGGTTTGGAAGAAAACACTTCCGCTGGACCTATCATGGCGTTGTCTTGTCTGAGAAGATAGGCTACCGCCCTACCTGACATACCAAGTTGGACATGGCTCTACTACCGAGGTGAGGTCAGGAGACCTCCATCCTTGCGCCCTCGACCTCCTATGCTACACTTACTTGACGCATCTGGTATCGAGTGGGAACGTTAACCCTAAGTCTCAAGACTCTTAAAAGGCGCACTTGTCGTCTACACCAAGACAAAACGAACGGTTCTCAAAACTACCACCAACCTCGACGATGCAGTCCGCACCAACTTCAAAGAGAATTTTCTGCAACCCTTAGACCGCCTTTCGGACGCAGAAGAGTATAACGTCACTCTGGAATACCGAAGTGACGTTACCGTGATCGACCAAATACCCATCGACGTCCATATCACCTACATGCTGCTGTTTACTTGTGAGCGATTTATGGACTGCATACTTCACGTTCGCCGGCTTTCTTCACACGGCTTCCCACGGCTTCTCGTCCCTCGCCTTGATAATCCTATAACTCACATTCGTTCCCTCAAAGATTTGCTTGATCGGTTCGCAACTCTTTTCCTCAAACTCAGAAGCATTGCGATCAAGATAATAACACACCTCCTTAAGCCGTGGCGTCCTCGTCGATGCAGTCTCGAGGAGCCAGGCTCGGACGAAGTCCAATTCCTCATATTCGTCGTATGCATAATAATCTGACATGAACGCATCCGTGACCGTCACTACCTCAACGTTGCAAGGCAAGCTGTCTTCTAGTCGTCTGGCTGGGTCTATCCCGACATTCCAGTTCCAGTCAGGGAGCAATATCCCGAGAGGGGCCTGGAATCGCTTGATGTTGCCGAAGCCCTCGAGGCCGTGCAAAGTTCCCAAGGCCTTCATCATCCCGGGTTCAATACCACCCCAAGACATGTCATCGAACTCAAGACCAATGGTGAGGTCCTCGAGAGCATCCCGAATGGGTTGCACCGCTTCGACAAATCTATTGAGATCGATCGTATCAGTGTTCAGGGGATGTGTATCCCGTATCCATTTCCATTTCCAGTATAGGGTTTTAAGAGCGCGAGTCGTTGCTAAGATCTGTGCTAAGAAGTCGACATGGACGTATGAAAGAGCCAGTGATGTGAGGTGAACTGGATCTGGTGGAGCTGTAGGCCAAGTGAACGGAAACGAGGGGGGGTTCCAACACCAGCCCCGGATACTGCGTATCGATGGAAGACTAAGAAGAGCCACCATATCACAGGGATTACAAAAGTCGGGATTCTTGCCAGGATTAACGCTTATCGGTCCAGGGAATGATATCTCTTCTAAGTGTTGGAACCGAGAGAGTCCATGGTTGGATGTATTAAAGACAGCGGACTGGAACAGTTTACCAAGAAACTGGTTCTCGCCTGCGATGTTTGGGGGGTTTCTTTGACCTGACCTCTCAATGTAGGGTACGACTGCTGCGTATCCGACGCGAAAGCTCTTAAGGGCAGGCAAGCGTGACAGTAGTAGTGCGACAAAGGCGTTGAAGTCGGCTATACGCAATTTATCTATCCAGAGATGGGCATACGATAGACCGGTGTTCTTGATGAATTCAATAAATTCTGGCATGCCATCCTCGTCTGTCGGTCGCGGGGGAGAGACCTTGGGAACACTTTCGTCGTAAGAGTATCCTCTGTAAAGTTTTTGAATCTTCTCATCGCCATCGCGCAAACGCACGGATTTAACATGCTTCGCAAGCTCAGGGTTATTGAAAATGCTCCGAGTCAGGTTAATTATAGGGCGTGGGTTCCCTTGATGGATGCTGAGGTCAATGTCCGAGTAAAGCTGCGGCGTTGCGAATTCATGCAGCTTCTTGCTCGCGAGGCTCAGAGCGGCCAGATCACGGAACAACACTTGCTCAAGGATGCTATCTACGAGTTCAGTAGGACAGTTGAGAAAAGCCGCCATGTTGTTGTTGTTGTTGAGGTTGGTGGCGAAGCTATGGAGACGATGTTATAGCGCGCCAGGTGTTGTGCCCTTCCTAAATGGTCAGTGCAGGCAAAGATGTCAACTGGAGAACTGCTGCCACGTGTGCATTTTCGGGGACTGATCAGTGAGGTGCACGGTTTCAGGTTGGCCGCAGCCCCAAAATCCACCTCCATTTACATTTCCATGTGCGAAGGTCTGGCGCTATACCGCTTTGGGCTGACCTGCAGAAGCCCCAAAGATAACGAGGACAATCACCAGCTACGAGTACTGGGTACATCGCCTCACCAGTTTGACACACTCGCACTCGGACGCGGACGCGGAAGCTCTAGCGCACAACAGCGTGATAAGCGCATTCCTGCACGCCGTCTCTGATTCCAGAGACCAGGTGGTCAGATATCGGTTGTCGGTGTTGCGTAGGCTTAGGTAATTTGTACAAAATCTAAGGTAAGCTGGACATAGCAGAGCATATGTACGAGCAGGCCATACAAGGGTACGAAGAGACACTTGGAGACGTTTCCGTACAACAGTCCATGCCTGCAATCATCATTATGGAGAGCCAGGTGATATTTGCGGTCACCAAGGGAAGTATCTCGAGGCACAAAAAAAGATGTACTTGAGGGTGCTTCCTAGATTACAGAACATCCTTGGCCAGTCAAGCAAGAGGGGTGAGCGGCTTCTGGCGAAGATAGATGCATTGCCTCTACCGCAAGCAAACAAGGCTAGGCATACTGAACCTTCAGCCGCAGAAGGCATTCCTCAATCTGCACCATAGCAAGATAAGAAACCGCCGCGACAGCGCTTTCGACAGCATATGAAGAGTATGTTTTGGTAACACTGTAGTAATGTATAGGAAAGTAGGATAATGGTCACAGATTTGCCCTAGCACAGTCACGTTTGGAACTTATAACGTTGTAATGCTCTAATGACTAAAGTGGAAAGTCTTGTTTAGTATAGATTTCGATTGGAAGCACTGTGAACTGCCATTGGCCAGCAGCATGGTGCGTTCGTCCAGTATGGTATGTTAGTTGCCTTAGGATGAGTGGTGCCAACGTATCCTAGTCGAGGCAAAGCCTGGCTACAGTTTCCCAATTACGGTCTCTCGAAAAATGGCGGGTTGGTAAGGAATCCTGGTTGTCAGTTTCCTATGGTTGTATGTGTAAGAACAACCATTTTATCTTTACGTATCCTCTGCCATTATTACCCCTTCCCTACATCTACAAGCGCTCGTCGACGTCTTTCCCAAGAACCGTTTGCCCGAATTGACATGCTGTCCTATTCGTTTATTATTTCCTTCACATGCTCTAGACCCTTGTGCGTCACTGCCATGTATTTTGCTTCCTAGCTGACGCCATCGAGCTGACGCCGTCAGCGTTCCGGTCCGTCAGACGCACTGAGACTTAGTTCTGATCGAATCAATCGCGGTCGATTTGTTATATGCAAGTAAGCCAAATCATGACAGCAATGCAAATGTCCGTCCGATGACTGTCTAAGGCCTCGCCGAGAATTCACCCTCTCCCGGTACAATATGTTCCCAACCAAGGCCATGCACAAAACTGAACACCCTGGGATACAAATATTGTATGCACACAGGAACATCCCCGTCTTTTTCGTTCACCGAAACCAGCTTCACATAAGCCGTACCCTCTTCGTCGTCCTCATCCAAAGGCAAGTTTTCCTCTTCTAGAAATTCCAGCATCGACGTTACCGAATCCAAGCTCTCGCCGTCAACTACTACGAAGGCAAGAAAGCGCGAGCTGTTATCGGGTTGCTCCTCGCCGGAGTCAATCCATTGTATGAAGTGGCTGCGTGCGGGTTAGTCTCGTCGTAATGGGAATGTGAAGACATTCTTAAAAGAGATGACAATTACTTACTCGCGCACTTGATCCATGGAAGCATCTTGCAAATCTGGGCTTGATTGCACAGTCCAGTCCACCCGTGCGAGCTGGTGTTTATACTGCTCGTCTCTTCCGAGACTTCGTTCGATATTTGTTTTCAAATAGGACATAAACCGGTCCCACTTGTCGTCGTCGCTATATGTGGTCCGGTAGATGCGGAAACCATAAGCATTTTCAGCATTGGTGTGGTCACCTAGGTAGAGATATTTGGACTCTGGACGAATTGGCTGCTCGTCGCCGGGTGAGGAAGGGGACTGATTCGGATTTTGCGTAGCCTCAGGCTGCGCGGCTCGATCGGATGGTACAGCAGACATGTCGCAGATCAGTAGGAAGGTAAGGTCTTGCAAGAGCCTTTGAACAACGCGACTGCGCTTGATCAGACTAAACACTTTCACAACGCCGAGTCACGGACTTGGGAATGACTCGTGGGCTGCGCGCATCGACAGTAATCTATGTCGCTTATTCAGTCGGTGAAGTCGTATGCGGAAGTTTGAGGACAAACCAAGAGGATTATACATCATTTAAACGCGCGGACCAAGCAATGTGGTGTAACTCCTCGTGTGCTCTGATTGGTACAAATAAACGGACCGGATCTTAACCGCAAAGCGATTCCTGGTACAGTCTTGGGGCAAGCTAACCATGTGTGGAATGATGGTGTAAGACGGAAACTCCTCAGCTTTCCCACCAAAAACAGTATCCTACCGTCTCGAGTACCTGCGGCGTCAAGGAGATAAAAGCTTTCAATACGGGAGAGCCTCGGGCTTACAGAGCATCGCATCAAGCCACCGGTACCTCTGCGGGTCTGAATCTATTTTCCGTGCCAAACCTGACCAGATTACTACCTACGACAAACCATACTTTGTCCGATGGCAGATCAGAGTTCTGCGGGTGGCACCCATCAGCACCCATCATGTCCGCAGTATTTCTCTTGGCTCTGGAAGGATAGCACAAGGTGCATATCAATATTTTGATATTTAGGGGAGCGGCGCGTCCTTTTGCTTGATCATTCGAATAACCCATCGTCACTCTTTTCCACCCTCTCTTTCCATAACATTGTTTTGATTGCAGTCGCTCTTTACCGCATTTGTCTCTCGATACTATCAGATTTTTCACCATCGTTACTGTTCTAAACTATTCTTACCTGCTGCAAGACGTCTTGATACTCCTTTTTTGGATTTGGAAAATGCGGATATCATTCCTTCATAGCATTGTGCTGTTCCTAGGGTATAGTGCTGTACTCAACGCATTAGCCCTTCCCCCTACTGGGTAAGTTTCTACAATGCTCGGTCGACAGTTTGGGTACACTGTTGCCTCAAGAGGAGCAATGAAGCGTCTAGATATCTGACCCAGTATTGTCCCAACTTTTTCTGTTGTTCTTGAGGGCTTACATTCTGAAGGCCGCAAGATGTTGCACGCCAAATCGAAACGTTGGATGAACACGGCACCCCAGGGGTACTTGAAGTTCGTTCTCCTCGAGTGAGAGGCGGCGGAAGGCCACCCCGTTCGCGCCCTGCCCGTCCTACGACGAAGCCCGTACCAACAAGCAAGCCAACGCCCACAAAGCCTGCGCAGACATCCGTCGTCAACCAACCTATAAGCACGAAGCGTTCAACGTCCATTACCAACCTCCCTACCAGCACGAAGTCATCAACATCTAACCAGCCTGCGAGCTCGAAGCTTTCAACCTCTAGCAATCCGACACTTACGAATTCCGGGCTCACTTCGATCACCAACAGACCCACAAGCACAAAACACAGCTCATCATCGTCCATAAAGTCCCTGCCCTTCACGCTCCCTCCCCGGCCTACGAAGGCCTTCGATGTCTGCCTACTACCTGAAGTATCCTGTCTCGATGCCCGAAGTGAAGACTCGGAGACCCTCTTCGGCCGCTCCGAGCAACCCCATGCCCTCGAAAAACGTGCTCGCGAGCTCTCGGATATCCCTCTGAAGAGCGGCAAACTTAAGGTTACACCAAAAGACTATCCTTCCTCCGGCCAGCTCGAGAAAGGCAAGGCCTCCAAGTGGGTCGAAACATGGGTTGATTTTCAAAGCGCAAACCTGGCCGACACGGAGGCCAAGCTGTTCAAGTCAAAACCACCGCTACCGGCCGGAGCCCTGCAGAAAGATTACGTCACGGAGCATATCCTTGAGGTGGGTTTTTTTTAACCCAATTTGACTTACGCTTGAAAGTGTGCTTATGATAAAGTAGCTCCAAAGCATGTCCCGCTTCATCGAAGCAGTAACAGGCACAAAGTCCACGAACAACCCCTCACCCATTCAGCTCAGCAAGACCGTGGACGACACATGGTTCACAAAATGGTGGAACAAAGATGTCCAAGCCAAAATCAACACCCGTAACCCAACTTTCACAGGCTACGAGAACAGTAAAGATGCCCGGTACCAAGACAAATCGCTAAACGATGTTGTCTTCGAAGCGTTTGGATCTTCGCGCAATGTGGATGACTTTGTGCTCTGTGAAGATGGGATTAATAGCTTCAAGGCGAAGCTTTGGCTAGGTGACGATCCGGCGGCAAAGTGGAATGATGCTGCGACCAAGGCAGCGAAAGGGCTGAAGCCGTCGGATGAATATCTGAGTCCTCTGCGTACAGTGAGTGTCTTTTCATACAGTGCTTAGTCAAGACTTTAAGTACTCTGGGTGACCCCAGAAGGACTCAAACTCTCTACTAGCAATGTATCCTTTTCCGAACGTTTACTGACTTGAACAGACGCTTGCAGTCTATAGCTACATGGAGCTTCCTCAGATTACGAAAAATCTTCACTCTTCCATTGCAAAAGTCAAGACCGAGCTAGGCAACATCGCACACCTCACCTCCAACGACCTTCCCAAAGACGCCCAGGGTCAACCTGCCGACCTCGCCGCCCTCTGGATCGAATTCATGGACGCCCACCTCGCCAAATTCGTCAACAAAGGCAAAACCTGGCTGGACTCTAATATCAAAACCGGGCTCAAGCAGTTCGAAGCAGAGCTCAAGATCATGGAAGGCTGGCTCAAGAAAATCCCAAACACCCCCCAATCCGCACTCACCGATAAGTACAACGCCGCCGTGAAGGCCGAGCAAGCCGCTCAAAAAGAACTCACTTCGAACGAGAAGAAGAGGAAGTCAGCTGCCAGCGACCTGGCCGCGGAAATCAAGAAGATTGAGGCGCAATTCATCAATGATCCCAATGCTTCGTCGAAGATCGAAGCCGAGAAGAAAAAACCGGGTACAGCATACAAGAGTGCGATCGTACAGCTTGGATCTGCGAAAACCAGAGTCACCCGCAGCCAGACGAAGGTTGGGCAGGCTACGCGCAAGATACTCGAATTTGATGAGAAGAACCTTAAGAAAGAGATTGCGAATTGGAAGGCTGTTATTGCGCAGTTGAACAAGTTTGAGGTTGAGCGGAAGAAGATTAAGACGCTGAAGGCGGAGTAGACGGGCAGCTGCTTGACTTTCGTGTACATCTTGAGCAGTGGTCGGAGAGGTAGTGTCGAGTGTATGAAGTAGGCAGGCCTAGACAAGAAATCACTGCCTTTCAATCCCTGAACCTCCTCATCAGGACGATAATCTATTCGCTCTATGCACTCACGCTCTCCCAGACTCCCAAAAAAACTCCGGGTATACCCCAAGCGCACTCATACTATACACATGACGTTCATCGCACGCTCCGCTCATACCGCATAACTATAACTCATCATGCTCCTCCTTGCCCGGCATAATAATCGGCTCCTTGGGCCTTCCCCACTCCTCATCCAGCACCTTCCCGCTCTTCTTCCTGTACTTCTCCCACACGCCCCAAAAGTCCTTCTCCATACCCTTCTCCATCTGGTCTGGTAGCACAACCACGTACTCGACGTGCAAGCTGCCGTACACCTCGCCGGCGTTGTTCTCCAGCTCCTGGTGCCACACCGGCATGCCCTCATCGGCAATGACCTCGACGTGATTCGGCTGTACGACTTCACCGCGCTTACGGGAGAGTTGCACGATATGACCGTCCAGGTGCGTGATGTTGCGCGTCCAGTCGCCCATCCACGCTTCCCGGAGCGACAGCACCTCGCGCCAGAACAGGTCCTTCCCGCGCCGGCGGAAAAACGTGCCGTCTGTGCGCTCGTGGTCCTGCTGGCCGTGTTGTGGGTCCGTCTCTGCGAGGTGCACGATAAGGTCGCCGGCCACCCAGTCGGGGCTCTCGTCGGCCTCGTTTTCGTATGTGATGCGCACGCCCAGCGGCATGCCCTTTTCTATGTGGAGTTCGTGCTTCTCGGGCTCGCGGACGACACGGCTGCCGCCGCAGACGGGACATGGGTGTGCGATCGTCTTGCCCTTGCCGTTGCACTTGTCGCATTGGACTTGCATTTGTTGGAACAAACCTGGTGCAAGCTGTTGTCGTTGTATCCGGGCGCCGCGTCCGCCACATGCGTCGCACGTTTCGACGTGTCCGTCCTCGCTGCCCGTGCCCTCGCATGCAGAGCATATAGCCTGCTTCTCAACCTCGAATTCCGTGACTCTTCCGTTGTAGAAATCGCGCAGAGGAACGGCAACCCGCAGCTCCATATTCGGTCCCTGACGCTGTCCGCCTCCTTGAAAGTGTCCGCTGCCGCCGAAGAAGCGGCTGAAGAGGTCGAAGGGGTCGTGGTGCTGTCGCGGCGAGCCGCCTTGCTTGTGCTGTTTTATGCCTTCGTGGCCATATTGGTCGTATATCTTGCGGGATTCTGCGTCGACAAGGACCTCATAGGCTTCGGCGACAGCGACAAACTTCTCGTGTGCGCTATCATCGCCACTGCTGCGTTTTAGCTTCCATGAGAGGAGCATCGAATGCGCGAGACGTACGGATTCTTGTCTGGATGGTACTTCTTGCTGAGTTGCCTGTATGCTTTCTTGAGTTCTCGCTCGCTTGCATCTTTCTTTACACCAAGTAGCTATCTCATGTTAGCAATCATCCTGTATGGATCTTGGTTGCGGAGTGAGTATCAAGACTCGATATACACCACTCTTCACCAACTTACCTTATAAAAGTCTTCGGCAGCCAGAACCCCCAGCGCCAAACACCCCAGCAGGAACAGTATCCGTAGAAGCATTGTGTCCAATTGCCCGCTCCAACGAGTCTCAGTTGGTCCTGAGACACTGAAATTGGGTTTCTTTCACGGTCCAATCTAGTCCATAAAGAGTGAGCAGGCTCTCAGGTGACACGGGAGTGGCACGCCGAAGCGATCGCAGGAAAAGTACAGAAGAAGGCGGGGCGCAGGTATTTCTGTGGTGTTGTCGGGTTCTCAGTTACGTGGTGTTTAGCTATTCGCGCGGAGCCAATCGGAGTCGCTATCTCTTACTAATCACAACTTCTGACTTTCTGCGCATCGACCCCAGGCATACCCTATACTACCAATTGAGCCGGCGCACCATTCACTCGACCCGACGCGAGACGCATTCGCTTGCTGTCTGTGACCCTACGGAACCCTCGCCGCTGTTGACGCCCCCCGGCGCTCGCACACGCTGCACGCGATCGCTCCCGACTGCTCCACGCATCCGCCCACGCAACACCATACACAATGTCGAAGTCACTTGTGGGCAAGCCGATAGTGCGGAAGCTCTTCTCCTCGTCGCAAGTCGGCGTCGTCGTCTCGGCAGGCCGCATGTCCAAAGCCGTTAAAGTCCGCATAGCAGCCCAGGAATGGAACAAGAAGTTCAGAAAAGTACGCTGCCACCTTCCAATCCCTCCACCAAAGCCCATAAGCACAATCCCATCAGAGCAACTCGCTAATAATATCTCCAGCACTTCCCCTCGGAACAAACCTATCTCGTCGCGGACCCCAACTCCTCCCTTGTTGAAGGCGACGTCGTCCGCATCGCCTCGGGCTGGCGCACCTCTAAATCAATCCGCCACGTTGTAACCTCTATCGTGTCGCCCTTCGGCGAGCCCGTCGAGAACCGCCCTCCCATCTTGACCGAAGAAGAGCGCATGCAGCTCCGCATCCAGGAGCGGTTACTCAAGGACGTGCGGAGCGCGGCAAAGGGGCGGCAGACGAGCTTGCAGCGGCTGGCTGAGGCGCGGCGGCAGAAGCTGCAGATCCCGAGTCTGGAGGAAGCTATGGCGAATGTGCGGATAGCGGAGCAGGCGGAGAAGGCCACAAAGGGTGAAGCTCACAAGGGGCACACTGGGCAGGCGGAGACGAGGAAGGAGAGGCGGATCGAGGCCGGGAGGGAGAGGAAGGAGGAGAAGAAGGCGGAGGCGAAACTGAAGAGGGCGCAGGCGCAGACGGTGTAGGGGAATCTCTGGCATCACATGGGAGTTCTGTAGGATTACACGTGTACAAAGAGTTGTTCACATACCAGCATTGGAGGTGTTTGGAATATTCGAAATGTAGCATATTATCTATCTTCAAAACTCATACTCGACGTGAATATATCATACAACAACTGAAGGGTATCGCAATAGCAAATCCGCCCGTCGTGTTAAATGCGAAGGTACACCAACTCCAGATATCATGCCTGAGGCAGTACGCCGTCCCATGCCGCTCAATATACGGAAACCCTGTAGAATGTCGTCATCATGCAACATCTCAGACCTCATTGAGGTCTACCATGTCTTCGTCCGCTTCACTATCCGCGTATGCTTTGGTTAGGAAGGGATGTCGTAAAGCCTCCTCTGCAGTGATTCGCCGGGCAGGATCGCACTCCAACAGCTTGTAAAGAAAAGCCACGGCCTCCTTCTCTTCTTCGTCGAGCTCCTTCTTTGGCGCATTCTTATCAGAGTCGGTGCGGCCAGTGCACCAGAGAATGATCTTCTCGAGGCTATGGCCATGCTCGCTGTAGCTCGGGATGTTGGTCTCAAACACTTGTCCGTGCAGAAGAGCAGCCTCCTTCATCTTCTTCCGTCCGAAAATTGTCGTGATCTCCAGGAGTGCGTCGATATCGTCGGCGCTGTGGAAGAAGGGGAAGCGGCGAGTCAAGAGCGTAAGGAGGATGACACCCGCGCTCCACATGTCAATGATGGTGGTCTGCTGCGTACATTTCAGGAGCACCTCAGGGGCGCGGAACCCACGGGTTCCAGCGCGGTTAGCCCGACGGCTGCCACGCGTGTCGTTCTTGGGGTAGCTGGTGGTTTGATGTCCGGCCTGTTGATTCTGAGCATAGACGCTGTGAGCAATTCTGTAACGGCGCTCATCAGATGGAAGGGTGCAGTTGCACTGATGCCACTCGGTTCCCTCCCGCTCAGCAAGACCAAAGTCGACGAGAACGCCGCGAGTCTGCCATTTGTTGTAGAGGAAGTTTGTCGGTTTCACGTCGCGGTGCAGGATCTTCTTCTTGTGCACCTCTCGAAGCGCAGTGAACAAGCTCTTCATGTAAAGCCGCATCTCAGAAACCTTCATGTCCTTGTAGTAGTCGCGGAAGTCCTGGTGCTGGAAGTAAGGTAGTACGGCCACGACCTGGTCTTGGTGGCGGAACGCCGTGATCAGCGGGCATACTGAATCTGAGTTCTTGAGATCGAAGAGCAGCTCGAGCTCGTTGAAGATGCGGATCGGGCTGCTGGTAACGTAGATCTTCTTGATGGCCACATAGTGGGGTTTGCGCGCCGAACGTTTGGCCTTGCTGGCGGGTGACGACCACTTGCGCCGGTCGCGCTCTTCGATATCCCAGCGGTTGTTGTACTTGTAGTACTCCAGGTCCTCGGCCTTGTATACTGTCGAGAAGGTGCCTGCATATCATCTAAGTCAGGCCAAGCCGCGTGCCTGCATGAGGCGAGCCAACGGAGGAACATACCTTCTCCGATGCGATTGATCAACCGATAGCGCTTGTTGATGCCCACGAAGCTGTTCTCGAAGCGCTCAATGTCCTCGGCAACCATTTCGTCAACCTCTTCGTCCTCGCTCGTGTCGATGGTGCGGCCGCTCTCCTCGAGCGGGTCGGCGCTCTCGTCCAGAGTATCCTCGGGGTCGGCGCCCTTCACGTCTTCGTGGTGCATTTCCAACTCCTCAGCCTGTCGCTGGAGCGACGCGCGGGCTTTGGCCATGCTGCAGGATGTTGTGTAGTGCTCTGCGCGGGGAGTTGAGCCGACGCGTGCACCTGCGATGCGGGACGTGTTTTGGCTGCATCGCTCGCGCCTGGTCCCCTCCGGCATCTTGGCCCAAACAGGCTAGTTCATAACATTGCGCGGGCGGGCCAAACACGTCGGTCGTGCCAGCACCGTCCCGCAACACACGCGCACCAGACGATACGCGCCTGCCGTCCTTTCTCTTCTTTCTCTTCCTGTTTCTTTTGCTGTCCTGCCGACTGGCGACTTCGCGAGAATGGACTCGCAGGCGGATTTCGACGTCAACGAGGCGATCAAAAACTACGACAACGACCCCTTGGAAATAGCCACGCCGGATGCCTCGCGCGAGCTGCAGGACTTCGAGCATGAGCCGGAAAGGCTGGGGGAAGAGCTGCCACTGCTGAATGCCGAGCTGAATCCCATCGTCGACGCCATCGCAGGCAGCCCCGAGGCGATTCTTCGCAGCGCCAACTTCGATACCCTACAGTTTCTTCTCAAGTTCTCCGCCCACATACCCGCAGTCACGCTGGGCAAGGTCCTTGATCTCGTCGGATCTGCACTCGCGGCTCAAGTCGACGTTGTACACGCGGACATACAAGCGCAAGATCAGGATGCGCTTAAGCTGCACAAGACGCTCCTGGAGATGTACGGCTTTCTCCTGCGCTGGACCATATCGGCAGTCGAATCAAGAGAAGCACTGGAAAAGCCAACCGCGTCAGCGCCGGCAGCACGAGGTAAAAAGGGCGCCAAATCAAAGACTGCAAAAGATGGAGTTTGGGACGCGTCGGCCCAGCTTGAGGCAGCCTTAGATAGGATCAGCAAGGTGCTGCGACTGGAGCTGGGCCGCATATTTGTGACGACTTCGGAGCGAGACACCTTCATTGGCCTCTTGACGAAGCCGATCTACCACATATTGGAGAACTCGGAGAAGACGGGACGGATAAAAAACACCGCGATACGAAATCACAGCTTCAGGGTGTTGGCAATGGCGGTCAGAAATCACGGCCATGCATACAGTAAGCTGGGATCTCGTTACCCACGGCCATGCCCACGCTGACATGTTAACAGACGCTCAAATATCCATCACACAAGCCCTCTTCTTCTACAGTCATTTGTCAGAAGCAATGGCCGAGCTGCTACACATCGTCGCAAAAGAGTACAATTATCCGCAGCTTACGGAAGAGGTTCTCCGTGAAGTTAGTGACAAGGAGTTCAGCAGTACAGACAAGAAAGGACCAACCTCAGTCTCTGCCTTCCTCGTTAGGATCTCAGAGCTGCTTCCAGAAGTTGTCATGAAGCAAATGACGTCCCTTGCAAAGTTGGTCGATAACGAGTCGTACACCTTGCGTATGGCTATGATAGACGTGTGCGGACAGATGGTCATCATGATCAGCAAACTATCAGATGACGACCAACGTGGCGAAGTTGCAAAACCAAAGATGGACACTTTTCTGGACGAACTTGAGCAGCGGTTCTTGGACATTAACCCGTACTGTCGTGCTCGAGTGATGCAGGTCTATGTCAAGCTCTGCGATCTTGAGGCACGGTTGTCCAAGCGGCGGAAGAAAGCGGCAAAATATGCGGCACAAAGCTTGATGGATAAGAGCAGCAACGTGCGACGGAACGCAATCAAACTGATTTCAAAACTTGTGGAGACTCATCCCTTCACTGATGATGGGGGACTGCTCTCGAAGGAGAAGACCGAGCGGGAACTGGGCGACATTGATACTCGGATCAACGCATTGGTGCCAGCCGAACCTGAGAAGCCTGCGTCAGGAGAGCAGACACTGGACGAGGAAATGCTACAGGACGCAACCCAGGTAGAAAGTGCAGCTCCAGAGCAGCCCAAGCACCCAGACGACATGACCGAGGCAGAGAAAATCGCAATCATGAAGAAGCTAGCAGACGCTCAGGAGCTAGAACAACTGCAAACGCGAAGAAAGTACTACAACGAGAAGCTAAGATTCATCGAGGTAGTGGACGATGCAGCAGACGACGTCATGCAGCTTCTTTCTGCGAAGAACAAGAGCGAAGTTATCGAAGCGATGGATTTCTTCGTGAAGATCTACGCATACAAGATCCCCAACGCACGCAACGGCGTTCGGCGAATGCTCCGCCTCATCTGGACCAAAGGCAACAGCGATGAAGGAAAAGGCGTTCAGACTCACCTCATCGAATGCTACAAGGACTTATTCTTTGTTGCCAACCCCCTCTTTGACCGCGATCACTCTGACGATTACATCATGCACAATATGATCACCCTTACCTACGGCACTTCACCCGCGGAGCTCACTTCGCTCGAACAACTACTGAGCATGATGATGAAGCAAGGCATGATAAAAGAAACGGTCGTCCAGAAGTTGTGGGCTACTTATGCATATCAGAAGAAGGCGATCTCGCGCACCATGCGCCGCGGCGCCATCATCGTCCTGGGCATGCTCGCACTTGCCAAACCTGAGATTATAGTCAATGAGATGGAACTTTGTCTGCGCATCGGGCTTGGCGAGCTAGGTCGACGGGATCTCGCGCTTGCTCGTTATACCTGTATTGCCCTCCGCCGGATCAGCCCACCACCTGGAAAGCAGTCAGAATCTGGGCCAGCACAGGTCGCGAAGCTGCCAAACGACCACGCAGTCTTGGTGAAGCTCGCTACTATCTGCGAAATTGTCTCCGACGACAAAGAGTGGTTCGGTGTGGCAGAGCAAGCTATCAGCGCCATCTACGTTCTCTCGAAACATCCTGATGTCTTGTGTTCCGAAATTCTCCGACGGAAAATTAAACATGTGTTTGCGCCGCAAGCACCTTCTCGACCCACGTCTAGTGGATCAGGCGCCGAGGATGCCATGGATGTAGATGCACCTATGACGCCACCCCCTGACGAATCCTCACAACCAAAGAAGCAGAATCCTGCATTGGCGCTTTCTCAGCTACTGTTCATTGTCGGGCATATTGCCATCAAACAGATTGTTCACCTTGAGCTCTGCGAACTAGAGATCAAACGCCGCAAAGCTGAGAAAGGAACGAAGAAAGCACCCACTCCGCGGCAGTCCCTTGCGGCCGAGAATCCATCACCAGTCAAGAAGGGTCGTAAGAAGTCATCCGCCAAAGCCCAGACGCCAGCTGCCGAAGAAGTCGATGAGTTGGAGCTCATGGCTGGCCCATCAGAAGATGATATCACCGACCATATTGCACATATCCGGGAACGACAGCTTCTTTACGGCCCGGACTCGCTTCTTGCCAACTTTGGGCCGTTAGTGCGGGACATCTGCTTCAATAGCACATCGTACAACCACCCCACTTTGCTGGCCCAGGCGGCGCTCTGTCTAGCGAAGCTAATGTGTGTAAGCTCGGAGTACTGTGAGAAAAATTTGGAGTTGCTCTTAACCATGATGGAACGAAGCAAAGACCCTGTTGTGCGCAGCAACCTCGTCATCGCTTTAGCTGACATGGCCGTCTGCTTTAATCATCTCATCGACGAGAACGAGTCTCATCTGTACCGCCGTCTTAACGATGGCGATCCATCCGTCAAGCGAACATGTCTCATGACGCTCACCTTCCTTATCTTGGCTGGACAGGTCAAGGTCAAGAGCGAGCTCGCCAAGATGGCGAAGTGCATGGAAGACAGCGATGATAAGATCAAGGACATGGCGCGCATGTTCTTCACCGAGCTTGCGACTAAGGACAACGCTATCTACAACCAGTTCATCGATATGTTTAGTACGTTGAGCGCGGATACGGGTCTGAATGAGGATGCTTTTAAGAAGATCATCAAGACGCTGGCAGGGTATATTGAGAAGGTATGTAGTCGCATGTATTTTTCAACCCCGTGAAATGTAGCGGCACTGACTAGTAATAGGACAAACATGCCAAGGTGCTCTCAAAGAAGCTGGCAGAACGCTTGCCGAGGGCGGATAACGAGAAGGAATGGAACGATATCGCTTTCACCCTCGGCCAGCTGCAGCATAAGGACGAGGAGATTACGAAATTGGTCTCGGAGGGCTTCAAGGTTGTGCAGGCTTCGGCGTGATTGTATAGTGATGGGCATAATGAGGCGTCTGGGATGAGCATTTGGGCTTCATGATACCTTGGGCTTTGGGATGGAGGGTAATGGCGTTGAGTTGAATGATTGGGTGTTGATACGTGTGGTATGATATAGTAATGACATTCAGATTGTTGATCCGCATCTTTAGATCCTTTGGATCATAATGAACGGTCGTCTGACAACTGGCATGGATGTGACTGTAACTTTACATCTGGGCAGGGAGATATGCAGCCTGAGTTGCGAGACATAAACACCGGGACAACTTTGTTTAGTATATGCTACTTCTCTTGCGTAGTTGTGATGATGGCTTTTCGCAATGGGCCCGGTCCTCCTCAATGGAGGAGGGTAACGATGCGTTCGGTACGGCAGAGGGTGGAGACGATGTGTACGAGACAAGAAGCTGCATACCAAAACAGGATGGCACGCGTCAATTATCTTTGTGATGCAGATGTTTTGGCCCCTTTTCGATACATTCGAGGCTTGGGAGCGGGGATGCGGCAGGGAGCTGATTCGCGTATCCGTCAGACGGCTTGCTGTGCCGCAATCCTGCATGCAGACCGCGTAGGATCCGTATCCATTTTGCTATCAAAACGGTGTTACCGTAATGTTGTTTTCGTGGAACAGCTTTCTCGAGCGAGTTATGTTAGACATTTCAGCCAACTCATTCACCTCATCTATCCTCACCCACTACTTGACGTATTTGGGTGGAAAGCCCCGGGCGGCATGATAGGAAAGGGAATGCGACCTCTGGGAGCTGAACAACCGCTGGAACACCCCTGTGGAGTGGCTGGACGACCCTTGGTGTGGATAATTACCACCATGTATTGCTTTTGACCCCGGCTTCCCCTGCATATCTGGCCAATAGAGCCTTTTATCTTTTATCTCGAAAAAGGACTTCTCTCGAAACTTACTGCGGTACCTTTTGCCTACAAAACACTTGTGCACGGTATATCGAGCGTTGTTTGATCGCACGCCTTATTTTCAATTGAAGTCTCCAAGTATGGATGCGATCGCCAGTCTTCAGATGCTGAAGGACCGGTTGTTGGACCACAAATCAGAGGCGCCCATGCATTGCCTCTTCCTTTACGACAGTGGGAAGTACTGTACCTTCGATTGCTCAGAGTACCCAGGCGATCATCCGAGGATATTCAGTAAGGCAATCAAACGCCTGGCCAAGGAAATAAACGATGTTTCCAAGCCCGATTTTATTGATGTGTCGAGGGCTGTGTTCTTCTGTTACACTCATGATTTGAAGACACTTAAGACATATCGGAAACACCTCGAGGCGCTCTGGGACGACGCGTCAAGCGAGATGAGGAGTGAGCTTTGGAATGGGCTCCATAAGAGGATCCACAGCATCCCTCTACCAGCCACGCCACGACGCAATCGCCCTCGACCCGTGAACACCAACAGCGCTCCATCGAACATACCCTCCATAGATTCTCATAGCGAGGTTGGATGTATACCTTCAACTGTAGATATGGACATCGAGACTCCATCGCGCCCGCAGACCGCACAAGCTAAACTCAACACTGGTATAAGCTACTCGGATGATCGGACTACTCCGATCCCATTTCGGGGTTACGGTGGTGTGACTTGTAATGTAGATCCATTTGCCGTCAACCAAGACTCTGGAGATTCGGAGCCGCGAAGCTTGGGTCAAATGGATGAAGATGGGGGTCCCCTGGACTGCAGATCTACTACAGCTGCAAAAAGGGAATCTTTACCGCGTCAGGATAAGGAACCGCGGGCGCAGTGTGTGCAAGAGGACACACTTCCTATCGATGCTGGCGCTTCTGGTAATCCCGAAACGAAGCTGAATGAGAACCATGCACAGTTTACCAATCCAAATGCAGGATCAAGTGCAGATGCAAACACTCAGACTGGGTCCACATTCGAGATTGGCACGAGCATATTTGGCCACATTAACGCTTCGACCTCAAGCCAAGAATTCTCGTTCAGCTTCGAATTCAGCAAGCTCTCATTGGAATGTGAAACAAAGATTAGAAATGATCCTTCCTTGGTTCGGATCTCCGAAATGTCTAACGTAGCAGGAAATCGCAAGGGAATACAACCTCTCAACAACGTACTAGAGCATCCAGCGGAAAGGTCCTATCAAACCATATTTGAGAAGTTACAGATCCAGGACGACCGTGTCGATGGAAATGACACAAGAGCAACGAGAAGCCGTAGCCGGTCGCCAGCTCCGCCAAGGCAGACTGTGCAAGATGCTCAGGCTTCTGTGGGACTTCCCGTGAGTGAGCTTGAATCCGAAAAGATCCCTAGGTCCACTTCAGCCCGGAGAATATCCTCAGAGAAAACACCAAGATTGCCGGAGACAGGAAAAATCGACTCCGAGGCGCCGCTTTGTGGCACTGGACGATCACGGCACAACAAGCCGTCCTCAGCGGCTTCAGAAGTCCCGGATGCCCCGAGACCTCAGTCCTCATCCTCAAAAGATAGGGCCACGGATGAAGATAAGAGCAAAACCACGAAATCATCTCCTACCTGCAGCATCCCTTCTTTCACCCCGACAAAAAAAACCAGGCCTAATCATGGCAGTTCACCGCCCAAAAAGAGAGGGACACAGCCATTTGAGATCGCACTAAAGATAAAGAAGCTTCTCGCAAAGTCCCTGATGCAAACGAAGAAAACAGGTCTTGTCTATGTTATGGAAGCACCCAAATTCTTCTCCACCTTTGAACCAGCAGCCTCTGCAGATGAGCTGTGGTTGAAGATCGGCTTGACAACCGACTTGGACCAACGTCTTGAAAGGATAGAAGAACAATGTGGTATTGCTGAGATCAAAGCAATTGGCACTTCGGATTTGGGCTGTCCGATGGACCTCGCTGACAGGATCGAAAAGCTATGCCACGAGCAATTAGCACCTTTCCGCAGGCCTTTCAATTGTGGGTCTGGAAGATGTCCAACCGAACAGCATAGGGAGTGGTTTGCGGTTGAAAAGGACGTGGCAATACGTACGATGAAGCTGTGGAAGAACTTCATGGATCACAAGCCCTATGATGCCGATGGTAAGGCATTGAGTTACCCATGGAGACGTTCATTGGCGGATAAGGAGAAGTTTCGATTGTTGGAGGCGAACGGTCAAGAATCAGAGCGAGACTTGTTACACCGGTCGTTAGAGACATGGATCAAGGTGACGGCTGAGGAAGTAAGAAACCAACGCGTTGGACAGGATTTTTCATAGTTCTGAGGTCTTGATAATTATCGGACCCTACTTTGAGATTATTCAGTAGCAAATGGTTACATCTCGGGAACTTTGGAACCTTCGCATGATGATGGTGCGGTTAGCTTGATACCTTTCCAGCAGAACGTTGCTGGGGAATTGTCCATTACGGCCCCGTTACGGCTCAAGCCTCCTCTAGCATTCCAAGACGTAATTCCTACACTATTCGCTGGAGTACTGCAAAAGATCATAGACGGCGTCGACTTTAGCTTGCTATTTTCGATGATAAGCGGTGAGACTGCAGAATAACACCATCGAGAAGCATTTTTCTAGGCTTTTGGTAGGGCGGACCGAAACATATTCGCTGCTGGCGAAGCTGTAGCGTACCTAGGTAGTTGGAAGATTAACTTGGTGAGCTACAATGTGGTGGCCGTGGACGAGAATGGTGTTGATGATGAGCTGAAATACTTCCCGATAAGGATTCAATTGTGGGCTATCGTAAGAAGTGAATATGCTTTTGTGTGCTATAGGCTACACGATCCGCCGATGGCGCTCGTGAAAAGCTATCGGGAACAATTAATTTTGCTGATTGTTACACACGTATCAGCTGGTTGGGCCTCGTAAACGTCCGCATAGCCACAATATCCTGTGACTTTCGCTTCTTGCCCTGGTGACACGGACGAGTTGAGATTGGCAGATGGCTTCGTTAGACGCATCCATCCATGGTTGCTTCAAGTCACTCACAGCCCCATCCTGAAACAGAGGATGACTCAAGTGCCTCCTTTCGCTAGGAAACATATCTCCCAATGCTTCCCTCGGGACTGTGTCCAGTGGGTGACAGTGGTGGTCGACTACGACATCTTGGTAAATCGAGAAGACTAACAAATGCGGCCAAATTAGTGAGGATGCAGGAGATGCCATATCGTGATAATGATGTGTTACGAGCTTACCGGACGCAGGTAAACTGTCGGGCGCCCTTTGACATGACTTGGCCGCAATTCACGAATGGGGTAGACCGGTCAAAACAAAACTTGTATATCCGTGCGACACCGATTCACAACAAGGCTCCCGTGTTCTTGAGTAGGCTCAGCGCGCATCCAGTCTAGACGTGCGGGACAAGTGGAAATCGACAAATACCACAAAAAGTGCCCTCGGGCTGTTTGGGCTTCGTGGTGTCGAGTCGAGGCGATTGAACGTCTCTGTGATAGTCGATCGCTGTCTAGGTAACTTGAGTATAGATGAACGAATTCTGTCTGACCAACTCACGAGGCAAAATAGTTCGCAACGCCCGATGCACGAAAGCCTCGCGCATAACTCAAAACGACAGCACTTATGGAGAAGATGAAAATATAGCATTATACAGTAGTGAATAAAGACTCATCATCGAGGTATCGTACTGCGCATCCCGAGACCATCATGGAAGCCTAATGCCATCTCAAGATCTTTGTGTTTATTCATTCCAGGTAGTTCCAAGCCCAAGTTCCCATAACCCATCCAACTCCATTGCTCAAAGAAATCGAATTATCGTATTGTGACGGTCCTCATTTTCTCTTCCCTCACCATCGGCATGGCTCATCTACCTGATGATACCATCACCTTTGGTCGGTGGCGGACCCGGAGGCGGGGTGTACACGTCCTCTCCGCCCCTAGCGAGATGCGATTGCGGCGGCTGCTGCAGCTCGACGCCGTTGGCCTGGCCATAGGGGTAAGGCTGCTGACCATTGTTGCCGTAATAACCTTGGTTTGCGCCGGTGCCGTAATAGCTGCCTTGCTGGGGTTGCGGGGTGTATTGCGGCGGGGGCTGCGCGTAGTTGTTGTTGTTGTAGTAAGGCTGTGCGTTGCCGCCGGGGCGGTGGGCCCAGCCAGTGCCGTAGAAGGGTTGTCGGCCGGCCTTGCGGCGGCGGCGGGCGGTTATGCAGCTGAAGAAGGTCAGTCGTGTACTAGAAGGCATATCGAGTCGCTGTGAAGTAGAGCCTGGTAGTGCAGAATACGATGCAGTGACCGACTCTAGGATGTTGCAGGAGGGAATACACACCTGCACATGACGAAGAGGAGGAAGAAGCCGATGACGACGACAGCAAGGACGACCCAGCGGACCCAATCATTCCACCGGCTCGAACAGTTGTAGTATCGACCATATTGATCGCGACATCTAGCCATGTTGTGTTAGGTTTGTGGTGTACGGGAGAAGGTGTTGCGTTGGAGTAACAGAGGGTAGAATCCACTCAGTTGGGGCGTCGCAATATTATATCAAGTCGTGACGTGACTGAGCAGGGCCGTGAATGGGGAAGAAGGGCGCGCTCGGAGGCGCAGGTTATACGTACTCAGTATAGTACCTTGGAAGCAGCGTCGGCATCTTGGCTACGCGGACGCTTAAAGGTGCTAAGGAGGTGCAAGTGTGACGTTAGAGGTTCGAGAGGTGGACAAAGGCGGAGACAGCTGGGTATGACGGAGTTGATATGTCGCGGCGGGAGGGATCGCTGTGGCTGAGCCAACGCCAAGCCGCGTGGCGTGCCTGCCAACTTGATGCCGGATCAAGCGGCGCGTTTGCGAACAGCTCGGGCGGAGTTCTGTCCGCGAGGCGTCGTGTGAGCGTGACCTCCGCTGCGGCGAGCTTCTTACGACGCTGGCTTCGGTTGCCCTTTCCTGGTACTCACGACGGTATGTTGATGTGGAATTGTCATACGCAAGCAATCGAAATCACGGCTAATCAGCCTGGCCCCTGGAACGCTGCTTGAATTGAGCACCCGCGTATAGGCGCAAAATCCATGGTATAGCCTGACTATTACAGGCTAGATAAACAAGTCCTTGGACAGATCAGATGTTCTCCGTGTAGCTAGCGCGTGTCACAGCGGTCGTGAAAGACGCGACCGGCAAGAAGTGGCCGTGGTAGCTCTGACCCCCGGAGCTTTCCTGAAGAATAAACGAGTTCCTGTCTTTGGGATGTAGAGCCGCAATGAGAACATTCGGACACCGTCACACAAGCGCTCAGTGTATCTGGCATTGCCGCGCTGTAGCTGACTCTGCACGACTGGAGTTCGTCACATTGATCGCACGGCGACTTGCAGCAAATTCTACCGTGCCTTCCAAGACGTTCTAAACACCGAAAGCACGGCCGTAAAACCTGCGTAAGCTGGTCAAATTTTCCACGTAACCTAGCGCGGATGACAGCAGTCTTCAGCCTTACCGCAGACCCTCCTCTACGCCACATGCCCTTCTACCACACGCCCCGCGAAGTCCCGTGCTCAAGCATGACAATCGGCGTGTTCGCATGCGCTCCTACCTGCTAGCGTCCCCTGAAAGCAGAGCGTGCCTACGGCGTGTGATTGGCCGACGGGTGGGGGACGAGGACTGACATCCCTGGTTCCCACTAATGCATTGCCAACACATCAACGCTGGCAATTGTTTGAAAGGGAATTTCTGAAATAACTGCGTGCGAGCTGCCAGCTGTCCCGGCGCGCTGTTGGCTCCTTGCCGTCCTCTTTTTCGTTTCCCCAGCGTCTGCGAACGTGCGCACGAATGCGTGCAGGCGATTGTGCCTTTGCTTGCTGGCGTGGGCGTGTGATCCCCTGGACGGCGGACGCGCGACACAAGCTGCGATGGCTTGTAGCCCAACCTCCGGCGATTGAGCGCGGCCTGCAGCACGAGCTCGGATTTCAAGGACGCGAAAGACCACCGCTGTTGTATCCTGGGACTCCCATTGCCAGGTCTCCGGTGGCCGGCGCAAGTTTGCAAGAATGACTGAACTACTCAGCAACAGCAGGTCACGGCGCACGCCTCACTGCAAGTCACGAGGGCCCAATCCAAAAGAGAGGTTACCATTATGTTACCGACAATGTGCCAAAGGTGCCAAAGATGCCAGAACGTGCGTCTGCCACGGTCAACGCCGAACCTAGAAATTAAACATCGCCAAACCGTCCTATCCAACGCTTTTGCTGCTCGTAACGACATGATACCGCTCAAAGAACACAGACGATACACGATATGCCTATACTCGTAATCCTATCCACGCCCGCTTGAAATAGAAACATGCGCAACAAAATGTCACCGCTGTCGATGATGGAGTGAGAATGCGAGGAAACAAGAAAACGTGCCAACCGGAGAACGAGATGGCCATCGCTAGCCTGCAGACTAAACTGCCCGTCTTTCTTTCCGTCACGTCGTAAGAATCATTAAGTATGTCGTATAAAGCTGACGGCCGCATTCGCAAGAATGTCGGCGCATCAGGAGTCATGAAGCCGCCAATCCGTCCAAAGTCGAACGCCGCGTCGAGTCGGCACGTGGTCGCGAGACTATGTGCAGGTTACGTTCCAGTCCGAACAACCTTCGAACAACGTCTATCGGCTTGCGCGAGCGATCAACCACTGCAGGACAGCGTCGAGGTTGGTCTCTTCCTTCGCGCTGATACCGTAGCAGCTCACCTCGCGGTGCGACACGGCCTTCAAGTTCAGAGCGTCGATGAGCTCGTCTACGGAAAGCTTGTTAGGAAGATCGGACTTGTTGCCGAGGACCAGCAGGGGAATGCCCTCCAACGCGGGCTTCTCCAGCAAGAGCTTCAACTCTTCACGTGCTACCGGTAGAGCATCCCTGTCAGCCGAGTCGACGATGAATCTGAGGCGATGAGCGAAGTACCCTCGGCGGGCGAAGGGACTTACACCATCGCGTTCACGCCGCGACAATACCTCTCCCACATGGAACGGAACCGAGGCTGGCCTCCGAGATCCCAACTGTAATGACGATGGTGGTCAGCAGATATTCGGGCAACAGGGTAGTTTATCCTACATCCCAGAAGGATGGTTCGCACAGGCTTGGCGCTGCAAGAGACGGACGTGCGTGACCAGGACGCATATCGAAAGACACTTACCACTTCAGGGTTACATGGCCTTTCTGGACGCGCTTCATGTTGAAGCCCACAGTCGGGATGGAGCTAGGGCCAATTATCAGCGCAGGGACCAGTGAAGAGGGAGCTCATGGTTGCGCGACGCAGCCAGAACGAATACTGTCGAAACAGTGCCGGCGGCTTGCGTGACATGAGCAGATCTTGACGCACTCGACAGTGAATTCGCCGCCCTAGATGGCAGTCAGTCATTTCATCCTCATCGCATCGTCCTAGTCGCACGCGCATGTCCGAAACGGGAAGGGACTCACCGCCAAAACTCGCAGCAGCGATGTCTTGCCTGCGTTTTGCAGTCCGATCATGGTGATGTCCATCTCGGTGGCCCTGCACAGCGATGTCTGTCAGCAATCGGACTCGGCGTCGTCGGGCGCATATTGCTTTTTCGTCGATAGAAATTTGATCATGGGAGGGAGCAGATGGGCGCATGCCTAGCGCGCGAGCAGTGGAGGACGGCAGGTGATGAGAGGGCAATACACACCAGAACAGGCGCAAGAGCCAGTCGTAGATGCGGCGGAAGATGCTGGCCATGTCCGCGGTTGTCCTCGGGGAGGTTTGGCTGCGAGGTGATGTTGTCTGGCTGCGGACTGGCGCAGGTGCAGGACGGATGATGGGCGCTGGGTGGGAAAGCTACAGCAGGACTAGGAATCCTTGCGGGGCAGTCGTCTGGCGATCACAACGTGACCAAGGCGGCGGCGAGATAGAATGATAATGCACGAATTCGCAGCGCGCGTCTCAACAATTCATCCGTACAGTGAGGAAGCAGAGACGAGGCCGTGCCGCTTCCAAGAAGCAAGAAAGAAGCACTTGTGCGTCCCCAAGGCGAGCCGCTGCCAAGCGGCGTGTGACCGCAAGATGGAGAGCTCTCAGCGAGCACGGGCCCACGGGCCCGTTCGCTAGTGCGCTATCGATTGCAACTTCTGAAAAAGTTTCTGGAGGAAGGCACTGCGACTGAACGTCCACCGCATAGCACTTGCCTTTCCGTCCTGGGTGCCATGATACTGCAGCGTGCCTGCCATTGAACACCCAGCCCTCCTTTGCACCCGCGCCCGCCTCTCGCGCACTCCTAGCCATGGCGCCCGCGCCGACCAGCACCAAGTGGACGACCGAGTTCGACACGGCGCGCCGCCAGAAGCTTTTCCAGAACCCGCCCAAGGATTGCACCGCCTACCCGACGCTCGCGGCCGCTGTCGACCCTCACATCCACTCGTTCAACCAGATCTTTGCGAAGGGCGGCCATATCGATGAAGCCATCAAGGAGATTGGCACCAAGGTCTTCCTCGATGGCGACCCATATGCGCAGCCCGAGGACGTGGGCCGCCGCAACAGACTGAGCGTCAAGATCATGGACGTGTTCCTGGACAAATCGGTGCTGCCTCCGACCAACAAGGTTTCGATCAGCAACCGCAACATCCTCCCCGCCGAGTGCAGAGAGCGACATGTCAGTTACCGGGGGAAGCTGCGCGCGCGTGTGCACTACCGGATCAACAATGGAGACTGGTTGGAGACCGTGCGCGAGCTTGGACAGGTGCCCATAATGCTCAAGGTGAGATCCATCCACGCTCCCGGGACCCGCAGCATGCTAATTGCTCTCGTAACAGTCCAACCGGTGCCATCTTGAGAACATGACCCCCGCTCAGCTGTACAAGGCCAAGGAAGAAACGGAGGAATTTGGCGGATACTTCATCGTGAATGGCATCGAGAAGATCATCCGCATGCTAATCGTTCCCCGCCGCAATTACCCCATGGCCATCCAGCGTCCCTCGTACACGAACCGTGGACCTGGCTACTCCACTCTTGGCGTGGAGATTCGCAGCGTCCGCCCCGACCAGACGTCACAGACCAATGCACTCCACTACCTGAACGATGGCAACGTCAACTTGCGATTCTCATGGAGAAAGGCCGAATACCTCATCCCAGTCATCATGGTTCTCAAGGCACTAGTTGAGACGAACGACCGCGAGATTTTCGAAGGCATTGTTGGCACCGCAGACTCCGAGGGACTGGCCGAGAAGCAATTCGTGACCGATCGGGTGGAATTGCTTTTGCGCACTTACAAGGTTTATGGGTTACACTCCCGAGCCATGACCAGGGCTTACCTCGGTGAGAAGTTTAGGGTGGTTTTGCAGATTCCGGAGGACCTCAGCGATGAAGACGCGGGTACCGAGTTTTTGAGGAAGATCATCCTGCCACATCTGGGCGCCTACAACGTCAAAGAACAGAACGATGCCGACAAGTTCCGAATGCTGTTGTTCATGGTTCGCAAGCTATACTCGCTTGCTGAGGGTGAATGTGCAGTGGAAAATCCTGACGCTGTTCAGAACCAAGAAGTTCTCCTCGGTGGGCAGCTGTATGGAATGATCATCAAGGAAAAGATGGACGAGTGGCTGAACTCGATACGATTTCCCCTGCAGGAATGGGGACGCAAAAACGAATTCAAGCCATTCACCTCGAACGACTTCCAGAAAGACTTTTTGGGCAAAATTTTGAAGAGGGCGCAGGGTGAAGATGTTGGCCGCGCTATGGAATACTTCCTCTCGACCGGAAATCTCGTCAGTCCTACCGGTCTCGATCTGCAACAGACGGCGGGATTTTGTGTAGTTGCAGAAAAGCTCAACTTCTACCGATTCATCAGCCACTTCCGCATGGTGCATCGTGGCGCCTATTTCGCACAAATGAAGACGACCACGGTACGCAAATTGCTCCCGGAAAGCTGGGGCTTTCTGTGTCCGGTGCACACCCCTGATGGTGCGCCATGTGGATTGCTCAACCATTTTGCGCACAAGTGCAAGATAGCGACGAAAGGTCTGGATGTGTCAGCGATTCCACAGGTCGTTGCCCAGATGGGCGTATCGAGTAAAGCATCCGCATCTTTGGATGCAAGTGTGGTTGTACAACTTGACGGTCGCATTCTTGGTTTCTGCTCACCCAAGCAAGCCAAGGTCATCGCGGATACTCTTCGCTACTACAAGGTTGAAGGGACACACAATATACCGCTTGAGCTCGAAATTGGCTATATTCCCAACTCTAATGGCGGACAATATCCAGGAATCTTCATGTCATCGCAGTCCGCAAGGATGTACAGAGAGGTCAAATACCTGCCGCTCGACAAGCTGGACTACGTGGGACCGTTTGAGCAGCCCTACATGTCAATAGCGTGCACAGATCCTGAGGTCGTGTCCGGTGACTCCACGCACGTCGAATTCGACCCCACTAACATATTCTCCATTGTCGCGAACATGACCCCCTTCTCTGACTTCAACCAATCACCGAGGAACATGTACGAAGCCCTTTCCTCTGTTCATCATACGCAATGCTAACAAAGCAGGTACCAATGCCAGATGGGAAAACAAACGATGGGAACACCTGCAACCGCCCTGCGATACCGAACAGACAACAAGACCTACCGCTTACAGACTGGCCAAACACCGATCGTGCGACCACCACTCCACAACGAGTACGGATTCGACAACTTCCCCAACGGGACGAATGCTGTTGTGGCTGTCATCTCATACACCGGGTACGACATGGACGACGCTATGATTCTCAATAAATCGGCACATGAGCGTGGTTTTGGCCACGGCAGCATCTACAAGACTAAAATCTGCGACCTCGCGGAGGGCCAACGCAAGTCGAGATCTGCAAAGACAATGAACAGGCTTTTCGGGTTCGCGCCTGAGGGTGTCGTGAAGGCAAGTTGGAGAGAAACGCTCGATGATGACGGCTTGCCTAGAGTTGGCACCATGCTACGATCAGGCGACTATCTTGCTGCGTGGCACAACGTTTCGTACGATCAGACTCAAGATGACTACATCAACCTCGATGGCCAGACACAGTTTTTCAAATACAAAGAGGATGAGCTCGCCTTTGTCGAGGAAGTTCGTGTCATTGGATCAGAAACGGCTGCGGATCCATGCCAGAAGCTTAGCATCAAGCTACGTGTTCCCCGCTCTCCCGTCATCGGAGACAAGTTTTCCTCTCGCCACGGACAAAAGGGTGTCTGCTCGCAGAAATGGCCCGCCATCGACATGCCTTTCTCCGAATCTGGTATCCAACCCGATATCATCATCAACCCTCACGCATTCCCGTCACGAATGACGATCGGTATGTTTGTTGAGTCGCTTGCCGGTAAAGCCGGTGCGTTGCACGGCATAGCCCAGGATTCAACACCATTCCGCTTTGACGAGCAGAACACGGCGGTTGATCATTTCGGTCATCAGCTCATGAAGGCCGGTTACAATTATTATGGTAACGAGCCTATGTACAGTGGCATTACGGGTGAAGAGCTCGCTGCCGATATCTACATTGGTGTTGTATACTACCAGCGTCTCAGACACATGGTCAACGACAAGTACCAGGTTCGAACTACAGGTCCTGTCAACTCGTATACCGGGCAGCCCATCAAGGGTCGTAAAAAGGGCGGTGGTATCCGTGTCGGAGAGATGGAGCGCGATTCGCTGCTCGCCCATGGAACGGCATTCCTGCTGCAGGACCGCTTAATGAACTGCTCCGACTATACCAAAGCTACCCTCTGCCGCAGCTGCGGCTCCTTCCTCTCCACAACGCCAACGGTCAACGAATACCAGAGGAAGAACAGCAAGGTATTTCAGGTCCGGTGTAGGCGTTGCGCTAAGTTGGCTGACAGCGCCGCGCCCAAAACCGAGGTGTGGTCTGATGGCCAAGGTCTCAGATATCAGGGCGGTGACGATGTCACAACTGTGGCAGTGCCGGGTGTGCTGAAATATCTTGATGTGGAGCTGGCGAGCATGGGCATCAGACTTAAGTTCGAGGTCAACCCTTGAGCTTAGATACTGGTACAGAAGGTGGCTGTGGCATTGCATGGAACGGCGTTTTCTTCTTGAACGGCAGTGTAAAAGTGGGTCATTTAGCGGCATCGCGGCGTTAGATGACATATGAAATATGCTTGAATAAGGAATTTTCCATTTTCTGATCTTTCCTCTAAACACAGTGACGTACACTTCTGCCTGATCGCTCAGGTTTTGTATCTGTATCGGGCATTCAAACGTGACGACACTCGTGGATGTACCTTTCGGGTGGTCCATGCTAGTACCCAAACGACTAGCGCAGTTGATAAGCGCGTAAAGCTTGGGAAAGGGCACTCCACTACTCACTCACCTACACAATCGAGCTACTCAACTCACCCCACGTCAAATGGCTGCAGTGGAAGACGATGAGTGGGAGTACGAATACGACGATAATGAGACCGAAGACTTCTACATCCCAATTGACCTAGCCAATGTGCCTTCAGTCCAGGGCGCGCTTGGTCTTGGTGGCTCAACGCAAAGAGGTCATCCGACGCTCCTGGCCACCAAATTGAGGGCAATTACTTCCGAACGGCGGGATGCAGAAAGCAGTCTGGTCGTGCAGAATGTTGAAGACGTAGGTGAATCAGTCGGCAAGATCCAGATCATAGGTCTTCACACAGAGAACCCTCTCATGATGTACAACGATCAGCTGCTTAGCTGCGAGTGGAATAAAACTATCGGCACGGACCTCATATTCGCTAAGCCTGGAGCTATCGTCGAAAAGGAGGGTAAAGCGTTGCGCTCTTTGCCGTCAGTGGATCTTGTTGCGATGGGTTCTGCAAAGCTCGTCGCGAGGGTTGCGCGAATGCGGCCAAGAGATGACCTTTTTGATGAGGATCCGAAAATTGGTGATCAGAGCTCTGCAGAAGCTATGGACACTTCTGGTGCCGTCGAACCAGTCGTTGCCCCAGACACAGCCGACGGGTTTGCACCTGCACCAGGAACGGCTACAGAAGCTCAACCGAGCGCTGAACCTGAGGTGCAAACTACTAGACCAGCGTCTTCGAGCTTCCTGGGACAGCTCAACGCCTTGAAGGCTAGACGTGGAGAGGCATCCCGTTTGGCCTTGTCCGACGCACCTGGCGGACCACGCCTTGTGGCTGCAGAGGAAAGTGCCAGTAATGCAGACACCGCAAACGAGGACATTACCATGAGCGGAATCTGAGCCTTGCCTGCCCTACGGAACCGCACTCGAGTCATCTCCGGGCTACTCAAAACAATAATCCTCACTGTAACTCCTATACGAGTCAACCCTCGGTATCCTTTGTCGCAAATCGAACCCGTCATCTTGCTGATGCTGTCGTCTCCTCGAGGGCGGCGTCAAAAAGATCATCTCAGTATCAGCATAATCCCCTCACAGAACCTGCGTACAGGTCTACCGTCTCCGCCGTGCCTTCACATTCTCTTTCACAGTCAGACCAGTTTCGGCGGATACACAATCCTGACGCTGCCAACGACAACATACAGGTCCAAGACACGACGATGATTGAAGTAAGAAACTTTTTGCAACAACAGGAGCGCGATACCTACTGGCTTTCTCCACGAACAATGAACGAGGTGAGTGTTCATGGCACCGTGGGGTCACTCATGACTTCCTCATCAATCAGGGTCTGACTAGAGTGCAGGACTTGCCATCTCACGAGAGCGCTGCTGCACCGCTCGATCCTTCACTTATTTGCGCGATCAAAGACCTCCCTGAGACTGAAGCGTTTGCTATTATAGTGGAGTATGTCGCTATACAACTACTCGCTTCCTGTTATACTTTGCTGCCAGCATCGAGCGCCGAGATTCTCCCTCTGAGTCAGCAAAGGATGGGTAAGTGGCAGAATGTACTATGCTGCGAGCTGTGAGTTACCTAGGCTAATCTTTGGACAGGTAGCAGGGTGGTCACTGCGTGAGTAGTGGCAGCATGCCTTTTGATGTGCATCAAAACACTCACTCTACGATTCGTCCAGGCTGCGTCTACACACCCTTCATCGTCTTGCCCCGGCGGCGGGCCATCACGCAAGGATAAACTCTGAAAGCTCCCCATGACCGGGACTGTACAACGGGGTTTCTAGGGAAGACGAGCTCGCGGAGACTGTTTCACGACGGCGCCGACATGCCGTAGACGCACCCAGCGATGGATGCCGTCGTTTTCTGCAAGGCTCGATTTCCAATGAACAAGCGGATAGAGCCGGTCAATAGCATGACGGCACAGAAGACAGCTGTGCATCCCCCGCAAGCACTTCTCCATCGAACCTACCACCGTGGACTAGACTGATGACAAAGTGCAACCCTACATCATCTCACAGTGAGTGTGCCTTTTGAACAGCGCCGACTTGACAGTGATTGTTTTTCTTTTCCAGAGCGCAAAAGGCCGTCAATTATCTGTTCATGAGGGTCTCGCAATGACGAGACTAGACTCAAGAGCATCAGAAGAATCCTCTCAACCAGCCCCTCAACTCACGTCTCGACTCAATATTTCCAGAACATCAAGCCCTGGTAGCAGATTCAAGATACCTACAGCTGTGCGCTCTCGCCACGCACAATCTGACAACGACGGACCCCCCGGAAGCTTTGGTGACTGAAGAAATGAAGACAACTGCTTCTAACAGGAACAGCTGTGGTTCTACGACCAATATTCCTGGAGCGTTTCCTTTCCAGATTCCCGAAATACGGCGAATTTCTGCTTCGACTACTAGATAAGCATCTAATGGAACCGCGGCACGAGCACAACCGCGGTTAAGGAGCGAACTTTTTGCGGAATGGCCGTCAGCATTCAATGCAATGGAAAGAGGTCAGTCAGATACGAATTGCCAGCCTGCTACCGATGGCTTATCACCCTTCGATGTCTCTAGCCCTGCGCGCGCGAGTAGGAGACGAAGCAGCGACTTTAGTACAACACTGCCGACAACCGAAGAAGAGACATCGAAAGCTAGTAGCCTTTCGGGGCCATCGGGCTCGCAACGGATCAGGGAATCGGACGAGGATTCCTGTTCCTCGGACGATAGCAGATGTTGCGAACGCAAGAACAGGAGCAGGAGCGTAGTTGGTAGCGCTGCCGAGAAGGTCATCGCATTCTCTGCCGAATTCCCAAGGCGGTCAACAGAAGCAAGCCTAGAAGAGGGTCGCAGTGGTAATTTTTAATTTCCTGTTGTGTTAATCGACGCATGCATAACTCAGCGCGTGCAAGCGGTGCTTCTTTCGGTGCTTTTGGTCTCTGCTATCGTGGGTGGGCGACTGGCCAGAAGCGTTGCGCGTCCCCGTCACTCTGGACGCGTAGGCAAGTCTTAGCGAAGCGTTGAACCAGAGCGTCATCTGTCGGCTCCAAACATTAATTTCCCTGTCTCGATTGAACATGTTCGCAGCTGAACGCAGCGATTACCATCACCTGGAGCCTCGGACCACGCGTGATCCCGAAGCTTACCTACATCGTCGGCGTGATAGATTTTCAAGATCATATGCCGTCATTCATACATATTGCGGATGTTTAGTTGCACTTTATGCCCCTTGCAGCCAAGGGCGAAAACGCCGCCTAAGTGAAACGCGTCACTAGCCCATTATTGCGCCTTCCCGCCCATCTCGGAGCAGCAACCACCCCACTGAACTCGCACGTTGGATGACCCTGAAACCAAATCATCGCGCTGGTCCCGAACTTTTCCGTTTGCACCATGCTGCCCTTAACTCCAATGCTCCCCAAACGCCCTCCACGGTGAAGTCGACCTCATCCACGGTGGAGCTCCCGCGCCTTATCCACCGCGCAACAGCATCATGCTTGCTGGACCGCCCCGCCTCGTCTCGCTCGTTTCCGTCCTGGTCCTGTTTATCCTAGCGTGGAGCTTCCTGCGACTCGACAGCGCACCGCACTCCTCATTCCGATTCGGCAAGATACTGAGCTCGACATCTCCAAGCTCTTCGCTGCGCGGCGATCCGCTTGACTTCGGCATTCCATTGCGCTTCAAAGATGGGGAGCCGAAGCCGACGGGCACAAATTATACGTGGTCCATCGTGATCCCAAAGACGAAGAAAGAGGACCTTAAATGGCTGCGGGGAGAGATACCGGAGGCAAAGTTGGTGGTATACGAGGTCGACAATCCGAATGCTGAATATAAGATTCCCAAAAACAAAGGCAGAGAGGCTATGGTACGTGAGCAAACACGAGAATTCAACCCCGGCACTTGCGCCCACCAATTGGGGACAATGTGGCTGATCCGAAGCTCCGTCTAGGTCTATCTCACGTACATGATTGACCAATACGATGACCTGCCCGATACCACAGTTTTCATGCATGCGCATCATCATGCGTGGCACAACAATAACCTGCTCATGCAGGATGCGCTGGGTATGCTCAAGCGGCTGAACCACGACCGAGTTGCGCGAATGGGCTATATGAACGTGCGATGCCATCACGAGCCCGGGTGCCCCGACTGGATCCACATGGACCGACCAGGTGGTGATTTCGACTTCTTCCGCAAGCCGGAGGAGATACACTGGCGCAAGAGCATCTGGGAAGAGATCCACCCGGGCGCACCCATTCCCTCGTCACTCTCCGGCGTTTGCTGCGCGCAATTTGCTCTCAGCAGAGAAAGAATTCGCCAGGTGCCCATCGAGCGACTGCTACACTACCGCAAATGGCTGCTGCACACGGGCATGGACGACACCTACTCGGGCCGTGTCTTCGAATATATCTGGCACTACATCTTTACGGGCCACGAGGTCTACTGTCCCGCACAGAACACATGCTACTGCGACGGCTACGGCATCTGCTTTGGCGGGCGCCAGAAGTACGAGGAGTATGAAAACAAGCAGAAGGAACGCGACAAGTTGTTCACAGAGTTTGACGCCATCATCAAGAAATCAGACAAAGCGAAGGAGGAGGGCAAGAAAGAGCCTGCTCTTACGGAGGATGAGACGAAAGAGCTGGAGACGTTGACCAAGATGATACCGGAGATTGATCGGTGGTTGGAGGGGAAGAGGAAGGATGCGTTTGAGAGGGGCGAGGATGAGGCGAATCGCAAGGAGGAGAGGGAGTCGTATGATAGTAGCCGGATTTGGGACTACGGACCGCCTGCCGGTTTGGTGTCGTGAGATGGAGTACATCTGTAGTAATGACTGCACGAGGATGATTCTTCTGTATATATTACTGGTGGCGCGATAGAATACATATGGGCTTCCAGCCTTCCCTTCGACTTCGAAGCTCAGATCCTGGATACACTGTCTACAGACCTGAGGGTTGCAGAGCACGCGGTAACGCGAGACGGGCAGGTACCTTAGCACCCTACTTGCGCAACCAGCCCAGCGCCGCTTTCTCTATTCTTTACTGCACCACTTTCACTTTCACTTTAATTTTCACTCTTACTGTCACTCCAAGCTTCGCTGTGGATTCGCTCCAGCTCAACTTTCCAGCTTGTTGGCTTGCTGTCCTGTCCAAAGTGGCAGCCTCAGCAACGCCTGCCACTGCCCGAAATGGCCTGGCGGCTCTGCGATACCTTGTACCTGCAGCGGGAGCGGACAGCCACTATTCGCTATCGCGATGTCAACACGATCTTGCGCTGTTGCTCTCGTCGTCGCATGCGAACTGAAGTTCACTGCTCATAAACTCGCGTCTTCCCGTTCACTAGCGCAATGGTTGCGCTATGAGGATGCAGGTGTGCCCCAACCCGGTGCGATTGCTGCCCATTCTGTCAGCTTCACCTGTTTATCTGCGTTTGCAAGGAGGAGAAAAGCTGTTTGAGCGCGACGCCTGCTCCCCGCGCCGCGTCGTGCGTTTGCCTTCATCTCCCATGGCTGCCTGACGATTTGACTCACAGTCCGCTCAACAACTTCGGCTTTGCACTTCTGTCTTTGCTATTGCTCGTCTTCGCAACTCGCACCGCAGTGTCCGTAACGACGCGTCAGAAAGGACTTCATTTGAAAACTTTCAATGTCACACGTTTCCGCCGAGGGCGGCAAGAAGCTTCGATCACGGAGTCCTGCTGTGGTGATACCTAGATCCACCTCAAGTACAACATTGTTCACAGACGAAGGCCACTTCCCCCGGCATTACGACAAAGCATGGACGCACGCCGTACGTAGAGTATCGGAAGCGGAGGCAATTAAGTCGTTGAAGGTGAGCCCCGTTTCGAGTCGTTATAACAATTAAAGAAGCTGACCCACGTAGGCTGCCTTCAGTGCTTTGCAACATGACGCACACCTTAAGGATGGCAACAGGGGCGAGAAGGAGCCGCTTTATATCGATGCCACAGACTATGAAATATACACCAAGCCAGAGACCAACTTTATTGGAGAACTCCACTCGCTAGATTTCATGGACGTAGCTGGAAAGAAGCTCTTGTTCAGCGGCGTACTATCGATTGGAGCCACGCGACACTACGTTCAAGGCATCCCTATAAAGAGCTACTCGATCGAAGGTTACGGCGTGGACGACGACCCCAATGCAATAGTCTACATTGTTTCGCACGACGCCAGCAACGACCGCACGCACGACATCTGGTACAGGTTAGGCGTTCCAAGTCGACCGTACAAACGCTTTCAGGACGCTTTCCAATGGATAGCAACATTCGGTAAACACACCATGGACTTTCTAGAAGACAACGAGCGCGTTATTTTAGCGGACTTCCGGCAAAATTTTGACAGATGGCTTCAGCAGCGCTTTCCAGAGCATCCAGATGTCGGCAAATGGCGTAAGACCTATGGGTCGACCGACTTCCGAAAGATACTCCATGCATACATTCCGTACATGTGGTCGGAGGCTATGTGCCTGAGAGAGGATTCGCTGCTAAATCATCCGCTGTGGAAACAATGCGAAAGGTCCGACGATGACATGATCGAACCGAAATGCGAGAAGACAGTTGCGACTCCACAGGTCTATGAGTGTTTCAAGAACAGGTACTTCGCGGGACAAATCATGGGAATGATGCCATCCAGCGCCGTCCTCGAAGCTCGCGAAACCAGACTCAGAACGCTTGGGCTACCTTCGAAGAGGCATCCGATCTCTTCTGCCAGACCATCACATGCAAATCAACAACGCAACAGCTTTGAAATTGGCGATGTGGTTTGTATAGCCCCGGACGAGTTCGAGAACCAGATGTGGCGGAAGCAAGCCAAGGACGCGGCCACCGTCCACGAATGGATTGGGTATGTTCAGCGCGTCATATCTTTATCGAATGGACGTCAACGCCTGTACGTAATCTGGTTATATAGACCGGAGGACACGACGATCAGCACAACCGATTATCCCGTCACAAAGGAACTCTTCATGTCTGACAATTGCAACTGTCAAGAACATGCACTTCTGTCTTCAGAAATAACAAGAAGATCTTCTGTAGAGTGGTTCTCTAGAGCGTATAGCACGCGCAAAGAGTTCTTGGTTCGTCAGAAATATGAGATGGGGACGAGCTCATTTGTGACATTGAAGGACACGGATTTCCAATGCAGCTGTCAAGGATCTCGTTCAACATCAAGACCAATTACCCCGACATACAACCGCGGAGACACGGTCTATCTGCGCCAGAAGGATGTCTTAGAACCTGTTGTTATTGAAGCGATAGACATAACAATGAAGCAAATCACAATACGACGCCTCGAACGACTACGCAAATTCGTACTAGAGTCAATCTGCGACATTCCCCAGCGGAGAATAGCCGCTAACGAATTAATATGGACAGAAAAATTCGAATCCGTAGCACTTTCCAGCATTGAAGGTAGGTGCTACGTACGCTTCTTCACGCCAGAGGACATGGCAACTAGTCGCGTACCATTTCCTTACGACCAAGCAGGCACCGGCCATTGTTGGACACTCTCGATTGGGGTCGGCTCTGATGGACACACGCTTAAAGATCTGAGCACCGCACCATGGCAATTGCGCGAAGGGCCAGATTATGCCCCAATGGACCCGTCAAAAAAGCTTCCGGGACTGAGCCTCTTCAGCGGTCTGGGTAATTTGGACAAGGGACTGGAAGCCGGCGGCGCGGTGCACTTTCACACTTCTGTCGATATGAATGGTCGCGCTATACAAACCCTACGAGCCAACACCGAAGACCCCGACAAGCTGAACCTATGGTTTGGCTCTGTTGACGATTATCTGCACGCTTTACTTTCCGGCGACTCACCGCATATGAACCTTGTCGCAAAGATTGGAAATGTGGGAGTGATAGCTGGGGGAAGTCCCTGTCCAGGTTTCTCTAAGCTTCAACAGAACTGGTTGAGTGAGCAGTCGCTGAGAAACGCTGCACACGTAACCACTTTCGCTTCATTTGTGGATATATATCGACCTGAGTACGGGTTTCTTGAGAATGTTGTCAATATGGGGGTAACGCGCAAAGGTTTTGAGGAAGAGCTTGTCCTTTCACAGCTTATTGGATGCTTAGTGTCTATGGGGTACCAGGTGCAGCAATTTATCATGAGCTCATGGCACTATGGCAGCCCTCAACATCGGAATCGACTCATCCTATCTATCGCAGCACCTGGGCGAACACCGCTTGCGCCGCCACGCGCAACGCATGGCGACCCTGATGGTTTCAAGAGTAAGAGTGTAGGGAGACTTCTAAACGGAGAGAGATTTGGAGTCCAGGATTCTCAAGCCACACCATTCCCACAGCATGTCACGCCAGGGGAGAAACTGGCACATCTGCCAAACATTGGGTGCGGCGTTATGCATCCTTGTATAAGCTCCCCGGACCATGTATTGCGATGTCGGCCCAACATAAGAGAGAGGAGATGCATGGCCCACGTCCCGACCGATCCACCTGGTGTAGGTATTGAGTACGCTGCAAAGCGTGGACTCGTACCAAAATACCTGTATGAGACGAGAAGCGAGATAAGCAGCAAGTCCTACAGACGCATAAACAAGGACGGTTTGATCGGCACAATCGTCACAGCCCCCTCACCACATGACTCTCGCGCTGGACCTTTCGTACATTGGCAACAGAATCGATGCATCACACTCGAAGAAGCGCGGCTTGCGCAGGATATACCTGCTGAAGAAGTTATCATAGGCAATGTTAGTGATCAGTACAAGATGGTCGGTAACGCCGTCGACAGACGCGTGTCGAAGGCCTTGGGGCTTGAACTCCGGAGAGCAGTGGACTGCGACGCGCACAGAGCGGCTACAAAGAAGCGATCTGTATCCGTGGTCATCAATGTCAGGAGACAAATTCATGTCAAAGCAGCAAGACCATCTACAGAAGGCCAAACACATAAGATTGTGCCGTCTAGCATCAAAGAGGATGTTGATGCGCACGATAAATCCGACGACAGCCGCACGATCAGTGAAACGGAAACAATCGCTAGTTCTAGGTCCCCTACACAGATTGACTTCCTTCGGAGCACATTTAGCGGCAGTCGCAGCAAGTTGAACACTACCCGACATGTCGAGGACGAGGAGGAGGACGCAGCCGATGGTCTCGGTCCAAGAGGTCATAAAAGAAATGTCCACGTGCCGATACCGAACGGCGCAACGATACCACGGAAAGCAAGCCAAAGTACTGAACTCGAGACGCAACTTGAGCGAGAGTACGGTTTCGATCTTCGTGTGAAGCCTGGTTGGGTTGTAGGCGAGGATGATGTGATCCCCGAGTTCGATGATACTCCAGCAACGCTTGCAGTAAGCCGCAACGGCTTTCCAGAGCATCTGTTAAAGGCACTCTCTGCTTCAACACCCTCAGAATATGTATCATATCAATCAATCTATGATATTCCAGAGTCACCCAAATCTACAGCATCAGAGCTGCCAGTACGAAGGAAGCGATCACGAGATCAAAGCGAGGCAAACAGCAACGGCAGCATACCTAGCCGGTCCGAGTCGAGTTCAAAGAAACACAGGGAGGAATATGGCGAGCCGAGGGTCAACGATCGCGCGTCAATAGGATCCAGGAAAGCACGCAGCTCAACAAAGCTTGAAAAACAACATGATGCATCCCGCAAAACGCGCCACTCGGGCTTGGGGCTGGGATTTGTACCTCAAAGTTGGCACAAGAGGGTGGAGATGGACGTTGAGACGAAACCTGAGGTGATCGGAATGCCCAAGTCGAGATCTTACCCTTGATTAAGGCGTGGTATTCCCCTCAGGTGCAATGCTAGCGTCTGTGGTGGCTCTTCTAGCAAGACAACGCAGCGCGGAGGACTTGTGGGGAACCATGGGCCTTGTGCTTTGTATATTTGTAGCCATTTACTCGAAGGCTTGCGACATACTTTGTGAAGCTCTTCACTATTCATCCAGCGCGTTGCCGACGCTGTGATTGTTGGTAGGTGATTACCTCATTTAGTTTAGTGCCAAAATTAGCAAAATGTCCCACCATGAACACAAAAAGTCATTCAGCTTCGAAGCTTTCGCGACAACCGCAATTACCAAACATGGAGTTCACCAAAATCCAAGAGATCGAGCTCCCGGCTGCATTTGATGCGCACGTCCACCTCAGAGATGGGGAGATGTCGCAGCTCGTCACGCCCACGATTCGACAGGGTGGTGTGAATCAGGTGTATGTCATGGTATGATTTCTCGCTTCCCCGCATACTCCACCTTCGTCGCGATTGTATTGCTTTGTACGTCTCGGACTGTTCGACTCGCAATACTGACGCATCTTCGCAGCCGAATTTGGTGCCGCCTGTTACAACGGTACAACAATGTCTGGAGTACCGTGACCGGCTGAGGGCCATCGAGCCTAATGTCGACTACCTCATGTCGCTTTACCTGCACGAGTCCGTCACGCCTGAAGTCATCCGCGAAGCAAAGAAAGCTGGCATCACGGGCGTCAAATCTTACCCGGCCGGCGTAACAACGGTACGTCCCTCCACCTCTTATCTCGCCCATGTTCTAACCCCATGCAAAGAACTCCTCCTCCGGCGTCATCTCTTACGAGCCCTTCTACCCAGTCTTCGCCGAAATGGAAAAACAAAACATGGTCCTCAATCTCCATGGCGAAGTCCCCTCCACCCCGTCCCACGCGCACGCCTCAACCTCCAAGGACCAGGCCATCACCATCCTCAACGCGGAACCCGCCTTCCTCCCGACGCTAAAGTCTCTCCACGAGAAATTCCCCACCCTCCGCATTATCCTCGAACACTGCAGCACGGCCGCCGCCCTCGCCGCAGTGCGCGCCTGCGGCCCTGCTGTTGCGGGAACCATCACCGCGCACCACCTCTCCCTCGTCATCGACGACTGGGCCGGCGACCCCTTCTGCTTCTGCAAGCCCGTAGCCAAGACGCCTGAGGACCGCGATGCACTCCTGCAAGCTGTGGTGCGTAGCGAGGGGAGGTTTTTCCTTGGGACGGATTCTGCGCCGCATGATCAGGGGAAGAAGAGGGGTGAGGATAAGGTGGCTGCGGGGGTTTTTACGCAGACGAATGCTGTGGCGTATGTGCTTGATGCTTTGGAGAAGGGTGTGGAGAGGGGGGTCATCGAGGAGAAGGAGGTCAGTCAGGAGGGGCTGGAGGGTTTCTTGGGGAGGTGGGGGAGGAAGTTTTATCAGGTCAAGGACGAGAGGGGCGAGAAAGTTGTGTTGAGGAAGGGGCAGGCGAAGGTGGTTGAGGTGTTGGAAAAGGAGGGGGTTAGTGTGAAGATTGTGCCGTTCAGGAGGGGAGAGACTACGTGGAGTGTTGAGTGGAAGTAGACAACCGGTGTGTTTAGGGCTACAGCGCAAGCTAGAACATTAGCACGCCGACATAGTTGCAGGATTCATAATATACCTCCAGCAGTCAGCGCAGCCCTTACTCACCCTCCATCAAAAATCGCATACACCTCCACCCACAAAAATATCATACCCCTTACATTTATCCAAACTTCTTGCAAACTCAAATAGCCTTCCTCTTCTCCCCTTATCACTCCCTGGCCAGTCTTCCTCGTATACCTCTCCCACACTCTCCCCACCAACAACCACCTCTTTCCTCGGCCGACACTGTCCGTTCCGCAATCCACGAAAGAATTCCTTGCCTTCAATTCTGGCTTCTTGATGCCCACCAAGACCGACCTTGCTCCCGAGGCGTTCCTGACGGATCCACTGTAGCCGGATCGCTTGGGATACACTGACGTGCCGGAGCCTTTTGCGCCCGTGGCATGGTGTTTCTTTGCTTCTGCCGTGGCCATCGACTTTCTGCGGCATTTTGGCCGCACTCAATGTATATAGCTCCGAGGAAAACTTATGCTGAAAGAGCATATGAGAGGTGTCGCACACGCGACAGTCCCATGTTCGGAGGTTCTTGCCATTCAGCCTGGAAAGTCCTAAGCTGCAGATTGAAATGTATGCAAGCTTCTGGACGAGTTTCATGTCCCCAGTTTGGTTCGATCCTCTCATGGCCTCTGCTGGTTGCGGCGCCGAGGTATCAGACATGGACCAATTTGCATGCGTATTGGGAGATGTCATAGACGAGATCTTCTCATTGCTAATCAGGACTCTCGCCCACTTGCTCCAGGGTCAGTTTGGAAGGAGAACAAGATGTCTTCTGTCAGATATGGGATCAGATAAGACATGTAGCTGCTCTACAAGATGCCATGGCTGAAAGTCGATATGTGCGGGAACACGGACTTCCTAGCACCGATGCTGACCGTGTGTGGCGACCCGATGGAACTGGATATGTCCTCCAACAGCGTTTCCTTCTTCCTTGCGACCTCCTAAGCACCTCTTCTTCGGAAATTAAGCGTAGTACGGAATCAGCTAGCTCACAACCTTCAATGGCGAATCTGGCGACTATTCTCCCCAGGAAACGGTGGATGTACGTCGTTAACGGACACTCTAGGATTTCTTCGAATAACCGAATCATAGCGTGAGCTTAATGAGCCAGCATCTATCCACCGGGAGTGTCCCTGCTGTCATGAAGAGATATGAGCTTCAAGTGCTACGCTTAGGAACCCCTTAAGCTCTCAACAACGACACAGTAGGAGCCGATCGGGATTCAGAGTCTACTGACTACTCTCCGTTCATTCCTTACACTGATGTGTGACAACTCTGAGAATTGGTCGTTACTGCATCACTAGAGTTTTCATCGTCAAAAAGCGGATGGCGACCATTGATCATTGACACTAAGCGGCCAGAACTAGCTGTTTCTGCCATCTCAGTTGCATAACAGGGGGCATACAGTTTTAGATCCAAAGTACGGCATGGGTGCCGTCTAAATTCGCCCGACACAAAGGTTGCTTTTCCCTCTTGGTTGTTGATCTCCTCTTTGACTTTGATCTATCGTGGTATTTGAGAAGGGTAGTTTAGCTGGTTCATATCTTGCAGTTGAAGAACAAGACTTGCTGTGCTTGCGTCTTCATAATTGTATGGTATCATCATTGATTAGGCTGAAGACCGTGTAATCACTATCACATTGCGAATGCGATCTCAGTCAGGAGTGTTTGATGTCCCTCACGCGTGATCTTCTTCGGCCCAAATATACGGCCGATGTCGCCGCTCACACCGGCGGTCCCCTCTCTACATCCTGCAAAGCACGACCATGTATGATCTTAAGTGTCCTCCTAACCACCGCGATCCGGCAGATTGCGTTCTTTTACCTCTTCCTTTAGCAGCGACCATACACCCCAGAATCACTACCTCATGATTCCATCTAGATCTCTCTCCCTACCTTTCCAACTCACATCCCGAAATCGTGCAAATCAGTTTTTCTTTTTTTCAGCTAAAACTCACCCCAGAAAGAGCGACGTTCTTCGCCTATGTCATACCCCTCCATCCTGCCGGCTACCCGACCCGCGCGCCCCACACCCCCATCCGACACGCACGCGCGCGCCAACAACCAGGCTGGCATCATGCGCCTAAGCCCCATACACCGCAGATCGCACCCCAATCGCACTGACAAGCCGTCCATGACAGGGAATAGCAGCTAGCACTGCTGGCATATCCCGCGATGATGTAGTACTAGAAATCACAACACCATCCTGCGCGACTCGCAAAGGTGAACGTCCTCGCATATACTTACCGCGCATATACTTCGAGATTGATATCGAGGAAGTCAAAAGGGAGGCAAGATGTATCACACCGACACGCAGGTTTTCCAGCGGCTACACTCGTACCCGCAGTCTCCGCAGGTACAGACGACGAGGGAAGAGCCAAAATCGACCATGGCGCCGGATATCGGGGGTGCGATGGAGAGGGAGAAGAGGGCGGTTGAGGGGATTAGTGCTGGGAAGGCAAGCGATAGAGGTATGTGGTTTTTGTGATGAGGAAGAATCGTTGGGCTGATGCGTTGGTATAGAAGATAAACATACCGCTGAGAAGGTCGCGAAGAGGGTGCCGTGAGCGTTCAACATGCACTCTGGTTCTAGGAGAAAGAAGTCGTACATCACACGCGTTAATCTGGAGTTTTGGAAGATCATCAACGTCGTTTCCATTCCGTACGTTTCTGCCAATAAAAATGATATCAAAGTTTTATAATGCATTTCACAACAACCATGAAGGGTATGCGCGTTGCACATGCACCAGAGTCGCCGCTTCAAAAGAAAAGGGGGTATAGCTCGTGGGAAGAAATCATAAATCGCGCCTGTCCCTGGTAATGCAAATGCCAAAGCGCGCCCTCCATGCCATGTACATGCCGTATGTTCCATCATGGGTATCGTCGTAAAATGCCTCCGGTATGTATCATGCATGGCGACAAGCGCCTGTGTGCTGTATGGAAAAAATAATATGGTGTAATATGTTGTGTACGGTTAAGCGTCTCACTCGCGCTTCTGGGTCTTAGCTCTCTTCGAGGTTTCTTGGAGCGCAGTAGCGATGGACTCGCGCGTGCGGTTACGCTTCAGCTTGGCGCGCGCTTGCGAGGAGAGGCTGCCGCTGGTGGTGCTCTGCCGCTTCTGTCTGCTTGTGCGGCCGGTTGGCTCGCCTTGCTCGGTAAGGGCCTCGAGGGCGTTCGCCGGGGTGTTGAAGCCGCTGCCACCGCCCGCCGTGGCGGCGGAGCTTCCTGCAGGGATCTCTTCCACGAGACGATCGGCGAGTGCCGCATCGTATTCGCGCTCAGAAGCGATAACAGTGTGTGGGTCCATTCGGCGGGCAGTCGCAAGAAGGTCGATCGAACCATCATCAGAGTCGTCTTCATCGTCCCCTTCAGAAGACGAGTCCCCAGACGCGTCCGAAAAGTCTCTCTGTACGGATGAAACATTGAGGAGATGGAGCGCGGTGGCCGGAACATTCTCTGAGGAGCTCGTACTCGAAAGGCTGGATGACACATTGGACTCAAGGTCTGAGTCCACGTCCCCAGATGAAGTCGAGTCGAAAGGGAGGAAAGAAGCCGGGGGGAGTGCCGAATTTGGCAAGGTTCTACGAGATGCAGAAATTATCTCTTCCTTGATGACACTCTGTTGTTGCTTCGGCGAAGTTGGATTGTCTTCCTGAGTTGGACTCTCGTTCAGAACGTCCAGGATCTTCTTCGGGTATAGCGACGACCTGTGGCGAGCAGCTACCACACTGGTTGGGGCAGCCTGCTGTTGCGAGCGACGCACGCGGATAGAGAAATTGTCCTCTGGGTGCACTCCACCCAAGCCGGATGCTTCGAAATCCATTACGTCGGGACTTTCCGTGCCATTGTCATCATTCAGTGCGTCCGGCGAGAAACTGAATTCTTCGCTACTTGATGCAGTTTGGCTGCCATCCTTAGAATCGATGTCCATCATGGTGGTCTCTAGCGGGCCGCGGCGTTCCATGACACTGGAAGACTGTATGAGCCGTCCTGGGTGAGAGGTGGGGACTCCAATAGGATGACTCGTGATGTTCTGATAAGAATCTGAGGTGTGACTCGCAATGCCACGACTATCTCCGGTAAGATCGGTACAGAACTTTGCTTTGCTGTAGAAGATGATGGGTCCATCATTTCGACGTCTCTTGGATGCAGAGCTTTGCTTAGCCGAGCTGCCGAGACCGGAAGAGTCGCCGGCTTGCTGGACCTGATATGGGGAGTTGCTTGAAGAATTCATGTCGAGCCCATACGAGTCTTCTTCATCATCGGAGTCATCCTTGTGGAAGAATAAAGGTGTATAGGAAAATTGGTTTCGTTCCTTCTCCTTTTGCTTGCGAGCGAGTCGTTGCGCGACACGCTCGGGATTCATTGAGAGGTCCGAACTGCCACTTCCACCCGTTTTGGCGAACCTGTGAGGTGATTTACTGTTGCCATACCCGTCGGGTGGAGAATTGCCTTGGTACTCTGAACTGGACCCAGTACTGCTTAAAGTGACATCTGTACCGCCTCTCCATCGGATTTTGCGACCGTCGTGGGAGAGCTCGAACAAAGAGCTGTATTCGGAGACAGCATCTTTGACGAAATCAGGAGTAACGTTCAGTGTGTGGAGCTGCGCCATGTTGATCAAAAGATTGAGATATATCCACCCGTGATCATCTTCTGGCGAACCCTCAGACATCATGTTCGGTGGAGTAAAGCCAAGGTGTCGAATGTAGTCCATGTTGTCGGAGGGAACCTGTGCACGGTAGATATCGAGGTCGAGCGGCCTGGTGGGCCGCTGGTCAGGGGATCCGGAGCCGGCGAAATCTTGTTCGTTAATTTGGAGGTTCAGGCGTGATTTCTGCAGAGCTTCTTGATGTCCAGAGATGTCTTCGTCATCCGCCCGTACAGGCATAATGCGAGCTTCACGGTGACCCTCTGTTTTGGAACGCTGTCCTGCTGCTTCATTGGCACGGCGATCGGCCGTGGCAGCTGATTGGGCGACTTCCTCTTGCTGCATCGGTTGTGGATGGTTGCCAGGTGCCGATCGCTTCCCCGCAAAAATCTGCTCCAAGCGACGCACCACCAATTTCTTCTTTGACTTGTCGCTCATGGGCGCGTGGTGGCTCTTTGGCAGCAATCCACGGGGAATATCATGCAAGTACGATTGTATTGTCTGTTGCTGCTGGTTGTAGTTCATTTTCGTCAAGCGGCGTTGGTCCCAGTCTGTATTGGATGCGGTGTTTGAGGGTTGATTTGATCGAGCCGAATTCGAATTGTGTCCGGACATGGACGCGTAGCCAGACTCGGTGAAACGGGACGCGCGCGAAGAAGCGGTCTTCTGGTTCTCGAACATCGCTGGGTGCGTAGAGACAGCGGGGTAGTCCTGCTCCGACTTGCTGTCCATGTCGGCGGCAAACTTACGCAGAGTTTCCTCGAGCTCTCGCTTCTTGTGATCAGGAAGGCCATGGAAGCGCACCTCGAAGAGCTTCTCGTCCTGTAAGTGTGAATCATGCAGCTTTTCGTACTTCCTCAGCTTCTGCTTCAGTCTCTTATTTGCAACAGTCAGGTCATCGATAACACTCCGAAAGTCTTCAACACTTTCATTGTTCATGTTCCCTATCCCGGGACGATACGGCATAGCGGCAGTCGTGTGCTGGTACAAGTGGTCGAACGCTTGACCATCGGGAGGGGTTTCGGACGGGGACGAGTTGCGCAAGAAGAACGGCGGATCATCTGGATCGAGCGTTTAGACCAGTCTCTAAATAGCCACAGGCGATACTTACTGTCGAGGTTGTTGTTACTCTGCACCGCATTGTTGGTGTTCTCGAACCACTTTCCGGCGTCGCTGCTCTCTCCAGAGCTGTTCTTGTTGGACTTGACCTGGGGAGAGACGCTCGACGGCGGGTTCGCCTTATCGCTTGCGCCCACATTGGGAGAGCTCACGGCCGTGGCCTGGGGGTTGTAGAAAGTAGGCGCTTTAGGAGGGACGCCGCTCGCAGGCGGGCTATGGCGAAGGGAGACAGACTGGTGTGCGGGAGGCCGGCGTGGGTGGGGCGTCGCTTGCGGAATCGTGCCCGGGGGATCGTCCATGTTGTCTCTTGGTATTAAAGGATTTCGCTGACTATGAGCAGGACATGCTCCGGTTCCTTCTGCGAGGGAAGGCCCCGATTGCTAGATGGTACTTCAAGGCGAGCGGAATCGGGCCAAAGAGGCGGGTCGGCGTCAAGAGCAGGTGGGCACGGCTCGGATAGGCACGCTTGTATCAAACGAGCTTGCTGCGGGTTCTATGCTGTATGAAACAGGGTAGCAAAGGAACAGGAGCAGCGATGTGGAGGAAAGCGACTTTGGGCACTCGAATGGCTGGGGCCGCGGACGCCGGTTGCATGGGATCGATGATAAAGTCGGAAGATCAGACGCGGCGCCCCAACGGCGGGCGTGAGGGCAGCAAGAGGCTCCCATGATGTGAATGGGACCTTGGTTGTGGGCTGTCAACGATTTCCCTACGATTTCAAGATGCCAAGACTGGTGCTCCAGATCGGACCTGTGAGCTCGCTTCTGATCCGCGAAAGCAGGTGGCGTTCCTGGCCTGACTGCAGCAGGGCTAACCGGCCTAGACCATCGACCGAGATGCATCGACGATGGCTCGTTGGGTCTGCAACACCTCACGCCGCCCCTTCTGTGCACAGAGTCCCCCGATGTCAGGCGCAATCGGTGATCGTGCATCTTCGTTGCCTCAGGGTCCGCTCGCGCATCGTCGTCGACGGACAGCCAGAACAAGAGAGCGCCGAACATTCCACCACATTCAGCATCAGCACTGCAAACCATGCGCGAGCTCCGGGTCCTCAGTCCAGACTCGCGCTCTGGTGTTCTACGCGACAGCAACAACGGGTCGACCCGCCGCACAGGCTGGGAGAAGACTTGGCCCTGTGGCGGACTTCGATGCCATCCAATCACCGTGCTGATTTCTTAGTTTACGAGTCGGCGAAACCAGCCTCCGAGGCCCCACGAGATGACCTCATGCGTCCACGACTGCCGGACACGCTCGCGGGCGCTGGACCCTGAGGCGTCAATATTGGTTCTATTGGTCTGCGCGGCTGTTGGAATGCTGACTTTGCTGCAGCGATCGCGGCTTGTGGTGTGCATCTTGGTCTTGTTCCGCGTGCCAAAGACCCTGGATAATTCCTACGGCTGAGTCCTGCGGACCAATAGCAGGCGGAGCGCATAGGATCACGATTGCTTGCAGCAGCGGACAGGCGTATGCTCCAACATACTACGTCATTCGACTCCATCGACTTCGATTTTGTGTGTGTGGCCTTGATCTTCGCTTCCCCGAGCTTCGTATCCTTTCCATGGCGTGACGCCGTTGCTGCTGCGCTCTGAGATCAGCAAGGATAAATCGGAATAGAACATGCAACTCGAAGGAGAATCAGTGCCGAGTAGATGTCTGTGTTGGACCATTTGGATAGTTGCTATGTATTGGTGTGTCTCTAGATTGCTCACCATAGGACACATCGTGTCTGTGACGGCTAGGCACTAGACATGGCACTGCCACGTGTACCTTCTAAGAAAAATGGCCTGATTAAATACAGGGTGAAACCTAAGACCATCGGCGATGTAAGAGCAACCGTGGCGCCATATTGATTGAAGCGCTAGAGGGCGACAAGGTGGTAATCAATGCCGAAGCCTCTCGTTCATCCATGTGGAACATGATATAGTACAGAAAACGGACATTGCGGGATCCTTCCACGTTCATGTAGAAAATGATGCGAAGCATGTACAAGCTAGCGTTGTACAGGGCTACGCGGTTTGTCAAGGTCGCGGTAGTCATCGTCTCATCGCCGATGCATCAATCAATGACTGGAAATGCGATGTCGCCCAACTTGGAACAGTCCAAGGGTCTGGACCCCTCAGACGCGCATTCCCTTGCTCCTGAGCACGTTGACGGCGGAGTGTGCCGTGTAGTCGGCCCATTCAGACAGGGCTCCAATGAATCCTCCCATTTTCATGACATCCCCCAGCCTCGAGTCCAAGAACTGTTCGGTCTCGATGAAGTCCTTGGATTTATCCTGGGTCATGAATACTTCAGTTGCTGAGTATATTGCGGATAGGCTAGCACGTTTGGTATACCAGCTGCTATCGACACTCTCGTCGCCAGAAAGATACCAGATTTCGTCGGCTAGGCGAGCTAGCTCGGCGAGAGAGGTTGGCGCGTACGAAGGTTGTCCCATTACTGCAAGAGCCTGCGGCTGTCAGCTGCATGTCTTTCGTGTACCTCAAAGCCATCCGAGCATCAAACGTGCCTCTTGCCAGCGATGTATTATAGGCTCGTTTGCCCGCAAGCGCGCCAGTGTCAATGTGCGCACTTTAGCCCCAGTGCCCAGTTTCTTGCCTTGATCGGCCGTAGATGGGAACTGAACAGTGTTCTTCAGCGCCAGTCTTTGTGTGACCAAATGGTAGTTGATGAGATCGAACACGCCACGCGGGAGCAGGTTTGTAGATACATCCATGTAGCCGGCGTCGCGCGCTCCCAAATGGAGAGCATCCGCTGTGAATCCATAGCTCGGTACATGCGAAAGGGCGGAAGAGAGAATGGCGGACTCGGCGGGCGGGAATGGCGCAGGTTGCGTATACTCGTGTGAATGGTACAAGCACCGCTGTCTCCAAGCAGCAGCCGGACGAAGTGAAGCTGCTCGGAATGTGCCGAGAAGCGCACTAGGGGATCGCGCCGAAGTCATTGCGATGGGTGTGGTGGAGAGATGAAGGCGAAGTTAGATCCTGATCGATGGGGAGAGCTCCATCAAGCGTCCTGCATCGCCGCCAAGAGATCGAGCCAGATTCGAACGCTTGTCGATCAGGAACGCAGAACGGTGCGACACTGACGCATGCAAGCATGCAGGGATTGCCACCATAATGCACTGGTTTGTTTGCCAGTTCCATCATGGCGATTCCCAAGACTGCGGTTGCTGTGGAGCAAGCTGCAGACGTTCGAAAACTGACGCGTGGGGCTTGAAAAGCACGTGATCGCGCTTCGACGCGTCTCAGACGCGTCGTGCCACTTCCACCCGCATCGCCGCCTGGAGCCAGCTGTGGCCAGCTTTCGAATTCGAAGTTGACAGCAGAACGAATAGACACAATGGCGAAACCCAAAGCCGCCATGAGCGAGTATGAGCGCAAGCGTCAGGAGAACATTGCAAAGACGCAAGCGCTATTGCGCAACCTAGAAATGGAGGCAGCGCAAGCTGGCCTCGGCCCAACTGCAGGAAAGTCCGCCTCTACATCAAGGGTCAGCAAACCGAAGAAGCCTGCGCCCAAAAAGATCAAGCAAGAAGAGGTGGTTCCACGGCGCACATCATCCCGTCTGAAGGGCATCGAGGCAGATAGCGAAACGGCAAAGCGCAAGGCGGAAGAGGAACACGAGGCCCGAAGAGAAGCAGATAAGGCGAAGAGGCAGCGAATCAGCGATGCGTTCAACTTTGGTGACATACTGGTCGCGGGGAAAGGTGGAGATGCGATAGCGAGTTTACTCAATGTCGTTGGGCCTGCGAATCCCTACGAGCGGACGTTCGATGAGGACGATGTCAAGGAGACGACCGACAAGGAGCTGAGAGCATTGCGGGAGAAGATGAGCGGGCTGGAGCTGTGGCCAGAGTATGAACCAAATGAACTGAAGATCACTCCAGAACGCATCGTAAGACCCTCCATTCCGGTACCTACACAAATGTTAACATTGCCAGTACGCCCTCGGTATGCACCCAACGACCGACAAACCCCTCATCTTCGCCGGCGACAAACTGGGCAACCTAGGCATAATCGACGGCTCCCAAAAAGCTACCACCAACAATCCCGAGGATGCAGACGACGAAGACGCCGATTACGAAGGCCCCTCCATCACCACCCTCAAGCCTCACACTCGCACAATCCACACCTTCCAATTCAGCCCGCACGACGCAAACGCCCTCTACTCTGCCTCCTACGACTCTACGGTCCGCAAGCTCGACCTCGCAAAGGGCGTTGCAGTTGAAGTATACGCACCCAAAGACACCTCCGAAGATGCGCCCCTATCCGGTGTCGAGATATCCAAGAACGACCCGAACACGCTGTACTTCTCGACCCTGGATGGCCGCTTCGGGATCTACGACATGCGCGCGCCGTCCGAGAGAGCCGCGGGGCTGCAAATCTTCCAGCTGTCCGAGAAGAAGATCGGAGGATTCACGCTGCATCCTCTCCACCCGCACCTCGTCGCCACCGCGTCCCTCGACCGCACGCTCAAACTCTGGGACCTCCGCAAGATATCCGGGAAGGGCGACTCGCGATTACCAGCGCTGGTTGGACAGCACGAATCGCGCCTCTCCGTCTCCCACGCTGCGTGGAATGCCGCGGGGCAGGTCGCAACAGCGTCCTACGACGACACCATCAAGATTCACGACTTCTCGTCCTCTTCGACCTGGAGCCCCGGCCACACCCTATCTGATCCTGAAATGAAGCCCACAGCCGTGATTCCGCACAACAACCAGACGGGTCGCTGGGTCACCATTCTGCGGGCGCAGTGGCAGCAGTTCCCTTCTGATGGCGTCCAGCGCTTCTGCATCGGGAACATGAATCGCTTTGTCGATATATATACAGCGAAGGGGCAGCAGCTTGCGCAGCTGGGGGGCGAGGGGATTACGGCCGTGCCGGCGGTGGCGAAGTTCCACCCGAGTATGGACTGGGTTGCTGCGGGGACGGCGAGTGGGAAGCTGTGCTTGTGGATGTAGGTGTAACAGGAGGGTTATCGTGCTTGGGGAATGTTTTTGGGGCTCTGCATGGAGCATGTGTGACAGCAACGTTGGAATGCACCATCGCGTGGCAATAGGCCTGGATATGACAATACTCTTGCTGGTCGCTTATATCAGTTTTCGAGGTGTGTTCGCCGTATTGCCTGTCGATCTGTCCCTTATTTATCAAGGTGCAGAGCATTGATTGTAAACGTCTTCTCGGTATTTTAATTACTCTCAAATGGCAAGGAATGGTACAGATCAGTAGATGTTGTATTTTGACATTATCATTATATATTCTCACGGCCGTAATTCACTCTACCGTCCTCCTTCTCTTCTCTTCCCCTTCTCCCACTCCACCTAATACTGCCATGCCGCGGCGTCCGAAGCGGTATCTACACAGCATTAGTCACTTTCTCTCTGTCTTGTCTAACCGCAAACAATATCACTTACAAGTAACGGCACCAAAGCCGAGGCATCCCTCAGGTGCGGTGAAATTCTCAATCTGCCCATACACCTGCCACGGCTGGGTCTCGTTCCTAGGGCATGCCACGAGCCCGCCCTCAAAGGAGAGACTCCCCAGGTTGCTTCCGTCGTTGCGCTCCGTTTTGTTCCAGCCCGTGCGCACGCTCCCTTCGGGAACGAATGCGGAATGCGCCTGGGTGTAGCTCAGAGTGCCGTCGGGGGCGACGTAGACTGTTTCCGATTAGTTGCCGTTTCCAAATTGTTCATAGAAGATGGATATAGAACTTACCTTGCTGGCCGCCAGGAACAACGACGCCTAGGCTGAGCGAAACATCGCCGCCTGCGAAGGTGGTAGAGTTCCCTGGGTAATGTGCGCAGGTCTCGTCGCCGATGGCTTCAGAGGGGCAGTATCCTGAGGCGGTGCCACCGAGGAAGAACTTCCCGCCGTTTGCTTGTAGGGGCAAGAGATGGATGGGAGAGGCGCTGCGGGAGGAGATGACGCCAAAGTATGTAGTCTGGGCCGCTGCGTAGGCGAGAAGTGTGGAGAAAGCTGCGACGGACTTCATCTTGCTCAGTCTTTTGTACGTATTTTGAATCTTGAAGCGGGTGTGGAAGAGGTTGTAAGTATAGTCGGGAGGCTGTTTGGCAAGAGGGCTTGGTGTGATGTTGGGAAGAAATCAAGACGAGAGGATCTTTATATGCAAGCCAGGCGTCCCATGTGGTAGATGAGGGGCAAACATCATAGCCCTGCCACTCCTCATATTGCCTTACCCACCGAGGCTAACGCCTCGACCTTACGAATGCAGCGCAGCCGCAAAACCCGTACCCATGGGTCGTTGCCCCCCTAACGTTCCACAACGGCACGGTCGGCATGCCCATCACCAGCCTCATCCGAGGTCCACGTTGCATCGTCATCGCGCAAGATGCCACGATCAGCGAACTGATAGTCGCGTGCACAGGGTCCGACCATCTTTACGAAACGATAGCTCAGTTGTTTGGGGTTCGCTTAGATCCCTGCAGACATATTCTACTCATTTTAGGAAATTTCGATAGTCGATATACTGTGGGCGAAGGACAGGATCAGCGGCTGCTCTTCGCAAGGAATGGCGATCTTGCGAAGGTCATCATCTGTGTAGCATGTACGGGTTGCTGACGGAAGGCCTTGTGCTGAGCCTCAACGCAACGTCTTGTGCGAGAGAGAGCCGCAAGAACAGCGACCATGAACGTATGGGGCTTGCTGACGGGCGCGAGTGATATTGAGTGCAAAGTACGACCCTTGTATAGAGGCTGCATACAATAGCGTAACGTTCTTCTTGTGGGCGGAAAGCCACACCTTAGCTCAACCTTACAATTCGCGTAGAGCTGGAAATAGTGCGAACGTGACCAGCACCATGCGTATATAGCTCGCGCTATAAGACACTCTTCAGGATAGTCCAACCTTTGGCGGCGAAGGTTGTAAGGTGCTGTTGTATTGACCGCTGTGATTGCGCGACCATACGGAACAAGTCGTCTGCTTACGCTCGGAGTTCGCAATATACGAAGTATCATTATGAACGCTGAATCATCGTAGGACAAGGGGCCGAACTCGGTCTATGACATAAGTGAGGCTCTGTGCAGCCCGCCATGCGGTCACTAATGAGACAGTCCATGTTATCCATTGGGATGGACTAGCAAAGACTAATCTGTCCGCCTGGCACAAATGATACTCGCCATACAAATCCAGCTGGACGTTACTTGAGGAAGCCTACCGCGAAGGCATGCAAACACTTTCGTGAAATGAACTGCAATGTCGGTGTAGGGTGTAGGGCTTTCTCGGCGGGTTGCATTAATGATCATGGATTGTCTAAATGGCCTTTCAAGGGGGGAAATGGTGGACCTCGCTCAGGCCTGTCATTGCAGGACGCATGCGCGAGTGTCGGAAAATGAGTGCGCTTTCGTGAGCTTGGGATAATATGTTAGGTGATAATCAAAAATGGTGTCGTGAGTATCGTGGAGGTTGCCGAACAGTATGGCGAAGAACACAGTAGCTGGGACAAAAAGTGGGGATGTAGGCGCATGCCCCATTCTGTATGAACCCACACCATTGTACGATTGTAAGCTTGCAATGTAACAAGTCCGCGTAGATGTCCACAGTAGGGTCTTAGGAGGATTCCCGTTCTTATCGTCGGCCCCTGTGGAAGGTGCAGACCAACGGGGCAAGAGCGCACGGCGAGGAAAGGCGGCTTCCCTCAAGGCAAGAGCAAAAACCCACCCACCATGAACTAAGCATTCTTGTTGGAGACATGGCAGTACTTCCAACAGTGAATAAAAGGATTATTGAATTGCTGTGTACAATCCCCTAACATAACGCCATGATGCATAAAGCCGACAGTGTCTACGCTTTTCGTCTAAGGGTGTTTCACCCAGGGAAGGCTGAACGTGCCAACCCAGTCCTCGACCTCCTTGCGCAGCGAGACAATATCAGTAATATCCTCGCCCTCACCCACGTACTCCTTGAAAGCGGCAACGCTGCCGGGCGCTTTCCTGCCGTCCTTTTCGGCCTTGGCCTTAGCCTCCTTGTCGAGCTTCTGTGTGATGCCGACGGCGCGGTGCACAACATCGGCAACGCGCTTGAAGTCCTCGCCCTGGAAACCCCGCGTGGTCATCGCGGGCGTACCCATGCGCAGACCGCCAGGCTTCATGGCGGACTTGTCACCTGGAACAGTGTTTTTGTTGCTAGCGACGCCAACAAGCTCGAGGATGCGCTCAACGCGAGCACCGTCCACGCCCTTATCCTTCAAGTCAATGAGGACGAGATGATTGTCAGTGCCACCACTGACGATCTTGTAACCAAGACCTCCTTCTTCCTTGGAGTTACCTAGTCGCTCTGCAAAAGCCTTTGCGTTGTCTAGTACTGTCTGCTGGTAGTCTTTGAACTCCTTGGTCTGCGCTTGGGCCAAAGCAACGGCCAACGCTGTGATGGTGTGGTTGTGAGGACCACCCTGATGTCCCGGGAACACCGACATGTTAATCGGGCCTTCCAAGTCATACTTCTCCTCGACGCCCTTCTTGTCCACCCGCCTGACACCCTTGCGGTAGAAGATCATGGCGCCACGGGGACCGCGCAAGGACTTGTGGGTGGTTGTGGTAACAATGTCGGAATGAGGGAAAGGCGAAGGAATAACGCCAGCGGCGACGAGACCCGAAATGTGTGCCATGTCGGACAGGACATAGGCGTTGACGCTATCTGCAATCTTCCGGACCCGCTCGTACTCGATCAAACGGCTATAGGCGGATGTTCCCGCAACAATGACCTTCGGGCGGTAGAGGTTCGCTAGGAAGTCCATCTGTTCATAGTCAATGAAGCCAGTCTTCTCATTTAGCCGGTACGGCAGCGTCTCGTAGTATTTGGATACTGCTGAGATCTTCTTTGTGGGTGTTTGGTAACCGTGCGACAGGTGGCCGCCGTGGGGCAAGTCGAGACTGAGGATGCGATCATGGGTGTTGAGGATGGCGGAATAAGCGTAGAGGTTTGCTGGGGAACCAGAAAGGGCTTGAAGATACGTTAGCTGCGCAACCGCAACTGCAGCATGGGTTGACTCACGCTGCACGTTGACGCCCCATTCTGCTTCATTCAGGCCGAAGGCCTGGAGCGCTCTTTGCTGACAGAGTCGCTCTGCCTCATCGATCCACTCGTTGCCTCCGTAGTATCGCGCACCGGGGTAGCCCTCGGAGTATTTGTCTGTTATGTGCGTCAGAGGTCGGTTGTGGCGTGATGTCGCGGGATGTGCTCACTCTGCATCACACTGCCGAGCGCATCGAGAACTGCCTGCGAGGTGAAGTTCTCGGAGGGAATGAGGTTGATGAAGTGCTTCTGGCGGTTCTTCTCCTGTGATTCCCGGCTGGTAAGTCTGGTGCAAGCGCAAGCTGCGGCGGGCGGCGTACATTCTCAATGATCTTGTAGACGGTCGGGTCGATGTCTTCGAGGCTCTGAGACAAGAGCTGGACGTATATCAGTATATTGGAATCACGCGCAGTCGTCATACAACTGACCTTGTGCTGGGCCTCCGCCGACGAAGCATATCCCCGCCACTGGCGCGGTAGCAGTCTGGGATGGTTTGTAGCAATTGCGAACGTCGAGCGGGGGCAAAGCTGCCTCAGAGGCGCCCGGCAAACGGTCCTCAGCGTCGCCATTGTGAGGAAGTATGTGGTGGAAGAAGCACGATGCTGTTTCCCGAGAAATGATCAACGCCGTAAGCCAGAGAATCCCGTCAGTATCCCGCGGCGACAGTGAATCGATTCCTATTCGATGCAGCCGATGCCGAGCTGTTGGCGCCCCCGCACCAGCCTCTCACCTTTCCCGCTTTCTGCTGCTATTGCCCGTCGGAACCAAATCGGCCCGGCCCCCGAAGCGCATTTTTTAACCTCGCGCGTCTGGCTTCCGTCTGCTCTCCATGAACTAAAACCAAGATGATTCAACGCCTTTGAGACAGCTCCATCCTCGCTCGGCTGGCGCAAGCCAGTCGACGCGGGTGCTGCTGAGATGCTCCGGGCTCCAACCACCTGAAGGAGACAAGGAAACTTTATGATTGGTCTTAGTTCTGTCCTGCGTTGTCCGCCCTCGACCGACCGCATCACGGCGCATCAATCGCATCAATTGTCGAAGAGGAGACATCAATGCGAAGTGTCTCCGCTTGGACCTTTGTTTGTGCTGTGTCTTTCGGTAATCTCCACATCGAGGTGCGTCCAGCACATACTTTGGAGCAGTAATATCAAATATTTGTTCTCCGCTTCAACCCAGTTCTTTCCTTCACCCCGCCCACAGTGCTGTCTCATGAATGCCAAGGCTGTTTACAATCGCACCTGCCCTCACGCGACTTGATGCGATTGTCAACGCGCCTGCCTGCGAAAACGCGCGCGCTCTCTAACCTCCAGCTACTTTCAAAGCGAGCCCCGCCTGCCTCGCTCGCCGCTCCACCTCTCCACCTTAACAAGTACCGCACGGCCGCTCAATGAACGGCGCCTTTGCCACTGACAAGAAGAAATACCCGCGAGTATCATCAGACCCATCATGGCATCCGACAGCTCGTCCCTGAGCCCCGACATCGATCGAGATAGCAGCCCCAAGCTCGGAAGCTCCAACTTTACGACCCAATACTCCAAAAAGACTGGCCGCCCCATACGCCGCAGCGCGGGCAAAGCCAAACCGACAGATGGCTACGTCGACTCCAAGGTCATTGAGGACGAGTACGAAGAGCCTATCGAGACACCTTCGGAAGACGAGGATGGACATATCAAGCCTACCCAGAAGCGCAAGCGTAAGCGGTCGCCATCCCCAGAACCTCCACCCCTTGATGACGTGATCCGCAACGACGAGCCCGATGAGCGCTCCGAGGATGAAGACCCGTTCCAGAAGAAGTCGAAGCTACCGCCCATTGAGCTCCAGTTCAACGTCCCTCTTGGTTTCCACGGCCCGCTAGTGGTGAAGCTGGACCGGAGTCTGCTGGTGCCGGACACGGCGTATGATATGCGCCCCGGTCTCGCGATGAAGAAGATTCGCGCTGGATCGGGAGTGGACTCGCAGCCTTCGGATGGTGGGAAGAAGCCTCTTGGGTTCGCCGACCTGCCCGCAGAGTTACGGAACAAAGTGTATCGGCATCTCTTCGTTACGGAGGAGAAGATTATGTTCCCAGATGCGGAAAACATGAGTCGGTCGAGCCAGTTCCTGAGTACTTGCAAGTTGGTGCATAATGAGGGATGTAGCATCCTCTACGGAGAGAATAAATTTCGATTCGACCGCAATCACAAGACCCGTGGTCCTTTCTGGGAGCCACTCCCCAAGGAGATTGGCTACAAAGACGTACGCCAATTTCTCAAGATGATCGGTTCAGAAAACTTGGTCTACCTACGAGACATCACCCTGTTCCTGAGCGATGCTTTGCCCAGCACAACACCAGAGCTCACCCACGAATCACGCCGATATCTTCACGATGAGCATCTGCTTGACGTACTTCGAACCCTACGTCAAGCCAAACTTCGCAAGCTCAACGTGCTCTTCACCGGACGTCGTTCTTTGGCTCGCAACGATACCAAATTCGTGGAATACCTGATGCAGGTCAAGGCTGACGAGGTTATCTCTGACACAGGCACTGGCTGGTACTATCACAACCGCAAGATCGAGAGTTATATCTGGAAAGAGTTGAAAGAGAAGATGACCCGGAAGAAGAAGCTCTATCTTCCTGAGAAATAGGATACTTATCATTTCGAGGCTGCGGGGCTTGTCCTCAGAAGTCACAACCACTCCTAGCCCGGGACAGACCTGAGGAAGGGCCCGCAGAAGACCTGCGGAACGGCGCTGTTCGAATTTCTTTTCCTCTGACCAACTGCTACTCGCACACACACATCCCATTGTCGGTTCCAGTATACTACTTTGTTCAAAACATCTCCCTTTGTTGCGAGGCTCAATGACGTCTCAACAAGAGACATGGTACTTTGCTTCCCTGATAAACACTGTCCGTCTGGATTCATTGGGAATCGATAAACCCATGTTTGTTCTGTATCTTGTTCATCCCAAAAGCATTCCAATTATACCCAGCTTTTCCTCCTGTAATTATCAGCGATGGGCAGAGACATGGAGCCACCAGCTCTACTCTCTCCTCGCGTTTCTCAAAACTTTCACGGTGACATGGCTCTCAGGCCCATCTTCAAGGATGGAAAACCCGGTTCGGCAGGCTGGCGGTCGATTATTGTCTGGCTAGCATTTCCCTCGACTGGGAGTTCGGCTCGACCGGTGCATGTGCATCTAGCTACCAAAAAAACTTAGGTCTTCGATCCACTTGGTAGATTTTTCCGTGCCGTATCAAATGTCTGTCTGCACGTTGTGCAATGTTAGATGTGGCTGTTTCGCATGTACGCGCAGTCACTGTGCAGCGGGTGGGTAAATTGGCTGCGTGAAGACGCGGGCAGGGGTGGGCTGGGGTGTGAGCGTACCTTGCATTAGCGCGTGAAAAGCTGCAGCGTGAGTACATTGCGGGTGTGTGGCTGATCATATCAGACAACCCAGCCCGTTCTATGTAAATGATTGTCCCGTTCCACGGGCAGTCTTGTCGATTTCGAAAGCACATTGTACGAGAGCTAATGTACCGCCCGTGTCCGCAGCGCGTTTGCGGAGGATTTGTGCGAACTGTGCCGCAGGATTGCGTCTAAGAACACGTCATCCCGCGGAGGGAACGCACGTAGGCATCGCCGCACGCTTATCGTAGACGTACGGTCTAGCGAGGTTCTGGCGAACAAGCCGGAAGACTCGGGCGGCGCAGCGGCGCGGTGATTGTTCCTGAATCCGGGATGCTGGGGACTGCCCGGGGGGGGGGGGTGAGAGGAAGGGGGGTTTAGCCGGTATGAAATGAGAATTGTGGGGTTGGGAAGGAGAATGGACGGAGTTGGTAGAAGGCGGAGGTTGTGGAAGGGTAAGACTAGAGGAAGGGCGGGGATACGGTAGATGGGACGAGAGCTGACGTATGAAATGATGGAATTGTCGAGGCTGATGGACTGACGAGTCTATTGTGCTAACTTCCACTGTATTTCTACATTATCACATCGCCGAAAAGCATTTTACGTCAGACACTCTCTCAAATATCCAATCATTCTGATGTGGAAATGGTACCTCTATCGGGGAGTTTCGAAAGGCCCCGATTGCGGCACAAGCCGATGCTCATTCGTACACAGCGTCTTGACGTGCAGTAAATATCCTCAAGAGTGCGAGAGTCAAGAGGGGGACCTTTCGCTCAATATATCTTCGAATGCGAACAACGCGACTTCGACAATTCGATTTGTTGGGGATATCCAGGTGGGTATGTTGCAAGTAAGCAGCCTGCAAATATCTGCTTCTGTTGGAGCCAGACAGCGAGTTGGATGGAACGAGTTCGCCACTCAATTCATGCAGAGCGTCCCATCCTAGTCCACCACGTAATCTCGATCCTCTGTATGCTCATACTCATAATTGTCCTCATCGGTCTCCTTTAGAGCTTCAAAAACCTTGTCAAAGAAAGCCTTGAAAGAAAGCGCAGGCACAGCGTTGCCGATAAGTTCACGCAATCCTGTGACGCCTAGGTTGTCTGGGAAACGATGCCAGGCAGGGAACCCATTAAGGGCCGCCAGTTCTGCCATGTTGAAGCTGCGTTTCTCGTAAGGGTGGACGTCAGACTTTCCGCCACTAGTAGTGATGCAGCTCGGGAGTGGCTTTCGTGCATCGGTATGTTCGGCGTGAGGTTTCCGTGTATGCTGCAGCATATGACCCGGAAGATCCTCGATATTCGGAACAAGAAGAAGAGCGTCCTTGATTGTGACAGGCTTGAGCAATTGCGGACCGATGCCATTGGTTGGGCGAGGCCACGAGGGTATTCTTTGTCCGGGACAGGCAGCTAGTATGATTATGCGTTTTCTTGCCTGGGCAAGGCCATGTTCTTGGAAATTGACAATTCGCCAACTGCAATCGTAACCGTTCTCTGTTAACGCTTGGATGTAGGCTCGGAGGTGCTGACCGTCATCTGAGCGGTTCTCCACTCCTGGCACTTGTTCCTATGCACATATTAACTCCAGTTTGACATGCTAAGCGTAATCTACTCATAATACCATTGTGACGATTCTAGGCCTACACATCTTGAGGATGTCTGAGAGAATGTACCCGAGTGCGATGTGTGCAGCATCTCTTTCTGGGTTTGTGTGGCGATTGGCCGCAGAATGTCCTTTGCATACAAATGAGAAATGCACTACGTCGACGACGTTGCCGCTCTCCTTGAGCTGTGAGAATTCACGCACATCCATTTGCAAAACGACTTCAGATCCGAAATTGAGTCTCAGGGTTGTGCAGGCGTTTGTATCGATGTCCAGTAGAAATTGTGGCGTCAGACCCGCAAGTATGGCCGCTCGACTGGTACCCCCAGCACCGGCACATACATCGGCGTATGAGTATTGTTCATTCGAGCGCCTCAAGCGGTCTTGACCCAAGCGATGCTCATGCAGCAGCCAGAATGGAGCTATCCCGTTGTCAACGTCACTCTCGGCCCTAGACACCCGACGCAACTTGAACTCGGAGATCTTGCGCCTTTTCAGGTCAGCCTTCTCAATATATTTGTAGCGACAGAATAAAATTGCGTCGTGTTCGTGGTCTTGTGGGGAGTGGTTAGTCTTGCCATGATACCATAGAGTATTAGTGATAACGATGTGGCGTTTGCAGGCAACGTTTCTCAGAGGTTCGCTGACTAGGAAGCTATCAATAGCATCCGTATCTGTGGTCGTCCTCACAATAACGCACAGCTCGTTTCGGTCGTCGCAAGGTAGAAGAGACATCAGGTAATGACCTCGTTCCTCCGAGAATCTCTTGTCAACTTCATCATTTCGTAGCAAGCGATACCCGTGCAGAACCTTTGCCCCGTCGTCGTCTTTGGTGATGAACATAATACGCAGAAAACTGCCATCTCTCAGTTCCACGCTGTCATTCGGTCGCACTCTTTCGCCGCCAACCGTTCTCGCCTTGCTGAAAGATTCCATATGGTGTTCAAATGGGACGTTTAGAGCCGCGATCGTCGCCGCCTTTAAGTGGCGATCGACGTCATCCATCATCTTGGGAATGGGGGAGTCAGACGAACAGTCGTTGTTTACCTGTTGGTGGTTGACTGAGGTGCCGCTGTGTAGATTTGAAAACAGGTGAGGTAGAGCTCTTGCCAAAATACAAAATACAAAATACAAAATACAAAATACAAAATACAAAATGAAAAGGCTCAACCGTCCGTTTGCGACGATACCTCGAGCTTTTTCAAAGGTGAAGCTCACTTACTAAGGAATGGCTAGCAAGTGCACGTGCACCTAATATAGAAAAAAGTGAGAGGCCATGGTTATCGCAGAGCCTTAGTGAAGGTGAAGGGAAAGGCACCGAGGGTAAGCGCACACAAGCCGAACAAGTAAGAGGCGTGACATGTGTCACATCATACAGTTTATATATTCGATCAAAGGTGGGTCAGTTCGCTCCCCTCCTCTTCTTGAACTCCTCTATCCATTCTGTCGCCTTCGACTTAGGGATTACGCTGATGTTAACAAGCCCATCCTTGATCTCACACTTGCCGCTTCCCAGGACCTTGCCGAGGGTCATTTTCTTCCCCAACTTAATGAGTCCACCCGCGACCGTCTCCATATATGCCTCCACATCGTTCAACGTGAACTCCTGCTTCTGGTCCCATGGGAGCGGGAAGATGTACTCTAGATGCTGATTGAGCGTCTCTGACTCAGCGAATGCTTTGACAAAGTCTGACTGAGCATGTGTGGGATACAACAACATGACTGGAAAGGACAGTATTGAACTGGGGTCCATTTTATCCTCGAGTTTTATCTCTGCATCCTCCAGGTTTGGGGCCTGTTCTGTACTCCTTGTCTTGATGCCGCGACTCTTGAGCGCTAGTGAAAGAGTTGCACGCTCGGATGCGACTTTCGCCTTACGCTCTCTACGCGCCTTTTCGATAGATTCGAGATGGGTTTCGCGGGCTGAGATCTTTGTATGGAGGGTTTTGAGCGGGGCATTGGAAGGATCGATTGCGAGGCCAAGGCTGCATGCATCGACCGCTTCCGGGATCTTGTCGAGGGATAAGCAAGCCGTGGCAGAGCGATAGTAGGCTTTGACGTTGGATGAGTTGAGACGGAGGGTTGCTGCACAATCCTGGATACAAGAGCGGTAATTCTTTTTCTCCAGGTTACACAGCGCTCGGTTTATATAGCAAGCCTCCTCGATGACCTTTTCCTTCTTCGCCTCCTCCTCTTCGTCGATCTCGATATCGGTAACATCAACGATAGGCGGGCCATCCTTCGGATCTGGCTCTTTCTTGGGCGCTTTCAACGCGGCTATCGCCTTGTCGTAGAACTCTTTCGCATTGGTCCACTGCTTCGCCCGGGCACATTCATTTCCTTGTTGTCGGAAATTCTCTGCGACCTCTGCTTTTGTGCCTTCATATGCGAGAGCCTTGAGCGCCTCTAAGGCGTCGTTTTGGCCGCCTTCGCCGTCTGTTTCGTCGAGCGTTGTCATGAAAAGAGGCATGCGGTTCATCTCCTTGATCAATTCGTCTACACTTTGTGACTTGATCTCTGCCATTGCCGGTGGCATAGCTGCTGACGGCAGCGGGGCTCCATCTGCTTGAGGCGGCTGCGCCATATTTGGTGAATCGGGTATGTACTGAATATCGCTGTTGAGGCCGATATTTGAGTTCCTTGCACGCGCAGATGTACGATACTAAGTAATCGTACACTGTCCCTGATTGATTATAGAATGTAGACTTGGGATATTTTCTCGTTGCGCTCGATGTCATTCACCCCACTCTGTCGCCAACTTTTTTGGGCTCGCTTATCGATAATGGTCACGTGCGTGTTGGACGCCCTGGGGTCTCGACCAATGAACCCGTGGGCCATTACGACTTCCTCCCAGCTTCCATATGCCGGACACCAACAACATCCATCGCGCCATTGTGTGGAGGCTGCCAGGGCGGTCCTTGAGATGCGACGGGCGTACGCGCGCAGTCACGCAACGAAGCCCCTTAATGGGACCACCAGGAGGGTCCTATAACACAGGAAATAAGGTATCCACGCATAGCACCCGCAAGTCCCATGCATTACGGACAGGGTAATGCCGGTCGCCGACAACTCGCTGCGAGTCAATGAAAAACAAGGACGAAGGACGACGAATACAAATTGCATATATAGGTGTATTTCGGCAGCAAAAATGTTGCCCACGGGCCACGGTACATCAATGGACCCGCACCGATTGGTCCAACGGTGCAACAATCGCAAACTCCTGACCACCGGTAACGCCGATGATGATCTTCGACGATCTTCGTGGTCGTGGGGACATCCTTGTAAGGCTGGAACACGACAAAACCTCGGTCCAGGTATCTCTGTACCACACAAGGCGCTGCCAGTCACCCATATTCAGCAAGGTATTCCCGTAATCAGTCTAACACCATGGGTAACTTCGGGGTTATAGTGAAATCTGCTACATTATCAGCATCCAGATGTCACCGACGAGGTCGATAATCTCCCAGAGCCCCACTACAGTGACACTCAGCACTTCGTCGAAAGGGTTGGTAACATGTTTTACCACAAGATGAGCAATGCGGTAACTCGCTTGGACCTCGCGAAACACCTTCAACAGTGACCTCCGACTCGGTAAACTTGCGTGTCGCCTTAAGTGCTATGTGCGACGAGCAAATCCTGTCATAATTACAGCTTTGCGGCGCTACCTCGATAATCCACGAGTTGCTCAATCGCTGCAATATCTGACTGGACTGGACGCTGGAAACCAGTTTATGCTTCAAGACGTACGGTACATCTCCCGGTGCGTCGGTGCCTGACCGTACGATCATCAGGGTTTTGTGACTGTCTCACTTCAAAGGGCCGAATATTGCTACTCATCACAAGGACGACACAGGTTTTTATGTTTAGCTCATGTACCAGCCCAGCAATAGCGGTTGAACCCATCGCAACGATCAATCCGAGCGTTATCTCGCCGTCATCTTTTGCTTGACACTGGCGGTTCGAGCGCTTTGGAAACGTCTTTAACATATTCCTGTATCAAGGTTACCCAGGGCTCCCGTATTTTTGACGAGTCACCAGCTACCTTGCCTCTTCAAGAGGCCTTCTTCAAGCAACGATCCTTCCATACACGGTACAAATCATGATGCTCGCAGGGCGCATCGATAAGGAACTGTCCACGAAGTAAGAATTTTATTTTCATCTTCTCATTGTCGTGCTGGCTTCCAGGTTTCGGTTGAGAACGTGCGTGGGTGGCCTGAAACTGTCGCGTAGCCGCTGTACCGTGCCTTTGGTACAAGTACACAGTCTCACGGTCACCAAGCAATTAGTAAGGATGTCTCGGAGTCAAACAGCGACAGCAAGCCGAGGTTTGCTGCAGCAGCCAAATGCGTTGCTAAGACGAATGCGTCCAAATGTGAGTGTTGTTGTGCAGCGGGACAGGGCTACATGTAGGCGCTGTACGAAGTCTCGTGCATCCAATTTGCTGGGGGGTAGGCCTTGAATGCGGGCACGATTCATTACGCACACCACCTCGCGTTGGCTCCCGAAGCTACGGGAGCGTCAATTATCGTGCAACCACATCAGAGACTATTTAGCCTCCACTGTGCTAACATCGAGATTGCGGGCCGTTGAGGCTAATTCTGTTACCATACCTTCGTAACTTGTGGTGAGCATGTGGTCGCGTAAAAGACGGTACCATGTGTGTTCCCTCCGTCACAACACATGGGTTACCCGAAATTGCAAGTTTTCCGGTCGATCGCTGAGGATCGTTCCTCCCGATGAGGCGTAGAGTCAATTCAAGCTCGCATCCAGAACGGCACAAGTGACAGCTTCTGTGCCAGTGCACCACCCGATGCTTCCGGACCGGCGCTATAGCATAAAACTCATGATCCAGGATCTCGACGCGTCCGAACCACGGTCTCTCCTCGTTGAAGACGCTGTCCGACTGACAATCTGCAGATGTCGCGGCGCCGCGACGCATGTTAGAGGCTCCGCTGCTGACGGTTGGCCTCGTGTATTCAGGCGACACTGACACGCTAAACATGCGGCGCAAACAGGAGCTGAGCACTGAGTGGCGTTGCGGCACGAGCGTCCAGCCTCATCATCGCGCTGCATAGGACCCCAATGGAAGTCTCCTTGGGAGGCTGAAACTTTAGCTTTCCTCTCTAAATGGCGGTTCTTCGTAGCGTTAAACCTACTCGATAAGGTAGAACGTTGGATAGAGCTTCATTTCAAGGGCCGTAGCTCCTGGCGGGCTGGAAGCCTATCGGTCGACAGTGGCAGGCTTCAGCTGCGGTACGAACGTGTGGCAGCCATCAGTCATGTGCCAACTGATTCTCATCACACAGCATCACATCCTCAAGCTGCGAACGATAATCCCACGCATCCAATGCCGCTCGAGCTCGTCTGCCCCTGTCATTTCCTTTTGCTCGACAAGAGATTCGTTAGGCCTAGCGGAACGGGTACGTTGGACTAGAAAATCGACCAATGAACGGCAATATGTGGAACTATTTAACCCAATATAGCGGTTCCGTTAGCCTGGGTTTCCGAGCTCGGTTGCATGCAGGGGAGCGCACTTCCTCCGTGCTCACCAGCCAAAAGCCAAAGGATCGTGCATAAACGCGTGTGCACCGTGTGCTGGTCAAATTAAACATGGGGTCAATAGTACAGCAGCACGTTATTCGCTCTAGAGTGTCGGCCTTTGGGCCTTTCCCGTCTCCCCACGACAGAGCCCGGTATAGCGTTTTACCAGGATCTAAAGGATGCATGAACCCGGCACTCGCTGATCATCACATTCATGCCCACCCCGTTCTCGTCCACCTTTGATCCCCCTCCCACGACCCACGCACGACCTTGATAACGCGTCTGGAGTCTGGGGCTGGCTGTCAAGAACTATGCATGCCTGCTAGCTTCTCTTCATCTTTGTTCGCCCCTCAATGCATTCTATTCTTTACATTACATCCTTGACTCTTCGAGCACTGACAAGTTTCCATTGCACAAGGAAGGCATCACTATTCGTATCTATGCCGACTTTGTCTAGCACGTAAGGCAGCCCACGACCCTCCTGTTCGGATCACATCCAGAGCATAGCAAACGGGGCGGCAAGCTGACATCACGCCTCTAGCTCTTGAGTATCGCGACACATTCACGAACCTGGACGAACTTCCCACGTGTTTGCTATACCTCGACTGTCTTTGGTTCCGCCCCAACGGCAACGGCAACTCTCTTCACTAGCATACCGTCATATTCTACGACTGCGCTCGAGGATCGCGACTCTGACATTGTTGTCATCACAAGACGCGCCGGAAGTGTGGTGAGTGTCTTCAACAGCAATCCAGAACCGCGCAACTGTGCCGGAAGCTGGGACTGATCGTCCATCATCGGGGACCCAATCTGACTTTTAACATAGTAATGTATGCGGCGTTGTAGTTATCAGTGCCACTTTCTTGTGGTCTCGGCAGCAATCTTCCCTAATTCTTCGTTTGCACAATCGTTTCCGTGCGAATTGGTCTCCTCCCTGCCACGATGGCCACCGAGTACTTTTCCGATAATGAGGCATACATAAGCAACCAACCTCTACCTTCGCCGGCTGGCACACCGTATACTTCCCTTTCACGAAGGACGTCCCGCTATGGGTCGCCTATCAGCGAGGCGCCAGCGTCTCCAGCACCATTCCCGCCAGAACCCAATGACAACCACGATGCCCCTGACAATAGCGACAGCGTCTCTATGCTTGATCCGCGACGATTTACGCCGACACTGCACGCCTCTCTCGTATCCGAAATCCTTTCTTTGCGACGCGAATTGGACTCCAAGCATAAATTTATCGAAGATCTCGAGACATCTTTTGACACAGTTCGGAAAGAAAATGATGCGCTTACGAGCCAGTTGTCTACGAGTACGAGGGAGGGCCGAGCAGTCAAGGGGCAACTACAACAGCTCGAGGATGCGACATTATCAGCACTGGAAGAAATAGCGAGTGAGAGAGATAAATTGAAGGAAGTGAATGACGATCTGAAAGAAAAGCTCAATTCGGCACAGAAGAAGCTGCGTAGCCAGGAAGACGATTCGACCCGGGTTCATGACATGTGGGCGCATGAGAAGGAAGCGTGGGCTGGCGAAAAGCGCACTCTGGAACGGCGCGTTCACATTTCCGAAAGCCGCTTGAAGATGCTTCTCGAAGAAATTGCTATTCATGAGGAAGGACAAGACAATGACGTGGACAGCGAAGGTGAGGGGCTTCCCCGCGATAGTGGCGTGGGTCCAGAAAGCGAGGCTGGAAGTGTGCGATCTTCTCCTGCCAGAAGGACATCCACGCGCATTGCGCGTCACTCTAGGAACTTGAGCAACAGCAGCTTCCGAAGCTTTGGACGTGGGTATCGAATGTCTCTCATGAGTGGAACTGGATCTGAAGGCCACGGACGTAACAATGGCATGAGTTTGGCGGACGAATTGGTCTTTGACGAGGAGGAGGAGGATCTCGATGACCTAGAACTCGACTCGGATGACTTTCCGGAACACGAAATGAGAGCATTGCGGGCTCTTGAATCGCGACAATCCATGCGACAAGACGACAAGGCGAAACGCATTCTCGGTCTGAGTCTGGACAGCGAATTGCCGATCAGAGATGTCTTCCCAGACACTGAGCCAGTGAAGTCTGAATCGACACAGCCTTCTGCTGCCGTTCCGCCACAGAAACTTCATTTGGTGTTCCCTCCTCCACGACCGCAGTCAATGGAAATACCGGAAGAAGAGTCGGAGCCAGAGCCAGAGCCAGAGCCAGAACCAGAACCAGAACCGGCGCCCAGACCCCAATATGTTGACACTGGGGTACAACCCTCCCCTCCATCTTCCCCTGTCAGGCCCGAAACTTCGGAGTCAGCTTTGACCTTCAAGCTCTATGAAGGCACTGCTTCTAGAGCTGAAGTAGAAGCTAACCAGAGGAAGAAGCGAGTGTCTGCCGCAGCTGGTCCTTCAGCTGGGACTTCTCAAGCTCCGCCGATGCCCCGACTGATGACCTCCACGTCTACTCAAGGTAGTGATCAGCCTTTGAGCCCGCCAGCTACTCCTAAGGTTGACACGTCTTTCGATGATGCTTCTTTATCTTCCCAACCCCGACCTGCAGTAGTGTCGATTGCGACCCAGACCGAACCTATTGAACATGTCGAGTCCGCTGGCCCTGTTGAAGCACCTGCTCAAGAGCAATCGAAACCTATATTACCGACGCGCGCGCCTCCGCCAGTTCCAATTCTGATACCATCCATTGCTATCCACGCACCTTCGTCTACACCGTCGTCGCCCAAGGAGCCGATACTGCCTCCAGGTACGATTAGTGTTGCCACACAGACCACGATTGACTTGAGATCGAATATGCGCACCGTGGGCATGCAAACTGAGCCCATCATGGTTGACAGGCGATTTCAAAAGCTGCCCCCTCATCTGCAACCCTCGGCTATATCGTCTAAGCCTGGCACACCGGAGCCTGGTCAGAAGGGCACAATTACAAGCCTTGTTGCTCAGAAAACGGACGCAAAACAGGCGCCGGAGAGGACTGCCGGTCCCTCTGCTCGTCAAGATCTCATGTCCTTGCTGGAGAAAGCTACGAACAAGGTCGAAGATCGATATCCTGGGAACAACGACAATGGTCCGTTGACTCGAACCAAGGAAAGCAGCATCAGCAGACCATTTCGAACAAGTAGTCTATTCGCAGGCTTTGACGGGCCATCTTCTGACGAGGAGGACTCAGACGCCGAACTTAGTGCCGATGAGCAGCGTCAGCCTCCCCCAATGCTCTCAGCGCGCAATGTCAAGAGCGGCAAGGTGTTCAACAACCCACCTACCCCAGTCCCGGAGGAGAAGGAGCCCTCGCCTTCGCCCGCTCGTCCTTCTGAGGACTCGACCAGGTCTCAAATTTCCTCACACGCTTCGATGGAGAAACCGGCGAGGATTGGCAAACTTGCTCGACAGCCTAGCATCCGACGATCAGCCATGATTCAGAATGGAACAACAGCACACATGCGCTCGCGCAGTCCCAGCATTGGAAGCGTTGACACAAATGGCTTCCTCACCAAGCCCCCATTCCCTGTCCCCACACGTTCAAGCTCGCGGAAGCCTGTTCTTAGCAAGAGTGAGGGTTCGCAGAGCCCTACTCCGCGTAACAGTGGTAGTTTTGCAGGACGTCGTCCATACGGCATGAAGCAGCAGCAGCACCAGCGCAAGGACAGTCTTCGAAAGGTGCGATCAGCGGCAGTCGTGTCGAGATCAGGCCGCCCACGAAGTCGATCCCCTCCTTTGCCGGCAACTCCTAGTACGGTACCCCTCAGTCCCTCTCTTCCACCGATACCTTCCTATACCAGTGATGTGAGCAGTAGTTATGGGTATGCGCGTGGTCACCGTAACCAGTTGTCGACGACTACCACTCAAACTGCACAGACAGCACTTACGGGAAGTGCTTCAGTGGGCAGCAGTGTTGCTTACCAAGCGAGCGTCGTGGATGCTATCGCGGCTACCATGGTTGGTGAGTGGATGTGGAAGTACGTGCGTGGCAGGAAGGCGTTCGGTGGGCAAGAATCACCTGCAGATCTTGCTAAGGCAGGCGATGAAGCCGTTTCCACCATCAACGGAGTACGCCACAAGCGATGGGTTTGGATCTCGCCATATGAGCGCTCAGTGCTGTGGAGCAACAAGCAGCCAACGACTGGGCCTGCTTTGATGGGTACGAAAGGCCGGAAACGTGAGTTCTGTTCATTCAGGTGGTTATCATGTACTGATAACCTTGCTAGTCGTCATTCAGTCCGTACTCGATGTTGTCGACAACACACCGATTCCCCGAAATGCAGGCACGCAAGCTCTGTTCAACCGATCCATTCTCATCCTCACTCCGGCCCGCGCACTCAAGTTTACAACTACCACCCCCGAGCGTCATTATATGTGGCTGACAGCCCTTTCTTTCTTGGCGCACTCGAGCTCTCCGATTCCAGACCTTGGTGCTGCACCGCTTGCGCCGCCCGATGAAGAACCGGCCTACCGTCCACAAGGAGCGACGCTCCGCCGTTCGCACGTGCGTGATTCAGTGCGCCTCGCGAAAGGGAAGGCCAATCCCGTGGCTCAGCGATACCAGGCATCGATGGAGCCAATGCCAGAATTGAACACGTTCCGAGCGGAACAAGCATTGGAAGAGTCTGCAGATCCGCCGACCATCCCTCGCGGCCCTCTCCACAGCAGGAAGAGAAGCTCTACAGGACCCCTCGCACCTCGCCCAGCTCAAACGTTCAGAACTTTCTCTCACCAGCAAGTACCTTCGCTGTACTCCTCGGGCTCCTCCGACATGTACAGCAGCAGACAGCCCCCTTCTGTGCCATCCTCCGTATACAACCCCAACAGCGTCGTCGCCAGCACTCGAACATCCGAAGCCAGCACCTCAACCCGACCTTTCTTTGACACCATGGGCACCATGCGCATGGAGGCGTTCATCGACGACAGCCTCGGCAAAGACCCTTCGCTGCGGGTTCTCCAGTCATCTTCACGCCCGGGACATCGCAGGCGACGGGGTAGCCAATGGAGCGTGAACGAAGCGAATCGAGCAGGCGGAGCATACGACGACATCATGAACGATCCCTTCCGCGGGTTCTAGTTGGCCTTGTTCCCTGTTTCTCGACGACGTACACGCGACCTACGTGTTATTGCCGACCATGTGTTCGGGCTCTGCGCTTGTCTTTATTCTTGCGAAACCCAAAAGCCTCTCATTTCCTTTCTAGCTTTTCTATGTCATATTCTCCTTGACTCATTGTCCTCGTAGGGTTCCACCGGCGTAGATGCACAGGCGCTCATGCGCAAAGATATCCATAACACCACACGGTGTCAAATGTGTAATATTTCCTTGCTACATCACATCAGCCAAATATTTTTTAAGGTTCGCTTTATATCCCTTGGGAGGTTCTGGGTTGGAAGTGGTGGTTCAGGATTCATTGTGATTTACAGGAGGATTTTTGCGTCACCTTTACCACATCAGCCACTGTCTTCGGACTCCATTGCTGGTAATACGGAATAATATCTATTCGTATGCATTCGCGTCTTGAGTTGCGATGTTCGAGGTCATCTCGTCCCGTGCCTATTACAAAATGTACCTAAACCCTTTGTTGTCAAGCTCGGTCACGTCCAGCATTCCTGCTTCGACGGCAGCCTTCTCTTCTTCGTCGGTCAGATGGATCCCGGACGCCGACTCCCTGTCCCTCTTCTTATTGACACTCCACATATATGCATACAGCACCAATACTGCGAGCAGCTTAATTGAATACCCAATCAACATGCTGTGCTACGTTAGCAATGTTTTCCTCTCAATAAACGCAGTGGGAACTTACGCTACATAAGCACTGTGGTACCCCGGCTTCTCACTATCCTTGAACGTTTGCGGCCCAATAATGTTCCCAACACAGTATCCAGTGAACAGCGCGGCACCGGTCAACTGTTTCTTCGTATACCCCGCAACATTCGAGCTCACAATCGTCAGACTCATGCTAAACCCCAGACCCTGGAAATAGCACAGCCAGAGGCCTACGAGGCGGCCCCATTTGCTCGATGATGGGAGCGCGACGAGCATTGATGCCCCGATGATGCAGATTAGGTTAGCGACTGTCATGATTATGCAGCGTGTGTTGGGGAAGCGCGTGCAGATGTAGCCGCCGGTAATGAGGGAGAGGAATTGCACTGCTCCGCCGGGGATTTGGAGGTATTGCGTGCCGAGGGTGTCGACGCCGAAGGATTTAATGATGAGGGAGCTGAACTATGGGGTCATGAGTACCTCTGTATGGGCGACAAGGGTGTGAGACTACACTTACGCTCGTGAGGGCTGAATTCGGGATCTGTGCCCCGGTCGCCATAACGAAAAGGATCCATGTCTTGGGATCATACAGCGTCTGCCACGCCTGATACTTCTTGAAATGTCTGTTCTTTACGCCTTGGCGGTTTCCTGCAACGCGCTCAACGGCGATGACGCGTTCGGGTTCTTTCAGGAATTTCGCGGTGCTTGGTAGATCGGGGAGGTAGAGCAGCGTGACGATGCCCATGATTATGCTGCATGAGCCAAAGATTAAGAACACGTACATCCACCTTGGAAGACCTGATTTAATGTGGCCTACAGCGTAACCAATTAGGCCTCCGAACATGGTTGCGATCCCATTGGTGCAGTAGTAGGCTTCCAGTCGCAGGGGTTGCTCTGCGCTGGTGTACCACATGCTCATGATGAGAACGAATCCTGGGTTTACGGCGGATTCGAGAAGGCCTAGAAGGAAGCGGTTGGAAGCGATGCCGGCGAAGTTGTGGCATAATGGAGTGGTCATCAAGATGATGCCCCATCCTGGGTACTGTCAATATACTTTGCGACTTCATGGGTGGGAAGTCACGCACCCAATGTCGTGAATCCTAAGAACTTAGCGATTGGTAGGCGTTGCAAGAAGTAACCAGACGGGTACTGCCCTACAAGGTACCCAAAATAAAAGATGGAACCTTGACAAATGTAAGTGAGCCCCCAATGAAGTAGACACTGTCTGTGCCGTACCAAGCCACGAAAAGTCCTGTCCTTTCAACTTTGTTCCTTCGTTCAATCCATAAGCGCTGGCGTAATTGATGCCATTCTTGTCGAGGTACTGGAGAAGGTAGATGAAGAACAGAATCGGGACGATGCGGACGTCGATTTTGCGCAAGACTCTCTTTGCTTCTGCTGCGTCTATCTGAGCACCCTGGTTCTTCTTGTAGGTTTCATAAGCGTCATCGAACTGCGATGATGTCTCAGAGTGCACCGGCAGGGAAAGCTGAATAGCCTCGATCTCTTTTTCCTGGGCCGTATGCGATGCCATCTCTTCCTTTCACGAGCTGGATCGGGACTTAAAAGCTCCAGATGTATGAGGTACTTTGGAAAGCATTCTGCAGGGCCGCACCCTTTTCTATGGATCGAAACCCACATCTCTACTCAGGGATGCACGTTGAGCTGCTGCCACATTATTCGGAGGGACGCCAGAAAACGGGCATGACGTCTCTAAGCGATGTGCCATGCGCTAAAGAATAGGACTTGATCCGGGGACGAGCTGGTGTTATTGGTTCGGAGACATGATGGCCGCGAGTAAAGCGTGCGTTGGTCCTGATTGCGACATCGCATGCTGGTTTGACGTTTCTGACGTTTCCTCGATACCGCGGATCTGGGCGCAATAAGGAACACCACGTGGAAGACACACAACCCGGGGCGCAAGCCAAGAAAGACTGCGGAATTTGAAAAATTGGATATAACGATCAAATATGGAACGTAGATAGACCATGATCCATCCTGCACTCTCTGAGGCTGAATAGCCAATGAGGTTCCCAACGCGCAGGAGGCCAGTAGACTAGCACAGGTGAGTTCGAGGTGAATATGCAACATTGTTACCTTATAAGCGGCGCCTCCATATGACACTAGAAACGTTGCTAAGATTCGCAAGCATTTTGATGAGTATAGGGAAGCTTGTTCAACGCATAGTGGAACTGCGGCTACTACACGCTTATGTAATAAGAGGTAGTTGCATCCCTGACCATGTCCTGCTCTTTTCCCTTCCTACCAACCTACACTTAGCCATTGATTACGATTGACGATGCGAAGTCCTCGGTATTTGCTGATGCTTAGTGATTTGCGACCGTATCCGTGTCCCAAAAGCCCGTTCCGGTATGACGTACGGCCCTCCGCGGACCGCCTCAGCTACAATGCGACAGTTCAGATAGCTATTGCTACAATTTCGAACCACAAATCAGCAGATCATCCCGTAGACAGGTATCCTGAAGATTAGCAATAGCAAACCTCTATACATATCCCGACTACCTGCTTTGATGCGGCTGAGTGATTAGGTGTGTTCATTGGGCCTCGTCAGGCGTGCAGCGGACAGATGATGGGGGCCGCGCCCCTGTAGTCCAGGGACGGCAACGCTGCGATCTTGTGGACCTCCTCGCGACACTGACCGCCGTCCTTGCTGTAGATCTGAACAAATCTACAGCGATGATCTCCTTTATTCTCGTCTTTGTTCCTTCCTTTTGTGCAATACCCCACAGTTCTATTCTTCACGGGCCGCCAGCGAGTGTTTCATAGGCGCTTACTCACCTACCGGCTAACTACCGCTCTATGAAACACGAACCACGGACTCCACAGAAGATCTCGTACTTCGCTCGCCTGGCCTACGGACTATATCCCGTGTCCTATCATGAGCTTAACAAAGCAGGTGGTTTGCTAGGTCCGACTGAAAGTCAAGCTTCGCCCCACCCATGTCCCTGGCCGTCAATCTCCGCAGGACTGAACGCCTGCGTAGTCGCAACTACCTAGTACCGTCCGCAATGGCGATTTCGTCGATTTGATTGGCAGTGCGCGGCGAGATGGCGTCGAATTCTCCACGAGATGCCGCGGGCCGTGGCGCTCGATGTTTCTTTGGTGTGTTTTTTGTTCCCTCCGATGCTTAGCCCTGTAAGCAGGGAGTTTGGCCGTTAGGTACACTCTTTGGTTTGTATAAGACCTCTTACGGTCGCCTGGTCCATTAACCTTCTCTCGCATCTACGCTACGGTGCTTCGTTCTTTGTCATTCTGTTCGCACATTCATTCACATTCTTTCAACTCTTTCTCTACGTTCTGCTCATCTTACATTCTTTACTTCATATCCATTCGTTCAGCAATTGACGCATAGAATCGTACTTTACCCCAGTATCCAAGATGAGAGGCTCCATACTTTCTCTCCTTACGTTTGGCAGCGCAGTCAGCGCCTGGCTCCCAGCCGAGCGCGGCTTCTTCAAATCTGAGGCTCGAAGCCTCTCCATCGGTCAAGGCCGCTCCATCACCAAACGCTTCAACCCGGACAAGATCCGTGGTGTCAACCTCGGGTCCCTCTTTATTGTCGAGCCATGGATGATGGGCCAAGCCTGGAACGACATGGGCTGCGGCGACCAAAAGTCCGAGTTCGACTGCGTGCTGAAGCTCGGCCAGGACGGCGCTGACGCAGCGTTCAAGCAACACTGGGACACCTGGATAACCGAGGAGGATCTCGACAAGATGAAGGAGTACGGTATCAACGCTATCCGTGTACCCGTGGGCTACTGGATGGTTGAGGAGCTCGTCGACCAGAGCGAGCACTTCCCGCGGGGCGGGCTTGAGTACCTCGACCGACTCGCCGGATGGGCGGCGTCTCGCAATATGTACATGAACTTGGATCTCCACGGTGCGCCGTACTCGCAGGAGATCCATCAGCCCTTCACTGGCCAGGTAAGACACGCCCTCCTGACATCCCACTTCGTGGCATGCTAATGATCATGGACCAGTACTCCGAAGAAGCCGGCTTCTACCAAACGTCCCAGTACGAGCGCGCCTACACCTTCCTCCAGAAGATGACCGAGCGCATCCACACCACCGACGCCTACCGCACAACCGGCATGATCGAAGTGCTCAACGAGCCGCAGCGCACCCACGACTCCCTCATCCCAGAGTACTACGCAACCGCCTACGGCAAGATCCGTGAGACCGAGGCCAACCTCGGCGTTTCCGACGACAAGAAGCTCACCATCCAGTTCATGGCCGAGTCCTGGGGCGCGGGCAACCCGCGGCAGGTGCTGGAGGGCAAGACGGACGTCGCGTTCGACGACCACCGGTACCTCAAGTGGGCCAACATCGACCAGAGCAAGCCGAGCTATATCGCGACGAGCTGCGGTGACACATTCGGTGGCAACGACAACAGCCCGATTGTGGTGGGCGAGTGGAGTCTGGCGGTCGCCGACAACAACGAGCAGACGCCTGAGTGGGAGCCGCAGGGCAACAAGGACTGGTACAAGCAGTGGTGGGGCGCGCAGGTGCAGGCGTACGAGAAGGGGCTCGGGTGGTTCTTCTGGAGCTGGAAGGTGCAGCTTGGGGATGACTACAGGTGGGGGTACAGGAACGCGGTTGAGGCGGGCGTCATCCCTCTGAGCCCTGACGAGGCTGCCGGACTGGCCAAGTGCTAGGCGTGCGATGCCGTGTGAGGGACAGAGGTGTCCTTGGTCGTATTCTGCTTCTTCCTTGGCCTGCGCTCCATCAGCGCGTGGCATTCCTGCATAGCGTTTGTTGTTATTTAGACGAACACCTATTTTCTAGATATCGAATTCTCAATACCCTACTTGCCAGTATCAAATCACCGCGGCAGGACATTGTCACTTCAGCATATCAAAGTCCCGACAGGAGTGCCAGCCAAGAATTGACAGTAGAAAAGCCCCTCATAGCTAACACCATGATTTGGCGGTGCATTCATATAATACCAATATCACTACCAATACCAATACCAATACCAAACCTCCATCTCATATACCTCATGAGCACACATCCCCAGCGCCATCTGCGCCAAAAACGTGCAACCAAAATGCACCAACTCGCCCAACCAAATGCAACAACAGAAGCCAAATCAAGCCAAATCAAGCGCGCAAAGAGACAATGGTGCTACCAGACAAGCTCTCCAGCGTGAGCGATTAATTCTAAATAGACAATAGCACGATACGTGCAAAAGGCCCATAAGCCAAGATGGGGAATCAGTAGAGTTTGCGTTCAGTCCAGTCCAGTCCAGGGGGTATAAACCCGAACATATATGCTAAGGAAATATCGTCAGGTCGTGTCGGGGTGATGCCGCGCTGTATGTATATATGTATATATGCGTGTGTGTGAGAACGCTCCAAGAGCAGATAGATTACGAAAGCAATAAAGCAAGTGGTTTGATATGATGTGATGTGTAAACAGATCGAAGAGCGATGACCGCCAGATGGTTCATGAAACTCGTTCCGGAATGTTGATCATTCGAACTGGCGGCTGCGCTTTGTGATTTCGTCGTCGCTGAGGGCAGCCATCCAGAGACATTTGCTAATGATGTTGGGCTCGACGTTGAACGTGTAGCGGGAACTCGCCTCGAGGAGGCGCAGGAGACTCTTGACAATCGTGGCGGCCGTGTGATGTCGTTCGAAGTTGACTAGCCTCTCTCCAGCCGCGGGAGGCGCATCGATGAACGCGGGCTTCTGCGCGTTGTAGATGAGGTCTCGTGTGTATATGCCTGATTGGTTGTTAGCATGCATTGCGGGGAAAGGCGGAGGCATTCTTACCGATGAAGGGAATGCACCCCTCCTCGATTGTGGCCGTCTCCATCTCTACGCGTAAGTTGTGGAAGTTCTTGAGAGGTTGTACGAGCGCTTCCAGTTCTCTCATGGTGTGCAGCTCAGCGGCAGGAACTAGCGACCACGTCTTCCGCATACGAGAGACATCGTTAGACAGGAGAGCGATGGAGAGCTGGTACATTGTCGCGTAGTTTCGCAGTCTTCGGGCGTGCGAGGCAATATGGATGTACTTGACAATGCATTTGGCTCGCTCCTCAATGCTCTCCGTAAGCACGATCTCGGAGACAGCCCACTTGACCACCAAGTTGAACCGAGCAATGACAACGTCGACCCCTCTTGCCTCTTGTGTGCGCAAGTAGTCGACCCAGTCGGAGATCTGAGGAGATGATTGTTTCCAGCGAAGCTCGATAAGCTCCCTCCAGTCAATCTCATCGAGCGCATCCTTCTCGATGATGGTGAACTGCTGCGCGAGAGTCTCCGAGTCGTATGCGAGGATGAATGGGAAGTGAGGAGGCTCCGCCGCCGGGCTCTCCTGCTTGGTCTCCTGTGGGTGCACAGTAGGCTCCTTTGGCTGGCCAAGCATCTCAAATGATTGCCCGTTGAGGCGAGATGCCGGCGACATACCAGGTGTAGGAAGGCCTTTCTCGAAGACGGTGGTGTCGACCTGAGGCAGGGTATCTTTTAATCGATTGGCTGTGAGCGGAGGCGTAGGCGGGTGTCGCATCGGATGAGTAGGTAGAAACTCGTCCTTGTCGCCCACAGGGGTCTCATCGTCGAAGAAGCTTCGGACGCCATTGCTGTCATTTGACATGGTTCTTCTAGTGGACCCGAGATCGCTGAGATCCTCTTCATCGTCTAGGAGGAACGATTCGCGAGCAATCGATGACCTCGGCATCGTCTCGTCTGCTGGAATCCTCTTCATGCTGTCCGTCTTGATGATGTGTTCGATCGATGAATTTGACGAAGTAGTAAGCTCTTCAATCCGGGTCACAGGACTCGTAGGATTCAATGGAGCAGGTTTCGCTGATAATCTCATCGTTTCCAACGTTGATGCACGGGCTCTTGTAGGCCGGCCGAGGCCGCTCAGCCCTCGATCAAGAAGCGGTACAGAGGAATAGGAATCCTCCGACTCGATCTGCGAGTCGACGGGGGGCACGCGGCGATTGAAAGCTTCCCCAGAGAGGCGGTACATGTCTTGCCCTTCGGCGCCCGGAGGAGCAAGTGGTCGATGCAAGGCATCGTCGCCTTTGGCGTGGTCTCTCGGCTGCGAAGGGTTGTAACCCGTTGGTACATATGTCTCTACCAGCGGCGCAGAGGGCTTAAAGGCCCCCAAGCCGACATCAGCCCTGGGAGATGTCTTTGAACTTGAGTCCGCTAGATCTGGCGACTTCTTCTCATACCTTCCTTCCAGCTTCATCAAAGCAGACTCGATTCCACCATCGTCGTGTATATCGTCCGGCAGAGCTGCCAGCTTAGCTACTTCAGCTTCGAAAGACGGTCTGAGATTGGGTTGGGAAGAGTGAGTATCCACTAATGAGATATGTGGTCGCTTTCTCAGCTCGCCCTCTGCGTCGCTGTCATCCTCTTTCTCAGCTCCTTTGGTAAGCCCATCAAATCGATCCGTCCTCAGGATGACAGAGTTGGCGATAGAATGAGTGCGATTGGATACGGATCCCGTGGAGTGCGGGCGCTGTCCTTGTTCCAGATCTTGCACGTTATCAGCAGCGCGAAGATCACCACCCGGGCGACGTCGGAGTTGACGAGCGGGCTTCAATGCCTTGATGGAAGACTGGCGATCGAACTGAAAGGGGTCATTGTCCGAGGACATGGTCTTGAAGGTCGACATGCTTTCGATGGGTTTCTGTCTCCCTAAACCGCTAGCATGAGACGTATGTCGGCGCAGAGATGCAGGGCGTGACATTGACGTCTTCGTTGAGCCCCGTCGCCGGAATGAATGCATCCGTTCTCTCCCGAGAGAGGCTGATCGTCTTTGTGGTACAATGGACGGTTGAATCGATGGGCGAGATACTCGTTCCCAGTCTTGCGGGACTTCTATTTCCCTGTGCTCGGGATGTATATCAGTCTTTTCGTCGTCGATCTTTGCATCGATTGATGCTACCCTAGTCAAGTCAATAGGAACAGAGCTGATGGAGCCTTGTCCCTTTTCAGAGAATGGTAGAGCCCCGGTCATCATGGGGACAGGCGGTGCGCCGGTGTCGTCCATGATGACTATGGACTTGCTTCCGGTCGTGATGCCGCTGTTGAATCGAAGGTCCTCCTTCTTGGTGGATTTGAGTTGGCCTTGGCTGCTGTTGCTGTTCGACTTGCGTTTCTCAAACTCAAACTCGAATCCTCCGAGAGCAGGGGCGGGGATCATACTCTGTCGCTGCTGCTCGTTCTTCAGCTGTTCTTGCACTGCTTCTTTGAAGCTTTCAGCAACCGCAGATGCGAGCACATCGACTCGGACCTGAAGACGAGGACGGGTGTTTCGACGCCTTTGGACACCAGAAACGGCGGTCGAGATGGTAGCAGGGTTCGAAGATCGCGCTGAGGATGCTGCATGGTGCTGGAAGCCGTGGGCAAAGTGCGGGCTTGAAGAACCCGGTTGCTTGCTGCTCAAGGCACGCCGAACACTCCCAAGAAGCTTCTTTACGCCCGGACTCGCCACATACCCGCCGCGAAACTGCACATCAGGATGTACAACCTCTTCATGTGCAAGCTCCAAACGTGATTTTGTGTGCCTCAAACTGCCGTTCTTCACATCGATGTACGGTGAGCCTGGCTGGAAGAGCCCACCGCGCACGAGACTGCCGGGAATCTTCGAGATCGTTGTGATATCTACGGTGGTAATGTCTCCGTCAGAGGTCGTGCTCTTTGGGAACGAAAGATGCGTTCTGTGGTCGCGCAGAGCGTCCGAAAAACTTCCGCTACGTTTGTGTCCATGTGATGGCCTGTTCGACTGCTTTGCAGGTGAAGGTTGTTGTGGACTGGCTGTGAGACGTGATGGCGGTGCTGCCACAGGATGCGGCACAGGATACGCATGCAAGGGTACGTCTTTTGCCGCTTCTGTTCTATTCAAGCCCCTCATTGGGATGGAACAAGACAGGACTTGCATACTGCGTTCGCTGTCGGGCGACAAGGGTATTCTCACGCCTGGCTCGTACTGGGAAGCGTACTGCGAGGGGATATATGGAGAGCTTAGGCTATTTTGAGGCGTGTGCCGAGCCCTGTGAGCCCAGTCCATATGTTTGCTGGCAAATTGGTCGCTGGGGTTCGAGCCAATGGTTTCCGGGTTGGTTTGCTCGCTCACCTGGCGCGGGGCAGGACCTCGAGGAGGTGTTGACGGCAAGGGTGCCGCAAACGCGTTCTCGTCCACGGATGCCAGCGATCCCGGTTTCCCTCCAGGCTGTAGATCTTCGTTTGCCCCATCCTGGCCAATTCGCTCGTCGCTTTCCCAATACAAGGCGCACGTCCTTCTCCAGCATTTTTTCAGCTCGCCAATGATTTTAATGTCACCACCGCCGCCATCTTCACGGGCTCTGAGGTCTTTGTGCAGCCCATTTACCAGCTCACAAAAGTACACACGCAGACGGTACTTTGGTACGAAATCATCGACGAAGTAATTGAGGATCCAGTGCCGGAGGGCGACGAAAGTGCGGACGCGGACGATGCGGCCAAAGTCATCCTGGCGATTCACAGCCCATCTCAAGCGTGACAAAAGGTAGGCGACGAGTTCACGGGCGACCAGAAACGACCTAAAAGTCAGGAAGAAGTCGGACAGCAGCTCGTAGTCGAGGAAGCTAGGCGAGGTTATGTGTGCAATGAGACGTGACGGCGTAGCAGCAATAATGTCTCCGGTCGCAGAGAAGCGGACAACAGCGTGATCGTCGGGGTTCACAGTGAGCGCATCGTATATCTGGGGCCCGATTGGGATCTTGGAAATGCGGGCTGAAGAGGGCTCCGACGAAGGCAGCGGAGGCCGTAGGTCCATAGTGGCGCGAAAGTTGAAGGAGCTGGGCGAATAAACGTCGGATCGTGGGCGGGACGAGAGGAACGAGTGGGTCGCGCGCTGTGGGGTCAGGAAGGATGCCCTGTAATCGTCGGTGCCGGCAGCGCTGGTGTAGGTGGAGCTGCGCAGAATGGCGGTTCCTCGAGCGCTGAAACGCGGCGTGCCCAGGCGATAGGAGGGAATGGGGACCTCGAGAATGGGCGTCGTCTCCGTGTCGGCCGTCCTGGGGCGCCCCGAGCGCTCAATGACGACCTTGAAGGTGCCGGGCTCAAAGCTCTGCGAGCTCACCGTGTGTTCGTCGACGGTGGAGAAGGATCGCGAGCGGATGTGGTGGGCATGTGCGGCGGGCGCAGGGGACGAGTCGATATAGGCAGGCCGCGAGAGCTTGATCGCATCGTCCGTCTTCACGTCAGTCGGCAGGGGCGGCAGGACAAAGTCGGTGCGGGTGGGTGTCTTGGCCTCGTAGACGGTCTTCTCCCAGTCCTCGCTCGTCGGGCGGGCCCTGGAGTCGAGGGTGGCGCTGTCGGGCGGTGTCTGGGGGAAGATGGGCTCTGGCGGGCGGGCGCGCTGATGTGCAGGGCGTGCCGAGGGCCTGGGAACAACGGTCAGCAGCCGAGAATGGGAGTAGGTGGTTGTATCAGCACTGGCGGGCGCGGGGTGGAGTCGCAGCCAGCATCGATCACGGAGCGAGGCAGGGCGAATGCACCTGGGCCTGCATCGTGGGCTGCGCTATGCTGCGGTGGAGGATGCCGTGTGAGGTCGGCCTCGAGACGCTCCTCTCCGCCTGCGTCCAACGGCTCCCCCAGCCCCAGCCGCCGCCGTGACGCGCCAGACAACCAAACTTGCGCGCCCAACGTACCTCAGGTAGATGATGCCGTGGTTGATGTTGGCGACGGTGAAGGAGCGGCCGGGCGCGGTGCTCGGGGTCGAGTCGGTCGTCGCGTTGCTGGTGCCGCGGGCCCTGGTGGTGCGCAGCTGCTCGCGGGAGTCCTTCACTCTGCGCAGCGAGTTGCCGCGTGCTGGCGTGCTCGGGAGAGCTCTCTTGTGGTCCTCGGCACGGCGGCGCGCAGCGTGGAGTTTTCTTGCTTGGGCCAGTGCCTCTCGTTGCGCGGTGGGATCCGGCGCTTGAGAGGGCCATGCCGGGGTTGCAACTGGCTGCGACAGGGCCATCCTGCCTGCGCGCGGAGTACGGCTCTACAGGGCGGCGACCATGAGCGCAGCGCAGCTATCGGCGGTTGGGGGCCTGGAGAGGAGCGCGACAGTCGTGCATGGCCAGTATGGGCTCAGTTGGAGGGGAGGAGGCGGATGAAGTCGCGCGCGCCCAATCTTCCTCGACCAGCCCGCGGCGGCGTCGAGCCAGCAGGAAGACGCAATTCCCAGAGCCACTCAGCACCTTGCCGGCCAGACAAGCCCACCCCGGGCCCGTGTAGGCGACGTCGTCTAGCGACCCTTTAGCCTCGCAGGCCAGCAGTGCTCCACCGCGTTCGCAGCTGCACGTAGCCGCATCCAGGCGCCCGCCACTCGAGCGAGCCTGCCATCCTGGCCTGCAGGTGCCTTGCTAACGTGCAGCCCAGCCAATGCGTCATGGGACGCATCTGCGCTGCTCTCCAGGCCCCGGAGAGCACCGTGGCTCAACGCCGCCCATGCACGACCAGAGCACACGAGCCACGCGCGCAGTCGACAAACCTTCTCCCAGAGCCATGCACCACGCCCGCCATATGCTCTGCGCCGGCCTCGGCCCGCCTCAGAGCCCAACCCACCGTCGACGCCAGTCGTGCCCACCAAGGCCAACGGCCCATCGCTCGACCAGGTCCTGCCGGTAGCAAACAGCAAACATCAAAACAAACCACGGCACGCTCGCTTTGGCGCGCCCGTTGCCGCTTCCGGGCGCGCACACAGCAGCCCGCTGATCACGACGCGGCTCAGCACCTCTGCCACACATGCTAATATTGAAATGCCCTCCCTAACCTCCAAACTACCAGTGCCTCGTCGATAATTTCTCCGTGCGCTATACCTCTCAGCGTGACGGCCAAGCACCCTGGGATCCGCCGCTGCTCGACCTACCCTTTCTCCCCTCTTTCACGTCACACACCGTGATGCTCACAATCCATGCTAATAGCCGAGTCAATGCACCTCCATCACAGCAAAGCACAGACAGCGCCCGTTATCACCACCGCGCCCTTCCACTAATACCCGTTTCCAACAAACGCTCGCCTCGTCTTTGACTCTTTGGGCTCGTCCAAAACCAACCCTCAACATTTCTGAGCACTAGATCATGCCGAGCATCCCGTCCGCCCCGGCGCACGACGCTTCGTTTGGGCTCAGACGTCTAGCTTTGGACTACTGCATGACATCGACTCAAGGCCACTGACCCGCGGAAGGGGGGCTGTTCCCGGGGGCTTCGAGAAGCTTTCTATCTAAGAGTCAGCGGGTCTGTTTCAGCGTGGCGATTCGGGTAACGATGTGTGGTGGCGAGATGAGAGTGCGGGATGCAGGCGTCATTGCCGTTGCGGTCGGAGGCGTCAGGGAGGTGCATCGAGTCAGAGAGGTAGCATCAGCTTGCTTTTGTTTGCCAGCGAGGAATTGCGACGTGCACACAGAGAGTCGTATTCCGACGAGTACCTGGATCGGACCTGATTGTCTGATGTAGTCCCTAGGTTCTCATCGCCTAGTCCATGAACCCCCACACACCCCTGACCCAGTCCTGCCCTCCCAGTCGCCGTAGCATTGCCATATCAAATCCTACTCAGATGTCTGACGAACCGTGTTCGTGAAGCAAACTGTCTCGACACCCCCACGCGCCGGCGTCGAAGGCTGCAAAAGATAGCGTCGTCATTGCTTCGGTGCACCGCGTTGCACGCAGAGACATCAGCTGGATCATGCTCTTAAGCAACCGTTCTTGATGCTTTGGTCAGATTGCCTCCTCGATGGCAGTCCGTGTCTTCTCTCGTTCAATGGACCCCCACTACACCCCCACCCCACTCCAGGTCATAAAAGGAGTATCTACAATCGCCGTATCGTCGGTACGACTGCAGCGCACACAGGCGTGCACCGATCCGTGTTTTCCAAGAGGACATGTCCTGTCCCTCCACGGAAACATGTTTCCTGTTGCACTCCAATGACTTTGTCTCGTCTAGAACCGACATCGCGACCCCGATTGCACCCCAGCGGTGCAGAAGTAGCAACTCGACCACACTAGCGGCACACTTTCTTCGTTGTGGGGATTCCGATACGGTGGGTAGATCTGAGTGGGTGGAGCCCAGGGTAACTCGTGCTACAACTGCATCGCTAGACAATACACAGGACGCTGAAACACTCCAAGCCATCCCCAACCCTACGCCTCTTGCCATATCCCATGAAAATGTTAAAATGCGCACAAGTAGTCACAACCCTCACCATCCTTCCCTTACCCCTCCCTTCTCCCGAACCCACGTCGCACAGTCTAGAAAGGATACGTCCTCACCTCATCCTCCCTCTCCATATCCAAACCCGCACGCACCTGCTCCTCATGCTTCCTGTCCAGATACTCGAGCAGCACATCCCCATACCGCTCCTTCCCCTTGTACTTACTCACATCGTCGCCCCAGCTCCTCACCGCGCTGGCCAATCGCCCCGGGACGTAAGGTTCCTCGCAGATGGCCGTGATGGGCAGGAAGTACGTGCGGATGGTGAAGACGACGCCGCCGGAGCGCGGGAGCCTGTTTCCCCATCACCACATCAGCCCCAGAAAAGCAAGCCGGGGAACGAAGGGATGCGCTTACCGTCTCAGACTCTGCCGCTCGCTGCGAAACATGTGATGTTCAATCGCCTTGTCCTTTTCGGCAGTGAACCACCCAATCCCCTCCTCGTCCTCGTTTCCAATGGACTCGCTCCACGCCAGCCCATCATCCACCTGTATGAAGTAATTGTTCCTGAGCACGGGGCTCTCGGGTTGCACTCTCCGGAAGAAATTCATCATGCTTTTCTCGAGCTTGGTCTTGAAGCCGGGGACGTCGCCAGAGGTGTGGATTTCCGAGAGCGGCATCCCGAATTTGTCAGACAGGCGCCAGAAGCCCGCGAGTAGAATGGCCCCAGCGAGCAGGTAGTACTGCCCGTCGGGCCGCTCGAACATGATGGCCAGATCATCCTGGACGAGGCGCGCGGCCAGCGCCATGGGGTCTTCCTTCAGCGGGCGTTCCACAATATTCAACGTCTCCCCCGTAGCCAGATTATCAATACCCACGTCTGTCTTCTTGTACAGGCTAGGATATCGCTGGGGCAGGTAGTCGCACAGCTCCTCGAGCAGCTCGACGGCGCCGTCAAAGGCTTCGGGCGCCGTGCGGCAACATCTGTCCCCGCGCTCCGCGATACGTCGCGCTTTTTCGTCGTGGTACTTCATGTAGTCGTTGTCGAGCTCGATCCACTCGTCCCAGTGCATGTTGCGCAGGCCGAGGGTGATGTTGTATTTTGGGCCGTGGCGAAAGGGGCGGTAGGGGAGGGGCTTTGTCTCGGTGAGGGACCAGTTGGGGTAGGGTGGAGCGGGGGGACGCTTGAAGTCCATGGGTATCCATACTGCTTAGTGTCAGGAGCATATCGAGGTGTGGGGCGGGATTCATACCTCCTGGTGGCCTGGGCGGTGCTTTGAAGGGGCTTCTTTTCTCGAGATCAGGCGTGCTGGGTCGGATTGCTTGTTTCCTGGTCCTTAGGCGGCGGACTCCGGCGCTCACGGCCCACCAAGCGGTTAAGAGGGCGAGGAACCCATAGAGGAGGTGTTGCGGGTCGATGTTTGCTTCTTCCAGGGCTACGTTTAGGCTCTGCAGTTTCTCGTCAAGCTTCTTGCTTTTCATGGTCTCTTCGAGCTTTTCATAGGCGCTATGGCAGTTGTGAAGAATCCATACATTCGCCTCTTGGAGGGTTTGCTCCAACCGCGGGCGGATAGTGGTCATGACGCGAGAAGGTGTCGAGAAGTTTGTTGCAGATCGTTGTTGTGGTCTATAGCTTCACGTTGTGGCATATGTATTGCTAGAAGAGCTACGTTCGGAAGCTGTAGATTGAGCGATGAAAGGTGGTGGACCGGGAATGGCCTAAAGTGAGCGGAACCTGCACAGCGGACACCACGTTTCTATACCACAGATGGCTAGCAGTAGTTCCCATACAACGATAGCCGATAGATAGGGTGCTAACAGATCAGCGTTTCTTGTTGGTCAGAGGATATCAAATGTGGGGTCCCCGCAAAGGGACAACACCAGTGTATTCGGGATTGAACTACCTGTTTGAGCTTAGTCTACCCTACGGACCGTTATTGCAGCGCTTCGACTGTCCGGCGGAACAGGACGTCGTATTGACCTACCAGGCTCATATGCACCGCGTGCTAGTGAGCTTCCGAGTTGCCAAACTCTGGTCGTGAAATAGCTGCGCAGCGGCCCTATGAGGTAATGGGTGTGGCGTTGTAGTGCGGAACCGCAACATGTGCGATGCGATAAGGCGGGCGGGCGGGCAACACACCCTTGGTGTAGCGATGCGATAATGCAACACAATCAATCTTTGCGGCGCAGAAGGCAGTACGTGCCCCACGTTCTACGGAAGCGCGCTGGTATGAATGGCCAATTTGGTACCCAGACCAGACGGCCAATTACTGACGTGCTACTTGCATCCAGGAAACTTTGGCAGGTGACCTTCTCCCAGGTCTTGGTGTCCGACATGAAATCGGGTTCCTTTTCAGTGGCTGGCATGCTCGGAATGCGTGAGTCGACAAGGTAGTTACAGTTATCAACGTGAGTCTATCCAGCATCATCAGCGGATGGGAAACCGGAGAGAAATAAATGATTAGTCAAGGACTTACATATTTTCCAGGGTCTTCAATATTCTCGTCGTTCATGCCAGTCGGCATCATGTACGCTCCATCGAAAGTTGCGTAGCCAGATATGTGTTCACTGAATTCCCCAGGTAATAAACCAGAGAATTCGCTCTTGATGAATCGAGGACGAGTGTCCTCTGGAAGGAGATAGGATGATGGAAAGCGATACCACTCTTTGCCCAAGCAAATGAAACCACGTTGGTGTGCGAAGCTTTGCTGCTGGAGCGGTCTATATACACTAAGAGGAGCGGAGTATGCTGTCATGGTGCCAATTGTCCGGAATGCACCAATGTTGAAAGTTGCTAGAACGAATGCGCTGACGAAAAGGAGCTTCACTTGAGCTGGTATCTTGCTGAATAGACTCTTGGGGTCCGTGGATCCGAAATTTGCAAGGACGATGTGCAACGATGTCGCTGCATTAAAGGCCAGCGCGGGATAAGCTGGATACATGAATCTTTCTTCTTTGTGCGGCTGCAGTGTGAATATCGCAAGCCACAAGTAGAAAGGGCTAAGAAATGTGATACCGCGTAGTAGCGCTTGATGAGAGAAGATTGACCTCGAGGCAAAGTGCTGGAGCAAAAGCAGAGGAAGAGCGGCCATGGCTAGAAAGAACCAGGAGTTGAAGTTGAGGGCCAGATTTCGGATGTAGAAGTGCCACGGCTCAACGCCATAGATATCGGGACCTCTACTCCCTCCGCTGAAGACATTGTAGAGCACAATGTTTAATGGCACGAATACGAGCTTCCTATAGAAGTACGTGTCGATAACGACTTGAGTCAGCTGTTGTCGCAACGAGTCAGCGTAGTACCAATATCGGCCTGAGGTACCCACCAAGATGAGAAGAGATCGGAATGTACCATCAAGCAGTCTCTTGATGCAGGGAACGACCTGTCCAGTAGTCACTGCTAGAAATAGTTCCTCAAAGATGAAGGGTAAAACAAGAGCACCGGCGAATGGCCATCCAAGTAGGGCGCCCACTGCGAACCAAAAGATACCCTGAGCTGTCCGCATGCCACCGGTCCAGTTCATGAACGCCGCGAAGCCAACCATGGTCGTATACATGGCGAAGCTAGAAGGGAGGTACGCTATTGAGGCATGGTACATCCCTGGACTGGATACCATGGCCATGAGGAAGAAGATGGCGACACGCGGATTCAAAGTCTTGGATATCACCGAAAACAACTTCGTCTCGCAGCAGGCGCAAACGAAACCAAGGACAATCCGAAGGAAATAAAATTGGGAGGTCTTTGTTTTCAGAATTGGCAGTAGACGTCCAAGTTCGATGACAGCGGCATGCATGCCTGTGTACGCCCAGCTTCGGATCGCATACTGGGGTGAGTACTCCCAGGTTTGCAGGCCATGTCCATGGTTGAGGTAATGAGTGGGTTCCCAGTAGTTGAAGACTTCGTCGCAGTCCTGGATTGGCGAGAAGACTGCAGCAATGACGTTGGCCGCGAAGAAGATTGAGAATGCGACTTTTGACTTGACTTGCGGTGGTGGTCGCTGTTCAGGGACCGAAGGTGGAGCTGCTGTGGCAGCAGATTTCGCGACAGGTGGCATCTCAGAAGCAGAAATTATGTGTGACGGAACACATGGAAATCTCCAGGGAGTGCAGTGGGCGGTGCTGCAGGATACAGTTTGCAGCGAATGGCAGGCGGCGCAAGAGGACCATCAAAGTGCAGGTGAACGGCTCTCCGCCAGCGCAGTAGGGCTGAAACGCCAAGAAGCAGCGGTGCACAGGCCAAGTCGCTCTTTCTTTAGAAAAGCAGGCGCGGCTCCCTCCCTTTTCAGCGATCATTCATATCTGCACCTGAGACCGGTGCCGCGCTGTCAGTGCACAACCAAAGAGCTGCTCGCTGCAAGGAAAATACAATCTGCGCGCTCAGCATGGCAGACTTTGCGCCGCCCGCCAAAAGGGCGCGGCTGGACGTGGACGCGGACGCACCTGGCAGCGGGAGTCTTGACGACGCGCCCGGCTCGCCTGTCGATGATCTCGACGACGACTTCTACGAGAACTCAGCCGCCGACAATGCGCAGGCCGCGGTGCCCCTCCAGGATGCCCCTCTCAAAGGCGGCCTGGACAGCATGGGAGACGCGCCGCCGACAGAGCCGGTTAGCGCAGCAGGTGCTCAGATCCCAGGCTTTGGCCTCTGGGGCGAGTCCGCTGCCCAGCAGCAGCCTCCCGCGCACAAGGACGGCGGTTCCGAGGACGGCGAGCTGTCTGACGAGGAGAACTTCTACTCGGAAGTGAACCCAGACGCCCCCATTGCCCAGCAGCAGCCGCCTGTAGGCGATGCGTCCCAGCTGGAGAGTAAGCTACCGCAACCTGGCCTGCTCTCGCTCTTCTCACAACCTGTAGACGGCGCCGAAGCCTCCGCTGTTGCTGCGCTCATCCCAGACGCAGAGGCGCCCAAGAGCCTCAAGCGCAAAGCATCTTCGCCCCCTGTCGAAGCCCCCGATGATGACGACGACGACGACGCGCACCTTGTTGACGCAATCACTGCCGCCATAGCAAACGAGGACGCCGCAGATGTACAGCCCGAGGACGACGGCAAGGCCGAGTTCCTCGAGGCCGCTGCAGCGAACAAGGACAACAAGGATGCCGAGTGGGAGCTCGATTCGCAGGCCTCGAGCTCAAGCTCGTCCGACTCATCTAGTGATGAATCCAGCTCTGATGAAGACGGCGAGGCCTCTGACGATGGCGAGCTGCTCTCTCCAGCGGAGATGGCCAAACGTCTGATGGAGGCCGACCCCGATGAGGACGACCCTAGCGCAAGCAAGACTACCAAAGTGCGCACTCAGAATGAGCTTGATGAAACATATGTCAAGCCAGACATCGCAATGAAGGATGACACAAAGATCACAGAAGTTGGCACAGTTGAGTCGATCGTTGACAATGTGGTCGTCATCAAGGCAAACACATCTGGAGACTACCACGTGCTAGAGGCCGGCTCTGCTTTGTGCTTAGGCAATCGTACGGTCATCGGCCAAGTTTCTGAGACCATCGGCCGTGTTCAGGACCCTAGATATTCTGTTGGTTTTGCAGACGTGGCCGAGATTGAGGCCTTGAACATAACGAAGGACACGCCCATCTACTATGTTGACGAACACTCGACTTTCGTGTATACCGAACCTCTACGGGCTCAGAAGCACACTGACGCCTCTGGCCAATATGACGAAGAAGCCAAGGTGCAAGAGTTTTCGGATGATGAGCAGGAAGCTGAACACAAACGTAACCTGAAGCAACAGAAGAAGGCGCGAACACAGGGCGCCGAAGAAGCTCCTTTCAATCCTCCCACCGGCCCTTCAGCGTACGTAAATCCTAGCATATTATTGTACCATTCTGACTTGGATAGCTATCGCGAACGCTCACCGCCTAACCCCTCCGCCTACACTGGTGGAGGCTTGAAGTACAGTGACGATGAAGACGAAGACCTCGGCATGTACAAACCACTTGCTCGACCAGACCGCTTCGAAGATATTGTTGGTGCTGGCGCGCCGCTTGAAGATCGCAGTCATGTTAGACGGGGCATGATGCGTGGTGGTCGCGGTGGCTGGATGGACCGCGGGCGGGGATTCCGCGGCAGAGGCGGCGGCGGCGGCGGCGGCGGTGGTGGTGGTGGTGGTGGTGGTGGCCGCGGAGACAGAGGCGGTATGGGTGGCGGCCATCGAGGCGATCGTGGCGGAATGGGCGGCCAACGAGGCGGCGACAGAGGTGACAGGGGAGGCATGGGGAGAGGCGGTGGTAGAGGCGATCGAGCCGACCGTGGGGGTCGTCCCTTTGGAGGATCACCCGAACGGCCAACTCGACAAGAGGAACAGCCTCGCAGAGCTCCGCTACCACCACAGCAGGAAGTTCGACCTAACTTCAGAGCACAGTTCTCACCTGCAGGATCACCACCACAGCAGGACGTGGGGCCGTCTCCACGCGGAGGAAAGAAAAGAAACAAGAAGCGGAATCGTCGCGAGCGCGAACGAGAGCGAAGAGAGCAAGAACGCCAGCGTGAACAGGAGCGTCAAGGATCATCCCAACCACCGGTCGCCGCGAATGCTACTGCCTATGCAAGCAATCAAGCACAGAGCAACAGTGGATGGAACTCGGCTCCTACCCCTGCCCCTGCACCACCAAGCTCATATGCTCAACCTCCAGCGCCGCCTCCCGCGCAAGCACCCGCAAACTACTACGTCAACCCCGGCCTGTTCCCTCAGCAAGCTGCCGCAGTCCCTCCTCCAGCTCCGCCGGCGCAGCCCCAAGCCAACCAAGCTCAAGCATGGGCCCAGTGGTTGCAAATCGCAGCATACATGCAGCAAGCACAATCACAAGGAGGCCAGCCCGCAGCACCACCTCCTCCTCCCCCGCAGCCTCAGGCACAAGCTCCGGCATACTCGCAGTATGCCCAACCACAGCAGCAGCAGCAGCAGCAGCAGCAACCGCAAGCACAGTACAGCTATGGATACCAGCAGTACCAGCAGCCGCCGCAGCCTCCCCAGCCACAGCCGACGCCCCCTGCTGATCCCCGCCTGCAGCATCACAACCCGCAGCAGCAAGCTACCCAGGCTACGCCGTCGATCCAAGATATCCTGCGTGCCCTGGGACAGTCATCTGGGAGATGAGGCTGTGTTGCAAACGAGAAGATTATTGGCAAAACGTGAGGATAAGTAATGGCAGAGACGGGGATGCGCTTTTAGTAGCCTGGCAGCTCAGTTCACGGTGTTTCCTTGCCCAGTCTGGTCTTGTAGGATTATCCATGGGAAAGCCTGGTAGTGGTAGATATCAGTGTGGCGATGTGGTGTATTCTAGCCAGACGCTTCTACTATTTCTGTTTCGTCTAGTTGAGTAACGGCCGCCGCAGACGGGGAGGACAGAACAGGACAGGGACGCTTGTAATATCTCGACATCTTTCTCTAACTTTTTTCCCTTCCGTTCCTGTGGGCGATATCAGGGTCATATATAGGTCGATACCATTTCACCTCGGCGCGTGTTGCTGCATTTCCAGATTCAAGATTTTTAGTGGTGCCGATAGGCAGCAGACAGCCTGGCGGTGTGGCGGGCCGAGGTTGGCGCATCTTACCTAGGTATGCCTACTTCGTACTTTTCCTCAGCTGGACGCCCGGCCGGCCTCACAGTACTACGTCGGCTTTCACAAGAACACGAGCCAACAGCCCTGAACATTTGTCACTACACCTCGGCCGCTGTTCAAGCTGCCCCGAATCTCCCATGTTGCAGGGTTGCCGTAGACGTCGCAACTGCCAATTGTCCCGTAGCGTACTTTGCCATAAGTCCAAGTCCAAGTCCAAGTCCAAGCCCAAGAACTTCCCGCCTCCACGTGGCAGGCTGCCGCAAGCCGGGCGTCTGGGCCGTGTGCAGGTCCGATTGGTGAGGGGCGCGCCATCTCGGAGTGTGCAGACACGATGCAGGCGTGCGAAGATCACTATATGCTAGGTGGACAGTGGCTACGCGGTGATGTTGGGGGGGCGGACGGGATGGGATGGTGCTGCGGGTTGTGCGCGCTGGGATGAGGAGACGACGACTGGGTACGGTCGGATGCGACAGGCGTAAGTCAAGATGTTGGGGCTTTGTCTCAGAAGCAGTGCGTGTAGTGTCTACCCCGTGGTGGAGCGCGGTTCTTGTGCGCGTCGGGGAAAGGGATGTGGAGGAGCGTGGCATCCAACAGCGGCCCTAGACGTGCAGCGTCGAGGATATGCAGTCCGGAGACACTACGGTGCGGTAGCTCGACCCAGGCGGGATAGCATCACGAAAGCACGCAGGCAGGTGCAGAGAGTTTAACGAGAGAGAGTGCGAGACGGCATGTTTAGCTGCGATGCAATAGCACCATCTGATAACCCACTGGACGAGTGCTCGTGCTTGGGTTTTGGGTTGGGCTCGAGCGTGCAGGGCGCCACATGGTGGCTCACAAAGGCGGGGATGCTGGGGCTGTCCAAATGCTGCGACGAGCGCTGGTCGTAAAACACATGCAGCTAGCAGGCGCGTCCGAGATACCGCGGCCATGGACTGATCTTGGGCAGAGACAGCGTGAATGGGACGCTCAAAGCTGTGCGATGGCCGTGGGTGTCGCACGTAGCGGGCTCCGGGTCGTATCAGTGGTCGGGGGTGTACAAAGAGCGCGCCAAACACGGTCGCGGGCTCGCTTTCGATGTGCCGTTCTGGGCCTTGTTGCGCCGAGCGTGGCTGCTTGGACCCCCGGCAGCCAGCAGGTGGCGGATGAAGGGCCGTGAGCAGGCGAGCATCCGTTGTCGTGGTGGAGCCGTCTGCAACTCCTCATCGTCAACGACGTACACCACAACCATCTGCATCGCGCCGGCCTGCCTGCTCCCGTGCTGCACGCTGCACGCTCCCTGACATACCCGTCTGCCCGCGCGTCTGCCCCGAACCCACCCATGTGCAGCCGACCGCGCGCCCGGCCTCGATGAAGCATCCGTCCTAGAGCATCATCTGTGGCTGCAGCCCTCCCTCGAACCAGCCCGCCTACGCCCACACGTCGCTCCCTCCGGCGCATCGCGAGCCCCCCGCCCGGTGCAGCCCGACCATGACGAGGAACGAAACGGTAGGCCGCCATGGGTCCACCGAGAGCTCCGCGAGCTGGCGATCGGTCCGGTCCAACGAGACAGTGCGACCTTTTGGCGGGCGCGGCTCTCTGCGCGGAACTCCCGTCACCGTGCAGACCTCCGAGGATCCCAACTTTCTGTACGTGTTTCCCTTCAGCCTGAGCTTCTGTCTGGTCGCAGACTGGACGATGCGGGCGGCGGCGGGCGAGCTGCGCGCTCCGTGCGCCTCGAAAACATGCGCCGAGGGCGCCCTGCTCGCCGTGTGGTGGTGTCTCGCAGCACAGCAACCTGCCCGCCAACTGCCCCACCACGCCATCCACGCCACTGCGCGCAGGACAGAGCTGTGTTTCTTCTCAACATGTGTGCCGGACGGTGTGAGGCGCTGCGGGTAGCTGCGCCAGCCTCGCTTCGCCCGTCTCACCACCAGACATTGGCCAAGTTGACTCAGCTAACCTTGATGCAGGATAGAAAAGGAGTCTGAGATCTCGCCGGGGACCGTTCCACCAGCTCCTCCCCCCAAGGACCCGGGCCACAAACCCCGAAAGACGTCGACGTGGGACAGTCCGCTTACAACCGACTACCGCGACTTCCGAGACCACCGAAAACAGCTGGCTGTGCTGGAGACGTCTGGAGGTCGCATACCCTCAATATCGCGCAATCCACCCACCGCTACCTCGCCGACGCCGCCGTGGGCTTCGGCGGGAGCGAATGGTTCATCCATGGCTGCCAGCGTCTGGGGCAGCTTTTTCAACGACTCCAACGAAGACATTACGCAGCTGTCGCCGAGACTGACGCGTCCGGGAAGCCAGGATGACGGCATGGGGTTTCCGAGAGATGACCGGCGGCCGTCCATGGCGAGCGCTACCACGGTGAGCAGTACGGGCTCCAAGTCGAGCGGAACCCGCGCGGGGTACCACAAGCGGCTGCAAAATGTTTTTGGTGAAGATTTCCCCCAGGATTCACGCCAGAATTCGGATACGAGTCTGCCGGCGCCGTATGTGACCGAGTCACAATCGCTCCGCGCAGGGCGGAAACGCGCAAATTCGCACAACAACACGATCGGGAGCAGCTTCAACAGTCGCCCCAATTCGCCTATTGGCTCGCGGCCGCGGACGCCCTTGCCTTCATCAGAAGTAACGCCGTGGGAGTACCAGGACTACAAGGTGAGTATTGTGTTGTCGTGGGGTTCGGTAGCTTGGGTGCTGTTCCAAGGGCTAGAGCGGGTAGCGACGCTCAGCGCGCCTGCCTCGTGATAGCTTCAACCGACACCAGGCAGCCGCGACCTCACCCGCTCAGAGCTAGCCAAGTTCAGCAACTGACCTTAACGAGCAGGACCTCTCCTCGCAAGGCGAAAACGGTCGTCCCTCTGCCGACCAGCAATCCATCAAGTCAAACAAAGGCTCCCATCACCACCACAAACTGAAGTTTCCGGGACATCGTCACAACCGAAGCAAGGAAGACAACAAGTCGTCCGAGACCCCGGCACGTGCCGCCATTAGCCAACCGTATCCCATGCGGCCTGCCACCAGTCGCGAAGAATCTACTTACAGCATTCGGCAAGAACAGCAGCAGCAGTTTGCATCCAAGACCAATTTGGTTCCGCGCGCCCCAAGCCCGACGCCCAGCGCATACAGTGCAGCGTCCAGAGATCCAACGTCACAAAGGTCCCCGAGCACCGCGAAGGGCCCACGTGGTTTCCTGGACCGCCTCAAGGGCAGGGGAAAACCAGACCGGCAACCTCAAGAAAACCTCCGCGATCTTCCGTCTTCCCAAGTCTCGCTGCAGCCTTCTATCCAGTCCGCCAAGGGCCTGCCAACGGACCCAATGGCGGGACCGTTCGGTTCCAAAAATCGAAAGGTGACGGACAATTTCAAGGATAAGGCTGCACGGGATGGCAACGGAAAACACAGAGGTTTCCCAATTCCGAGGCCAGGCCATAGGAAACAGACTGCCCCTGCTCCCGTGGAGCAGCAGCAGCCTACTGGAAAAGATCCCAATGAAGCAAGCACAGACACGACCAAGAATGACGCCATGTGGTTCCTTGATACTAACCTGGAATCCATGGAAGGCATCGTTAACACTCAGCATCAGCCCTTGGCGACGCCGATTGGTGAGACCGTGCCGACCACCTCTTTGAGAGCAGATGATATTCAAAGTGAGTCCAAAGACGATGCGAAGTGGGATATCCCTGAATCTTGGGGTGTTGTCACACAAGAAGGTAGGGGTGGTTCCCCACATGCAGAGCTCGATGAGGCAGAAGCTATGTCCAAGGAAGAAGATGGCAATAGGACGTATTGCGTCCGCATATTCAGAGTGGACTCGACCTTCGCAACACTATCCGCCACTCTGAACACGACGGTCTCCGAGATAATTCAGATATTGGGGAAAAAGACATTGCTACAAGATGAACTGAACAACTACCATATCGTAATGCGCAAACACGATACATCGCGGCAACTCGACGCGAAAGAACGACCCCTGTTGATACAAAAACGACTACTGGAACAAGCTGGCTACACTGATTCAGATCGTCTCGAAGATCTTGGACGTGAAGACAACAGCTATCTTTGCCGATTTACGTTCATCCCGGCGAAATTGAGCGGATATTCTAGCCTTGGGAAGGACCCAGGCTTCACCAAGATGCAGAAGTTCAGCCACATCGACCTACAGGGACGTAACTTGATCACAATACCCATCGCGCTTTACCAAAAGGCTACAGAGATAATATCTCTCAATCTTTCACGGAATCTGTCCTTGGCTGTACCTAGAGATTTCATACAGGCGTGCACCAATCTTCGGGAGATCAAGTACACGAGCAATGAGGCACGGCGACTGCCTGCGAGTCTGAGCCTCGCGAGCCGCCTGACCATGCTGGATATATCCAACAATCGCTTGAAGGATCTTGAAGAGGTGCAACTGCACAGGCTACAGAGTCTCCAAGGATTGAGGCTCTCGAACAACAGATTAACGAGATTGCCGGCTTATTTCGGTCAATACCGGGCTTTGAGGAGTCTCAACCTAAGCTCGAATTCACTCCACGAATTTCCGGATTTCTTGTGCGATGTACGAACGCTTGTAGACCTCGATATCAGCTTCAACTCCATAAGCAGTTTGCCAAAGATTGGCCAGCTCACTTGCCTGGAACGACTATGGGCCACGAACAACAAGCTCTCCGGTAGCTTCCCGCCATCCCTGTGCAACCTTGTCAACCTAAGGGAGATCGACGTTCGGTTCAACGCACTCAACAGCATGGATGTCATGTCTCAACTGCCGCGATTGGAATACCTCATGATTGGCCACAATTCGATATCCTCTTTTGAAGGCCATTTCCCAAAGATAAGAGTCTTGCACATGAATCACAATCCGCTAACTCGATTCGGTATGCTCCAGTCTGTACCTTCGCTGTCTGTGCTCAACCTTGCCTCCGCGAAATTGGCTGCATTACCCGAGGAGCTGTTCCCTAGAATTACTGGACTAACAAAGCTGATTCTGGACAAGAACCACTTCAGTGCACTCTCGGTGAGCATCGGCAGACTGATTAGATTGGAGCACCTGAGTGTAGCTCGCAATTCGCTGGATGAGCTGCCGACTGAAATTGGGCGCTTGGCCGAACTGAAATATCTAGACGTACGAGAGAACAACTTGGGACGACTACCTCCAGAGATATGGTACGCACGCCGCTTGGAGACGCTCAATGTGTCCTCCAACGTGCTTGACGGATTTCCAAAGCCAAGCGCTGCTCCTCCACCTGCTGCACTTAATGGGGACAGCAACCTGGAAGGTGCGACGCCAGCCTCAACGCCCGGTCTGGGAACGAGCCCAAGCTACGAAGAACTGGGAAAACTAGAAGACTTTCAGAATCGTCGCCCTAGCCAGGCTTCAGCGGGCTACCTTGGCTCGGCTACGTCATCCGCGTCTAACCAACGCAAGGGTTCAATGGCGTCGTATGGCTCTGCTAGCACCTCGAACACGGCGCGAAAACCATCGGTCGTGTCACGAACACCAACTGAGGGAACCCAAACCCCGGTCTCCCGCAAAGATTCCAGCCTTTCTAACAGGATGGTAACAACGTTCGCGGGATCTTTACGGCATCTTTTCTTGGCCGATAATCGACTTGAGGATAACGTATTCGATGAATTGTGCCTGCTACCCGAATTGCGGATCGTAAACCTATCATACAACCTTATCTACGATGTGCCCCCACGTACGATTCGGCGATGGCAGCATCTGGCCGAGCTATATTTGTCTGGAAATGATCTGACATCGTTACCAGCTGAGGATCTAGAAGAAGTCAGCTCGCTCAAGGTACTGCACATCAACAGCAACAAGTTCCAGGTTCTTCCGGCAGAGTTGGGTAAGGTGGCTAAGTTGGCTATTCTCGATGTTGCCAGCAATGCTTTGAAGTACAATGTCTCGAACTGGCCCTACGATTGGAATTGGAACTGGAATCACAACCTAAAATACCTCAACCTCTCTGGCAACAAGCGTCTAGAAATCAAGCCAAGCGGTGACTACATGCGCCGCGGAGAAGCTCGCGACCTCACGGACTTCACTTCCCTCACAAACTTGAGGGTGCTTGGTCTGATGGATGTCACAATGATGGTACCTTCAGTGCCCGAACAATCCGAAGACCGAAGAGTCCGAACTGCCGGTTCGGCTGTGGGCACCATGGCGTATGGTATGGCGGACAGCCTTGGAAGAAGTGAACATATTTCCACAATGGACATGGTGATCCCTCGTTTCCGAAGCAACGATAACGAACAGATACTTGGTCTCTTCGATGGTCAAGCCCTTGCTGGTGGCGGTTCAAAGATTGCGAAATACCTTTACGACAACTTCAAGATCCGCTTCGCAGAGGAACTAGGAAAGCTACGTCCCCAAGAGAGTCCAGTGGATGCTCTTCGTCGTACTTATCTGGGCCTCAACAAGGAATTATCCCTTGCGGCGCACCAAGGTATGGAAAAGAATGCCGGACTTGTCTCTGCACAGCCACGTGGTTCAGTGCCCGATCTTGGTGAAGAGGACCTTACTTCGGGATGTGTCGCAACGGTTGTATATCTCAAGGAGATGGAGCTCTACCTTTCAAACGTCGGCGACGCTCAGGCGCTTCTAATCCAAACGAACGGCGACAAGAAGATTCTGACTCGAAAACACGACCCTGCGGAAACATCTGAGCGGGCAAGGATACGTGAAGCTGGTGGGTTCGTCTCCCGGCAGGGAAAGCTGAACGATGTCCTCGAAGTTTCGCGAGCCTTTGGCTACGTACACATGTCACCCTCCGTTGTCGCTTCGCCGCATATTGCTCACATCACGTTGAGTGATACTGATGAGATGATTCTCATTGCGTCCCGAGAACTCTGGGAATACCTCACTCCAGATTTCGCTGTCGACGTTGCTCGGTCTGAACGGGATGACCTTATGCGTGCGGCTCAGAAGCTTCGCGACCTCGCTATCGCGTTCGGTGCAACAGACAAAATCATGGTCATGTTGCTGGGAGTGAGCGACTTAAAGAGCAAGCAAAGAGCGAAATACCGGACGCCAAGCATGTCGATGGGACCCAGCGGGTCGCCTGACGATTTTTTCTTGCGTCCCAAAGGCAAGCGCGCACGCAACTTGCCGAACGACTCGAAACTGGCTCGTTTGGATAACGAAGTCGATGCACCAACTGGTGAAGTGAGCTTGGTGTTCACTGATATCAAGAGCTCTACACTCCTATGGGAAACATATCCGATCGCAATGAGATCAGCGATTAAAATGCACAACGAGGTGATGCGTCGGCATCTGCGTATCATTGGCGGCTATGAAGTCAAGACTGAAGGTGACGCCTTTATGGTGGCCTTCCCAACTGTCACGTCGGCTCTCCTATGGTGCTTCACCATCCAGAGCCAACTCCTCGAAGTGCCCTGGCCTCAAGAGATCCTCAACAGTGTGAATGGGCAAGAAGTCGTCGACCCCAACGGCAACGTCATCTTCCGTGGTCTGTCTGTCCGTATGGGTATTCACTGGGGAACTCCAGTGTGCGAAGTCGATCCAGTCACAAAGCGTATGGATTACTTTGGCCCGATGGTAAACCGAGCTTCCCGTATCTCGTCTGTTGCCGATGGCGGCCAGATCACTGTGTCGTCGGATTTCATTGCAGAAATTCAACGGCTTCTCGAGACCCACATCGAAGGGGATCGAAGCAACTCGACAGGTTCAGAGGAGCAATTCGGAGATGATCAATTATCCCAGGCGATCCGCCAAGAGCTACGGTCACTAAGTAGCCAGGGTTTCGAGGTGAAGGATCTAGGCGAACGTCGCTTGAAGGGTCTTGAGAACCCCGAATATATCTACCTGATGTACCCACACTCCCTCGCCAGCCGTCTCGATGTCCAACGGCAGCTAGAGCAGAAGGCAGCGCAACAGCCCACCCAAGGAGCCGGACAGAAGATGCCAGGTAGCCAGCTTACTATTGACACTGAGAACGTCTGGGATCTCTGGAACGTTAGCCTTCGGTTGGAAATGCTGTGCAGTACGTTGGAGAATCCCGATTCCCACGAACTGAAGCCGCCAGAAACTGCTCTGCTGGAGAGAATGAAGAACAGAGGGGGCGAGATTACGGATAGATTCTTGATCAACTTCGTTGAGCACCAGATCTCGAGAATTGAGGTACGTTCTTGTACAAAACATTGGATAGGAAAACACTGACATAACTCGCAGACATGTGCAACTACCTTGGCAATTCGACACATGGTCCGGCCTTTCGGCCAAGCCCCGCTCTTGCAACAAGCCTGCCCCATGTCGGACATTCTCAGCGAGCTGCAACTCCAACTCGCCGAGCTGCAGCAGTTTAAAGACGAGGCAGCTTCGCAGTTTGCCTCGGCATGATCCCTACCCCCGCCATCTTACGACCCTTTACTTAATCTGCGCCGTAACGCCATATATACCAGCGGCTCCAACGACGTCTACGACCACACACTGCTATCATACCATACCATACAATACCATGCCATACAATATCACCTACTCTAATACCCATACATTGCTATTCACGCTCCTGCCTCGGCATGCTTGGACAACCTACCTACCTACTTTGCTTTGGTCTATGTTATGTCTCTACACGGCGTCTACTCACATATGTACCATCACTGCCCCGGTGGCTGCGTCTCACATGTCTTTCTGCTATGGGTCTTAGGGAGACGAGGGTGCATGGACGCCCCGGGCTGTGCTGGGCGGGCATACTGCTATGGCGTCTTTTTTCTCTCACGTCACGCTGGTTACCGTTGGCGTCGCTTTTTTTTCGCGACTTGGCTATGCTCTTCTTGTTCTTCTTTTCGGTTTCTTGCAGGCGACGTGGGATCTCGGCTGTTGCTTTGCTGAGCGGCGCGGACGGCTTTGTGGTTCTGCGAATGGGAAGGGATTCTTACACGTGCGCAGCGCTTTTGGGTCGCTTTGGCGCGCGAGATTTAGGGAGGCGTGTGTTGGTTGTTGACTTGTGTCAGCTTCGGTGGTTTAGCTTGCGCGAGTCCGCGTGTACGTGAGAACCAGCACATTGTTCTCTTTCCAGGAGTGTACCTGCTGTGAGCCCGTCCTTAGTATGCTTTCACGGTGATGTTTCTGTCGTTCGCTGCTCAGCTGCGCCTGCGCTCACCCTCCCGGCAGCGTTGTAAGTCTTGTTAAAACTCTGCATCCAAGTCTCGCACTCAGAACAAGTACTCTCCATTTTTCCACGATACACCTTGCCATCCGCTCACGACCAGTCACTTGGCTTAATCTATGTCATAGCTCACGTCTTCCAACACAACCCATTTCAAATTCTCACAAATTCCACAGACGAACCGTCTCAACCTACGTTAGTACAACCCCAATTCCCTTCCCATGCACCCCTAACATGCCGCTCCCCCTCCATCTCCTCCCCCTCCTCCTCCACCTCCACCATCGCCCCCAGCATCGCCCCCTGAACTGAGCAGTTCCCCCATCGCCTCGCCGATCTTGCCATACTGCTTTCCCTTCCTCCCCTTCTTCCTGTCCTTCTTCGGATTCACAATAGTATACGGGCGCCCATTGTACCCCACATAGGTCTGGTGCTGGCTGTGCGGGCCTTGCGCGGGGAAGGTGGCATAGGCCTGGTACGAAGCGTTGTACTGTTGCTGGGGATGCGGAGCGGTGTGTTGGTGCTGGGTCATTGGCGGGATGACGTGAGGGGTGTAGTATTGCTGATGGTGTTGAGGGAGCGCGGGGGGGTATGGTCTCGGCGCGGGATACGCGGGGGACTTTGACGCGCCGCAGCCCATCCCGTGGCGTTGCGATGCAGTTTCGAATGCGGCTTTCCGAGGGCCGGGGGACAGGCTCGCCGTGGTGTGGGAGCGCGCGTGGGACCGGACGATGGGATGGGCGGTGCACGTGAGCACTGGAGACGATCTTGCTTGCGGCTGTTTCTGCGCCGCCGAGTGCGAGATGGACACTCTTCCGGGACACTCTGCGGTGGCTTTCAGATGCTGCGTCTTGCCCTTGCCGAGTCCACACCCATATATATACCGCCTCACCATCCCACTCCTCACCTACACGCTTCCCGTCCCAGTCCCACGTCATCGTGCTTTAAGCACACGAAAGCTTGCAATGCCATGCCAAGAGCTGAGAAAGCAACGCATTGGAAGTGTCCACCGTCCGTGCGTCATGAATACTACCCGTTCAGGAAAGACACGATCAGCGCGCTGTGTAAGTGGCGTGGCGGCGAAGCGGGGGCTGAAACCATATCGCATCAGCACCATGTGCGAGAACTACCGAAATGGGTGTAATTAGATTTTCTTCAGAAGACAGACGGGTGATTGGCCTCACATCCACATGTTTCCTCCAAGAAGACATACTACTTGTTTAGTATGTTCGTAGGAACCATCCCCTCTACCCCGGCACACCCAACCTCTCCCTAAAGCTTCCCGGCCCCCTCTCTCTCTCATCCCCACTCCCATCATCACTCCCCACCCCCTTCTCCTCAACCATAACCCCACTGCTAGGCCTCTCCTCGCTCCGTCCCCGCTCTACGGGTTTGTCCCCCTCACTCCGCACGCTCCTCCCCGGACTCAAGCTCCTCAAACTCCGCACGCTCCTCCGCATCCTGCTCGCCGCAGTGGGCGCCCCGTCCGCCAGCCCGACCGGCGCGATAGCCTCGACCAGCATCCCCAGCGTCGGCGTCTCGCGCGCCTTCTCCTGGGCACGGAGGTAGAGATCGAGCTCGCTGGCCGCCGGCGCGCGTGGCATGACAGGCAGCGTCGCCAGCCAGCGGCGCGCGAGGTAGTTCTTCATGCGGGACCACGTCCCGAGCTCGCGGTCTGCGGGGTCTTCGGGGCGGGTCGCGAGCACGGTGCGGTCGGCGTTGAACCAGTGCGTGATGAAGCGCCACTTGAGGCCGGCCCACCAGCCGACGGGAACGACGCCGTGGCGGGGCCCGCGGCGTGTCCAGAGCGTGGGGTGCTTGGAGGAGAGCTCGGAGTGGAGGCGCTCGTAGACGCCTCTGCGGAGTGTTTCTTGGTGCTGCGAGGAGAGCGTGTGCTTCATCATGTACCAGAGGGCGATGACCACCTAAGATGAGGGTGTAAAGTCAGTGTGAGTTAAGACAGGGTGGTACATGTTGTAGCCAAGAGGGAATGGTAAAAGACATCAACTTTGTACCTGGTGGTTTACTCACAGTGAAGAGCGCGACGACGGCGATGAGGAAGTACTTGATGGAGGGGTTTTCGGCGAAGGTGTCCACATTCATGCCAAAGAAGCCAGTGGTGAAGGTGAGCGGGAGGAATACAAATGTGATCCAAGAAAGGCGCCACATCGAAAGGCCCAGCTGGAGGGAATGGCGCGCGTCGCGGATGCCTACGCTCTTGTACATGAGGTCGGAGAGGTTATCTGTGGGCTTGACGACGCCTTCTTGGAAGAGGGTAGTCAACTTCTCCATTTCTTCGGCGGACGACTCGAGCCAGGGACCGTCTTCTGAAGGGTCAGAATTGTCCAGCTCGTGGAGGTAGGCGCGCGTCTCCTTGATCAGATCGATGTGCAGATACATCAGGCGCTCCACCTTGAGCCACAGACTCGCGTTCGTCCAGAGCTCGGGCGCCCTCGTCTCGTCTGCAGGATTCTCGTAGATCTTGTCTTCCAGTATTCCAGTGTGGACTTCGCAGATGTTGCTGTATTTCTCCCAGTTCTGCGCCAGCGCTCTGAAGATGTCGCGGAGAATGAGGTCCATACACTTTGGTACCATTAGACCATCGTCCTCAGTATCAGATCTGGGCATGTAGAAGGTAAGTCTCCGCCATCTCAGCTCTATCTCTTGCCGCGCCTTGACCAGGGTATCCTCGACGGACCCGGTCTGTGAGTGTTCGAATAGGATGATGGTGTTTCCATTGTCCAGCGTCTTCAGCTTGGGCACATAGTCGTCTGCATTGTACTGCTTTTTTAGATTCTCATGGTACTGGTATTCCTCTTCGTCGTACGGGTTGCTGATATCCGGATCGACATCTCCACCAGGCTCGTCGTAGCTAAGCTGCACGTACACACTCAGGCGCTGCACATGCACATCGTACGTGTGGGCCGGAAGGTCGTACTCGTCATAGTGATTCAGAGCCATCATCTTGGTCGACTTTACGTAGTCTGACTCGACGACCTGGTTCGCCTATCTCCTATGAGCACGACACTAAACTCACGGTGCACATCACTCACAGGATAGTGCTTCAAGTAATCGCATCCAAAGCTCGTCCGGCTGATGCCACGCCAGGGATCCCTCTGCGTGCGGAAGGTCTTCCCATTCAACACGGGCTTGTTCGCCCTCCTCTGCGGCCGTTCATACCTCGCCCACCGCCCAAAGCTCGTCCCCACCAAATCGTCTGTCGCATCGATGTTGAACTTCCTGAGCAGAAAGCGCGTCGCCCAGCTCGCGTTCTGCACATGTATGACCCGCAGCGCGGCCTGCCCACTCAGCTCCTCATTCTGGTAGAAGTTCCTCAGCCCCTCGACGTCATTGAACTCCTGCGCTACGATCTTGCGACGGCCCTGGGTGGTGTGGTTCTTGTCGACGTAGTCGATCAGCAGCACGCGGCCGTTCTGCCAGCTGTCCTTGGTCCACTTCTCGTGCCACTCGATGTTTGGGCTGCGCTGGCGGCGGTGGCCGCGCTCCCAGGTGTTGTTGCGGCGCTGGCGCGTGGTGTCGTGGTAGGACTCGCGGGATTGGGGCTCCGGGCGGGGGCGGTAGGAGGTTGGTTGCGGCGCGTCGCGCGCGTAGGCGGTCTGCGAGCGCGGGAGTCCTGTTGGAGTTGAGCAATCGCTGGGAGGACATGCATGCGCCTACTCACTCCCCATGTCTGTCTCGGCCGTCGCCGTATCCTCGACCAGGATAGGCGGCGGGTCGGACCGCGCTCTCTTGTGCGTTGGCATCGACATGTTGCATGGCCTGGCGCTCACGGCATTCACGGCAATCACGGCAGCGACCCAGGCTTCGCGAAACCTCTTCGCAGCGCAAACGAACTGAGGCTCGCTGATTGGAGCTGCAACAGCGGGTGCAACCGTGTCGCGCGTCGCAGGACGCTGCTAAATATACGCGAAGAAGGCATGGCGCTGCGACCGGTCAGGAACGGTCAGGCTTCATTGAAGAAGGCGCCCTCTTGGGGGCCTTGCAGATGGGGCCAGGTCTAGGGCTGAGGTTGTAGATCGCTGTAGGTCACAAGCGGCGGCCCCGCGCGCAAGTGGTAGGGGTTGCACACCACACTTTCGTGCCAGTGCCGGATGGAGAGCGAGAACACTGCTTTACAAGAAAAGGTGGTGGAATTAGGGATACTTGGATGCCATGCTAGCACTGTGAGCAGCCGCCCCAAAAGCATTGCCAAGAGGGTAAGAACGCCTCTCGACCTCGTAGCTGGCACCCGAAAAAGCACCACTTCAAGGACCCTGAGCGGTAGCACACTTAGCTTTGTTTACGCATACACTTCGAGCCAATTCCAACCAGAGTAATAGCATGTACGTCCGACGAGATCGAGAACGGATGCGAAGAGCACATGGTTTGAAGGCCTGTTCCCAAGATGCGAGGAGATGACCTGAAGACACGCGAGTTCCTGCTTTTCCATGTGGTGAAACCTTGGAAAGTCCATCAACACATGAACCAGTCCAGTATGACCTCAACCATCCACCTGGAAATTAGACGGGAATACCCCGCCCTGTCGTCACCGTCCCCACAGCGAGTCGCAACTCTAACCTCAGCTTCCAACCAACGTTAATTAAATCAAAATAAGATGTTAATCACCCTCACCACACCTCCCACCTGTCTTTTCCTAGGACTGCATACATAGAACCCACCACAACCACAATGGCCCACCCCGTCCGCGCCTGGACCTTCACCAACGGCTACCCCTCCACCCTGCGCCTCTCCACCATCCCAATCCCCCAAGAAAATGACGTCCAACCCACGCACATGCTCGTCAAAATCGCCGCCTGCGCCCTCAACCCCGTCGACATCCAGATCATGAACCTGCCGCACTTCTCCCTCCCCACGCTCAACGGCGAAAAAACCACCGTCATGGACTTTGCCGGCACCGTCGTCGCCGGCGGCGGTGCCCAGTTCTCCAAAGGCGACAAAGTGTTTGGCATGGCGTTTGCGTCGTATGCGCCCGCGGGGGGTGCGTTGGCCGAGTACGCGCACTTCCCTCTTGCAACGACGGTCGCGGTGAAGAAGCCCCGCGCGTGGCCGGTGGACAAGGCCGCGGCGATCAGTCTGGTGTGGTTGACGGCGAAGGCGTGTGTCGAGGCTGTGGCGCCGTGGGTCGAAGCCACGGCGAGCAAGCGCGTTGCTGTGCTGGGCGGCAGCAGCGCGACAGGCATGTACATCACCATGCTGGTCAAGCGGCGGGGGTGGAAAGTGGTTGCTACCAGTTCGGCAAGAAACCGGGGGTTCGTGGTGGACGAATTGAAGGCTGATGCGCATGTGGATTATACCTCCGAACATGTGCGGACTGCGGTGGGCAAGTTCGAGCCCGATGCCGTGGTGGATTGTGTCGGGGGGACTGAGTGCATCGGGTTGCCGTCGAGTAAGAGGTATGTCACTATTGTGGGGGATAAGACCGGAAGGACGATGATGGGGGGCCCGGCGACGTATTATGATATGATGCATCCGGTTCATGCTGCTGCGCAGTGGGTGAGGTGGGCGAAGGGGAAGTATGGGCTGGGGGAGAGCTACGATGTCGTTATTCTTGATCAGAAGAGCGAGTGGCTTGAAGAGGCGAAGGAGACGCTTTCCCCAGAGGATATATACATTGACAGTGTGTACGAGTTTGAGGACGCGAAGCAGGCGTTTGAGAGACTGAACACGGGGCGCGCAAAGGGCAAAGTGGTGATAAGAATTGGCGAGCGGAGTAGCACTTGAACGTCAAAGGAGGCCTGTCGCAGCCGTACAAGTAAGTATCAGAGTAAGAGGTAAAAAGAGTACGACGTCTGAAGATATTTTCACCATTACGACCGACGCTGTCATCATACTTTAGACTCTCAAGGCCCTCACAGCCTCACCTCCGTCGTCCGATTCGTCTCCACATCCAGCACGAACCCAAATACCTGCACATCCTTGGGCAACAGCTTATCTGCCACAATAAGCTTCATATCCTCCCTCACGCTTTCCTCCTCCGTTTGGCTGCACCGCCTTAGCTTCGCCTCTCAGAACCGAGCCCGCAGAAGAGGAAGGGGCGAAAGTGGACCCTGAAGAAAAGAAAAAAGCGAAAGCTTACTGCTTGAACGAATCCCAGTGTTTTTCTTCAAGGGCGGAAGAAGAGCCTCTCATGCGCCCGGGCAGCGTGCGCTTGATGTACGCGTCGTCGATGCCGTGGGGGCCAACACCGCAGTGCTACCGTCGACTTAGCCTCCAACGCCGACCTACGCTCAGGCCCCCGATGCGAATTCAGAAAGAGGCAGGACGTACCGTATGATGCACCACCGCGACCGCACTCAGTCCCTCCCCCAGCGCGCTCAGCACCTCCAAACTCCTCAGTGCGTCCGCAGCCCTCCCGCCCGCATTCCTGATTACGCCTACGGTCTCCAAATTAGCACTGTCCTTCGTTCTGGGACATCGCACTCTTCACGTCCTCTGCCGTCGAGACTTTGGGCAAGACGAAAGGGAAGAGGAAACATACCCGGCGGCATGCCCGCCTCGATGCCCCAAAAGTCCTTAGGGTCGGCGCGCGGATCCATGCACGAGATGACTGCCATGGCGTTGCGGGACATGAGGTCCTGCAGCGTAAGCTTCGGTTTGAAGCCTGGGCTTGCGCCTGCATTCTTCTCCGCAAGGTCCTGGATCGTTGGAAAGGGGTTCGTCATGCTGCTGTTCTTCTACGTTGGTTGGGTGGTAGGGGGAGCGAAAGTCGTATAGATGAAGAAGTGCGGTCTCGTGATATTATCGCTGCTGCTTTCGATGCTGCGCGCTTCAGATGGAATATGGTATGATGTGAATTTCTCACTGCGGCCCTCCTGCCCGTCTCTTATATACCTCCCTACACGCAGCGAAGCCAGACTCAATCTCAAATCAGACCGTCGTCGCGCTCTCTTTCCGCAGTCGTCATCATCGCACAAGAAAATAATTTGAGTTTTTGTTGTAGCGGTGGTGAGTAATCGTAGTTAGGTAGTCGTGAATTGGTGTTTCGCGGCACGGACGTTGGGTGTGACGCCGTGCCGGCGCACCTCACAGCCACGCGGACCTCACTTTCGGACCAGTACCTCGCAGTCATACGTAGAGGTGTAATCAGTGATTAGTTAGTAGGTGAGAATAAATCGTGGGTATAATGGGGGGTGGGATGATTAGTGATAGCCGGTATCAACTTCTAGGGGTGTGTGAGTGAAGGGCGGTGGCGGTGAGTAGTGTCATATAGTAGTACGGATTAGGAGCTTCGGTGTGATGCAGAGTCAGAGCTGGACATGGGCGTAAACCAGTTTTTCGCAACGAGGGAGGAATAGCGAATTCAGCAGATGGAATGGGCCCCTTCCCTCACCTCCCGCACGCTCAAGGGCCAGAGATGAAATCCACCACGTCTGATATTCGGCGAAAGGCTCGCCATATTGACTCAGTTCCAGGTATTGTATCTGCAACTACACCTTCCGCCCAAACACTCTAAACCTCTTTACGCCCCCGTCGGGGATGATGACCAGCTTCGCATGCGTGTACGCCCGCCCCTTGACCTCCTTCAGCTCCGCCTTGTACTCCGTCTCCACGTCCGGCCCGCTCCGCTGGGGCTCTAGCACCTCCACCCACGCTTTGTCGTCATGTGCAGGCTCGATTCCCTGCGCGAACTTCCCCGCAAATACCTGCACCTTCTGCGGGAAGTTGCCTCGGAAGTGCGCCGTGTCGATGACAACATGGTCGATCTCGCCCTCCGCGCCGAGCTTCACAATTGTCCAATCGACGTGCTCGCCCCGCGTACGCTTCGTCTCCCAGCCATCGCCCATGTCCTTCCCGCGGCCGGGCAGCAGCAGATTGTCTTTTGTGCCAAAATGCTGGTCGGAGCACGACACGGCGACCCCGCCCATGACTGTGGCGCTGAGCTCGAAGACGGCGTCCGCGGATGCGGGGAATACGGGGACTGCAACGCCGTAGAGACGGAACCGCGCGATGCCGCCGTCGGGGTACATCAGCAGGCGGACATGCGTGTATGCCTTGTCCGAGATGCTGTTGAGCAGCCAGCCGTGGCGCTGGCTCGGGCCGCACTCCTGCTTCGCGAGTATGGTCTCCCAGCCCCCGAAGTCGGCGCTTTTGACTCTGTCTTCGTCGGCTGCGTCCGTGATGAAACAGCCCTCGACGGCAATCTCGGGCGCGTGGTTCCCGTTGAAGAAGGCCGTGTCGATCTCCACGCCTGCGACGCGCCCGCTAGCCACGCCGAGCCGCAGCACCACCCAGTCGGCCGGTTCAGTGTTGTGCCGCCGTGTCTCCCAGCCATCGTACCAGGCCCCGCTGTGAACGAAGACGCCTGGTTTGTGAACCGGGGGTGTGGGCGTGATAAGGTTCTCGGCTGCGGCGAACCATTCGTCGCTGAAGGAGAGAATTTTGGAGCCGAGGGGTGCGGAGATGAGGTCTGAGAGAAGTTGTTAGAGTAAGAGCATGGTCGAGAAGAGGAATCGCCGTGCCTATGTATTTCGACTTGAATGTTGAGTCGATCTCTTCGGCGGGGATGCGGCGCGCGGCAGCGGTCGCTGCGTCTTTGACTTCTTCTGGACCAACGGTGCGAATTTCCATGCTGACTGAGTATTAAGAAGCTGAAGAGTGGAAAGATGTCTATAAAGTAAGTGGAATTTACAAGAAAGAAGAATTGCTCAGGGTTCAGAGAAAGTTGTTGTCGTGCGCAAGGGGAACCTGCCCTTCCGTTGATAGGCGGGGTAGTGGGGCAATCGAGCGGAGAGCGCCGACGAGCCAGTCGCCGAGGAGCACGCGATAGTAAGGTGAGGCTATCGAGTAAGAGAAATGCCAAAAACAATGGCGAACATCGGAGCAAAACTGATGCGACCGACGGAAAACGCAAGAAACGCGGGAACTGCGGGACAATGTTCGTGTCTTACAAGGGGATGAATAGAAATCTAGGTATGCACTATGCCGGAACCTTTGTGCCATCAGCACCCAATGCAGCTTTTCGAAAGAAAAGGATGATATGAGAAACAAACCATGCGCCGCGCTATGTTGATGCTTTCCGCTCGCTCTTCACAATGCTAGGCCGATCCATCCCACCATGTCCCATCGGCGCGTTTTTCTAGAGCACAGTGTCGCCCTGGAACCATGCGAATTGTGCACCCCGAAACGTCTTCAGCGTTCAAATCCGCAACACTATAGACCGTGTCGAGTGGCGTCTCTTTGGGCTTGCACACGATCGCTCGCTCAGACAGCGACGGACGACGCGGCGTATGTGGTGCTCGTATGCCGTGTGCATCAGCACCCTGGGCATCCGCTGTCAGCAGGGCAGTCGATGACAGTGGACGATAGCTTTGCGATTTCACCGGTAGCCCTGGTTCTCCCATTTTGTTTCATCGTACAAGCTCGTCCCGTTCTTACTGCCTCCACTTAAGTCAAGCTTGGTCAAGAACTCTGGTGGCACCGTAGGTATATATTTCCTTTCGCGCTCCTTGTTCACGCCGCCGAAGCCGGCCCCATACGTAATGAGCATGTCAGTCGATGTCGGTAAATGGAAGGGCAACATGTACGACGGATCAAACAGTAGCTCGTCGGGTGCATCACGCTCCTGGTCGTCTTCGGATACTCTGGAAGGCGCTGGAGAAGGCGCCGGGATAGGTTGCATTGTCGCCTTGATGGGTGTGGACGGCGTGGAAACCGGTGCTCTTTGAGGAGGATTCGGAGACCTGCCACGGGCAGCCCTCCGCTCTGCTGCAGCTTTTTGTAGCCCGTTGATATGGTTCCGCGCACTCTTAGTGATGCCTTTCTCACCCACTTCGGCTCGGTAATACTTGGCAGCATGGAGCAGCTGCTGCGGCGACAGCCTAGTCAACTGATCTATTGTGCTCTTCAGGTCCTCTAGGTCGTCACCAATAGAGGAGAAACACTGCAGCCATTGGAGTAACTGTATGAGCGGCTCAAGATGGCGCTTTGCAGACTCGGCTGTCGTCTCCCCAGTCGATGTCATCGAGCCATTCTCATAATGCTCAGGTTGTCGGTTATTTGAGCGGATCCATTCCTCGATTGTGGAAACGTTCATGCGGATCTGCATTGCCTTGGTGCGAGCAAGATACTTGCGATTCGACATGATGCGATTGAAGAGCTCTGCAGAAAGCCAGTAGATGAGCTGAGATAGAATCTGCGCAGTGATGACCGAATGGATATCATAAAGATCTAATACGAACAGGGTTGACGAGAGAAGTGAGGTGATGTTTCGCGCGGACGGCTTCATCCGCTGCTTGGGAGAAGGGGGACGAAAGCGTTTTTCGAAAGGCTCCAGAGGCTTTGCCTTTTGCTTGGTCTTGAAGATTTTCCATTCGTTTTGAAATTGTATGTCCTCGAAGCCAGGCATCGGTTCATGGTCGAGCATGGCCTGGTCCAAAACCTTGTCCATTCTCCGTTCCGCATCTCTTATAATGAGAATGAATATTTCGTTGATGAGCTCGGACAGTTGGAGCTGGAACTCCCCGGTAGCTGTCGCTAGGCCGGAATCTTTTTTGAGGTAGTGTAGAAGCAGCGTCGCATTCGATATCCAGAAGGCGAGCACCGTCATGTCCCATTGGTGTTTTTCGACGATGACATTGATCTTCTCCATGGCCGAGGAGAGCAATATTTCCAGCAGCTCTGTGCCTGAATGGTAGTGTGCATAACGAGCGCTGAGGAACAGGATGTTGGCCGGAATAGGTTTCTGCGACGGAGAGCGCTGCGGGGTCATGTTGGTGATGATGATATCCAGAATGCGATCGAGCTCGTTCTCCTGGAAGACGAACATCTGGTCATTGAGGCACCGGTCCCAGACGAAATCTTGGCTCTCTTCCTCCAATTCTCCAGGCGACTATCACAGTAAGCAAATAATGCAGATTTTAGGTGCAATATGGGATCCACTGACTTCGGGCTGCTCGTCTAGACCCAGATTTCCGAGATCGACCTCCAAGTTGAAGGCACTCTCCATCGCCATCCGTCGCTTCATGTCGTTCTCCTGCATTTCTTGCTCGAAGCGATCTTGCGAAAACCCTGAGCTGTAAAAGTCATCGGTGACACCAGCATTGCCAATGGTGTAGCCGGCGTCGTGTAGATAGTCTGAAATCTCGCTGTTGGGTTCGACGAAGTCGAAGGCGGTTCTGCCGCCAGACGATTTATGGTCGGGAGACGCGCCGTTCTCGAGCAGGAGCTTGACAATGCCCTTGTGTCTGTTGGTCATGGCCCAGATGAGCGGGGTCCAGAGGTTCTTATCCTGCACATCCACCTTTGCGCCTTCTTTCAGCAGGGTTTCAGCAATGTCCTCGTGGCCAAAACAGCTGGCATAGACCAGTGGCGGGGTGCCCTCGGCATCGACACCGTCGATGTCGATGTATTCGCGCGCCTTGCCGTCCAGTAGGCGTTTCACCCTCTGCATTTCGCCATTGGACGCTGCCAGGGTGAACAGTCCCTGCAGGGCCTGCTGCTTCTCCTCGTAGGAAAGCTTGTCGTCGGCAACCACCTTTGCCTCGTCGCCGCTGTTGTCGTTTTTCAGGCGTGCCTGGTGGGCTAGCATCTGGACCAGGCGACTGTCGCTATCTTCCAGCTGCTGCATGTCCTCGTCGCCGAAGCTCGGATCATCGAGCGAGAGGTTGAAGGTCAAGGGCTGGGCAGGCATGGGGGTGGTGAGGAACTGCGACTGGCCTGTTGCGCCATCAGCCAGCGTCGCCATTGGGGGTCTCGTGGCACTCACCCTGCCAGGCATCGTAAATCTCCATCTCCTCGGCGGGCAAGTGCGGTGCTCTTCTGTCGTCGAGGGATGTCGGCAGGTCGGCGGGCAGCTGGCGGGGCTGCGGCCGGGGCTGGGGGTCGTCGCCCGAGTAGGCGTGCTCTTGGTCCGAGTCCATGGTGCAGCATCGGGTGCAGGCCAGTTGGGCTGGGCGGTGTTGTGGTGGCTCGCTACCGCGCGTCGGGGGCGATGGTGGGCGGAAGGAAGGTCGAGGGACGGGGCGAGGGACGGGGGCGGCGGGCGGGCTGCGGGGCAGGCGGACGCGCGCCTGGGTCAGCGGGCGCACTGCGAGGGCGAAGGTCCGTTTCTGAGGTTGCTGCGAGACACGCACGGATGTGTCCTAGGCTCCGCTGCGCGGTGTGCTGCCACTGCCTGTGTGCGTCTCTCTGGCCCGGCGCTGGTGATGTCGTCGCGCCGGCACGACCAAAAGAGCGGCGATCGCCCGCTACGCCCGAAGCGTGCTCGTCTGGCGGGGACAAAGATGGGAGTGGCCTCGCCGCATCCCGGACGGGGCGCGCTCGTGGCTGAATGGCTCACGCTGTGCAGCCCATCAGTCAGCGAGGGAAGCACTGACCCGGCGTATGTCATTCGCGCGCCGGCGAGCTTGAGCGACGGCTTCGAGCTCGACGCCAGCTGTGCTCTCCGTGCCCATCTGCGCCCCGACGAGACCCTCCCGACCGCTCTCCCAGCGCCTCGCCCCTCGCGCCGCCGCCCTGCCTCGCCTGCTGCACGCAGCACCTTTCCGCGCCGCAAGCCCCCGCCCGGAACATGTCGTAATTCAGGGTCCCCAAGCATAGCCAGGCACCATGGCCGCAGCCGAAGACGATGTCGACGCGGATCGCCGCGCCCTCTTCGCCCAGATCCTCGTGCGCCTGCAGGAGCTTCCAAACTACACCTGGGACACCGACGTTGCGCCCTTTCACTCGGTGGGTTGCCCTGCCCTTGCATGCACATGTCTTCGGGGCTAGCCAGATTACAAAACATTCCCGCTTGGTCTATTTGCGATCCTGGTCCAACGCAACATGCCATGTGCCTATGCCTGATGTTTCGAATCCAACAGCTGATGTGTGCAGTCCTATGATAATTGGCATTTCTTTGGCAGGAGGAAAACCTCCGCAGACCGTCCCTTGTCCCGCGGCCGCAGCGCGGGCACTTCGATATCCTCGTCGCATTCGCCCGATGCTACTCGACCACCCCTAAGCCGAAGTCACAAATCCTCCGGCAGCGATGCCAGCGAGTTCACCACCGCCACGCAGTCCACGGACATGCCCAAGGACCGCGAGGTGGTCTGCCGCGTTTCCACACACACCCTTCGGATAGAGCGCGAGTTCCAGGTCTGCAAGCTGATCAACAAAAAGTCGGATCCAAACGCCCGCCACTTTGTACGCCCCATCGAGCTTGTCAGGCTTCCCCCCAGACCTGGCAACAACGAGCCCATGGTCGCCTTTATCTGCGACGCTCCCGGTCCCAACTATCTGAGAGAGGTAGTCAAGTTCGGCCCCAATGCGTACGGTATCTCGCACCAAAACAATGATAGCTGGAAGGTTCAAAACCTGGATTACAAGGGCGGCATCCCTCTGCTCACCTTCCTGGACTTTGCTGTTGGAGCAACCGAATGTCTCGAGATTCTCCACCACGGCCATCAACTCGTACACGGAGAGCTACGGGGCGATGCATTCCACTTCGCCGAAAATGGCATCGTCAAGATGATCAACTTCGGCGGTGGAGCGCGGTCTTTTGAGAATGGCCTCACGTCTGCTGGCTGGAACGTGCTGAGAAAAGAGCTGGGCATCGAATTGAAGCTTGCCTTTGTCGCCCCCGAACAAACGGGACGGATGCCTGCCGAACCGGATAGCCGTACTGATATCTACAGCCTTGGAATTTTGTTTTACAGCATGCTTTGCGGGGAGACTCCGTTCGATGGCAGGACCCCGCTCGAAGTTATGCAAAATGTGCTCAGCAAGCGAATCCCACCCATCTCATCCAAGCGAATGGACATCCCTGACATTCTGTCCTCGGTCATCCAGCGCATGACCCAGAAGAACATTGAAGAACGTTACCACAGTACCAGTGGCCTGAAACATGACCTCGTTAGGCTGCGCGAGCTACTGTCCGAAGGCGATTCTGAAGGCCTTAAACAATTCCAGATAGGACTCAAGGACGTTTCATGCTTTTTCAATCTACCTCTGAAGCAGATTGGCCGAGACAAGGAGAGGAACACCATCATTGAGATTATTGAGCGCGTGTCAAAGCGGCGACGGATGACGCCCATACTTGGAAACGCCCTGAACAGTCTGAGCTCCAATTCGTCTTTCTCGGACCCTCGTATGGAAACTAACCAGCTCGACGATATCATGTCTGATAGCACGAGCTCGAGAGGCTCCGATAGTCGCCTGAACAGCGTTTCTGGGTCGGCCCCTATGCCAGTTTTTATGGATGCCGCTCGTAACATCCATAACTTCTCACAAGACAGCATGACCCAATCAGAAAGCTCAGTGGGGGACGAAAATCCAGAGTCTCGAATGCCAGTCCACGCTCCAACTCGAGGTCCTTCCAGTACCAGCATAGAAGGCTCACTCTCGATATCGCGATCGAACCAGTCGGAAAATGCGTCTCTATTGCGTACAATGTCGAGCGCTAGAAGCTCGAAGATGAGACGACGAGCGCGTTGCGAGATTATTGCCATTGCAGGCGAAGCTGGCCTGGGCAAATCCAAGTTGGTACAAAGCATCCAGTCCACAGCACGCAGCAAGAACATACACTCCTACTTCTCCGCAGCCAAATTTGACCCAGCCAAGAAAGCTCCATTTGAGCCGATCTTAAAACTCATGTCCAGTCTCTTCCGCCAAATATTCAGCGAGGCTGATGTCAGTACCGAGTTTCATTCCAATCTGCGCAGCCACCTAAAGAATTCAGGCGTGTGGCAGATATTGCACAGTTATCTTGACCTACCGTGAGTTGAACCAAGTGCATCTACATCAAAAGTTTGGACACTGCATTGCAGAGTATCAGCATTTGATGAAGCGCTGTCATCGCTTGCGTCTTTACACAAGCTGACATCCACACAGTGAATGGCTTCTATCAGCAGGGAGCGCTCAACCTGCGCCGCAACAACGCGACGTGCGAATAGCTAGGAAAGATAATGGCCGAAGAGCCTCGTCGCCTGCAATACATTGCGGCAGTGCTGGCCACACCGCAGATGCGTGGCTGCGGAGCGGTGGCGCGTCAAAATCAACTCGATTCATGAACGTCTTCATCGACGTTCTACGTCTCTTGGCCTTGCAGACACTATGCATCTGGACGCTCGAGGATGTACAGAATGCTGATGCCGAGAGCGCTGAATTAATACATCATATCGCACAAGCAAGAATACCCCTTGTCTTGATCCTTACCTATAAAAACGAAGATTCCATGCCCAAAGATCTTCGTACGCTTTTGCCCGCAGCTACTCGGATCCAGCTACACCCCTTCACGGAGGCTGATACGGCTGAGTACGTGTCGGAAACCTTGCACCGTGATACAGAATACATCCTCCCCTTGGTGAGCTATGCCGAGAGACACACATGACTCCATGATACTGACATTGAGCCAGGTCGCAGTGATACAAGAAAAGTCTCGCGGAAATATCTTCTACATAAGAGAGATACTGGACACTTGTTATCGCAAACAGTGCGTTTTCTACTGTTGGAGGGAAGGGGCCTGGAGGTTCGATCTAGACAAAGTCTTTGATGCCTTGGAAAGTCCCGAGTATGGCTCATCTATCAACAATGACTTCATCGCGAAGAGGCTGCGCGATCTACCGGGCAACTCACGAAAGCTCGTGGCCTGGGCATCCTTATTGTCAGGCTCCTTCACCTTCGATCTCATACGAAACCTGTTGGATCCCTTGAATGCGCCACCAGATGCTGATACCACCCGCATTCCCCTATTACGCGCAAAAGATTGTGCTATCACGGCTTTGAACGGCGCTGTTAATGCGTTTGTGCTGATGCCCGCCGACGACGAGGATAGATTCCGCTTCAGTCATGACCGCTATCTCACAGCTGCTACCCAGTCTCTTGATCAAGAGTGGGACATTATGATGATGCACTACATGATTGCCAAGTACATCACAACGAGTGGGGCATACCATAACGATTCAATGTCGGGTTCCAAGGGTCTCTATATCCGAAGCAGGCACATCTGTCTTGCATCCAACCTCATCAAAGCCCGCGAGTCCATCCGTGCTCCGTATCGAGACGTTCTATATCAAGCCGCAGAGACAGCCGTTGATTCTGGCGCTAGGTCCACGGCGACGTACTACTATCTGCATTGTCTATCGCTACTGCAGGACGATCCTTGGAGCGAGAATCTGCCGGACGTCTCGTACCAGGAGACATTGCAATTGTTCGTTCGCGCTGGCGAGTGCTACTGGCATCAGGGCATGTTTGATGAAGCCTTGTCTTTGATTAGGAAGACTTTCAGCCATGCCCGAGACCCCTGCGACATGGCTTCGTCCTTTATCCTACAATCTCGCGTCCACGCTGTTCGTGGTGACAGTTTCGGTGCTTTCCAGGCCTTGAAAGATTGCCTGTCCCTATTGGGGTTGCCAATACCCCCTACCACATGGGAAGAGTATGTATCTCAGGTTCCCAGAGTGCCACTTAGCTGACATTGTGCCTCCAGGTGTGATCAAGAGTTTCAAGAACTCTGCGCTCTGCTTCAATCAACGGATAAAGAAGAGCTGTTGTCGCGGCCTCCAACTACTGACGACCGTCAACTGATGACTCTAGGACCCGTTGTGGTTGAGCTTCTGAGCGCTGCATTCTGGTCTAACAGCTTACTGTTCTATCAGAGCACGCTCAAGCTGGTTTCCATGCACCTCAAGCGCGGCACGGTGCCACAGGTGGCCATGGGCTACGTCCACATTGGTTCTATTGCAGGAGGGAGGTTCAACATGATCGAATTTGCGGTCGAGTGCGGCGCGATCGCAAAGCGCTTATTCGATCTGTACTCCGAAGATCACTACACGATAGGACGCGGTCAGACTCTGCGAACGCTATTCTTGGGTCATCTCGAAGCACCCATTGCCGACTTGATTCCAGACCTGAGGAACGCGATGGATGCATCGATTTTTGCGGGCGACAGAATCCTGTCTCTGCTCAATCTCGGTGTAGTAGCTCATTTCCGCCTAATGGCGTCACACGATGCGGCGGAAGTTGAAGCTTGGATCGAGGAAGCGCCCCTGGAATTCAAGAATTGGCAACAAGACCTCCGCGGTGGAGTCTATCTAAGTAAGTGTACCTCTAACAAGTAGATGACGATTCGTGCAGCTGGACATTTTTCGCGTGGCTTAGCGTAACGCATTGCTCAATATGTCCTCGGGCATAATGTCGTGTGTTGTGCAGCCCACAAAATCGCAAGCATGATCTCCTTTACTTGCTCCAATGCTTACTATTTTTTTACAGTCTCGTTTCGACAAGCCGCACGAGCTCTTCAGGGCAAGACTGGAACGCACAACGCTTCACTCATTTTTACTGACACCGAACATGACACCGGAGCGTACATCGAATATCTTGAGAAACGCGCAAGCAATCCAAAACGGCCTAAGACCGTATACATGAGCACACAGCTACCCATCCTAGTTCTCTACGGTTTTCACCGCGAAGCCATCGCGCTTGGAGAAGCGCTACTGCCAATGATAGACAGCCTATGGTGCCAGAGAATGACCTATGCGGTCATGTATTACTTGTCACTAGCATACTTGGTCGTGCTCACAGAAGAGCCTGAACATTCTGATAAAGAGCGGATGTTGGATTACGCTTCTCAGACCATCAAGCGGCTTGAGGTATGTGACCACCGCGGACCATGTTCCTCCAATCCAGACTTTCCACGGGTCTTCTATACTCATCCACAACCTCTTGCACCTTGACTGACTTTACGATTTTAGGCATGTTGCGTGGTTACGGACGTCAACTACAGGCACTGGATAGCACTGCTTGCCGCAGGGATTGCCGACATAGAAAAAAATCCACCCGCCGCTTTGGTCAACTACGAGTTGGCAATGGACCACAGCGAGATCCATGGCTTTGCTTTGGATGAGGCCCATGCTTTCGAACTTTATGCTTCATGGTTGTTGAGAAAGAAGGCTCTTCGGCCAGCTCGCCACATCTTAAAGGATGCTATATCCATATATCGCAGGTAAGCGCTGCGCGTCTTGTCCTCTAATCTCCTGTCCTGAGATCACCTGGATCACTTTACCACAGCTCGCTAACATAGCTGCAGAACCTCTGCGTTTGGAAAGGCAAATCAGCTTACAACAAAATTCGAATGGCTATTGCGTGGCACAGCGTCACTGAGCACTATGGACGTGGCCGTGCAGACCACAATTATAGACACCGGCAACACCTCCTTCCGGCTCGAGCAAAACGAGGATCACGAGCGCTTCCTCGAGACCGAAACTGCTGTAGACAGAACCACTGACTGGCTTGCACCGAACTCTAGCAAGCGACAAGTCACCGAGAACGACTTTCCGAACGGCTTCTCGGTCAACGGGCTCGACATGCTCGACTTGTCATCTATCCTTGAATCCAGTCAAGTCCTATCAAGCGAGCTCAACATCGACAAACTCATGGGCAAGATGGCTGAGATAATCCTGGAATCAACTGGCGCCTCGCTGTGCGGCATCGTCGTGGAAGACGCGCAGATTGAGTGGTCTATTGCCACAGTAGCGACCAACGAGCCGAGTGAGGACGGCTCTGCCACTGTGACTTCGTTCCCGAATGGCCAGCCCCTTGAAACGATTGACGACGTCATGGCTCGGCAGGTCACGCTTTACTCGCTTCGATTCCGCGAAGTTGTGTTCTGTCAGAGCCTTCTTGAGGACGATCGCTTTGCGAATGTGAGCGAGGCTTACTTGAAGCGGCATCCTGATGGCAAAGCGGTGATTTGTATACCGATCATTCATTCGGATCATCTCATGGGTTCGATCTACGTGGAAGGGCCGCCAAACTCCTTCACCGAGCGAAATACGAACGTGCTGCGCCTGCTCGTCAACCAGATCTCCATCTCTTTGGCCAATGCCCTACTGTTCAAAAAGGTCGAGAAAGTCAGCGCAAGCAACGAGGCCATGCTCGAGATGCAGAAGCGATCCCTTGCGCAGGCGAGAGCAGCAGAGAATAAGGCCAAGGAGGCCGAGGCGATAGCAGTCAGGAACATGAAACTGAAAGAAGAAGCTGCTAGAGCCAAGTCTCTGTTCCTCGCAAACGTTTCGCACGAGCTGCGGACTCCCCTGAACGGTGTAATTGGCATGAGCGAGTTATTGAAAGCCAGCCCGCTGAACAGCGAGCAAGCTGGCTACGCGGACAGCATCAGAGTGTGTGCCGACACTCTGTTGAGTATCATCAACGACCTGCTCGACTACTCGAAGCTGGAAGCTGGAAAGATGAACGTCATCTCCATGCCGCTGTCACTCAACGAGACCATCACTGAGGTCGTCCGAGCACTGGCATACACCAACGCCGAGCGCGGTTTGAAGACCGTCGAGCAGCTCGAGCTCAACCCTGAGCTGCTCGTCATGGGCGACCCTGTCCGCCTGCATCAAATGTACGAAACCCTGGGGTGCAAAGTAGTTGTTCTTTGCTGTTATCCAAGCTAACGCTAAAACACCCACTCCCAACCCAACTTCCTCGATTTTTGATCACTTCGCTGACTTTATAACTCTTTAGTCTGATGAACCTCTTGTCTAACAGTTACAAGGTAAGTAGCACAGGACGTTGAAGGTGGATGCCTGACTAAGATAATCTAGTTCACTCCCAAGGGCTCTGTAACAGTACGAGCTGTTGTGGACAATGAAAGCGACGATTGGATAGACGTCACGTGCAGCGTCATTGACACCGGCATTGGAATCCCCGACGAGCAGAAGAAGAAGCTCTTCCTGCCATTCAGCCAAATCGAATCCTCCAGCTCCCGCAGCTACGGCGGGACCGGCCTCGGCCTGAGTATCTGCAAAGCGCTTATCGAGAACGTAATGCAGGGCCGCGTATGGCTGGAGTCCACACCGGGCGTCGGTACAACGGTTTCCTTCTCCCTCCGTTTCCAGAAAGTAAGTCCTTCCGTTTCCTCTCTGCATCTGCCCATACTAACCGTGCAGGTTCCAAAAACCGATGGCCAAACCCGCCACCACTCGACCCGCGATACCGACCCGATGGCGAAGTTCTCGTCCCAGGAGAACAATGGCCACGAGCAGTCCTCGGAAACCATCGACCTCTCCGCCATCCCGCGCTCTGATCTCCGCATCTGCATCGCAGAGGACAACCTCATCAATCAGCGCATCGCCATCTCGTTTGTGCAAAAGCTCGGCTTCAAATGCGACGCCTACCTAGACGGCTTCAAAACCATCGACGCTTTAGAACGCGCGTCGGACCGCGGCCGCCCCTTCCACCTCATCCTAATGGACGTGCAGATGCCGCACTGCGACGGGTACGAAGCCACACGGCTGATCCGCCAACACAAAGACCCGCAGATTCGGAACGTGTTGATTATTGCAATGACGGCGAGTGCCATCCAGGGAGACCGGGAAAAGTGTCTGGAGAGCGGGATGAACAACTACCTCGCGAAGCCTGTGCGGGCGGCGACGCTGAAGAGTCTGCTCGAGAGCTACTTGAATCGCGAGGAGGAGAGGGAGATTCCGAATCTGGCGGACGCGGCGAAGGAGATTGTGAAGACGGCGTTGCGGCATGCAAAGGGCGCGAAGGGGTCGGATGGGGATGAGAGCACGACGCCGGCGGAGCTGCCGGTGAGGAGCGGCGGTGCGAGAGATGCGGATGAGACACGGGCGCCGGCGCTGAACACGGAAGAAACGACGATCCGCCCGCAAAGTTCGCGGACGAACACGGCAACTTCGGCGACTGTGGCGACTGTAGCTACTGCGGCGCCGGAGGAGGAGGAGAAGCAGAAGAAGACGAGTCGGCCCAGCAGCGTGCGCACCAACACCACGCAGCGGTGGCAGCCGACCGAGAACGGCTCATTGCCTGCGCCTTCGCCGCCGCCGGGGGCCTAGCGTTACAAATCACCTCTTTGTCCGTGGGGTGGCTTCCGCCTCCTCCGGGTGCTTCGCGTTATTATGCGACTTCCTTCTCTGTACAAGTCCTTGTTGGATAGAATCATGCGAGTCGTTTTGTGTATGGCGTTCCTGGCGGGAGGGGTAATGAATGCATCACGGCCTCGGAATGCATGGGAGCTGGGCTTGGATTTCAACCCACAAGGCGGATTGAAAGGTATATGGATGTTCTTGTTCAGTCGTGTCTGGATTTACAGTACATATGTGATGTTGGGTTAGCTAGCTGCTCTGTGCAGCGCAGTCTGCGGAGAATGAAACCACGTTCTATTCTCCTGACCTGTGATGCTCCTCCTTGAAAGCTCACTCTTCCACTGTTGGTCTCTCTGCCCTGTTCCCACTTTTTCTCCGACCCTTGCATCATGAGCGCTCATCCAGCGTTGTTCCCCTGGACCCCTTCCCACGCCCTCCGAAACAGACCCCCCTCGCCGTCCCTCTCCTCGTCCCGGTGTTCATCGCCATCCCGCCACCCCCAACACACACAGTAATGCCGCAGCAACAGCTCCAGCTCCTCCATCTCATCCAGCATCTCCAGCTGTCCCACGCGCTCCTTCTCCTCCCCGCTCACCCACTCCCGCCACACAAACGCCGTGTCCACGGCGCCGCGTCCGTCCACAAATCCATATTCGTTCAGTCTCGCGCGCTGGTCCGTGAGTTCGGGATATGTGAGGAGCGTGGGGAGGTGGATGTTGCGCGTGGCGAGGTTGGAGATCATGGTGCGGCCGAAGGCGTCGTTGGGGCGGATGGGCTCGTAGAGGACGAGGGATGCGGGTGTGTCGGGGGAGAGGTAGTGTGTTGTGAGTGTGTGCATTATCTGCTTCACCATCTGCGGTTGCAGATAGCACAAACACATTTCGGAGAGGATGAGGGTGTTGGCGGAGGGACTGAGGTTCGGGAGGTCTGGCAGGCTCGCCGTGTCCGCCGCAGCGAGGAGCCGCAGGTCCAGCGCGTGCAGGTTGTACGTGGAGCTGTGGTAGGATTGCTGGGGCCCCGCAAGGCCGAGGTCAGAGGCGCCGAGGGCGTCTTGGAGCTCCGAGTGGCGCTGGACGGAGAGCAGCTTGGAGGCGGCGTTGGCGGGGAAGTCGAGCTCGTGGTAGATGAGAGGCGTGTCGGGGTGCTTGTCGCGCAGGCGCCAATAGCGCGTGTCGGTGCCGGCGCCGAGGGAGATGATCTGCTTGAGGCCGCGCGTGGGCGTGGCGAGGAAGCGGTCGATGAGGAGGTCGATTGCCGTGGTGCGGACGTAGGAGCCTGGGGGGCTGGTCAGGTGTATCTCTGCAGGGACGGGAAGCGGTTGTACCTCTGTTCAAGAGGGGAAGGCGTCTGGCCGAGGGCTGGGTTGCGAAGAGCTTCGCATACGCGTCGTCGAGGTAGCCCAGCTCCACGCAGCTCACCCTGCTGCCCGCCGCGTCCTGGTCGGTCGCGCGCACCGCACTGTCGCGAACGGCCGCGCTGCTCTCGCTCGACGCTCCCGGTCCGCCCCGTGCGCGGCCTCGCAGCCCGCCTCGGCGCCCGCGGCCGACGAGGGTCCTGAGGTTCGGGATCTGGTTGCTGGACGACATGGCCTTCACTGTCGCGCAGCTATTCACGAGCGTGGGCGGGGCGGAGCGCGGGGCACCCGGTCTAGGCCGTAACCAGAAAGGCGCCGCCTGCACGCCAAGGCTCCGAGCTGCGTCTTCGCGCCTGGACGATTTTCTTCGACGAGCACTACTTTGTCCTGCCTTGCGCCGCCCGCCCGCCCACCCCACCGACACTCACTCCCCCGCGCAGTCACCATGGCAGACAGTGGCGACCACAAGGCTCGCCAGGAGATGCTCGACCTGTGGCGCGTCTACCGCACCACCAAGGAGATGTGCAGAGACAGGGTCGGTGCCTCCGAGGCGCATCCGCGTTGCACCGCTGACCGCCGCGTCTAGGGCTACAACGTTCTCCCCGAGGAGTGCAACATCTCGTTCGACGACTTCGCGCGCAAGTTCGGCACCGAGAGCGGCCAGATAGCGTGCGTGCACCCAGCGCAGCTCGCGCCAACCCTCGCCGACTGACAGTCTACAGACGCGGCCAGATGAACTTCTCCACCATCCCCTCCGAGGACATGGTCCGCAAGTACACGCCCCCCGCGACGCCCAAGGTGCCCCACCCGGAACCCGCCATCGGCACGCTCTGGGTCGAGTTCAACGCCGACGAGAACATCGGCATGAAGAACCTGCGCGAGTTCATCACGCACCTGCAGAACGGGTCCTACTACTCGGGCATCATGATTGTCGTGAAGCCGCTGTCGGGCATGGCCATGCGCGGGATCCGCGGCGCGCAGCAGCTGTCCGGCGGCAGCGGCCCCAAGGGCGGCATCGAGGTCTTCCTCGAGCAGGACCTCAAGATCAACATCACAAAGCACGAGCTCGTGCCCACCCATCTGCTGCTCAGCACCGAGGAGAAGGCCCAGCTGCTCAAGCGGTACCGCCTCAAGGAGACGCAGCTCCCGCGTATCCAGGTCACGGATCCTGTCGCCAAGTACTACGGCCTGAGGAGGGGGCAGGTCGTCAAGATCATCAGGAAGTCGGAGACGGCGGGCCGCTATGCGAGTTACCGCTGGGCCATATGAGGCTTGGGGTAGTGCTGGCCTACAACAGGAGAGCGGAGGAAAGAGGAAGACAAACAACGAGAAAGTTGCATCATTTGGCGCGGCGTTAGGCGAATGGGTCCAAAAGGCGTCTGTTAGGATTCGCTGTGTATTCTAGGGCCGTTCAGACCACGGCAGGCGCACAATCAGACACCCCTCGTGAGTAGATAAACCAAAGAGAATCGTTTGTGATACCCACGACATGGTTTGAAGAAGCGGAAGAAACAGTATGCTTGTGACACATGATACACTGGGTATCTTCAGGGCCGGCTCCTGCACGGCAAACCTACATGACCCCTCCGACGCCAGCCTAAGTAGGCCCCTGATCACCCCCGAACGCCGCCCAATGAAAGCTGCACTCCGACTCCTCTCGCTCTCTTCCCGATACCCTATCCTCATCCCCTTACCGTCAGGTCCCCATTCTTCTTCTCCCAAAACTCCATTGTCAGCGCCGCAAGAAAACACGGAATCTCCTTCCGCCCCTCTACCCAGTACACGATGCTGTCCCGAATCTCACCCGCAAACGCACTCCTCTCCCCGCCGCTGACCTTCATCGTCCCCTTTTCCCCATCAAAGACAATGCTGTTTTCTTCCTCGCCCTCGGAGGGCCGGAACATGGACGTCACTTTGACACGCCCGTTGGGCATGAAGTCCAATTTCCAGCCCAGAATCGAGGCCACGGCTTCGCGGAACTCGAGCGCTTTGGCGGCCCAGATCTGCTTGAGGCGTTTTTCCTTCTTCGCGAGCGACGCGATGGTAGTATCACGCTCGGCGAGCTCGTCCTGGGTGGCGGCGAGGTGGGCGGCGGGGACGGTAGACGGGACGGCCTGGCCCTGGAGCTGTGACAGGAGGTGGGCATTGGCTTCGCGGAGGGTGCGGATGGTGGAGAGCTTGAGGGCTTCGGCGTCGGCGGTGGGGTTGGATTTCAGCTCTAGGACGCGCACACGCGAGGATTCCTTGAGCTTCTTGAGTTGCGAGTGTTGCGCTTTGTACTCCGATTCGAGGAGTTTGATGCGCTTAGTTAAGGCTGCGTGGTCGTCTTGCAGCGCGCGGTTCTTGCGGCGCAGCTCGCCGACCCGCTCGTCTGTGGTTTCTTCATCGTCGTGGGCGCGCTTCTGGCCTGCGGCGATGGGTACGGGCTGCGCGGGGGTCGCGAGGTCTTTTTGGAGGGTGGCGATCTCGCCACGGTAGGCGTCGACGAGGTCTTCGAGCTCCTTTACGCGGTTAGTCTTGGCGGCGTCGAAGTTCTCCGGATGCATCTCGCGCTCCTCATCGTCGAAGGCTTTGACCTGCGCGCGGAGGAACTCGACTTCCTTGGTGGCGAGGTTTTTCTGGCGCTCGAGGCGGGCGCGGGCTTTAGTTTCGTCGGCGCTGGGGGCAGGGGTCGCGGTCTTGAGCTGTGCGAGTTCGGCCTGCAGTTTGGCTTTCTCATCTTCGAGTGCTTGAATGGCGGTTTCCTTGACGGTGAGCTCGGGCTGAATCTCCCCGAGACGGTTCATGTAGTCCGTCTTCTCGAACCGCTCGCGGATATAGGCGCGCGCAAGATCCTCTGGTGATTCAAATTGGGCATCAGTCTCTGCCTCGTTTTCCAGATACGATGTCCACGAGTTCCTCTCAGCTTCGAGCGCCTCATTGCGGACCTTCACTTCGTTGAGCTGGCTCTGTAGGTCCGCTGCCAGACGCAGCTTCACGTCCAGCGTCCGCTTTTCCTCTTCAATGACCTCGATCGCTTTCTGCTGTTTCCGGTACTGCTTAAGCTCCGTGCTCTGCTCGCGCGTCAGGTTCTCCAATTTCTTGATGTGCGCCACCTGCTCAGAAAGCTCCTTCTTGATGACTGCGATTGTCTCGGCGTCGCCCGAGATGGCCTTCAATCGCAGGACCTCAGCCTCCAGATCTCCAACCTCGGTCTCTTTCTCCGTCAGCTTGCGCTGCGCAACTTGTAGCGCATGCGCCTTCTCCTCCGCCTTCTCTTTAAAGTCTTCCACCGACTCTTTCAAGGTCTTGCACTCCCTCTGCAGCGTCTTGTACTGGTGCTCGCTTTGTCTCTGCGACGACGCCAGCTCCTCCTTCGCCTCGTCAGCGTCCTCCTGTAGCTGCGAGGCCTTGGTCTGTGAGGTCTGCAGCCGCTTCTGCAGGTCCTGTCTCTCATTCTCACTGCGAGCCTGCGCCTCCGAAAACTCCCGCTGTAACCCCTCGTACTTCTTTGTCGCTAGGGAGCTTGCTGCTTCCGCCTGTTGCGCCTTCCTGTACTCCGCCTCGGCGCGGTTCTGCGCATCGCGAATCTCGGCATTGTGTTCCAGCTTCAGCTTCTCCGCGTCTTGTTTCGCCGTCTCCAGTTCATAGCGGAGTGTATTCACTTGCGTGCGCAGGTCTTCGTTGACCGTGTCGGATGCGACCACCGTGTGCGGCGCCGCATTTTGTGAGGCTCGCAGCGTGGTCCTGAAAGTCTCGCGCAGTGGTTCGCGTGTTTGCTTTGGGGAATTATGGATTGGCTCGCCGGTCAGAAAGTTGAAGCTTGGGTCGTTCCGTTTTCGTGAAGCCATGTTTGTTTGGTCTGTGGACGCCGATCGTGTCCGGGCCAGCGCGACTCTCTAGATCCGGTATGTATAACTTTTGGCGACTTATATCACTCCATGCTCGGAGAGCAGGATCGTGCGACAAGCCGAAGTGGCGCAAAGTGCAGGACTGGCTGTTTCGGGCGGACGTTCTTGTTGTCAACCCCAGGCACTAGCGCGCTTTGTTCGACCACGGGAGCACGTGCCATTCACATCACCGGACCCAGCCCGTCCACGTGAAAACGACACGACCACCGCGAATTAGCCATTGCGCCTCGTTTTTACCCAAATGGCTTCTAAAATGTAAGGATTGTTATGCCCTGGAAGCGTATATGGAATGAGCTGCTAACAGGTGGCCAGCGCCGTGATTGGCGATGTGAATGGCCATTTCCCAGCCGTCCTGCAGAAGCTGGCGGCCCTTCACACCAAGCAGAACTTCGCCCTGGTCATCATTGCTGGAAATCTCTTCGCTAGCCCCTCAGACTCAACCGAGCAAGACGAGAACAATGTCCAGGATCTCATCAATGGGAAAATCGAAATACCAGTTCCGACTTACTTCGCTCTCGGCAGCAATGCCTTCCCCAAAGCAGTGGTCGAAAAGCTCACATCCTCTGACGATGAACTGTGTCACAACCTGCATTTCCTCGGGAAGAGGACGACGATGAAGACATCAGAAGGAATCCGCATTGTGGCTCTTGGCGGCCAGCTCGATCCCAACATCATCGCCGGACAGTCGCAGGACAAATACCCGCCCTACTACAGCGACACAGATGCGAAAGTTCTGCGTGGCGCTACTACCGCTGACATCCTCGTGACCGGAGAATGGCCGGAAGGCATCCGCTCACGGTCAAAAATTGCATTTAATGCTGACGCACCACCACGGGAACAACAATGCATTGCGGATCTCGACGTGGTGTTAAAACCTCGCTACCACTTTTCCACCTCAGGTCCTGTCTACTACGAGCGTGAGCCCTTCTTCCATCTTCCAAGCGAAGAAACCGACAATCTCACACCCGTGACGCGCTTCATCAGCCTCGCCCAATATGGCAACCCCAACAAGCAGAAATGGATATATGCCTTCTCCCTAGACCCCACCGCAAGCCACCCCATTTCTCCCCCTTCAGGCTCCACCATGAACCCACTCACCCACTCGGACAAGAAGCGCCCCGCACCCGACCACAGAGAGCAAGCTCTCGTGTACGACGACGGGCGCGGCGGGCGCCGGGGACACAAAAGGCGGAAGCACGAAGCACGAGGGCCGATAGACGCGTCTCAATGTTTCTTCTGTCTCTCAAACGAGAACATTGCGACCCATCTTGTCACATCCATCGGCGAGAGCGCGTATATGACGACGGCCAAGGGTCCTCTGTCGACTGCGCAGACCTTCCCGAAGCTGGGCTTCCCGTGCCATCTGCTCATCATCCCGTTCAGCCACCAGCCGACGCTGGCATCGATGGAGGGAGAGGAGCGCCGCGCGACGTATGCGGAGATGCAGAAGTATAGGGTGTCTATGAACAGGATGGTGAGTTCGAAAGGAGAAGGCGAGTACGGGTCTGTCACGTGGGAGGTCAGCAAGGCTGGCTTGCCGCATACACATTGGCAGTATATGCCTGTGTCCGCTGATCTCATTCAGAAGGGTCTTGTAGAAGCGGCGTTCAAGGCTCTGGCGGAGAACTACCATTGGCCTTCGTTCACGAAGGAAGACGTAGGCGACGGGTTTGAAGAGACGAGCGACTTCTTCAGAGTTCTGATCTGGGATCCGAAGAATGATGCGGAGAAGCAGACGAGCTTGATCCTTCGGTTCGACGAGAAGATAAAGTTCCGCCTGCAGTTCGGACGAGAAGTGCTCGCGAAGCTGCTCCGTCTAGACCAGCGCGTCGACTGGAGAAACTGCGCACAGATGCAACCTGAGGAAGAAAAAGATGTGGAGAACTTCAAAAATGCGTTCAAGGAGTTTGATTTCACTGCAGACTAGGCTCGCTACGGAGCACGCGTGGAAAAAAGCTGTATACACAAAAAAGGCTGGGATTTAGGCAGCGCGGTTCCTACGTGCTGACGCAGAAGAAGGGTATAACAACCGTCATCATATGAAGTCCTCGAGAGGCACCAAGCCTGTTCATCATTGCATGCCCTGCGTCTAGCAAGTGCCCAACATGCTGGTGAGCGCGCTCTTCTCTGCGCTCGTGACAGTCAACTTGTAGACGCTCTTAACCTTGACCCACATCTTAGCGTAGGTGCAGTAGTAGCTCGCTGTTCCGCATTAGCGATGGTCTCCATCTTAATCAATCGAGTTCTTACATAGCGGGGGCTTCCATTCCTCGGGTCCCTTGTCGCCCTTTGCGGAGTTGACCGAGTCTGTCACAGCGGCAAGCTGGGGGTTGGTGAGATCATTGGCGAAGGCCTGGCGCTGCGCGGTCGTCCAGGCTGAAGCTCCAGACTGTTCAACGTTAATATAAGTCTGTCTTTCGCTCTGGACTAGATCTAACGTACTTTCCAAGCATTGCTCAGCGGAACAACGTGGTCAATGTCCACATCGCTAGCCGCAGTCCAAGTAGCGCCATCGTACGGGCTCTTCCACGTGCCACTGGTAGAAGCACAAGCTGAGTCGGTGACGACGTTGGTACCGTCACGCTTAAGGACCGTCTCGCGGGTGTTGCAAGTGCCGGATTGTGTGATCCAGTGGGGGAACAGGTCGCGGGAGTAACCGTCCTGGGAGCCCTGCGCCTGGACGGTGAGGCCAGCGAGGAGAGAGGTAGCACTGCTGGTTGAGGGAATGTTCGGGGGAGTGCGCTTCTCCACCGGAGCAGCGGCACCGAGAGCAGCGATAGCTGAGACGATGAAGATGGACTTCATGTTTATGATGGGCGTGGAGTTGATGCTAGGTGAACTCTACAAGGCTGGGGCGAGGCAAGAGCTACTCGACACAGCTCTCTCAGCTCGCGCCTTCCTACTGTCTTTATACCACAGATCATCACCATAAACAACGTCTACTCACCTCTATTCCACGGAGCTCCGTCGCTCCACCCAATGACCACCGTCCCTGCGAATAACGACCGAGATAAGGCCCACGCAGCACTCACGTAAAAACCCGTACCCTATGCTAAAGCCTGTGCTACCATTCTACCACGAATCAAACCAGACCGACATCGCTATACAGACCCCCAAACGGGCAGGTCGAATTCGCGCCAAGCACAGCGATCACTGTCCGTACATGGGCACCTTACGCGAAAGCTGCAGACCACCGCGTACCTGAAACGAATACCTGGACTGGCATCTCCAACTTCCTTTCGGAAACCACGGCACCGGCCGATCTGCAGAGGGCAGGGTATGTCGGAGGAGGAGGCCGCGTGTGAGGTAGATGTAACTTGTCGTGGTGTGTGCGGGGCAGATGGTGATTGGCGGCGGGATGGTTGAAGGTGGGATATGATTGGTGTGGCTATTTGGGTATGGCGGGTAAGCTATGCAAGGGATTGCATGCGCCTCGGAGGAGTGATCTTCAGGGCTTAGCACATACGAGGGAGATAAGCGAATGAAGAGGGCGTGTGCGATATCGTGGGTGCATTGCGGTGTCTTGTGCTCTGCGAGAGTGTGTTTACCAAGTATTGTATGGTGGGACCAATCCAATGGCGACTGATCTGGGTGCATTGATGAAAACAACATCGCCCACTGATGCATTCAATTTGGCTTGTCTTCCGAAAATGATTAGTGTTTATCCCGTACCTTTTGTTTATGCGCTCAAACATGGTCAAGTAAAACACAACGAGTGGCTGAAGCGGGATGAGGTCGGCATTTGTGCCAAGAGGGTCCGTTCTGTACGGCACATGAGTCGCTGCCGTGAAGAGATTACGCCAGGGCGCAATTATTAGCGCCTCTTGATAGAGACCTTGGAAGATTGCTGTAGGGTTGGAGTTTGCGAAAGAACATACCTTCATCAGAGTCGGACACACGCATGTGCCATGCCTTTGGTCAGTGTGACGAAATAATATCTTGGTCCTCGAACATGGATAGACCCTTCTAGCCTAAAAGCTTGCTTTGCCAATCCTTTAGTGCTGCGATCGATTGTTTGAACGTCATGCCGTTTTCAGTAGTTTGGATCTTGCAGCATTTATGTCAGATCCTGTCTATCCTTGTTCGTGGAACAAAGCTGCTGGCGTAGGACCGGCGAGGTCCGATGCTGTCGACCAGGAGCATTGGTCGAATGGAGATTGACTGGCATGTCTCGTTCCTGATCGAGGAAGATACAGAGATAAGAGCCATGTGGTAAGTTGAATCGCTGAATCAAGGCTTCGTATTACTTTGTCCTCAAAAGGCTATGAGGAGACACATCGACGTGGACGCTGTTGAGAAAGAAGGTTGATGTTGGTAACGGACCTTAGCAACACCAACCACATTCTTGCGATTAGTCAGCACCCTTACACCTGCCTCACTCCGGTGGGACGGCCGTTCACACACGTCTCACCCTAGCTTCTGGCATGCGACGAAAGATGAATGGTGTGGGTGTAGCATTGGATGTTTTTGTGCATGGGTAAACCAGCGATTACGCCCGAAGCGCTTGCCTTTCCAGAGACTGCAGGCGCCGTGCCGGCGGCAAGAGTTACGCTCATCCACTGATTCCATATACCGGAAATGCCTGCGTAACTGATGCAACCAGCTATATTTCTAGCTTCCGATGTTGTAGCACAGTATCAGGGGCTGTGCGCCGAATGAAGACGGTCACGGTAGCGCTGTACAAGCCCAGGCCATTGCAGAGAGGACCTAACGTTATAGTTAGTACCTGAGGTGGTATGACTAATATTCTTGAGGAGTCATATGGCGCACACTCGTTAACAGGCTGTGCTGCCGGCGAGAAGCAGTGAGGCGGCTTTGATGCACGGGCGCAGGGTGGTGCCGTAGTGACTCAGCCCTGCGCCACTTTGCGGACCACCTTCACCCTCGCCTCAGTGTTCTCGGGTCTGTGAGCATTGAGCATCTCACAGACTTCATTGGACAGGGCTTAGAGTACTAGCTCTTAATCCACATAAAGGCTATCTTTTACTACTCAGTGGTGCCACCCCCACAGATGGCACGCTCGAGCGCGCTCGAACAACATCAGCTTTCCAACACCACCACGCACTCAGGACTGTTGGTGGAATCTACCATTGTCGAGATGTACGACAAATACAGCTGCTCAATGGCCAAATCCATCACACCACCTCGACTTCCAACGGAGCTATGGCTGCAAATTTTCGAGCAAGTGGACGATGTCGAGTTCCTCTGGTGCACATTGCGTTTTGTATCTAGAGACTACAAAGCCTTCGTAGACCGGGTCTTCGTCACTAACTATCTCCCTACTATCTCGTTTTCGTTATCGCTACCTCGACTGGATCCAAATTCCGGTCGTGCCCGTTACATGCGGCCAGTACCAGGCGCTGAAGTCACTTTACATTGCGAAAACCCCGACGCAGAATCACGGAGGGTGGTCTTATCAACCCCAAAAGCACTGCCTAGTGGCGACACAATTGAGCAATTGACAGCGTCCGGCGCACTCACGAAGGAACGCTTGGACGAGGCTGCGGCTTGGATGTGGTTTGGCAAACAACGGACTAGAGGAGTAAATGTTGTTACTATCAACAAAGACATACGATGGAATGAAGAGGAGAAGGTCTGGGTTTGGAGCGTGGAATGGAAGGCTTTTGTGAACAAGTACTTTGGCGCTAAGCGAGCTTCCAGACGGACGCTCCCAGCGACGGGCTGGAGAATACGTCAGGGTCCACGCACCTAGGTGACGTTATGACAGGTGTAACGTTCAGCTATTTGAAATACTCGGTGTTCGTACAGTGTCTAGGCGTCGGTGCAGGCTTCCGGGGCTCACTTGTCGCAGCACTCATCCAACTGACAAACGTCACAATTTTGTGACAGTGTGGAGATGCCACACCAGGCAATGCATAAAATTGCAAAAGCCTCATGGCTGGCTTCGACACTGAGTTGAGACACCTGATCGCCTTATTGAGACGTCTAAGATGCCGGGATCATGGCACCTCGGCAACGCCATGCAGATCGCTGAGGCACACATGAGACACCCCTACCCCTTGTCACGAACCAGGCACATCTCAATAGTATAGCAATAATTTACATTTCGTTATAGTACTCAATGCGACAGAGAAAAGAAAAGCGCGCTCAGAACCAGTCCATGAAGCGCTGTCGCTTCATACTCCGTAGAGTAAGCCTTTGCGCCTCATAAATGGCGACGAAAGGCATGTTCTATCTCCATGGCAGACCTCAGTGAATAGAAGAAAATACTATTATTCCTTACCACAACGTAAATGTGGTCTTCATCCCCAATCCCTTCCCCCTACGCATCTTGATTCCCCTCGTTCAGTGCTGTGCGTTGCCTATGCAACGAAGTCACGAGCAGCGAACTTCATGCGTCCAAATCGTCCTCGGCCCTTCCTACCGCCGCCGAACCCACCCTGCTGGCCTTGCTGACCCTGTTGGCCTTGTTGGGCTTGCTGGCCTTGTTGGGCTTGCTGGCCTTGTTGGGCTTGCTGACCTTGTTGGGCTTGCTGACCTTTCTGACCTTGCTGGCCTTGTTGACCCTGTTGTTGACCGTTGTTTTGCTGACCATTGTTCTGCGCGCCATTGTTGCCTCCGTTACCGCCGTTGTTGCCGCCGCCGTTGGCGACAGTGAAGCGGACGCAGTCGTCCTGGGGACCACGTTGAGCGACAGGCATGAGGACAGGTTGATGGTTGGCAGCAGAGGTCATGGAGCAGACACGGTAGACACCAGCAGGGAGACCGGCAGCGAGGTTGGCAGTGAGAGTTCCCTGGCCATCACCGGCGTCGTTGATACCCTTGAAGAAAGCGAACTTCTGAGCGTCCGGAGGAGTTGTGGTCTTAGCGTTACCGATCTCCTGCACACTGATGTGAGTGTGGCCGACGACGTTACCGCCTTGAAGGTCCTGAGGAGCGACGTAGTAAGTGACGTCAGGGTTGGTGAACTTTCTGGAACGTACGGTCAGCAAATCTCTCATGGACATCTTTCAATGACAACTTACCCAGCCACAAGGTTGTTGATCTTGACAGAGAACTTCATCGCCTGGTTCGCAGGAACAGTGTCGCCATCCTGGGGGCTGACCATTACAGCAGAGATCATGTTGCCAGTGCTGGGGATGTTTCCCATGGCTATGTATGTTAGCATAAGAACTGCACGCACAGAACTAATGAGCACTCACGAATGGGGTTGCAGGATCCACCCTTGACCTGGAGACCATTTGTAATCGTCTTGCCGACGCAGAAGTTGATGAAGTTGTTGGCATCAGTGGCAGATGCAGCTTGACCAGCCTCGGCGTTTTGCAAACCGTTGTTGTTCGCGTTTTTCGAGATCACGGCGGGGTTGAGACAGTTGCCGCCGGCGTTACCACCGGCGTTACCACCGGCGTTGGCACCATTGTTGCCGCCGTTGTTCTGACCATTGTTCTGACCGTTGTTCTGACCGTTGTTCTGGCCGTTGTTCTGGCCGTTGTTCTGACCGTTCCTGCCCTGGCCGAACTGAGCATTGGCAACGCCAGCTGCAAGCAGCAAAGGCATGATGGTGGAGAAACGCATGGTGAAATAGGTGGAATGTAGTCTTCGAAAGAATGAATGCCGGCTCGCGGTGAATTAGGAAGGATACAAAAACACGTTCAACGTGATCTGCGGAAAGAAGGAAGAAGGGGAGAAAGGAACGTAACCCTCAATGAGGCAGCCTGAGCGCGGTAGAATAGAACTGAGGATGAGGGGAATGAACACTTTGGAGTGCCATACGGTAGTCTTTAAGTCCTTGGCGGATTCAGCACCTTGTGTAGAAACCGGCAAGGCGGCTGAGTGCAACCTTGGGCATGAAACCTGCGATGAGGGAAGAGGTGTCTCACGAACCATCCCGCATGTCAAGTTGTGATATGTGCACAGACGCCTGTGTCCGGAAGCGCCAATTTTCCTCAGGCTTGGAGTGCAGCCTCCACGGGCCGCAACTGCCCAAGGCATTGAAGCCTTCGCTGGAAACAGGCAGCGTCTGAGGTTTCTAGGAGGTGGGAGTCAAGTCTGGTGCAGGTATTGTATCATGTTCCAGGAACGCGGGGCGCTAAGGCTGCGCCGGGAATAGCGCCAGGCCAGCCGCACCGGCGCGACAGCTTAATTTTGTGCAGGACTCCAACCCTCAAACTGCAATGATGCTTATCGTATGCGGGCAACGGCAGCCGAGCACCCGGCAAGTCAAGTCTAGCTTGTTCATCGCAGGGTTCCCACAACAATAGTTCCACTCGCAGATCCACCGCCCCTCAAGTTCACCCCCGATGCCGCCTACTATTGGGCCGCTCAAAAGCTTGTCTGGGTTAATCCCCTTGTTGGTGCCGCATTCGACATCTGTCATTGTTCGTCTTGTGACCTAGTGACGGGCAATGATGGATTTGAAGCAAAACTCCGCCGTAGACTCCCTATCTCCAGCCCCCTCTAAACGATCCTGTCAACAATCTCGCCTCCATGAGAGGCAGGAGAACGGCACGGTTACCGGCTTGAATGTCTCCGCCGCCTTCTCGCTTATCGCTCACGTCGGGTACTATATTGCACGTCAAGTTATGTCACGATTCGCCGCAACATGTACAGGCGCAAGCTTCAGTCGTCGCAATACAACGTCCCATCTCCCACCACACGAGACTCGGGGTTACCAGTTCCCGCCGCAATCTCCCCTCCGAAGCCTGATGGGGTCCATTTTGTGGCCTGAGGATCTTATGCGTAGTTGTTCTCTTTGCTTCCTCCATCGAAACGATTACAAACGGGTTGCGTTTGCCCCACGCTACGCGGCTTGTTGGCAGATTGACATTCCAAGACGCCTTGGTGCCTTGTCCGAGACAGTCGCCAAGAGCTTCTCTGCTGCGACGCGAAAAGTATGTGATATAATCGTTGTGCTCTGCTCAATTGCGTTGGAATCCTGACGACGGGCCTTTTGGCCCTGTCCTAGACCCGCGGGGCTTACATACACACTGGCCAGCATTGAGCGCCGGCGTGCGAAACTGATTCACCGATCAAATCTTCCTTTTACGGTCGCCAAGTGCGGCGGTACCAGGTCTTCGGATAACTTTCCTGTCGATGGAACCGTAACGAAGTTCGCGAGGGTTTCGATACTATCTTGTCAACACGATAGCGCATGGTCTCATCAGCATGGCGCTGGGCCTATAACAAAATTTCAGACCGTGAATGTTCTCATAGAAGTGGGACTGTCACAGAGACCGCATCGGTAATTGCAATATTCTTTAGTTGATCCACTTACTAGCGTAGACAACGAACACGACGCTGCCAACTCTATACCTTTGGTTCCGATCTCCCCTCTTCTTACGGTTTCTACGATCCGAATCACGACATTCATTTACGAGGACGATCATAACCGCTCTGGATACCATATCTCTTCGTTCAAGCCGAATCGCCCGGGAGCATCGGTGGAAGGTGTGCATAGAACTGGTTGTCTTGCTAGCTGTCATTGCCATGCAATCGGCTCCGCCTGGGTCAGCGATATTCTGTCAACGTTACCACCCGATGAACGCCCTTGTGCGGTCTTGTCGTTCTTGTTATGTTACATGTGCCCGGACTTCCGAGGATGCACATCTCACAGAAATTTGCAGGTGCAAACGTATCCAAGTACTGTCGGGATGGCATGATATTAGACCTGCTAGCCTAGGCTCTCGATCAGCTTCCGAACCGCTTCATAGACACGATATCGATACTGAAGAACCGGCGCGTAATTGAATCACATCACAGCTCCTTTTCATTGCTCTATCGAGGCCACCAAGCACTATTCGAACATACTCTGTCCGGATAGACGCCAGAAATTGGTCTTGGCGTCTTTTCGATTGACTGACAAGCCCTTAGCTCGACAGACATCAACACGCAGCTCACTGATCTGGTTTGTTGATGTTGTCACATGCGACGACCTAAGTCATCGTGGTGCGGATTGAAAGAAGCATGAGATACTTACAGCTTCTAGGCGCATGTCACTACAGAAACGGACAGCTTTCGCTTTGACGCAAGCACATACCTCCTCCGAAGGATGGATGCGAGATATGGACAAGCCCTCCAATAGCTTGACGAGACTCTTGGACAGGCTATAGCGTATATCGCTCAGTTCTGCCCTCCCTGTGGTTCACGGCCGCAGTGTTATATCATGTCTCGGCATGTGTTGCAAGCTCTGCATCAAGCCCTATTGTGAGCAACCTATCCCTGGTCACCTGTTCATCATTTGGCTGCCAAGGGTACAATCGCTAGCCTCCATCTGCCCAGGCGAATCGATGAGTTTGTTCCGTCAGCTGTCACTGAGCGCTTATGTTCACCGACTTGCCAACCAATCCGTTAACTTCGTCGGTTCGCTTCAACCGGACATGGACCAACATTTCCTTTACCTTGTGGCTTGGAAGTGATGCCGACTGTTCTGTGAACGCCAAACGGTGAGCGAGAAGATTAGCCTTCATTCCAAACAAATCACGCATTACATGCAGAACGACGATCAGACCCTTTGGAATCCCGCCTCCATGGTCCTGGATGTGTTGCAAGCCCGAGTTTAGGTACAAAATTGCATCCTTCACACATGTATTGGATATGCAAGTCTACGGTACAATGCATACTTAGGTATATCGTATCTGGATCCTCCACTTGGAGCCTGCGCTGCTCTAAGTTCGAAGCCTGGTGACCTCTCAATCAGTGTGCTTTGTCAAGAACATTCAATGGCATGCGGTGCGTCCGACCGCTACCGAGCCGGCTGAGCTTTTCCGAGTGGCTGTCAACGCCGAGGCGCCAGAGGCAAACCCGCCGTACCTCCGCATTACTCCACGATACGCCAAACTACAAAGAGCATTTGGCGCATTCTTTTCTGATTCCGACGTTACGCGAACCCACGCTTTGCGGGATGATTATCGCTTTGCGGGGGCAATGTGAGGTTTGTGGGGATGTCCGGGCATAGCGTCCAAGCCTGCGGACGTAGGAGCGGGCCCTACATATGTTCCCATGGAACCTTGTGTAGGTCTTGCCAGGTCTCAACCTCTTCGTCGAGTTTCGTCTTCGTTCAGTAACCTGCCAAAATGGAGACCGACAAGAGCACTACGCAACATGTTGACACTATCGAGTCTGTGAACAACTCGGATCACAATGTTCCGTTGAAGCACGTCAACAGCGCGAACGAAGAAATCGTTCAACATCTTCAGACAACTGGAGAGGAGATCGGAATGACATGGAGGACATTCATGGCCGCAGCTGTAAGCTCTGATACACACTCTACAAGAGACTAGGCACGCTGACTAGTACAGTCCATGGCAATGTGCTATAACGCCTATCTCTTCACGCTGCTGATCCCTCCTGCAATTCTTACCTTCATCAACGCTGATCTAGGGCCTGATCCGCGTTATACCTGGATCACCATTTCTTGGAACCTAGGAGGGGCCATGTTCGTCACGATAGGTGGTCGTCTCTCGGATATCTTTGGCCGCAGGTACTTCTTCCTTGCTGGAGCCTGCCTCTTGATCATCGGCAGTATTGTATCTGCGACGGGCCAGAGTATCAATCAGATGATAGCTGGCGGAGCCATCTTTGGAGCGGGTTCCGGGTTTCTCGAGATGAGCTTCGGTGCCGTTCAGGTAAGAGCATCCTGAGACAGAAGTTCGAGTACCGTCATTCCATGCATTACCCACCCACGGGTGACACTGTACCCCGAACTTCGGATATCGCTGCACCAACCGTTGCATGTACTGACCCAGTAAGGAAATCGTCCCGAGCAAATACCGTCATGTCACCATCGGCGTATTCGATGCGTCCTCAATCATCGCACAGCTCATGCCTCTCATCAGCTGGGTCATCATCAAAGAAACGAAGAACTGGCGCATCTGCTACTACATAATGATTGCTTTCCAAACCGCCAATCTGGCAATGCTCTTTTTCTTCTATCACCCGCCGTCCTTCCGAGTCAAACAAGCGGAGCACGGGAAGGCTAAGCGCCAGCTGCTTCGAGAGTTCGACTGGATTGGCCTCTTCCTCTTCCTGGCAGGCTGCACGCTCTTTATCGTAGGAATTAGTTGGGGCGGCACTTTGTATCCGTGGGTCAGTGGGACCACTCTGGCACCTATCATCATTGGCCTTTTGACCTTGATCGGCCTGGTTGTGTACGAGAACTTTACAACACTGAAAGAGCCATTGTTCCCGCCACGTCTGTTCAGGGCGAAGCGTCACTTGTAAGTCTCCCGCCACAACTTGTTGAACTTAGCTCATGGAAATAGCACCACTCCTATGCTAGTCATGGCCATAGGAGGCATGCAATACTATAGCAATGCAACACTGTGGCCCCGACTGTCACAGCTTCTCTACGCCGGCGACGAGATCTCCAAAGGTCTTTTCGCCTCAGTCCTCCCACTCGGCACGATCATCGGCGGTATCATCGTCAGCTTCAGCAAGTACATCGGCCACCAACGCTGGCAAGTCGTATTTGCCGTCGCTCTCCAGACTGCCTGCGTCGGCGCCATGTCCACGGCCACTCTCGGCAACTCCGTCCAGTCAATCATCCTCACGTGCATCATCAGCGTCTGTACGAGCGTCAACATCCTCAACGGTATGGTCCTCGTCGGTTTTGGCATCGTCTACCAAGAAGACATTGGCACCGCGGCCGGTCTCGCAGGCACCTCGCGCCTCCTGGCCGGCGCCGTCGCAACAGCCATCTTCTCGAACGTTACAAACAACAGATACACGACCTCGCTCCCTTCTGCTGTTCTCGCCAACGTCTCCTCGTTCAATCTCCCCACCGCAACGCTCTCCAAGCTCATCGTCGCTGCGAAGGCAAACACCGCCGCCGCATACCAGGCTGTTCCGGGTATCACGCCTGCTATCCGCGCCGCTGCTACCCTGGGCAACAAACAGGCGTATCTACAGGGTGCCCATTTGAGCTACCAGGTCGCGCTTGCATTTGGGCTGCTGGGTGTCATTTGTGCGTTTTTCATCCCGAGTATTGATCACAGGAAGTACACGGATCGGACGGTAGCGGTGCAGCAGAGGGACCGGAAGGAGTTGGTAGAGAAGAAGATGGCGGGGGAGGGGGCGTGAACGGCGAGGATGTTGAGAACCTCGATTCGGTAGCATGAACCATCGTAGTCATGAACCCGTTGCACTGGACGTTATCTCTTTTCTTTCAGATGCATGTTCGGCATATGTAACCGCGGAGCAATCATGACCTCTCTCACTCCCGAAGTGCCAATCCCTCCGTTTCGTAGCCCTTCCCATGTTGTACATCTTACAAACTGCTCCTGTCATGTCATGCCGCCCCCATCGCCTCACGGGCCTTCATGTTTCTGGCGTCCAAGCTCTGCTCTGTCTCGCTCAAGCATTGATCGACACCAACCACGTTCTCGAGCTGGCTTCGCCAAGCCGTGTGCGGAGCGCGCAACCTGAGACGTACCCTTGCCTCGCGCCGCACATCGCAAACGACACCGCCGTCCGCGCGCATGAAGCGATTCAAAACTCCGCTGCGGGCCCGCCAAGCATGTCAAGAGCTGAATGAAACGATCCCGCTGCGGACTCTGGCACAACGGTTGAGATAAGATGCGCGATTCAATCTTGATCACTTCTGAAATGTTTACAATGCAAGAGAGCATGTGCTTGAGATGTTGCTCGAAATGATGCTATTTCTGTCCACCACTCGTTCCGCGAAGATAAGTGGTAAGACATCATAAGCCTCTGGTCTCGATTTGCTGCCTGCCAGCACCGTGCTGGGCACCGTGCTGAAATGCAGTTTCCTATAACGCCTTCATGCCAACTGGGGGTATACCGTACACCCGAAAACAATAAATCTCCTTTCTCAGATCGCTGACTCCTGATGCAACCAAACCGAAGTTGTTCTGCCAGCTGTGAAGTCTCAGCCTATCGAGTCAGCCCACGCTCGCCCTTGCCTAATCCTCATCTTCCTCATCAGCTTCGTCTTCGCTCTCGACCTTCTTCTTGCCTTTCTTCTTGGGAGCGGCCTTTTCGGCCCTCTTCTTCACTTGGTCGCCGATGCGCTCTCGCTCACTAGAACCTTCCTCGTGAAGCTCTGCCTCCATCTTTTTGAATTCATCGCTCTCGATGTCCATATCAACTAGCTGCTCCAGCATTTTAATCTCTCGGGCCCAGACAGATTTGTCTTCAAACTTTTTGCCATTCTCGTCTTTCTTGTCGATTGGTGTCTCGAGGACCATAGGCAGGCCATGTAGGCGCTTGTCGTTGACCAGATGGTGGAAGGCAGCCAAGCCAAGGTATCCGGTACCGATGCGAGCGTGCAAGTCACGGAAGGAGTAAAGGGGCGCTTTGCTGTCGTTGACGTGCAAGGCCTTCAGATACTTCAATCCGATGGTGTCTTCGAACTCTTTCATGGTCCTCTCGTAGGCTTCAGGAGTTCGTAGATCGTATCCTGCAGCGAACACATGACAGGTGTCGAGACAGACACCAACACGCTCCTTATCCTCGACTAGTTCGATTATGTCTGCAATGTCCTTGAATTGGCCTCCAATGGTATTACCCAAGGTAGCCATGGTCTCCAGTAATGGCACGACGGCGCCAGTTGCTGGATCCTTATGAACTTTGTTGATGGCCTCCGCTATCAGCTTGATGCCACCCTCGCGCGTGGTTGCTGCTGCATTTCCAGGGTGGAAGTTGTAATACTTGATGCCAGCCTTGTGGCAGCGGGTCAGGTCATCGTGGAATGAATCGTAAGCTTGTTTCTTGCGCTCCTCGTCAGGGTGCGCGAGGTTGACCAGGTACGAGCCATGAGGCACACAGCATTCGGCGGCATCGATATTGTGGTGTTTGCACCCATCCATGAAGAGCTGTGCATGCTCCGGGTTGAGCTCCGGATTCTTCCAAGTTCTCTGACTCTTTAGGAACAATGCGAACGCATTTGCGCTAAGCGGGTACAAAGTCAATGTGAGTTGACACAGAATAACGTATATTTCAGACTCACCCGATGTGCAAGAGGTTCGTGACCGCATTGTGAATGCCTCCAGCAGCACTGACGTGAGCTCCTACGCGGAGCTTACTGCCAGTGGTCCGTTCAGCTAGTGGAGCGACCTGATGCAATCAGTACGTCAAGCCGTGACGGAGAAACAGAAGGGCTTACATTCTCTTCCTTCTTCTTACGCGACTTCTTCTGCGTTGCCTTGACAGTGGTGCCCTTCTCGTCTTCGACCACGACTTTCTCCTCGATGGTCTCCTCCTCAGCCTTAGTCTTGGGCGCTCGCTTCCTCGGCTTTGTAGCCTCTACTGACTTGTCTGCTGAGCCATTGTCATTGGGCTCCGTATCAGCTGTCACAGTGGTCTTGCGTGTGCGCTTAGTGACCTTGCTGGCATTGGTGGCTGTCTCCGCTTTGCGCTTCTTCCCATTGACTGCCTTCTCGGCCAAAGGGTCTGTCTCGTAGGCAGCTGGTGGAGGCTGGATGTCGTCTGGTGGAGCTGAGAGCGACGAGTCGGACGACATGCTGAATGCTCTGTAGGCGGTGTGCTGGAGGACCCAAGGTGGCAGCAGCGCACGTCCGGCTTGTCTCCGGATGGGAACGCAGGGCAGAGGATGATTTTGGAGGAAAGGCTTGGAATGACGAAGAACTATATATGGTCAGAAGCTGATAGATGAAAGCTTAATCAGGAAGTGATTGGGAGTCGCAGTGTGAGTGAAAGTAGAGTGGAGGTGGTAATGCTCCATTGCTCGTAGAGGGAAGGCGCGACGTACATTGGGGCAAGCGCAAGCGTCGACAAATAATGTCAAAGTTGAAAGCGAGTGGACTGCAGGGTCTTCGCAATGCGTTCATGCAGAGTAAAAGCGCAACTCAATGGTGAGAGTGAAAACCGGGTTCCAGCATCCAAACGTCAACGGGACGGTCGGCGCGACGCGTCCTCACATGACGAACGCCAAGCCCGACGGGAGCTGCGTATGCAGCTAAACCTAGCCTTTGTAAGATGTGCGACCAGGAGCTCTGAACACTTGTATACAATCCACCATTACTACCCACCGACACTTCTAGGGCCGTACATTCACCCGTGCGCCGAGTACTGAGACTCTCGGGTACCACCTCTACTTTGCACTCTACGCGACTATTGGCGGCCTTGACTGCGACAACCAGGGGCGATCTGTAGGTGCCTTCCGCAGACTTTGGTCCTGGAATCGTGCTGACGCGACCGCAGCGCCCTCCACACCACCCACGAATACGATCTTCTCTGTCCACAATGAGACGGTCAGACGCAATATGTCCCAGCGCCTTGCTGGGACTCTTGCTTGCTCTTGCGCCCACACCCGGCTCAGCGTTTTACTTCCCAGGCACTGCGCCTACCTCGTACAAAAAGGGAGATGCTGTTCCTCTCTTCGTCAATCGACTTACGCCCACCGAATCGCGGAACGACCCAAAACTACGCTCAGCATTCTCCTTTGACCATTATGACCCGCATTTTCACTTCTGTCAGCCAGAGGGTGGCCCCAAGTACATCCGCGAATCTCTAGGGAGCATATTGTTTGGCGATCGCATACAAACGAGTCCCTTTGAGCTCAAGATGGCAACAAACGAGACGTGCAAATCCTTGTGCGGACCTCAAGAGTATGCACCCGAAGACGCAACATTTGTGAATCAAAGAATCTTGAACGGATTCGACTTCAACTGGTTGATTGATGGGCTACCGGCTGCACAATTGGTGACGGAGTCAGAATATGACGAACCATTCTACAGTCCTGGATTTGATCTGGGAAGAGCACCAGAAGTCCAAATGCCGGATGGAGGCTCCGACGTTGTTGCGACCCTAAACAACCACTATGATATTGTGATTGACTATCACGAAGCCAGCAAGGACAACTTCCGCGTCGTGGGCGTGATTGTTGAACCATCTTCGTACGCCGATAATGCGCAATACATCAACAACGCCGAGGGCTACTGTGGCAATGACCAGAACCCGGTAGTACTAAGCATAGACGCTGGGCAGGCCAGTAGTGTGACCTTCACCTACAGTGTCTGGTGGCGTCTGAGCCCTACACCCTTTGCTACCCGATGGGACAAATACCTTCATGTTTACGACCCCAAGATTCACTGGTTCTCACTTATCAATTCCGCAGTCATCGTAGTGTTCCTCATAGGCATGGTCAGCACCATTCTAGTGCGCACGCTGAAGAAGGATATTGCCAGATACAATCGTCTTGACCAGATGGCGCTTGACGACTTCGGAGACGGCGGCGCTATTGAAGATGGTGTTCAGGAAGACTCGGGCTGGAAGCTGGTCCATGGCGACGTTTTCCGGCCGCCTAAGCATCCCTTGCTGCTATCTGTACTTGTCGGCAACGGAGCTCAGCTCTTCATGATGACCGGGCTGACTATCGCATTTGCCTTGTTGGGATTCCTCTCTCCAAGCAACCGTGGTGCGCTCGGAACCGTCATCATTATCTTCTACACCCTCTTTGGCTTTGTCGGCGGATACGTTTCCTCGCGTCTCTACAAGTTCTTCCAGGGCGAATCATGGAAGTTGTGCTTCTTTTACACTCCTTTCGCCATTCCCAGCTTTGCATTTGCAACCTTCTTCCTGCTCAATCTCTTTGTTTGGGGACGCGGGGCATCTGGCGCAGTTCCTTTCACTACCATGCTGGTCGTTGTCATAATTTGGTTCGTCATCAGCGTTCCACTCAGCTTCGCAGGTTCCTGGCTCGGGTTCAAGCAGGCCGCCATTGAACCGCCGGTGCGAACGAACCAGATTCCTCGACAGATCCCTCCCACCGGCGGCTACCTCCGACCTCTCCCGTCGATGGCTCTTGCTGGAATCCTTCCTTTTGGCGCAATTTTCGTCGAGCTATACTTCATCGTAAGGTCAATCTGGTTCTCGAAGGTCTACTACATGTTCGGATTCCTCTTTATCTGCTACGGCCTCATGATCATGACGAGCGCTGCGGTCACCGTATTGATGATCTACTTTCTCCTCTGTGCGGAGAACTACCACTGGCAGTGGAGGAGTTTCTGCACGGCGGGAGCGAGCGCTTTCTACGTCTTCGCATCTGCATTGATCTATTGGATGAAGGATGTGAGCTTCTTCAGCTGGACTAGTGGTGTCGTATACCTCGGATACAGCGCACTTCTCAGCGTACTTGTGTTTGTCTTGACTGGTAAGTTCTGTCGAGCCGACCCTGCTGACCATCGCTAACTTTGCCATAAGGTACGATCGGATTTCTCGCCAGTGGTCTATTTGTCCTCAAGATCTACAAATCTATCAAGGTCGACTAGTTGGACACGGGTAGCAAAAACAAGCGCCTACAGTTTTGCGCTTCAGCGTGTAAGCATTTCTCAGGATACCAATTGTCTGTACCGATATGTATGTGGGTTGTATTCAATGGCGGCATTTTGCACTACTGGTTTAGAATCTGCGGACTCGTATGGCGTTTAGCTTCCGGGTATCACATGTGCACCAATCGATCGTCTCTTCAGCATGCTTTTGATAGGCATGTTTGAAAAATTAAGCTCATTTCATTAGATTTGCCACACTGTCTAGGCCAGGAGTTAACCCAACATTTTCACCGTCGACAATATTTAACATTGGGGGCACGAATATGTCGAACGATGTTTGCTTTGAAACTACTATGGCACTTCGTGCAAGTCCTTGGCCCCGTAGAATTGACGTAGCCTGCCAAGGCGACGTCGGAAGCTTCCGACTTTCCGAGTCATAATTTTTGGGCCGCAATCCTCAATCCGCGCCAAACTTCTGTCCGGCTGTGTTCTGATGCCCGCACGCCTCTTTCGTTTTCCAAATGTACATTTCGCACGAAAATTCACCTCACACCCCCGCGTATCGCAAGCTCAGGCGCAGACGGCTGCTGCAGAGAGCAGTCATCCTCTTTCCGCGCTGAATACAGGCACCCCGTCGTTCTACGCTCGCAAGGCTACCACTACAATGGAGACCACTATATTTCCTGTAAACCCGGACAAGCTGGGTAAGTTGAAGATACAGGAGGCGGATAAGCAGGATCGATTGATCGAAGAGTGGGACATTGAGTACGCGCAAGGGCAAGACTATGAAAGTCTGCAGCGCGCGGCAAAAGAGCTGAAAGAGACGGATACTCCAGTCGCATTCCCAACAGAAACAGTGTATGGTTTAGGCGCGGACGCAACGCGCAGCTCAGCTGTGCGTGCCATCTTCGCTGCGAAGGGACGTCCTGCGGACAACCCTCTGATCGTGCACGTTCACTCGCTATCACAACTACGGTCTTTGCTTCGAGGAAGCGCGGATTCTCCGGAGACCGCAGTGGACCCCATTCCAGAAATATATAAGCCATTGATCAAGAAGTTTTGGCCTGGTCCTCTCACAATGATAATGCCAAATCCTAAGGACTCGCAACTGGCTCCAGAAGTCACCGCAGGACTAAGCACGTTTGGTGCACGAATGCCGCGCAGCATCCTCGCGCTTGCGCTTCTCAGACTATCCACCGTCCCGCTCGCAGCGCCTTCGGCGAATGCATCGACAAGACCGTCACCCACTGCTGCCGAACATGTAAAAGACGACCTGGAAGGACGGATATCCACGATCATAGACGGCGGACCATGCGAGGTCGGTGTTGAAAGCACGGTCGTAGACGGTTTGTCGCACCCGCCGTCTATCCTGCGCCCCGGCGGCATCACTGTCGAACAACTGCGGCAGTGTGCGGGGTGGGAGGATGTAGTGGTGGGATACAAGGACAAACACGAGCAGGACATCAAGCCTCGAGCGCCGGGCATGAAGTACAGGCATTACTCACCGAAGGCGACGGTAGTGCTGTACGAGTCGGGAACCCCGGCTCCAGCTGTGAAGGGGCTATTGGATAAGGTCGCAGGACGGAAGAGCGTGGGAATTGTGCGGACGAAGACGTGGGCGAAGAACCTGGGTCTCGCAGTTACCGAAAAGAATGACGCTGTTGATGCACATACGAACGGGATTTCGAGCTCAATGGGAGGAGCACAGCAGGATCCATCGCACACTCCTGAGTCGAATCTTTTGCGCTCGGTCAGACAACACCAAGTTCCTCACGCTGTACATTGCACATTCCAGCGCGATTCAGATCAAGGTCCGCTATCTATATGGGACATTGGACTAGGCATAGCGACCGAAGACGTAGCGAGAGGCCTTTTCTCGGCGCTACGAGAGCTAGACAAGAAAGGAGTGGATATCATTTTGGTTGAGGGGATCGACGATAAGATAGGCGATGACATAGCGGCGGCGGTAATGAATCGCTTGAGGAAAGCCGCTGAGATAAGAATCTAATGCTTAACTCTTCGAAATATACAAGCAGTCGCTGGAGAGAAGACTCCTCGTGCCTGTTCCTGCTGCGCATGGACACTGTCTCTCTATGCCAACCACCTAGTTTTCCCCGCTCTTGTCCTGGAACCAGTCCCTTCTCCTTCATTAGCCCCATCAATCTCGATATGTCTACCTTTCCTTCCCGGCATCCTCCTTCTTAGCCACCGGCAGCGCAGGCAACACACCCTGCCCGATAGGATCCAAATCGCTCGGCGCGCACGTACTCACGCTGCCATACGGACCCGTTCCGTCATCCTTCTTCGCATTCAACTTCTCGACTTTTGCCTCGCTGCCGAGGTGTCAGCATGTGCGTTTCACGCAGGTGGGACAGTTGGGAGGGCTTACGTCCACTTTCGGGCGGAGGATGCGGTGGTCTTGACAGTGGATGCTGCGGAGGAGGCTATATCCGTGACTGTGGAGAGGGCGGAGTGGGCGTGAGGCAGGAGTGGCGCGTCGCTTGTTGTTCTTGGGGGAGACTGAAAAGTGAGTCAGCATGTATATCAGTGGTAGGATGCCAGCGGTTGACTCACGGCGTGGTAGATGTTCTCGTAAGTAGGTGCGGCGGTGCTTTCGTCGGCGTGGGGAGTGCTGCACCTGCCATGGCGAGACTGGGAGGCAAGTGAGTATGGAATGTATATCGGCGGAACCGTGGCAACGGTTGACTTGACTCACGGAATGGCTGATGTTCTCGGAAGTAGGTGCGGCGGTACTTTCGTTGGCCATGTTGAGCCGCTTTGCGGCCTTCGAATGCAATGGAATACGTCGTGAGTTAGTTGAAGGTGCCAACTACTGCTGGGAAGACTGGCAGTTGTCTTAAGGCGATATGGGTCCGTTTGCTTTGCTTTGCTGGGCCCATAGTTGTTTGCATCAGACGGCGACACAAACAGCAATGGTCCACGTTGAAGAGGAAGCGACGGCCTGGACGGCTAACGCATCACTTCGCAAACTTACATCGTGGAACCGCATCTCAAGAACACTCAGCCGAGAGTCGAAGTTGAGCTCTTTCTGCCGCACGGCATTCTGTCCCTCTCCTTCATGTGCCGGTAAATGACGCAGTCACAGATTCGTGTCAGAGTCCTGGGTACTCCCGAGCCTGTAAATTCTCCATCCGGACATCACTGTCCAGCGCTCTTGACTTTCATGCATCCATTCTACGTCTTGTCGTACCTACTTCGAGTGAGCAGTGTCGTGTTTTGTCGGCTCAGCCGGGTACGGGAGTTCAGCATCAGCAGTGGGCAGCCGTGCCTCCACGAGATCTTCCAAAACGCACAGTCTGGACTTCGTGTAGGTGGGAGGATCTCCGTGATCGGCACCAATTATCGTGGCGACCTGTGACAGCAGAACAGCGAGTTATCGTTCACTTTGTCATCGACATTCGACACGGTACTGTCTCCGCCGCGCCCATTGCGGCTTGAGGTCGGACTTGTGCAACGGCAGCCTATAGCACTGCTGATATAGCCCCATCCATGTCTATGTGGCGCACGCCGCACGGGATAATCGCGATAATCCTGGACGTCTTTAATCTTCTAGAAGCATTCTCAATATCGACAGAGCTTCCAGCGGCTATCGCAACATGCACAATGCAGCGATCAGCGGCACCTGACCAAGCTTCAACCAGTCGTCGTCAAGTCGCGGCTGGCCTGTTAGTTCGTATTTGAGTGATTGGCGAGACACCTCCTGGTGCCGGAGATACTTGTCGAATCCTCATCGGAACACTTACTCTCCCACCTAGCGTACGCAGGCGTTTGGCCAGGATCGATGCGACATCATTCCAAGATTTCGAGCGCTTTTCCAGCATCCTTGTTGCGCCCCTTGGGCAGCGAAGTTGCAGTAGCGCAGGGACTTGAGCCTCTCCGACACCTCACAACCTCGAGGTACACTTTACAGGGCTTGGCATCAAGTTGCACCACTGCCGCTGGCGGCTGACACTATGAGAAACAGGCATGTTTTGTGCAGGCCGATTCGATGATCGAGCCATGATCCTTGGTCGGCCAGAAGTCGCTTACGACTTGTAAGGCTCAGTGGGTGTATCCTAGCAGATTAGCCTATATACAGGCCGCGCTAGTTTACCAGATTTGCGGTCGGGAACAGGTTCTTCGCTCATGCACCTCACACCACCGCATGATTAAGTCATCTTGTCCCGCTTCCTGCGGGCGGTCCTGCAATCGGTCAGTGACACAGTCCTTCTCGTGTGGCTGTGGCCTCCAACGGCGCACTTCTCGCGTGGTCGCTTAATCGGTCTAGCGTAATCTAAATCAAGTAGACGAGGTCGGCATGGAGTCATGGACTTAGCTCGCTTTGTTGGTCACCACCATGGGGCCCCGGTATGCACCGCGGACGCCAGTTTGATTGCCCAGAGTGAGGTGTGGAGACCCCAAGCTACCCCCGCAGCCGCGGTGTTCATCTCGCTCTGGGTTGGGATAGAGACTAAAAGACTTTGGGCGAGCAGGCAACATTGATATATGCTTCTCATTCTTGTCACACCTACTCTCTAACCGCCACCCAACGTTTTCACTCTTACTCCTGCTGAGTACTTAGCCTTGGTTTGCTGCCTATGCCGAATACGTTCTTAAGGTCTATCGACTATTGTGGCTGCACCCGCAGGACGCGCGATCGAACGTGCGGTTTCCCTGACCGCTGCTGCACTCTCCACCAATCATGAGTCTACATACGCCGTCTCCAGAAGGCAGTCCCGTGTCAGCGGTTACGACCAATGGCGCGTTCCCAAGGGACTCCTTCTGCCTTAATCTTTCCACTTTACCGGACTCCAGCAACTTTCTTCTGAAATCGGCACTGAAATCCCCTCATCTCCTCGACTCCCCCACCGCCTTCAGCCCTGCCAGCAGCGTGCTGGGCGGTCCGTTCAAATCACGGCCCCGCAATATGTCTCAATCGTCTGGAACCGATCGCGAAATGTCAACCGAGGCCACGCCAAATCCAGCCAACGGCGCTCCGCCCACCAGTAATGGCATTGAACCACGCTCTACAACGAAGAAACGCCCTAGTACAGACACCATAGATTACCCGCGCCGGCGAGCTACCATCGCGGTAATACAACCAAACAACCGCGCGCTTTTTGGGGTGAGACTGATTTTCAAGCAGTGCGAAATATGCCGGTCGAGGAAGTCACGTTGTGATGGCACTCGGCCCAAGTGCAGGCTTTGTAGCGAGCTGAACGCAGAATGCATCTACCGCGAGCCCGGGATCAAATTAGATGCCGGCGACAAGCTGATACTGGAGCACCTCAACCGGATCGAAGGCCTGCTCCAGACGAATCTTGCAAATGGGTACACTTTGGGCACCCACTCTCCAGCAGCGAGCAATTCCACCAGTGACGATTTTCTCGCGCGATCCTCCGGGAATATGGCTGCAATGGGCCTGGTGCAATCGATCAACGGGATCGGTACCTGGAGCAGCACAGCTTCGAACATCTCCACGATGCCAAAGACGCACACAACAGCAGCACTGAACTTGCTACAATCGCCTATGATCAGAGACCTCGTTTCTCGGCCGTACGATCCCAAGATCCTTCTTCAGCTGGAAATGAGCCGTGAACCCTTGTGCCTTGGCACCTCGCTTGGAGTCGATCTTTCCAACACCGGCACCTACGTTCAAGCCTTCTTTGAGCGGGTGAATGTTTTCTACGCATGTCTGAACCCGTACACTTGGACAAGCTACTATCAAACTGCGTTGTCGCACGGGTTCAGAGACGGTGCGGAGAGCTGCATTGTACTCCTAGTCCTGGCACTTGGTCATGCAGGCAGCATGGGAAGCATCTCGCAGCAACCAGTAGACAAAGACCCACCGGGACTTGCATACTTTGCTGCAGCATGGGCTCTGCTACCAAGCATCATAACACGGAATAACATGCTTGCTGCACAGTGTCAGATCCTGGCAGCTGCGTATCTTGTGTATCTGGTCCGCCCAGTGGAAGCATGGAATGTCTTGACCGGTGCAAGCATGAAATTGCAGCTGCTTCTGAGTGCCCCTGGGAGGGTCTCGCCTGGAGAGGAAGAGTTGAGCAAAAGAGTGTACTGGAACGCGCTTATGATCGAGAGGTGAGTTTGCAGAATGTTCGTGTTTGGGGATTTACTGATCATCTGTTCTCAGTGACTTGCTGGCCGAGTTAGATCTTCCGCATTCAGGGCTCGAGCATTTCGAAGACTCATTCACCCTCCCCACGGGATTTGAAGATATCGGGACCGAACCGGTTGGTAGAGACGAGCTTTGGTACTTCCTTGCGGAAATCGCTTTGCGGAGACTGCTCAACCGAGTGAGCCACATGCTCTACCAGAGAACCTCAAATTACCAGAAGTCACCACCTGCGGCAGCTATCGCGCAACTAGATCCTCTCGTCCTCGAGTTGGACTACCAGCTGAACCAGTGGTATGCGGGCCTTCCACCAGCCATGCAGTTCCCACTCGATAGGGTACCGCTCCAAAACCCAGTACAAACAGTCCTGAGACTGCGATACTTCGCTTGCCGCACCATCATCTTCCGACCGTACATTCTATTGGTACTGCAGGACGAGACCTTGGCTCTAGACCAGGGAGTGCAGGAGAATTGCCACAGGTGCTTGGAGGCTTGCATTCGCCAGCTTGAATATATCACGTCCCATCACGCCGGCCACGTCCCCTATCTCTACCAAGGGGCACTATCGTAAGTCATAATGCCCATCCTCAGATCCCAGCTAATCAAATCAGCATTATCTCGCAGACTCTGCTCGTTATGGGCGCCACGATGTGCCCATCTCTCTCCGCGCTTCTCCCACCGCCGACGACCATGGACGATATCATAAACAACGTCATTCACGAAATGGAGCGACTCTCGCACCTTGCCCCCAGCCTCCGGCTCTCGGCCGAGCTCATACGAGACGCCGAAGGCAAGCGGCAAATGTGGCTACGAACAGCTGGACTCAAGTTTGACGGATGAAAGAAGACTTCCCAGGACAGCGGTATCATCGGTACAGCAAGCCGTTCTAGCCATCACCCCTGGAATCGATGATCTCAGTATGCCATCGCAATCCGCGGCCGTCACAAGAGCATGACAGTGTACCCTTGTACCCCAACAAGCGACTCTCGGACGCACGAACGGTATGCGCGAGCACGTACCGACCGTAGCTATCTGCACTCGAAACCAGAAAGGAAGAAATCTCCGCGGTGGAGATGGGATGCGTGTCACGAAACCTTGGGCGACGTGCAGCTCAGTGCAAGGGTTGCTGCAGGCGTCCTGGGAGAAGATCACTAGAGCTTCCAGAAGGCCTGGAGACTCATCTCCCGGTCAGGTACCTGTCAAGAGGGATGCATGGGCTGACACGCGCCATCACGAGGGCAGAAACAGACCGGGGTGCCGGGTACATGGCGGGGAGGTACCGGTGAGATCTGATGACATTTGCATCGTATTCACGAGTACCATCGTCCACCAAGTGTAGCTTATACTCAATCAAAACTCATACCGCAAGTACCCTTTGGACTCAGATCTGCATGGCAATGTAAGCCTTCGTACTGATTCACAAGACAACTGTTATCCTCCCATCGAAGGTACTCATCCCAATGTACCGCCGAGGTATCATCTCCCACGCCCCCGTACCTCCCCACTCCTTCATATACCTCTATATTAAAGAACCTTCTTTGCATCTGCCCTTCTCTTCCTAGCCCACGCCCCAGGACCCCGCGCTCGCCAGCCAGCCCCGCAGGGATCAAGGGTGCGCACGACCCCAGGCTGCACCCCGCAGCGTCCAGTGGCAGCGCAGCTCGCGCAGCTGCATCCCGGCTACAGGATAAATCGCATCCTGCGGGCGGCTTCTGGAAGATTGAGAGAAGCGGCGGGCGTGCAGGAGTGCGTGTTAGCGCTGTGCTGGGCTGGGGAGCAGGTGCGTGAAGGTTTGGGCGGAGAGTTGGGGTGCCGTTGGGCCGAAGTGCAGGATTGTGCTGGGGTTGAGGGGAGTTGGAGGAGGGCGATGTGATGTGATGCTGGGTGGTGGTATGTACAACGGAGTCGTGCCATTGCGCTGGACACGGTCGAGAGGAAACCGTGCTACGGTGCAAGCAAAGCAGCTGCGCTCTGCGGTCAACATGATGGGTGTCACTTGTAGCAGGTCTCGAGAGCCCCCGGGCGGGCCAATCAAGACTCGCAGCTGGCACGCCTCGCGTGAACTGCACGTTCGGGCGCCCTGCAGCATCAACAACGTCCTCACCCACACACGCGCCCTCATTTCCAACCTCACCACGAACCGCCCTCTCGCGTTCGCGTTCGCGCGATGAGTGAACATAGGATCTTATCAGCGCGCACCCCGGCCCCTCCGCTGCCGGCCTCTCCCACTGAAGGCACTTGCCCTGCACCGCGTCCCCCAGGATCTGCACGGCGCGGGGAGCGTGATCGGAAGAAAATGAGGAGGCTTTCTGCTGATGCGCCGCGTTGCGTTGCGTTTGCGTTTGTGATGTGTGCTGACCTGCATGTTCGCGAGCGTGCAGCCGTAGCTCCTGCGTCCGTTCGCACAGTTTTTCCGCCAACCTGTGCGCGCCTTGCACCGGCCAGCCACAATCGCCCATCTCCCAGGATACGACGATGGAGCTAGTGGAAAGCCTCAGCATCCTGCGACTGCGCTCTGCTTCTTCGCGTCCACGTTGCGCGGCAGCTGCCGGAGCGCGCGCCCTGAGCTGAGCTGAGCTGAGCTCCGAACGCAGAAATGCTAGTGAGCGAGCATCTCGTGCGTGTTGCCGTGGTAGGCTTGCTTGATGGTGGCATCGGTGAGACGCTGAAGGCGCGCTGTGCACGATGAGAGTGGGACGTACATCCATCCTCCCCTCGCGCGCGTGATCCAGCATTGGCAGCTATTGCGTACCCGGATAATACGTCCTGGGATTTGGTAGCGAAACCAATCCCGCCTGCCTCCGCCCATGCTCGGCATGCGCGACGCGTGGGGAGACAGAACAGAAGCCGCCTCACAGCTCAGGTCAGAATGCCATCATCGCGAGCGGTGCGTCCTCGACGAGTGTGTAGCTGGTGCAGCTAGAGCGGAGCGCGGGCTGCATCAGGCATGTATACACCGTCGCGATATTGCCTCGCCATGTAGGTACCGCTAGGAGCGTGCTGAAGGCGAGTCATGTGCCGCTGTGTAGATTGAGGTGGATCTGCTGGCAGTTCGTTCTTCAGTGTGTGCTTCTAGAAATATGCAGGTGCAGGGACTGGGGATGTGTCTGCCGAGATGTTATAGCAGGCACTTCTGATATAGCCGGAAGGCGAGGGGGCTTCGATATGCGTCTGGGGTACCGCGACATACGTGTGCTGGAGGTACTTTCATCTCGGTGTTGGCGCGGAAGTAGCTGGCTAGAATGGTCGACCTATCGAAGTACTGACTTGCTTCGTACCTGTGACGACGGACCCGTCGTAAAGTTTAGTATGCTGCTTCCTGTCCGGGGATCGACTTGAGACGAGAAGTATACCTTCGGCGGTATCTTCTGATGGAAATTGCAGTTATCACCACTCAAGCTGCAACCAGCCAGGCATCGTGAGACCTTCTAGTGCTCTCTCGACTCTACCGCCGGCTCGCCACAACACAACCCGGGTACGCTCCAAGGCCCGGCCCGCCTTCACTGTCCTACCATCGCATCCCCCGCTACCAGCGTCCTTCTAGTCTCCAGATTCCTCTCCACCCGCGGACGTCGCCAGCAGCTTAGCCCAATCCAGCACTCCCCGTGGGGACTCACTGCGGCCCAATCCAACTCCCAGGTCCCGTCCTTGCTGCATTCGCACGTACCTGCATGCCCCCGTACTCGTACCCACCGCATCCCCAGCACTGAGATATATTCTCTGCAATATACCCTCGGGGCCCGAGTTGCCAATCGTATCGGCGTGATGATGACATGCTCATATCGGGATATAGTAGGGGTGACGAACTGAGGCGTCATGTTGCGCTTCAAGCTTGCATAGGGGGCGTGTGCTGCAGGGGGACGGCTAACTCAAAGGGGCAGTTGCTCGAGGGGAGTGGCATGGACGATGTTCGGTGCAGGGCTGAGTGGTGATCGTGGGGAGTGCGGTGGGTTTGGGGTGCGTTGGATCATGCGGACGCGCGCAGAGCGCAGGCCCACTGTGCAGACAGGAAGCCGATGAACAGCAGCGTGACCGTGTTCCAACGGTGACCACGCGCCGGGTTGGTGTTGCTTCGGAGCTGCCGTCCACGAGACGAGTACAGGGTGCTGCCTATTCACTGAGATCTGAGCCTTGGTCAAGGGTTTGCGTGATCGAACTGGGGGTACAAGAGAGTCAGTGTAGTGTTCTTTGACTTTCAAGCTCATTCGTTCAGAAGTCTTCGTCGCCTTTCATCAAGGTGGACTCACTAGCTGGCCAACGCATGATTATCATTAGCTGTACAGGCAAATGAGGTGATCCCCGGGCTCACCACGTTGCGTGCAATCCACTCAAGTTGACCTGTTCGGATACATCAGCTTTGACGGCTGTTATAGCACGCCACCCCGTGTACATTCAGTATGCTAGTTGTCGTGTATTCTAGCTCCGCGATGGGCAAAACATGGAGTCCTGCCTACCATATATACTATAGGAGCTTTGGAACTTTTCACTGGAAAAGTTGCACCGCGACTGAAGTCCACCATCTCGGCAACTTTGACACGGAGCGCAACTCACTTTGACAGAGACTCGTTACTTCGGAAAGATGAGTGGGGATGACATGTACCAGTCTATTCAACGTCGCCCACCGCCTAAATCCATCTCAAATACAGAAGTGAAACGACAATTGCACATTCTCCAAGCAACCCGTCATCACTCCGCCAAGTTGAGCTCTGGATACTCGGGCAACGGCCACGCCCTAAGCTCCTTCTCGTCTGTCTGCTGCGGCATCAATCTCATGAGCAACTTGTCGATCCTTAGCGAAGACGCTGCCCACAGTCCGTTACGAATGAACCACACGGCTAGCGACGAGGATGGGAGAGACACATTCCCACTGATAACCTGCGCCCGATCGACTGGCTCCTTCATGATCTCGTTGTATGACTTGAGTGCAGCGTCCAAATTGGATTTCTGTCTCGCTAGCTCGCCAGCAAGGACATACGCACCGATGAAGGCGGACGTGGTCCCTTTCCCGGTCATGACGCTGGGGCAGTAACCAGCGTCCCCAACCAAGACGATACGCCCTTTGTAGAGCGCCGGTAACTTGACTTGGGCAAGCTGGTGCGCGTAGAAGTCGTCTGCAGTCTGCATGCCCTCGAGGAAGCGCTCCGTTTGCCAGCCCGCACCTGTGAATGTCTCCTTCCACACAGCCTTCTGCTCTGCCACCGACTTCCCATACGACGCTTTCGTCTTCTCCATGTTGGCCTGGCTGAAAAGGTAAACCTGCGTCTGCGGTCGTCCGCCGTTCCGCAGCAGGATCGCGCGACTTCTAGCCGCGAAGAATATCCGCGCGAGCGTGCTGTCGCTCTCTGTACGCGGGACAGTGAAATATGCGACTTGCGATCCCAGCTCCTTGAATGCCTCGCGACTTATTTCGTCCCCAAACGCCATCTTCCGAGTCCGAGAGTTCTGCCCATCAGCGCCTACGACGAGATCGAAGTTCTCCTCCCTTCCATCTTGGAACGTCACATCCACACCTTCTGCTTCTCTCTGCACGAAACCCTTCACATTCATCCCAAAGACGTACCTCAAGCCTCCTCCTCGTACTCCACTCTCTTCAAGCTTCTTCCGATCCGCGACGGAAGCATCAACAATCACCTTCACCATGTCCCCCCTCATAATCTCCAGATCATTCGTAAAGCCCCCACTCTGCAAGCCTTCGGTACCGCTGTCGCCCCTGATGCCAAACCTGAGGTGCGGGTACAAGTCAGTGTGAGTCAAGATAGGATGGTGTATGCCTGTGCTTATGAGACATACACATCCTCGGGATCCTCCATACCTTGCCAGACTCTCGCCCTTGGCACCGATGACCTCCGCACCGGTCTCATCGACGCGGTGTGCGCGCATGGCTTCGAGAAGCCCCATCTTGCGCACAATGGGGGTGCCCTGGGCTTTGAAGTCGAGTTGAAGACCGGTTGCGCGAAGTGCAGGCGCACGCTCAATGACGGTAATATGATGGAGGGGATCGGCGCGCTGGAGGAGAAACGCGAGAGCGGGCCCAGCCACGCCGGCGCCGATAATGAGAATCTTAAGCGGCATGTCGAAGGGCTTCTTTTGGAAAGAGCGATGCGGAGCAATCGTGGTTGTGAAAATTCAGGCTGTATGAAGTTGCTCGCAGAGAAATAGACTGTGCTGCCAGAATTTCCAAAACAGTCTGCTTGGCCTTCTTATCGTAATCAGCTATGACGGACCTGCGTGGTGTTGAGGTGGCTCCGTCGCGGCTGGCCCGACATCTCCGTTTTTGGAGTCGTCATCTCCTCCGACAACCCCGCAACACCATGGTTGTACGCGCTGGGGGTGACGACGCGATTGGTGGTTCGGGGGCGTCGGTGGACTGATGGAATGGGCACATTTGACGCTCTTTGAGATGAGAATGAGTCGTAGGGTACGCGGTCGTATGATTTGGACTCCAGCTGCCTACGGAAGGAGACATCAACGCTAGCAAAATGGGGGCAGTCGCAAGATGGACGCGGTCGCCTAAAGATATGATTCCATGGCCGCTCATACCTATTGAAGCTCACACACATGATGTATGGACCACGCTAGAAAGGGGCTTACTGTCCTGCGCCTGCGTGCATTGATGTATAAGCAAAAAATGCAGCATTGCAATCCTACATATGTCGTCAAAAACGTGGTATCATAGCTACTCGTGGACTGAAGGTGTCGCACGATTTGTACAGCCGTAACGCCAGATCTACCATCTACAATATCTCAAAGCGAAGACTTCTTGCCCAGCCAGGGAAAGACGTGACGCAGTCCACCGCTGCTTGAGTCGCTACTATCCACTTTCGTATCTGATGGTGTTGTGGAGAGAGGCGCGGTCGGACCTTTGCCAGCTTCATCGTCCTGCACTCTGGCGAATTTGTTGTCCACATGGTTCTCCAGCCATGTGTGCTGATCCTGCGTGAGCTGGAGGTTCTTTTCAATCTCCTTGGTGAGCTTGTCGACCTCGTCCTGCAGCTGCTCGTCGAGGCTTTTCTCTGGCTCGTCTGCTTGCGCCGGCTTCGGCTGGCCTGCTCGTGCCCACGGTGCTGTCTGCTCCCACAACTCTTCCAGGTCTTCAAGCCAACCGCATGCTTCAGCCAGCTTCCGCACGCCAGTATCGCAGTCCTGCAGCAGAAGCACGTCGTCTGCTCTTGATCCCATCTCTCCGACTTGCTCTGAATTTATCAAGACCCTCGGAGTGCCGTCGCCGCACATCATGGGTAGAGATGCGAAAGGCTGGACGCTCAAGCTGGTGCCCATGACTATGCACAGGTCGGCATCGCCTGGCAGTGAGCGGTTCTCGAAGAAGTCGGCGGGCAGCTGCTCGCCAAAGAAGACAATCTCAGGCTTTACCAGGCCATCGCATGTGTCGCGGGTGCACTTTGGGACGGATTTCTCCTTGATAGCCTTCTTCATCAGGTCCTCGGGGTAGGGCACCTTGCACTCAATGCAGCTCTGCCGCGCAAAGCTGCCATGTGCCTCCACGATCTTGTCGCCTGGCACGCCCGCCTCGCGTTCCAGACAGTCGATGTTCTGGGTAAACAGCTTGAGCAGTAGGCCTTTCTGGTGCAGCAAGTTTATGAAGGAATGGGTGATGGTCGGGCGGTAGTTGCCTGGGTACAGCTCTTGGGCGAGGGTATAGAAGGGCAGAGGATTGTCGCGGAAGTAGCCAATGTCGAAGACAGCTTCGGCGTAGGGGAGGTTGAGGCGCGCGAGGTTTGCGTAGAGGCCGGTATCCGGAGAGCGGAAATCTGGTATGCCTGCAGATGTGCTTATGCCTGCGCCTGTCTACACGCCAGTCAGTGTCTTGACCAAACGGGTGCATGCGCCGCGATGCGCCTACCATGACCACGATGCGCCGGGCTCTCCCATCTTTGATGTAATCGGCGACTGCCTCGAGCGTGCGGCTCTTCAGCTTTTGCGGGGGCGTCTTCTCGTCCACCATGCGCGACTCGTCCTGACCCATCCTGGCGTGCCTCCCAACCTTGCCTCTGTTCTTGTTCTTGTTCTTGTTCTTATTGCGGCCCTTCTCTTCGTTGCGCCAGCTCTTGTCCTGCGGCTGCCCGCGGTGGGATTTGTGTTTGCGACCTATGGTGGATCGCGGGCGGGTGGTTGCGCGGAGAGGGCGTACGAAAAGACGTGTGACTGTTGCGATTGAGTGCAGACAAATTCGTGGCATGCCCGTACGCCCCTCCGCGCTACACGCTGCGACACCCCAAAAACTAGTGCGGGACGACCTCTTGCGTCACGCCAAGCCAGCCGCCTCCCACCACGAATCTTACACATGCAGCCGGACTGGACCACGTCTTGCATCAACATGGACCAAATTAGCGGCGAGGCTTTACCAGAGTCTCAAGACTTCAGCCTAGCATAACCCAGGCTGTGATACTCATTCAGAAGTCTGACCGTGCGCGCTATCCCCACTGCGCACGTCCACATAAGATCCCACTTGCTACACGACCATCGATTGCAGTCAAGACGACCCGAAACCATTCAATGCGCGGTGCATCAGGGAAGCTGTGACGACAGTTGCTCACCACGGCGCACACCCAGCCATCTCGAGAGGCCGAGCCATTGAATTTGTACAGTTAGCGAATGGATGACCTTCTCTCGAGACTCGTTCGTTCATCAGGAATTCCAGGCCTCCACTGCGCTGCAGGCCAAGCCCGAGTTCAAGGGTCGTGGGCAACGCAAGACGGGTGCAAGAGGAAGTGCAATAAGCAGACCAGACCAGTCCTGGCGTTTGAGTGGCTGTTTGAGCCTCCTGACCCTGGGAGGGTAACATAACATCAGCCTTGTCGCCGACTTCATAAAATAGCTCCGCCTACCATCGACGCAACATGCCTCTCAGCCGCGCATCCTTGTGGCCCCCCATCGTTTCACCATAAACATGTTTGCACTCCCTCCAAAGCCATGGTTTCGTCCTCTTCCTTTTCGTCGTACCTCCCGCACAGTTTTTGGATGAGCGAGTAATGTCGAAAGCGTCGTCCACGAGGCCTCTGTTTACCGCCTCTTCCGAGTATGCTCCTCGCAATCGTGGACCCATAACGACGCTTTTCGACTACCCGACATCATGCCTCGCGACGCCTACGCTGGCTCCTAAGCAGGCGACTTTTTATTTTGCGCATCAAGGCCAAGACAATTACTTTGACCCTTCGTGTTTCCCCAGGGGAACAATCAAACCAGAGAACCTTCAGAGTGCACATTGGGGTTTGTACTATTGTCCGCCTTCCCCTCGGTCATCTCTCATCCAATCGACTTACTTCCGCCACAGATAGTCCTGCGATATGCCCGAAAGGATGGAATCAAGTCCGGACGTATGCGAGAACGTTGCCAGGCTTTACTGAAGATATATCCATAGGCCAGGGCACTTCCGTAGCTCTTTGTTGTCCATCGTAAGCGAACGCAGTCAAATCAAAGCTTAATGGAACTTGAAGGTTGATCATCTCTCAGAGGTTATACATCTGTCAGTCCAGCCGGCCATGGCCACAAATGCTCATCCGCCTTCTCGCAAGACCAGGTGGTCACTTATATTTTCCCCACGATGAAGGGACCTGGTGATTGGGATGTGCCGGTATCGACGAAGACTCACGCTGCACCTGCCAATCCTTCAATTGTATACGGAGATGGCGTGGTGGTAATGTGGCAGAAAACCGACGAAGCAGTATTGGCAGCGGCTGCGCAAGAGACATCAACATCTCAGACGGGGTCCAATACGTCTACTAGCACGGCATCACCGCCGACATCACCACCCGCTGCAGGGGGTTTGTCGACTGGCACCAAAGCGGGAATCGGTGTCGGGGTGGCTATCCTCGCCCTGGTCGCTCTGATGATAGGGTGGTTGTTTCTCAGGCGGAGGAAGAAACACTCAGAAAGCTTGCACGAGGTCCCAGCGCCAAGAGAGCTCGACGCGGGACGAAGCAATGTAGTAGAGGCCGCGCCGGGTGATCCGCCGAAAGAAATATACAGTCAAACGAGGGAGCCGGTCCACGAGATGCCACCGTAGACACATGAATTGTTAATGCTCTCTCAATCTTGATCGATCAGTACGGCAGCAAAGCGAGAATAAGCACACAAGAGAACCGGCTACGGTACTCAGCTTACATTAATATATATTCGGTCTCGGATCGTGCTTTTCGTCGAAAGCTCTGACCGAGCGAGTTGTACTAGGACGGACTATGCCAACGCAGATATGTAGTTGCACATGTTTACGACTTGCGTCACGATGGGCTGACTTTGCAAAGCACGCTCAGATCAATCAATACATTCGACATAGGACAATGGAACACTAGGCCGCTGTAGTGTCAGGAAATGATGGAAAATCGTTTCCAGAACGAGTCCAGAACGCGTTGGCAGGTTGGAATACACACCGTTTGGTAAAAATCGCACGATACCACCAGAAAGGAATCATCGCGCCTTCGCGTTTGAGAGCGGCATTAACCCAATCTGGCCACGGCGTTCTTGTGATCTCCGTTGCTCCTGGGTGGGGCGTAGCTGAGTGGCTGCGCCTCACCGTCCAATCTCCATTACAACACACCTCCAGCGTCGTGCAGCTCTAGCAAGATGCTTTGATATGGAAATACTATCTGGCGAGGATTAATCGATACTTGCGATGATGCTTGCTGCTTGAATTTCATAACCGTTGTGGTTTCCGCTGACAATCTCGAGAACAGTTATGCCCGGTGACCACACCGACAGTGCGACGTGCGACCGGAGTCTGCATACACAGTGGGGCAATGAATCCTCATTACCTCATGCGCCCGTCGCAAACAATGGAGCATGTCGCTCGCTGATAGCCGTAGTGTTTGAAACATCGAAGCTTCTCCGTAGGGCCCCATCTCACTCTCCGGAGGGCGAAGCACTACTCCGAAACAGGCCAGCCATCAGCCAGGATCGAGGCCTCGCCCTCCATTTCCAACCTACATATATGGGACTGGACGCGTTCGTATCCTCTCCAGAAGCTTGGCTTTCTTCATTCATTCTTTTCTCTGTCACTCATTTGACCGGTTTGGTCTTACACATTCTTTTGTTCAATTGACGTTCCGCATTGCACGCTTCGTGCTCCTTTAGCTTTAACCATTCTATCATTCTCCAATATGAAAGCCCCTCAGACAACATTTATGTTCGCGGCCCTTCTGGGGCTCGCTGCAGCCTCTGATGACATTCGCTGTGCGAGTGAATCCATTCCTATCCCCGGCCTCGGCAAGGAGATGACTTCTGCCATGGACACCATCATCAAGAGCACCGTCGACCAAGTCTGTGACCACCCAGAGAACTTCATCCCCGATGCAGACGGCATTGCCCAGCTGCTCGGTCTTGATGCCGACCCAGTGCACTTCCAAGTCACGCTCCCCGACGCTGTTACCAAGATCTCCTCCGAGGTCTGCCACCGCGTCCTCACCGCCATCATCGGCCAGTGCATCTCTGACAAGAACGTCTGGGGAGGGTCTGCCGCCGTAGACGGCGCTCTGTACGAGATCGGTCAGCTCACCGACAAGCTCCCTCTGCACATTGGCACCCCTGCGCTTCCCAGCGAGGTTCCGGCTGTGTCGGACGTGGCCGCCATTGCGTCTAATCTTCCCATCTCGTCTATTGCCGCCGCGCTGCCCACTGCGATCCCTACGGCAATTTCCGGCGAGGCCACCGGCCTTCTTGAGAAGATTCCCGGCCTTGGTGGCCTTTTCAGGCGTCAGCCTATCAACATTGGTACCTACAACCCTGAGTACTTCCGCACCAAGTACGGCATCGAGCCCACTCCTACTGCTGGCGGTGACGAGGCTGAGGCTACTGGTGGAGCTGGAGACGAAGAGACTGAGGAGCCAACTGAAGAGGAGGGTGAAGACACTGAGGAAGGTGATGAGACCGAGACTGGCGAAACCGAGGATACAGGCGACGAAACTGAGGATACAACCGACGAAACTGAAGATACAACCGACGAAACTGAAGATACAACCGACGAAACTGAAGATACAACCGACGAAACTGAGGATACAACCGACGAATCTGAGGATACAACCGACGAATCTGAGGATACAAC